TGTGCCCACACCTGGAGCACTGTGAGCCCAGTTACATTACTAAGCTGAACATGAGATGAGATCGAAGGATGACAAGTGTATTTGGGCATGGGTATGACTAGGGCTGCCGCAGCACAATTCTTACCTAGTCATTTTGAGGAGGATGTCAAACTCTATGAAAATTGGGATAAGGGGACAGTGGAACTGGAGGCGAGTCTAAATAATGTTTATGAATCATACTTGTGTATCACAATTACAATAGTTCCCTTTGTATCTAGTCTATTTAAGGACGTGTGCCATTGTGGCTGGAACCTTACTGGTTCTACCTCAACACTCACACGTCCTAGTATCAACAAATCCTTGCTATACATTAGATCACAACGCGAGCACAATTGTGGCTTTGGTGATAATATTTCTAGTCAAATGATGCACAGATGAGTCATTGTTGTAGTCACATGCAGCTGCCATTTGTAAGCAGAGCCGCAGAGATTAGTCAGGCCTTTCTAACTAGTATTCTTGAGAATATTCTAGAACATTCCAAGATTAATAATCAACAGGTATATAAGGCCTCTGATCTCCCTTGGGGGGAAATAGGGGGGCCGGGTTGGTACAGTGTGGATTATTTGCCTGGTTGAACTAGGACTATCATGCTGAGGCAGACTGCTGCAATTATTACCCTGACCACTACCACATAGACAGTCTAAAAGTTGGATAACATTTAGTTATCATCTGGAGTTCAGATGGATTTGCATTCAAGGTTTGTGATTTGGAACACATTGTAAATTGGTTACAATTGGGTATGTGGGTCAGAAATTTTTGCAAAATCAATGACCATGACCTGTCCATTCTGCAGACCTAGGGCGATTTTATCTCGGGATTTGGTGGAGCAAGCCAGCCGAAACTCATCCGGGATCCGATATCTACGGTATGGACAACAAACAGACCACAGCTCCTGACTGGTGTAGTCAACAGCTACTGTGGAATGCTCATGGTTGGGCGTGACACTCGGACATGGAGATGAGAGTGACTGAAGGCGATTGTGGGAGACATTGAGTACTGGTCCATTGTCCACATGTAAGAAATGTCCACCTTGGAAGAAATATAAATGCCTGGGAACATGATTGAGCTCATAAGGAGGTTCCAAACTGAGTGGGGTGGTGATATCCCACAGGCGTACAGTGCGATCATGAGAGCCAGACGCAAGACGGCGCCCATCTGGCGAGAAGGCCAGACATGAGACCCAATTGGTATGTCCCTCAAGCGTCCCAAGGCTTGCACCGGTGGTCCCATCCCACAGGCATACAGTGCGATCATGAGAGCCAGACGCAAGACGGTGCCCATCTGGCGAGAAGGCCAGACATGAGACCTCCCAGGTATGTCCCTCAAGCGTCCCAAGGCTTGCACCGGTGGTCCCATCCCACAGGCGTACAGTGTGATCCTGAGAGCCAGACGCAAGACGGCGCCCATCTGGCGAGAAGGCCAGACATGAGACCCAATTGGTATGTCCTCAAGCGTCCCAAGGCTTGCACCGGTGGTCCCATCCCACAGGCGTACAGTGCGATCCCGAGATCCAGATGCAAGACGGCGCCCATCTGGCGAGAAGGCCAGACATGAGACCCCCAGGTATGTCCCTCAAGCGTCCCAAGGCTTGCACCGGTGGTCCCATCCCACAGGCGTACAGTGCGATCCCAGATCCAGATGCAAGACGGCGCCCATCTGGCGAGAAGGCCAGACATGAGACCTCCCTGGTATGTCCCTCAAGCGTCCCAAGGCTTGCACCGGTGGTCCCATCCCACAGGCGTACAGTGCGATCCTGAGAGCCAGACGCAAGACGGCGCCCATCTGGCGAGAAGGCCAGACATGAGACCCACTGGTATGTCCCTCAAGCGTCCCAAGGCTTGCACCGGTGGTCCCATCCCACAGGCGTACAGTGCGATCCCGAGAGCCAGACGCAAGACGGCGCCCATCTGGCGAGAAGGCCAGACATGAGACCCAGGTATGTCCCTCAAGCGTCCCAAGGCTTGCACCGGTGGTCCCATCCCACAGGCGTACAGTGCGATCCCCAGATCCAGATGCAAGACGGCGCCCATCTGGCGAGAAGGCCAGACATGGACCCACTGGTATGTCCCTCAAGCGTCCCAAGGCTTGCACCGGTGGTCCCATCCCACAGGCGTACAGTGCGATCCCGAGATCCAGATGCAAGACGGCGCCCATCTGGCGAGAAGGCCAGACATGGACCTCCCTGGTATGTCCCTCAAGCGTCCCAAGGCTTGCACCGGTGGTCCCATCCCACAGGCGTACAGTGCGATCCTGAGATCCAGATGCAAGACGGCGCCCATCTGGCGAGAAGGCCAGACATTGGATAGTACCGGTATGTCCCTCAAGCGTCCCAAGGCTTGCACCGGTGGTCCCATCCCACAGGCGTACAGTGCGATCCCCAGATCCAGATGCAAGACGGCGCCCATCTGGCGAGAAGGCCAGACATGAGACCCAATTGGTATGTCCCTCAAGCGTCCCAAGGCTTGCACCGGTGGTCCCATCCCACAGGCGTACAGTGCGATCCCGAGATCCAGATGCAAGACGGCGCCCATCTGGCGAGAAGGCCAGACATGGACCTCCCTGGTATGTCCCTCAAGCGTCCCAAGGCTTGCACCGGTGGTCCCATCCCACAGGCGTACAGTGCGATCCCGAGATCCAGACGCAAGACGGCGCCCATCTGGCGAGAAGGCCAGACACTGGACAGTATTGGTATGTCCAGTCAAAGTCTGGTGTGAGGGCCAATGCACTGATGGTCCTCCAATGATTTTTGGTAGTCGATCTGAAAACTTGCTCTTGTATATCGTCCACAGTTGTGACTTTCGAGGGAGGAATAGTAGCCCTGAAGAGTAGATATCCAGCGCACTCTTCTCTAGTATTTTTTGATGCCTCTGGACAAGTCTAACTGTATCATGGCATACCTATTGTCACTGCGGTCAATACACATATCATATGTAGCATTAGCTCACCTCGACCTCATCACCCAACCCTTGGTATTCACAACTTCGCCGAATCTCCTCGAAATTTCGAATAAGATGCATGTGACCCATCAAGCTTAACAGCTCTACGAGGTGCAAAATTTGACTTTCTAAAAACCTTTGCAGCAGTTGGAGCACATGTTTCTCCGTTACAACCGTAGACGCATGATAGCCCCAGTACTTTGCTGCATAAGGTAGTGCTGGACATCTTGCCCATAATTGTTCCAAACGTCCATCCAGATCCACAACGTCTGCATTCTTTGGATAAGGTTCGTTTGGCAGGGAAATGCCACAAATGTCCTCCTTCAGATCCTCCTGAAGCACTGTGAGGACAGACACGGCCAAGCCTGATTGCATTGCTGTCGACTCAAATGGCATATCCACGTTGTGTCGGCTAAGAAGGTATTCTCGAAATGTGGGATGTAGAAACTCTACCACAGTCTCCACCCGAAATATACTCTGCATCGACTCTAAGATCGGCTCTAGCTCAGAATCTATGATCCCAGTCATCTTCCCCAAAACCTCTGTCGACACCGGCTCGAACAAGGTTAGGAGAGTGCCCATAATCTTATGTATGGTGCCGCTGGATGGCTCTCGTCGCAGTCGGCGAAGGATGCTTGTATAGACCTGGTTAATGTCCCCGCCCTCGCCTCGCGTCAAGAGGGATGTGAGAGTCGCACCAAGTGCGTCCGGACCTTGAGCTCGTCGTAGCTCAAGATGTGCCGTTGTGATCCAGATGAAAAGTCCGTTTGAGCGTTCTACAATCTGCCGGCGCTGAGGCTCGGTAAGCAGTTTGACGAGATGTACATCGACGTAGGCCCTAATGTCATCCAAGTTGGACTGCTGCTCTTTACCGTGCATCTTGAAATGCATTCCGCGTACAATCGCTCTACCCTGGAGTATCGCGGTGATGTCTGGCTCTGGCCGGCTCGTTATAAACAGTTTGAGTTTAGGCATCGACGAAAGCTTCTCAACCAGTAGTTTGATTAGCTCTCCCCGCATCTCCTCCTTGCACTCATCCACTGCGTCGATCACGAGGACAATATCCGTCTTTGCAAGTTGCAATGGTTCTTCGATGAGTTTGGTGAACTGATGGCGCAGTCCTCGTATGAGAAGGTGAGGATCTCTTTCTTTTATCATCTTTATTTGCTCTAGGATTGTCTCGTTTTGAGCACCAATATCCCCTGCGATGACGGAGCAGAAATCATCCGTCTCTGATGTCTGCCGAGCATTCTTCGAAAAGAAGAACCGACCAACTAGAACATCTTTGGTATTATCCCATTCCTCGCACATCGTCAATGTGACCGTGGACTTTCCAGACCCGCCAACGTCGCAGAGCCAAAAGATGCGCTTGTCTGCGTTGGAATCCAGACGCCATTGCCGAATCTCCTGCAGAATCGGTACGCGTGTGCCCGGTAGACACGTCTTATGCTGAGTACCCATCGGACGAGGCTTTCGGGCCGAGTTGGGCTACTTTCCACACTGTAGGTAATCAACACGAGTCGGAGGGTGATGAATCGGGCTAACCTTCTGCTTGCAGCTGAATTTGACAGAGCTTGGTCGTATCCTATTGCGAATAGCTCAATACGAAGCTGGCTCCACGTGACATTCATACCTCGAATACCCGCGTAGCTTGTAAGATTTCCTGTTTGTATTCTGCAATATTTCCGGTATCGATCTTGGCATCCGTGATCTTTCTGAAAAATCCTTTGACGCCTTGATCTCTGCCGTGCTTCAACTCATCCATTTTGGAGAGTGTGCCCTTCAGAGCGCTACACAATTTCAGCAAAACATTCAAAAGCTTGACCTCGGGTCCTACACAATGTAATCTCTCGATGCATTGTTGAAATCCTTGAGCGCGGTGGGCATCCGGTCCATGCGTCCGTCCTCGACAGCTTGGAGATATCCTTCATCCAAGATGTATATATGTAATTCAAGACTATCCCTGAGTATTCTGAGTCCTTTGGTGTTCTCGTTTACACTCTACGGCGTAATCAGATAGAAACTCAGTAGTGATGCTAAGCGTGTCGTACCCTGGTTATCTCAAGGAATAGAAGGGAAATCTCGCAAACTGCTTTGAGAGGTCCCAGAAATGAAGTAGCCTCGGTCCCCGCCTTGACGAGCTTGACAGCCTCGATGAGGGTATCCCGTGTTCGCTGATAAGCAATGTCTGGGTCATGAGAAGGTGTATTTGCTCTTGAGGAATTCGAAGGAGTCGAATTCTGAGTTCCTTTGGCTTTTCGGCGATGCATTGTGAATATGCTCGAAGCTGGTGGATACCACGTTGATTGCGTATATTTGGCCAGAGCGCTATCTAGCGCTCGGCCTCGGCGTCCAAACGCAGGTACATAGGTATCTCGGCCATCGCCGCCATCTCTTTATTTGCATCTAAGTTGCCTCGGTGGCTGGTTAACATGCCAGTGGTCGTCCAATTATGGCTATAATGCTCGGATGGTTAGATGAGCGCTGGCGGCGTGACGGGAAAACCTGGAATGAGAAACTATCTCATTACGATTAGGATTCTATCCGCTACGTGGCCGCGGCTGCGCTTGGAGATTTCTGTGCATTACGGATTGCTCTGTTGTGTGATAAAGGTGATGCGACTATAACGCATCCCGAGGTACTCCTCCTCACCTCTCTAGCTAGGCTCAACCGTGGTACTACCCAATTTGTCCTTGTTCCGGTCCATCCTAGTCGCGTTGCGTGGCCGTTATACTGTCTCACGCGCAGAGTACGACTGGATTCGGGACCATTGTGAATGCTGATTCTGACTTTCCTGAGCCGACTGCGAGTGCTGTGTATTCCATGGGACGTCATGGACTGTCCTGCCAACCCCCTTGATTCACATCGTTATCCTTATTGTGAACTTAGAGGCTCTCTCATGTATCTCTCCACATGTACCCATCCTGACATCACCTTTGCCTTATCCAACCTTTCTCGCTTCCTATCCAACCCTGGGATCCGTCATTGGAACCAAGCGCTGCGTGTCCTCCAGTATCTTCGCAACCATCCCGACCTCAGCCTGAATTATACTCCCTCAGACACACCGATTTCCAATGCACCAGTTGGCTACACCGATTCCGACTGGGCAGGTGACGTTGACCAAGACGCTTGACATCCGGTTTTGCTTTCACAATTGCTGGGGGAGCGATTTCCTGGAGATCAAGACTTCAAACCATCGTTGGGACTTCCTCAACTGAAGCGGAATACGTTGCCACTGCACCTGCATGTCAGGAGGCTGTATGGCTTCTGTGAGGTTCACAGGGAGAACTCACCTGTACGAGGGCTATGCGAGGCCAAGTGAGTAATACTTAGCTGGGCGAGCGTGTTCACCAGTCTAAACCCGTTTATTGACGGAGGGTATCGACGTGGGAGGGTACAGGAAGTCTCTGCTAGTTACGACATGTACATAGAGTCTTATATAGCAAGGGTAAACATTGGAACGTGGAAAGAGCGATGGGAAGCTAAGCATGTGCTTATACCGTCGCTATGAGGGTATATGCAATGGAGGCTATGAAGAGAACGGTAATGAATGTGGTATGAAGTGGGTAATGAGTGTCACGGGTGCGGTTGCGACGTGTGTGACGGGGAGAAATTCTCGGAACCTTACAACTTCGTCGGATGGTTGCTGACGTCGGATGGTTGCTGAGCTCGGCTGGCCTTCATTGTCACCTACCACTCTTCGGATGGACAATTTAGGTCCCATGGCCCTCACTTGAGCTCTGAAGTCGCACCAGCGAACTCGGCATATTGATATACGATATCACTTTATTCGCGAATGCGTTAAAGATGAACTGATCAAGCTGGAGTGGATTCCATCAACGGAAAACGTGGCAGATTTGTTCACTAAAGCTCTCACTCCCAAAGTATTTCGGCGTCTAGTCTCCCTCATGGGTTTGACACAACGTCCCATGTGAGGGGGAGTGTTAGTTCACACTAGTGTACATTACACCCGTCACGTTGCCTCCCTTCCCCATTGGTCGATCCATCACCGGTGGCAGTGCTCCTCACTCGGTTAATCCACGATTGCTGTGAGTTATCGCCGCTTGCTCACTCGTATGATCGATGCTCACCGCCCACATTAGCTAACTAGACGTTGTCTGTTAGGTAGTGTATTTGATTCGGTTAATCAACGACCGCTGTGAGCTAACTACACGTTGTCTGTTAGTCTGACAAAATTCCAGGCAAGGCGCTCTCTAGCTGTGGCCTCCACATATGTCCAAGAGTAGTAGCGGCTTTGTGGTAATCTAGGAACACATGATGGCCAAATATGCGACATATATGCAATCTATCGATGAAATTACAGACGCATACAAGCATCCATGCATTATTAGTAACCGTTTGACTGCTTCAGTCCTTCATCTCCGCACACGGCGGGTTAACTAGGCCCTTCCAGCAGGACAGAGGCTCGAATTATATACCTCAAACTTTTTCAGACTTGATTTAGAATAATATTACGTGCACTTCTAGTCGGCCTATGCGGTCCTTAGCTCCAATTCTGTTGAGGTTCTCTAAGACTTCCAAGACGCCTATAAGAGACGCCGGGTTAAAATATGACAATATCCTTACACAATAGAACTTATCTGACAGCAGAACACTCTTATACGTTATTCGGAGCACACCGAGAAGGGCTTAGAGCGGCGATTTGTCCCCCTGAAGCCTGCACCAAGGATTGGCTCACCTTACAGGTCAGAGCCCGGCCGACCAGGTTAGGAATACCTGAGTAACGGGGGTCATAGGTACTGTGACGCTTTAGAGGGAAAAGAGGGACACTATAGTCTAGTGGTCTGACGGCTAAGTCGGTGCGAATCCGGCTTCTTCCATTTTCCCACGGCTAGAACGTTACACAAAGGTGCCAGGTGAGGAGAATCAGAAGAGGAGGGTGACCGATTCATCTCGTTCGCGGGGAGTATCATGTCATTGTACTGTATCCACCTCGGGGTTGAGCACTGCCGATGCCCAGAGGGCTGGTATCGGGGACAGGAGAACAGAGACATTCGTAGTTGCTCTTGCTGAGCTGTAGACGCTTCAAGTGGTATATTTCGACTCCAATATCAACGCCCTTTTGACTTCTGACCACCCGTATCATCGCTGCCGCATAGACTGCCAGACGGCGATACTACGATCACAAAGAGCTTGTCTGCCACTAGACTGTTATCGCAACGAAGGCTTGGTATCAAGAAGACATATTGCATTCTGCATACGGTGCGAAACACTAGCAGTGGCATACCAAAAGGTAAATGTATTAGACAAGAACGGTACGATGACACGGCTTTGAGAGAACCACTAGTCCATGAGAGGTGTACGCCACTAGGTACGAAAAGTCCGTGTCGAGTCACAAGAAGTCTGCACAAGTGTTACCAAGCCGTCTGAGAAATACGAGTAGGAAAGGGGGTCTCACCAATATCAGTCGTTTGAGTCTGTCAGGTTGCCTGCAGTCCCGCCATCGCCGGCTCCAGCCATCGACTGTTCGGGTGCAGTCGCGACTGGCGTAGTCGTCCCGGTAGCGACACGACTGAGCAGCTCGAGCACACGTTCGTCATGCAGGTCACGCGAATGATGTGTCGACGGCGTGAGTGGGCCCAACTTTGAACTAACGGCACCACCCGTTGCACATGTTGCGCTCGTTTGACTCGTCGTACTCCCGCCTGTAATGTTCATGTCCAATTTGGCTAGTGGTGCCGATGAAGACGAAACGTGAGCGCTTGCGAGTTGTCCCGTTTGACGACGTCGAGCCCTCTGCTGGCGTTGCGTCAATGAGACGTCTATAGGCTACAACTAGACTCACGACTCGCGCTGGTGACGTTTGCAATATCGGTTCCAGAGGAAAAACGGAAATGTGTAAACGGAGGCGAGCCGTCTGGATTGGCGAGCGGTTCAAGTTGCGGTTGGAAATGTCCGCCAGTGGTTGCCTGAGGTGGTGTTTAGTTTTCTGTCGAGGTGGCTGGATTACGAAATTGCGTTCTTCCGTCGGCGGGCATGGCATATGCGCTCTGGGATTGTAAGGAGACCGAGGGGTGTTCGGTGGACCATTGGGTTGACCAGGAGGGATCGCGTTCATATGTATACCCAATCTGATGTGGTCCAGGGGGTTGATTATGCGAATCACTCGCAGGCCGAGGTGTAGAGGCGTTGCCTGTCGTCGAGTCAGCCTCGTTCAAGAAACCGTTTTGCCACGTCTTACTCGGTATCGAAGACGCGCGTGATTGCTGACCTGACTCGATAAGAGGTGGATGGAACGGATCGAAATGACCACTGGACGGAGCAAACTCCGCGGCTGGACGTTGGCGAGGTTAATGGGACGACGATAGGGCGAAAAGTGAGAGGTCCTAGCGTCTATGGACCCACGTTCCTCGGGTTCATCCTATCTACGCAGCTTTCGCCCTGTTCGTACTACACCACTGGGTGGACTACGCACGCCCGCATTTGCTGGACTGGGTGATCCGTACGCATGTCCATTATCCACAGAGCCCGAATAGGTCGCGTATATGAATTGGTACCTGCAGGTGTGGAGGTGCGGGGACAGCATAACGATGCTCGGGATTTTGGGCAGGTGGGGTGGGCAACTGTTGAGTTGGCGCTGCATCGGCGGGCGCTGGAGTGAGAGTCGGTAGCTGGTATGCAAATGGATGGTCGTATGTCTGCGGTGCGGCGAGTGGGTATGACATTTAACGCATCATGTGCATTTCCGAGGGACTGTCGGGCTGAGTCATGACCGGTTCACGGTAATAGGGAGGATGATGCGCAGGTGGAGGATGGTATTGATAGGCGTTTGGGGAGAGCCATTGTACGATTGAGAGCGGGCGTTAGTAAGAGATGGGTGCGGTTCTCCGGGCGGTGGATAGTAGTTTGGACAATGAGATAGCAGTGATCGAGGAGAATAGTCGTATGTATGGCATGGCGCCTGGTATTGACCCGCCTCGCTCATCGAGTTCGACCTAGGAGGGTGGGCTGGTGGATGCGGGGTTGCATATTGAGGAAGCGTATCGACGTTGTAACCGACTGAGATGGAGTATGCGTGCTGGTGGTGACTGGGTGTATGGGTATAACCATGGAGAGGAGGACCATAGCGCAGGGTGAGGGCCGAGACTGTGTGCCAGCAAGGTGATGATGGGCGGTTGAATAGAGACGAGGGAAAAGAGACTCTGGCCAATGCACAATGAGTGCCTTGTAGATCTCCCGTCACCAATTTACCTGGGATGCATCCTCGTTGACACCGCATAGGAGATTATGGATGGGATGGCGTATGCAATTGTGTTGGACGAGTGGAATAGAAACGTACCACTGCATACAAGAGGAAATGTGCATCTGCCGCACTGCGAATCTTGACGCTGCGCGCAGTAGCGCGTCGACGTTCGCACTGGGTCCAATGGATATCGCGAAACATATCTCTGCAGGCGCATGTCTACTGGAGCGTTCAAATGACATCCTTTTCCCACCCATCGTGACCCTGTCTCTTGCCCAGGACGCTCGCAAGCATAACGACTGACCCCGCAAGGCACTCCTCGACTAGAAGACACACGTTTGGTACTAAATACAGTTCATGTCTGACTCGAAAGATGTATTCGACCTCGAACATGTTAGCGAAGCAAGTCCAGAAATCGCGTGGAGACGTCGAGCGTCGAGTAGAATGAGACTACGCACTCATGATGATTGAACGAGCGATACCAAGGTCACTCCGCGTCGAATAGGGCCAGACTGCGGCTGCTAGATGACGGCCTCAAATCTCCAACGCTGGAGCGGATCGACGCCAAAGAAGTGAGAATCGATTTGAGGTGAGCTGAGGACTCGAATTTTGATACTTTCAAGGCGAAAGAGTCGCATCGTGAGCAGCTAGCCGTAGAAGAGTCACGAAGGACGCTTCCCTAGGCACAGTTGCGGTAGAAAAGGAATCAGTCTGTATTATACTAGAGTTTCTTGTACACATTGGTACAACTCGCAGCGCAATGGACCGAGAGCCGCAGACTACAGAGTCGCGGTCGGCACGAACACTTGGTCAAACAAAGGTCAACTCGTTTTGGCCATATAATGCCAGATCCCAGCGAGTCCTCGCATGCTGGTGGACACGATTAGTACCGCTATTCTGAGTTGCCATCTTATCCGAATACAAAGTCACACACCAATCAGACTCTGGCGTCTATCGAATCGAACTGCGATTGGACGATTCATATCAGCCTACTGACCGGTCATCCGGCTGGTTCGTCTGGAAACAATGAGGCTTGCTCCCCGACACCTCTAGGACCGTAAGACCCCTACAGCGCGTCCTAAGGCCCGTTCAGACAACACTATCGACTCTTCGAACAACTCAAGAGCGCACAATGTCACAAGAGCAAGGCAAAGCACGGCCATTTCCACGAGGCCTAAATCATGTTGCCCGACTTTGGCAACGAGTGAGCGATTGGACCGCTGCAAGTGAACATCCTAGAACATTGAAATCCTCTACGTCCAAAACCAAAAAGGAAGACCTTGGATTCCTGGAATTGGTATGCCCAGAGGATCCCACCGTCGAGTAAGCACATTCAGGGCACTGTAGTCGCTTCGTGCTGACCTCCCCACTCCAGTATCATAGCAATCCACGGCTTGAATGGTCACAGAGAAAAGACTTGGATGACAGACGATGGCGTTCTTTGGCTACGCCAATTCTTGCCGTCCTCATTGCCTCGTGCCCGTATCCTGACCTATGGCTACGACGCCGACACTCACAGTACGGAGTGCGTATCGACCCAGACTATGCGCCGCCACGCCGTCGGTCTGGCTCAAGCTATTTTACGGAAGCGTAAAGATGCTCCTCGAGTGAGTGGCATCCGTAAACCGATGCCTTGTTCCCTAATCACCCTAGCGCCCCATCATCTTTGTTGCTCACGATTTGGGAGGCATCATTCTCAAATGGGTTCGTCCGAGGATGTCCACTACATTTTGACCCTGACGGTCTCATAGGCGCTTGTCATATGCAACAATGAGGACCTGGAATCAAAAGGCGGCCTACGAAATATCCTGGTATCCACCCATTCCATCCTCTTCTTTGGAACCCCGCATTCCGGCGTAGAAGACACGCTCCTTAAGAAGATCGTTCGCCTGGCAGCGCCATGTATGGAATCGACAGAAGTCATTGTCAAGAACCTTCACGCTCACTCGGATGAACTCGAAAACATCCAGAGCTTGTATCTCACCGCGAGTAAAAAGATAAACAGCGTCTTCTTCTGCGAGGAATACAGCACCGGAGCCGAAGAACAGCAGACACATTTGGTAGGTGCGCTGAATCGTCTGATGGATGGGTGTTAACTGGATGATAGAATGTTCCGTATCACTCGGCGGTGATCACTGGCGATCAAAACGCTATTGCGGTCGTACTCCATAGCGATCACCAGAACCTTGTCAAATTCCAGACGGAAGAGAATGAAGATTACCAAGCAGTTGCTTACTATCTCACGGAGTGCGCTGAGAACGCCCCCGATGCCGTGCACAAAAAATGGTTTATGGAGAATAACTTGCGCAGTTCGTAACATACTCATCGCTGATTCTTTCCTGACCCACGAGTAGCCGTCGTGAAGGGAGGAACCATCCCTCAACCAGGTATGAACTATCTCGTGTACACGAAGGTTTACTAATATTCTCAAGACGACGCGCTTTTCGTATCTCAACTGCCGGTAGTCGCATTCGCCCCATCCTCTGTCCATACCACCTGTCTACAAGGAACTCGCCAGGCTGTCCTCGAGACAATCTCGCAATGGGCCGATGGCGATTCATCAGAAAAACCGATCTTCTGGCTATGTGATATAGCCGGCTCTGGAAAATCGACCGTCGCGATGACTGCAATGGAGAAGTGGAAGAAGCAAGGAATCTTAGGCGGCGGATTCTTCTTCTCCTTGGCAAGCAGCGAAAGCTCAGACATCGAAAAGTTTTGCTCGACCATGGCGAGGGAACTCGCTCAACATATTCCCGAGCTTGGGACACCGATTGCGGAGATAGTAAAGCGGAATCCTGCTCTCCTGCGAGCCTCTTTTGATCAACAGTTTCGAATGCTCATCACCGACCCACTCCAGCATCGACAGACGCAAGTAGTCCTCGTCTTAGATGCACTCGACGAATGCAAGTCTGCAGCACAGAGAAAAGATCTGGTTGAGACTCTCGCTTCTGCTGCTCAGGAGAGCAAGAATCTTCGGATATTCATCACAAGTCGACCAGACCCTGTGGTTGAAAGGGTTTTAGAACCTCTTTCGATCAAGGCCAAGTTGACAGATCGGCTCCACGATGCTAGCCACCGCGACAACATCGATGACATTGCGATATACGTCCATCGATTGCTCGGCCGGCGCCTGACGCCAGATAAGATCCAGCGACTGGTTGATAAGGCCAAGGCTGTTCATTTGGGCGAGCACTGCGTGTCGGATGCTCGATGATGAATCATCTGCGGTCAATACAGCGGCCATATATGATCGCCTGACGTCTATTGATCAGCCTGGAGCCATCGACGAGGTATACGACCTCGTCTTCGAGCGCATTGACCGAGCATCCAAACCAGCTATCATTGAAATGCTCGGTATGCTGCTTGCTGCGTTCGAACCACTCACCACCCATGACTTGGAAGACCTTGTTCAGCATACCAAAGGACAAGGGAGTGCCGAAGCGCTGGTACGGATTCTGGGAAGTGTACTTAAGGAGGATCCGATCACGCACTCGATACAGTTTCGTCACCCCACCTTTTTCGAATATCTTCGACGACGCTGTAGCACCGAAATTATCGGCGATTGCGACAGGAATCTTATCAACATCGCGCGTGCACATGGCCAAGCCGCATCATGGTGTCTTCACACTCTCAAATCGCGCAAGGAGGGGCTCAAGTTTAATATTTGCCAAATCGAGTCATCCTTCTATCTGAATAGGCAGATTACAGACCTTGACGCCCGGGTGGCGAAATTCATTTCGCGGAGGCTTCGCTATGCTAGTTTGCACTGGCCGTTCCATGTGGCCGCAATGGACAGTGACTGGGGCCGCAGGCTAAGGAATGAGCTGGCACGTATAGTCAAAAGTCCATTCGCACTCTATTGGATGGAGATACTCAGCGTGACTGGAGGAGTCATGCGGGCAGTATCTGGAATGCGAGCTGCGACGCAACATAACAGTGTGCGTGGACTATTTGAGACCTTCCGATTACTAACGCAACAGATAGCTTGAGCAAGAGATCCGAGGTCGGATGAATGACATCAGACGGTTTTTGATGGCATTCTCTGTACCAATCCAAGACAGCGTACCACACATCTACATCTCATCTCTCCCATTCAGTCCACGGAAGTCGGTACTTCATACGGAGGGTTTAAAGGAGTATATGAATTCGTTAATTGTGACCAGAGGGCTTGAAGAAACATTTCGTGAGCTTCCCAGAACGCTGCTAGGTCACCAGCGTAGTGTCACAGCGGTTTCATTCTCACCAGATGGCACACGAATCGTCTCTGGCTCAAGCGACAGGACAATTCGACAGTGGGATGCAGAGACTGGCCAGCCATTGGGAGAGCCACTCCAAGGTCATGAATACTCGGTGAACGCTGTCGCATGCTCACCAGATGGCACCCAAGTTGTCTCTGGCTCCATTGGTACGACAATTCAAATCTCGAGTTCGGACAATGGTGAGTCGATTCTGAATATCTCTTTGATTTGTAGTGTCAGTTTGTTATGATGACTGACCGTATGCTAAATGTAGGTAATCTATCAAATAGAACACGTTTCTCTGGCCATATCAAGTTCTTTTCCACTGATCCAGTTCTCTTTATACCTAGATTTGGTGATTGTTCTTTGCTGCCCGACGGATGGGTGCAGTCTTCTGGTCAATACCTCTTCTGGGTACCACCTAATAATCGTCATGGACTGAAGCACCCACGTCTTGTTCTGACTATGCCCACTTCAAATCACCTTAGAGCGACCACACTTGATTTCACTAATTTCCAGTGTGGGACATTGTGGACCAAAGTTCGAGCAAGCTCATAGTTATGAGTGAATGTATCAGCCTAGGACATAAATGGTGCTATTGCCAAGTGGGGACAATAAAATTTGATTCGCCTTGCCGCCCCTGCAGAGTGCCTGAGAATATGATGCAGAGATCATGGAGAGATGGGATAAGAAGCTAATCTATCTATCATAAAGGTTTCATGAGTTTAGTATAGGCCCTTATTGAGTAATCAGGCCGACAAGCCACCTGTGACCAACATTGGAACAGTTTTGGAGCCCACTGTATCTCAGATACAATGCGGCTTGATTTGACACTCTGAGGGGATGATACGTTGAAGAGACCTTGATTCTGCTCAAAGAGCTTGTTGGGGACAAAAGTCACTTTGAAAAGGCTCTTTGCCCTGACTTGGCACACATTGTAGCGGACATGACTATCTGGGCACCATTAGAATGGGTAGACGGCATCATTCCCTCATTCCATCACAACCAATTAACTAATTACATAGGAGACATACATCTCATAATCAGTCTGAAATATATTGATTCCGTTGATTCTAGGACGCGTGAGGTGAGAGGCTAGACCAGTAATGTCGGAAAAGTGGTGAGCGCCTTGTAAGGCCCTATGAGGCCCTGCAAGTCTAGCCGCCTCAGCAAGACAATCTTACCTTTGTAGGGATTCTTACAAGGCATAGGCCATGGCGCCTTTCAAAGCCTTACAAGGCGGCTTACAAGTCGGCTTACAAGATGAAAATTGAACCAGGCCTAGCCTTACAAGAGGACTCAAAGGCACATAGCGAGCTCTCAGGAATCCCTACAAGGTGCTCGTAACCACGTGTAATTGCAAGAATTAATCCCCATGATAACAGAAATGAATCATACTCCCGAGCATCGAATGGATTTAGGAGTCACCCGGAGTCAAGTGCTGCACCTTTGAATGCTTTGAGCTTTGCAAGTCTGGCGGATCCAGTGCTGATTGTTTGTTTGCAAGTGTGCCGCGTCCCTAAATACATTGAGTTACAACGTAAGCTAATATCATTGGCTAAGTCTATTTAGTAAGCGCTAAGAGTCAACGGGTAAACCTTCAACAAGTTGCATGAAAGGCATATGAGAGGGAGTATTAAGTAGTGAGTGTGGATGACGATGATTGGAAAGATCAGGTGGTGGACCCGGTGGAGGCGCATACCGTGGAATGCTTGAGGATGTCGAGGAGACCGATGCGGATGCGGATGTGGATGCTGATGCTGACGCCGGATCTCTCAAGTAAATATTCTTATTTAAATTCACTATTAAGTACTTGGATCAATATATCACAATATGAGCTCTATCAGAGCACGGAGGTCCACTTGGGGAAAGGAGAATCGCTCAGAAAGTCTTAATAGAACTAATCTAGGAAGCTCCTCGATGTATGCAGGTCGCTCTTACAAGCCTCTTAGTGATCCTGAACGCACCAGCCGTTGTGATCAATATATATCGGACCTAGATGAATTTATTCAAGATTCTAACGAGCCTGTTCACGCTTCACCTCTCAGGATCAAGTTTGACAGTACATTATGCGAGGATGAGGACGACTATGAAGAGGATTATGACTCTACAGCCATCAAAATAGAAGAGGCTGAGGAGCCTGACACTTTGGCTCGTCTCAGATCCTTCAAGGCCTCGTGGTTCACCTCATGAGCTTGACCCTCAAGCCAAACGAGTGTATCCCAGCTTATCTAAAGATCTATTTATTCAGAGACTAAGTTCACCTAAGGCTCTACAATTTGTATCTGATAACAACAAGTGCTGGCCGCGGTGGCTCCCATAGCTCCAACCACCTTCTATTGAGCGATTTCTTTTGTCATTCAGCGCTCCATTGCATTATTTAACAGAGTTGTCACTCAAGTAGCTGTCTCCAGTGCGGAGGCCAGATGGTGTCATAGCTTCGCTATGAATCAAGTCCCAAACTTGGGCACCAGACACCAACAGGGGTACCACCCACCCGTCAATACTTCATCTCGCGAGCCGAGCCGACAGACTCGACCCCGCGGACATCCCCTAATAAGAGCGCGCCACCTCGAAACAAGTGTCGGTTGTTCAGGCCCAGTGGACACCCTGGGCATACTTTGTTTGTTTGGAACACTCCGGCAATGAGTATGTCAGTTTATGCCAGGTGTACGACTGAAATACAAGACGGACTGTTCAGCATGGAGGACCAAGTCCACGAAGTAAATGCGGGTCGCTTGAGATGTGACTCGTCGGTCTTGAGACCCTCAACCTTGGCTTGATAAGGTACCAACCGTCCGGCCCCTTCGCTCTAAGACGGCATTCTCCCTACGAGTGAAAGTAGAGTTCTTCTTTCCATCATCCATGCGTTTAATAGGACGACACAGTCACCGCACTATAGACATCGTGTTCTGACGAAGAATCTTGGGTTGAACATGCAGATAGATGCACTACAAGATTGATTAGATAATATATCCATTTCGAAATTCTCAACTTGACATCCATCTCTACCAATCCCCGCGACGCTTCGCGAGCTTATCCATGATCCGTTCCCGTCGAACCGGCTCCCGCCCAATCACAAAGAGACCAACGATGAATGGAATGACGGCTAGGTAAGCAAGTGTGACGAGAATCGCGACAAGAGGCTTCTGAAGGGTCCAGATGTAAATCTGAATCCCAAGCGCCATGGACCCGACCCCCGATATGATCAAGAGCAGCGGGATAAAGAGAGAGAGGGAGCACCACCAAACAAGTGCACGCTCAAAGAGGCTGATGCTGACTCCAGCGCACGAGTTTGCTTCCGTGTCACGTGTCCCCGACGGTTGGTTATTAGGGGGTCCTGCCCTCGCTGGCGTTTGGCCTTGCGTAGATGGATCCATTTTAGTCTTTTCTGTTCCCTGGACTTGGCTCGCGGTAGGCAGAGCCGTCTGGGTCGCAGAGGGCTGGCCATCGCTGGCCGCATCTTCTGTCTCCGGTGGATCGTCGCGTTCTTCGAACTTCCTGTTCAGATATTCCTTTTCTTTGTCTGTGAGACGCCCGAGCCAGCGAAAAGTGAGAAAGGAAAGACACGCGGCGGTGATATCAAAGACAAGGCCGACAATAAACGAAGCGTTGATGAGACAAATGGCAGTTGTTTGGTCATGGAGTGGCGTATTCATGGTAATTGACATTACTTGAGCTTGTACAGCCGCCAAAAAAGTCGCCTTGGAGAATGTTACTAGGGCAAAAGGAGGGTATGGACACGTACGGCCAGTGCGATCAGCTCAAATCCCTTTTGGACTGATTCTAGGTGCGTTTCCGATGACCCTTTCATAATGATAGTTCAAAGTTGGGTCCAAGCGTGAGTTCGCGCTTTGTATTTTAGCGCCGTCTCTTGTATTGCGGGTTTGAGAAAGCGGCTTACGTTATTTCCAGCAAGGCCAAACTCTCACGCTGACGACGTCTATGAATCAAGAACTCCCACCATGTCTCATGGCTATCTTCTGGCTTCAGACGCTGACACCGTCTTGAGATGTCGATCCTTTGTGCTCAAGGGTAATGTCCTCTGCATGAGTCGGCATTCCATTTCGATGTAGAGCTGTCCAGGTAATCAAGATGGTCAGTCTCGGTGCGATAGACAGGCAACGAGCCTCGTGTGGAACATGAGGGTAGACGTCCTGCAGTATTGAATATCATGTTCAAGGTAGCTAGTATAACATATGACATGTAGCATAAAACGTGCCTGTTTACCAATCTCCCCGACGCATTGCGAGCTTGTACATGATTCGTTCCCGTCGGTCGGGCTCTCGACCAATCACGAAAACGCCTATGAGGAATGGGGTGACGCCTGCGTAAGCGATGGTGACCATAATGGCGACGAGGCGCTTCTGGAGTGTCCAGATGTAGATCTGGATGCCCACCGCCATGAATCCCACCCCGAATACGATCAAGGGGAGTGGGATGAAGAGGGAAAGGGATGTCCACCAAACAATGAATTTTTCAACGACGCCAACTGGACCAGGTGAATACGCCTCTGTGTCGTTCTCCGCCGCGGGCTGGGTGTCCCCAGGTGGATCCGCCTTCGCCTTGTTCGCCGCACGTTTATCGCGTTCATCGAACCACTTGTTCAAAAATTCCTTTTCTCCTACTGTGAGACGTCCGAGCCATCGAGAGGTAAGGAACGAAAGACATGCGGCCATGATGTCGAGCACGAGGCCGATGAGGAAAAAGGCATTGATAAGAGAAATCTTCGTCGTTTGGCTCTCGAGTGGTATATTCATAGTAATACTCATGACCTGAGCTTGCACGCCCGCCAAAAAGGTCGCCTTTGAAATGTCAACGGGGCAAATAGAAAGCAGAGAATGGCGACGTACAGCGAGTGCAATCAGCTCAAACCCTTTTTGGACTGATTCTACGTGCGATTCGGGCGACATTCTTTGTAAATGACTGGTTGAGGGTGGGTCCAGGTTTATCATGTTGTCCTTTGCCTAAGCCACGAGGCCGAAGTGAAGTCCCTCCACTCGTCGAACCAGTAAATAAATACAATGATCTGATCCTCATTCATTCTTCAATCTCTTCGCTTCCAGTTTCTCCACTCCTTATTTCTTTTCCGCATCAGCGCTCCCCAGATTCCCCCACTCTGCTGTATTACCAGTGTGTGCCATTTCGTTACCAGTAAAGAATCCACTTCTTGAACGTGACCTTGCAATTTGGGAATCAGGCTTAAGTAAAAGCGTGATCTACCCTCTGGCCAGATTTCGTTATCCCCTAGGAGACACTCAGCTAGTCGTAATCTGGATTACCTCAGTTCCCTATCAACTCGATATTGGTCTAATCACAGTATCGTGCACTCCCGCAGTTTCTCCGTTGTCTCTTTTCTCAGCGTCCAGTATTCGGGACAAATGACGAATAGATGGTGGTCGTCCTGCAGGTCCTTGCGTCCATTATCCCATTGTCTCCAGTAGGTGATTGGGCAGTTTGCGCCTCCATCTCAGATAGTTGGTGTCCAATTGTCCAGACCTGGCGAGTAACTAAACTTCCGCCGAATAGGCCGAAGTAGACTTCGTGTACGGGTGCCTGGGGACTTCGAGTTTCTGGTAGATATCTGTGTATCGCCGCATGCCTTTGGCCAGCTTGAACCTGTCAGCAGCTCGTAGTGCCAACATGTATTCCACATAAGCATTCGTATATTGTACTCAATGTCTCCATCCATTGGCGAGTACAGAGTGTATTGGTCTGCGTCGAATGTCGGTTCTGGCGCTGACCAAGTCACCCTACTGAATGCCTTTCCTGCTAATGCATCCGCAAAAACCTCGGCGCGTCTTGTACCCGTCGACATGCTTTTGGCATTTTGCGTTCGACAACTAAGTCCAAAATATGTCCCAAGCAGATCGTTTCGTACGCGGCAATGGATGGCGAATAGTCTTGCTGCCAGGTTCATAAGCTGACAGGGCATCATTGGTTGCAGCATGTCCCTACATCTTCTGGATACTTTACTCTACCAAGTATGCTCAGCTCTCTGATCATGAGAAGTCAACTGACTCTTGTCGGTAGCCATTAACCGAGCCAAATTAACAGTAGACCGCGAACCCAGGCCCATGACAGTATGCGATACAATACCAGTGCCTTTTTGGAGAGCGGAGACTGTACTTCGTGGACCGCGTAATGCTGTATCCCCTCTAACTCAGTACAGACGTTGTGATTGACTCGGTTCGCCAGGTTTCCCTCATAGAGAGACCTTGCCTATGAGTTTTAGGCCACAGTGATGGCGGAGGACCAGAAAACGTCCTGGAGGAGGAAAGCCGCTGAAAAATGAGACTACGGGGATTCATACTAGCACTTCCGGACTTTCTTCATGATCCTAGCTTCTATCTTGTCAGGTCCATTGGCCTAATGATCAACGATGCCCTTGCAAAGGCGCACACCCCGTCGTGAGCTCGGCTATTTCCAACAATCCTTATGAGAACTCTACGACCACTGTCGGCCGTCTTATTTGGGTATGTATCTCTTCATTGGTCATAGGCTCGCTAAGGCGACGCAGTTTGAAGGATCTACGAAGAATATCGCCGCGGGCCAAAGGGGTCCTATTCGTCTCTAACAACAAGGCGTGTATCGGTGTCTACACCGATCTCGGGAAAACGACTACGGGAAGAAGCATCCCGTATGACCACACACATGCGAATGCAGCCGGGCTCAGCAAGTCGCCAATGCATTTATTGTCGATCTTTAGTGTCCTTCTGCTACGATCGTTCTGCTGGGACTCCCTATAACTCGAGTTCTGCTGTGATCGATGGAAGGTACTCGGGATCTAACGCCGCGAGTCTATCAGAACGCAGTGGCCGATTTTGCTATATACAATGCCCGTACCCAATATAAATACCTGGGAATACTTCTGCAGTCGTCTGTAGCATCTTCAGAGTGACGTACGGGGATGCTGGCTCGATTGGCTTCGGGCTCTGCTCGGTATCAGAGCCTTTGAGTACACAGGAAGGCGACCATATCCCGACTCCATCCTTTGTCTGATCCGAGTTTGAGACTTCTGAGACGTCGTCGCCTATCCCGAGTGGCCAACGATGCCTAACATGTGATTCCGGGAGAATGAGGGGCCAGTTTGTTTGGAATAACATCCAAGAAGTCACACTTCCAAGTTGTGCGGTCCGGCAACGCCATTCATAGGATCCGAGATTGTTCAATGCCCCGGTATCCAACCCCACTTCTCGTTTGACGACAGAACCTTTTCGGAGATTTGAAGGTGCGCTATTCGCTACATTCATTCCGAGATATATAAAGTGACCTCGAGGACACTACAGACACTACATAGACAACGGTCGACCGCTCAGCCACTCTCATGTTCCAAACCTTTTCTCGTCTCGCTCTCATCTTTCCGTTACTCAGCGTCGTTCATGCTGCCTCCATTTATTTGGTAGGAGATTCCACCATGGCGTCTCACTCGGCGTCGGAGGGAATTCAAGGGTGAATTCAATGGGCACTGTATTCGACAGCGTTGTTAATTCTTGATAGATGGGGTGTCCCTGCATCGTCTGGGTACTTTACTTTGCCGGGTAATCTCACTTTGCTGCGTGCGCAAACCCCGCTGACTCTGGACCGTAGTGGTTAACCGGGCCAAGAGTGGCAGTAGCGCGCGAAGCTGGATTCGGGACGGATTCTGGTACAATACTAGGGCGCTATTGAAGAGCGGAGACTGTATGTTGTGTTGCATATTTCTGGGTTTACACTGACACTCTGTAGATGTAGTGATTGAACTTGGTTTGTGGCGCTGTTCTCGTACAATACGGTTCTTACATGTTAAAGGTCACAACGATGGTGGAGGGCCGACTGCAAGCACCGAGAGAGGAAGTGTTGTTGGCGAAGGAAGCGAGACGGTGACGGTAAGGCTGAAGAATGGCACGACCGAGGTCGTCCATACCTTTAGCTAGTATGTTCTGACTCTTCATGAACTCATTGGCTAATATTTTTGCTAGCTATATTGGTCTCATGATCAACGATGCCCTCGCAAAGGGTGCGCACCCCATCGTCAGCTCGGCTACTCCCAACAACCCTTATGAGAACTCTGCGACGATTGTTAACTCTCCCAGTCGGGTATGCTTCTCTTCCTAGCTGTAGACTCGCTAACGCGGCCTAGTTTGAAGGGTATGCGAAGAATATCGCCGCTGCCAAAGGAGTTCCCTTTGTCTCGCACTACAAGGCGTGTATCAATGTGTACAGTGCTCTGGGAAAAGCCACGACGGAGAGCTACTTTCCCAAGGACCACACGCATACAAACGCAGCGGGGGCTACGCAGGTGGCCATTGCGTTTATCGGAGGACTCAAGTGTTCGTCTGCAAAGGGAGTGCTGTCTGGATATCTTACGTCGAGTTCTGCTGCAATTACTGCAAAATGTTGAGTTCCCGTGAATACATCAATGCCGCGCCCACGACCAAACAAACGTGTCTTGACCCTTTTCCGCCTCCGGCTGGTGATTGACCACCGCCGTCAGCGCTGTTCGCGTCCCAGAGACGATATTATCGACTATTATAACCCTCATTTTGGTTCGGAGACGAGTCCCACTGCTGCTTCGTGCCCCGCAGTTGCAACACGTCAAGGCGTGGTCATCAACACGGGCCTTTAGAACCACCCAGTCGTTATATTTAACACCTATTACACCGTTTTAATCGCATTTGGGCCCCCCCATGCGTCGCCGAACATCGTCAATCCCGTCACTGGCGGATGCCCAGCACGCGTTCCAGACGGCCCGACAACAACCAGCGCGCCGTCTGGCTGCATACACGGTGCTCGCTACTTTTCTGGGTGTATTTCTCATCCTCGGATTTGGCAGCGGGTACACAAAGGACTGGCAATCCCTCGACTTGGGACGTCTACAAGGTGAGCATCTATTCTGGCTGATTGCTATTCCCGGTCTTTGCTTTCCTCCGAACATTTGCTGACTGCACACTTTCTCGGCTCTTCTCACACTGCTGGGTTTCCTCTCACCATGTTGACGTCCGCGCGCGCTCTCATTTAATTTGTCCCCGTCTTGACATACCGCGCGCTTGCGGATTTCCCCGAGATAGGATTTCCCAACTTTGAGCATATTCCCGGCAATGGAATCCGTACCTTGACAGCCGACGATATCAAGAGCGCTAATCCAAAGCGATTCGTCGTCGTCGGCGATATCCACGGAATGCATGGCAGCTTCAAGTAGGCTCGTTCAGTCTCGGTGAAAACTCTCTTGCTCACATCCTTACCTAGGAAACTACTCTCCACAGTCAAATACTCGGAGCATTCCGACTACCTGATCCATGTCGGTGATCTCGTCGCCAAGGGGCCGCATTCGGACCACGTCCTCAGCACAGTCTCTCACGCAAATGTGACTGGAGTGCGAGGTAATCACGACCAAAAGGTTATCGAATGGCGCCAGTGGATCGAATGGGTCCAGTCCCACCACGGTGGACGAGCCTGGCTTCGCGACATGGAATCAAAGACCGACAGCGAACTCGAAGACATGAAGAAAAAGGCCGGCAAGCGAAAGTGGAAGATTCCCGACGGTTGGGAGTTTGGCGGCGAGCATTATTTGATCGCAAGGTGAGCCAGATTTACTCCTGTTCCGCGTAGTTGCTGAACCTTGTCCAGGAACATGAAGGCTCATGAAGCCGACTACATTTCTAACCTTCCACTCGTTATCCACGTTCCCTCCTACCATCTCTTTTTCGTTCACGCAGGATTGCTCCCATTGAATCCGACGATTCCTCTCAACTCTAAGCATCAGCCTCTCAGCCATGTTCCAGGCTCTCTTCGGCAAAAGTCTGACCATCAACACCGTGCTGCGAGACAGGTTGGCTCCATAGACAACCTCGAGGATCGTGGACTGGCTGGAAGTGATCACCTTAGTCGCAAAGGACATCATCGCGACCCAAAGAATGCAAGGGATCTCCGAACTCTCCAGGAAGAAATGATCCTCTCCGGCATTCCTCAAAATACCATTCCTTTCAATGTGCTGAACATGCGAAGTTTGCAACGCAACGAACCAGTCAAGAGTTCCAAAAAGGTGAGAGGCTCCAAGGGTCTGCTTCTCTCACTTACCGGCATTTGTAGGGACGTCCATGGTCAGAGGTGTGGAACACTGTCGTCAAGAAATGCGATGGGTTCCCAGATGACGCTGTACGACTCGCGCTCAGCGGTGAAGGGCTTCCACCGGTCAAAGACAAAGGTACGTTTGGTGGCGGTGATTTGAGCCATAGCTCAATGATCTCCAGACGGCAAGGAGCGCGATATGCCGTGGTGGGAGGCGATGGTGCGGGATGACGGCGAAGTCATTGACTGGGATGATGAGGGTAAGTCTACGGTATTATATCCAGTACCGTCCTTACAATTAGTCCAGATGACCCCGCCATCAATTGGAGCCGTATCCCCAAGCGACTTCCTTGCAATCCCACGACGATCATTTATGGCCACGCCGCCGGACGCGGTCTCGACATCAAGCGCTGGAGTCTTGGCCTTGATAGCGGCTGTGTCTATGGTCGTCGGATGAGCGCGCTCATCTTTTCCGAAAAGGAAGACGAGCTCACTGCTCTCGACGAGCTGGCCGCTCACCACGCCCGGTCTGGTGCCTCGGACGAGGATGGGGAACCAGAGTTCAAAGTCGAAAAGGTCAAGCTCGGCGACGTCCTCGAGGATGGTGGTAGGCTTCACGGCCGCATTGCGAGCGTTCGTTGTCCAGACGTCGGCGCGTAATCTCTGGCGGCTCGGTATTTGTGCACGCCTCCATGGCAGCTCTCCTTTTCCCCATAGATCATAGAGCGATATATTCTCGCATGTCAGGTTCACCAATCCGTGTAAATTTTGTATGGCGCACAGGAGCTCTCCGAGGATGCTTGCTATCCCCGTCTGTGTTATCCTAACTAGACCTTATCTAATTGCTTTCTTGTGTTTACTTTGGTTTGTCCTCAGCAGGTTACCTTCAGTCTGAGTATTGGACCAGTAAGACTCTGAGAACGTGAAGGCATTCATGGTTGTTGGGTTTACCTCATTAGCACGCTCATAATTCCTACTGTATTGTACGAGAACAAGATAAGAAGCACGGGTCTACTGTAGCAAGTGGCTAACCCCCTAGATGGACAGGGAGAGTAATAAGTATATAACAATCAGGAAAGGGGGGAATTTGTTAGTAAGAAGCAGTGCATTATTGCGAGATGTGTGCCAAAAGTCGTCTAGAGGCCCAAGTTTGGGACCCTCCGTTGACGAAGTCGCTCATTGCTTGACCGTTCAAGAAGCCCGCTAAGGTGGGTGAATGTCGCCAAGAATAACAGAACACCTTGCCACCAGAGAGCATCGGAAATGACAAGTGCATTCCAATGACGAGCGTTCTTGAAAACAATTGAACCCGAAGAGGCAAGTCCAGTTACCATTGCCGTCTGAATATAGAGAGTGATATACCCGGGCTGGATGTTATCGCAGCCATCGTGGTGCCAACGCGACTCGTAGGCGGACACGAGCTTCTTCATCCAAACCTCTAGTCTTCCGGATTCTGACGGCCATCCAGTATTTGGGGGCGATGGTAATAACCAGAGCTGGCTCATGATCTGATTCCACCAACCAGGGGGGTGTGATGGAGATTTAATAAGCCCGAGCCGACTGGCTTTGCGATAGAATTGAACCCATTCGTTATAGTAAACTCGCCAGTAGGAAGGATTGGGATTAGGTAGTGATATTGACTCGATTTTATGTTGCGGGTCAAGAAGAAATTGGAATCGCGCAGCAGGGGAATTGGTGAACCGAACGTCGAGAAGACTGAAGTGGGCAAAGGGGTGGTCTGTCGGTGGTGGGTAGATGGGTCCTATCAATGACGACGACTGAATAGCCAGGTGAACAAGAGAGGAATGGCGATGCCAGAACTCTGCGGATAGAGTGACTTGATACCCAATGACAACAAGCGAAAGGAGGCGTGAGGGTACGTAGATATGTCCGCTTGGGGGGAGAGCGAGGGTTGCCCCAATAATCACAGTGTCGCACAGAATAATAGCACAGTGCTCGAGCTGTGGGCATTCCCAGCCCCGTAGGTCCAATTTGACGCCTTCTAGCGTGAGAACACGCAGACGTTCGAACCGTATTTTGTTGGCATATTTGATAGAGAAAAGGCGAAAATATAGACAGCAAAGATTCGGAAAGGGACTCGGTGACATAGTGAAATCGAGGGAGTCAGAATCGGCTACATATGAAAGGGATTTGAGGCTGGGGAAGGAATGTGGTGAAGAGTCAGAGAGTAGAGATAAAAGTGAAGATGTGGTGATAGGATCTGTCATGGACGCCTTGAATAGGGAGAGTACCCGAAGGTTACCCAATTGGTCTCGAGGGGTTACCTCCTGTTGTTGTCGCAAAATATTCTCCAACCACGCCCGTGACCTAGATTCCAGCTTCAGATCAAGCCTCTGGACCCTCGGGTAGACCCCATCACCGGGCACCCCGCACGACCATAGCCTTTGTTGCCTCTGAACGACATCTGTCCAGAATTTGCAAACTAGGCTCAAGTTGGCGCATCGACGTCGATACATTCTGTATGGATGCTCCTCGTCGGGGCCAATGCCAAAATTGTAGGAGGCATACCGAAGAAAGGGAGATGAAGTATCGTAAAATTGTAGCATTTGATGCCTTATAACTGATATGGTATCCTCAGGTGGGCCTGAAATGCTTGTAAGGATCGCAGGGGACTCCAGCGAAAGCACAACTATTTGTTCCCATAGCTCGGGAGGCAGCGCAGGTAGTTGGGTTCGAACGAGCCCAATACTTTTCACTTTCTTGTATAGTCGTCTCGTTGGCGCTGTATAGCAAAGTAGGCCAAGTCCGGTCCATCGATGGAGCGCATCCTCCTCGGCGAGCGGATTGGCTTGTAAAGCCTCCCACAGGAGAACAATATGGATAATTAAAAACTCGATGAGGAGAAACCCCACCAGAATTGTCGACCATGGGGCAATTAAGGCAAGATATATGACCGCGCTGCATGTTATCAAGGTTACAACGACAGCGTTGTGAACAGATAAGAAGATTAGAATGACATGAGCAAAGACTTTGAGCTCCGCAAGGCCTCTTGCGAGAGTGTGCTCAGAAATCAAGGTCATGGTTGGGTTCCAAAGGTTCCAAGTTACTCCTCTGACACGACTAAGCGCTTCAATATCGTCGGAATCGTGAGAAAACAAACCAACTCGGATGTATGAATAGCGGGTTGGCCAATTATGAGTCCATTTGAGCGGAGACTGGCGGCGTCTGCTTGAGCTTCGCCTTCACGAACCCATTGAAAGCGTGAAGGCTTGTTGAGGCGAGGATGGGTGATGAGAGATTCGAAGAAGGGAAAGAGGGCGAGCGGGAAATACGGGACTTAGGCCTCGGTAGGCGAGCAATGGATGGGAAAATAGCTGTAATTTTTCTCATGTACATGATTATCGATTATTAGAGGCTTTATATACGCGCGAGAGCGCGAAAAGAAACGCGCAAAGGATGGAGTCGAAATGAAAGTGAAGGAGATGAGACAGAACAGAGGTGCTGCGCCGCTTAGAGAGTGTAAGATACTAGACAGGGTGTAAGAGACTAGCTATCTAGCTCCGGGGGACTCTGGCTGGCCCATGCCACGAGGGGGCGAGGGCGTTACACCATGTTGCATTCTAACTAGAGGATATTCACAGCGGATAGACGTATGTCCATGGCAGTTGTTCCTCGGCGCATACGAAAGAGCCTTGATTGAACAGTCGACAATACGTACAGGACACCGGGCTTATACAGTAGCAGGACAAAGATTCTAGAAACGGGTCTAATCAGCCCGCCCAGACGCCAATAAGGAACATTCATATACAACCGTGCCACAAGGACAGGCCAACATCACTAAATAACCGTGAAACAATGATTTATGAATAGCGACAGTGGTACGTCAATCACTCAGAGCAGTCATCTGGCGAGTAAAACAATATTTGGAGGAATGTTGCAAGAAGTACTAGATTATCTGGAGCCGTGAGGATGCAACATCTGGACGAGGCCTAACAGTCTTCTATCGCACCAAGTTTGGCACCCTCGATTGACGACGTCGGTTCCTTCTTGATCTCCACATCAGTACCCCGATGCGTGTAAAACTTGCAATGAAAATCACGGCAATTTGCCACCAAATCACCTCGGACAGTACGTCCGTATTCCAACGATAGGCTTTATTGAGGGCAATAAAACCCAAAGAACCAAGTCCGCTTAGAGCTCCGATCATGATATAGCCATGAATGGACTCGTGCGTGATAGTATTGGGGAGACCGTGCTCCAAGTGCGCCTTGCAGCTGGACACAAGGCGCGTTGCCCACGTTTCGACGAGCCGCGGTTCTGGCGGCCATTTGGCTTCTGGCTGCGATGTCGGTAGCCAGAGACTAAGCTCTGATTGCCCCAACCAAAGCGGTGATTCCTCTTGGTGACGGGGGTTTGACTATTCCGAGTCGACAGGCTTTACGATAGAATGCGATCCATTCCTCGATGTATGGGCCCCAACATGTAGGATGGGGAGTTGGGAGCGATATCGACTTGAGTGAATGCTGCGAGTCGAGAAGGGATAGGAATGGCACGGCAGTGTGGTCACTGAACATGATATTGAGAATACTGAGGTGTGAAAAGGGATGGCTCGAAGGTGGCGAGTCAGCAGATCCCATCAGCGAAGACGATGAAACCGCTAGATGGACAAGAGATGAATAGGTGCGCCAGAACTCTGAGGACAGAGTAATCTGCTGGCCGCTGATAATGAGCGAAAGGATGCGTGATGGCGTATAGATATGACCTCCCGGTGGAAAAACGAGAGATGGTTCCCTGTTTTCACCGTCACGGACCAAAAAGGCACAGTGCTCCAGTTGTGGACATTGCCAGCCTCGGAGATCCAATTCGACACACTCTAGTGTGAGGATACGCAGACGTTCAAACCGGACGTCGTTGACATACTTGATAGAGCGGAGTCGGAGATGTAGGCAGTATAAATTGGGGAAAGGGGTAATATGATTAAGGGTACCATACTCGGTCACATACGAGAGGGATCGTAGCTTTGGAAACAAACTTGGTAGCGACTCGGAAATTAGGGATAAATGTGAAGAAGTGTCCATAGGATTGGTCCTGATTTTCTGGTAAAGGGCAAGTACGCGAAGATTATCCCATTGGTGTGGGTGCGATTTGGTGTCGTGACGTCGTCGCAAAAGATCCTCTAGCCAAGTACACGACCGATTATCTATGATAAAATCGAGTCGCTGGGTCAACGGATAGACTCCATCGCCGTACTTTCCGCAGGACCATAACCTTTGCTGCCTCCTAACAATGTCCGCCCACATTGAGCAAACAAGGCTCAATCTGGTACAATGACGCCGATAAGTCCCATAGGGATGTTCCTCGTCTCGGCCAGTGTAGAAGTCGTACGCGAGATTGAGTTGAAACCGAATCGCAAATGTAGAGTCGTCATAAAATTGAAAAATTTGATGTTTTATAATGGATAGGATATCCTCGGGTGGATTATAGATACACCCAAGGATCGCAGGGGACTTTAGCGCCATGGTGAGTATTCGCTCCCATATTTCGGGAGGGAGCGCAGATAGCCGGTATCTAATGATCCCAATGGACTGCATATACCTGTACAGTCGCAATGTCGGGCCGGTATAGCGAAGTAGACTGAGTCCGGCCCAGCGGTAGAGAGCACTCTCCTCGGCGAGCGGATTAGCCATTAAATACTCCCAGAAGAGAACGAGGTGAATGACTATAAATATGGTTGGAGGGATAACTGCTAGAATTGCTGACCACGGTGCAACCAGCGGAAGATATACGACCACGCTACACGATAACAAGAGAAAAAAGACCGCATTGTGGACGATCAACTGGAGTAGAATGACATAGGCGAGAATGCTGAGCTCTCTAATACCTCCTTTGAGGGTGCGCTCAAAAGGTAAAGTCATGGTGGATTCCAATGTCAGAGTCGCTTGGTATCAAGACAATGTCGCTGGACTAGTTTGACGTTATGAGACAGTAAACTATCTGAGGACCATAAGTAGAATAACATTCCTCCGAACACGGCCTCTGAGTTTGATGTCGATCTCTTGTGAGGATCTAATGTGACCTCTAGCTCGGAGAGATTCCAAGGGAATGTGATTAATTCATTCTTGGTGCTCGTTCTTTGCAGTTCAGCCAATTGGACCCGACCACTCTCGACCATAGTCGTCAAAGCGCAAAATGGATACTAAATCTCTGCCAATTTCTAGCCCCAGCATGTATATTCTTCCTCAAATCACTGTTCAGCATGACATTACCGTCGTGATGGATGATGTCCGAGACGGCGTCGTAACCAGCGGCTCGGAGGACGTCTGGATATCATGCTATCTGCAAGGTCACGAGAGTGTACACGGCAAACTGCGCATCTCCAAAGAGCCTAGCGGCGTCTCATTTCATGCGATGCAAGGTGTCGAGTGGCAAGGGTCGACGACGGTCAGCACCAATCCATCTTTGTCCAAGGTATTTCCTGACTTTGACATTACCCAAAAAGGCGGATTTCCGGGTGTCATGCCCGTCCCTTGGGATAGATCCAACACCTGTTAGGCTTGCTAAGCGCGTCTACAATCCAACCGGGGGCCAAAAGGTATGTGAATGAATCTACCATCCTCTCTTCAGGGCACTCTTGTAGCGTAAGAGGTTTGCCTCGATTCAGTCATCGACTTTTTGGTCATTTCCAAACGCTTCGGGCGCAGATAATGGGAAAGCCCTGGATAGGCGAGGCTACGTCCACCCGTCGAGGTCGAATACTCATCGGCAGCATCCGGTGTTTGTCGAGATATATAACCGAACCCTACCCTAGGCCCATCGTGCTCTACCACCTTGACGTGCTCCCATCCCAGGCGTAGAGTACGATGGGTCTTCGTCTGCTCCGTCACTTCCCGGGCAAAGCTCTCATGTAGATCAAACCCGGCGCGCTGGCGCAGTGAGACGAGGACCGATCCACCTCTCGCCACTTTTTGGGCTGTCGGCCAGTACACCTTGGGGGTTTCTTTTCCATTCCAAACCTTACTACAGGCTCTTTTCTTCCTAATCTATGGGTTTCTACGATGAGATTGCTGGCTGATCACTCTTCCCATCCTACACTCCATTTGTTTCACACAACCAGAAAATTACTGCATTTGATATATCGCCTGATGGGTCAATCTTCGCAACGGGCTACGACGATGGGACAATCCTAGTCACTCCAGCATCCGCCACATCCTCAGAGCCGCGCCGGATAGCAAAAACGCATCTATCGACTGTCCTCTCTGTCCTCTTCTTTCCATCCTCCATTGTTCTGCTCTCCACTTCCTCTGACCTCTCTGCTGCTGTTCACGACGCTAACCTTGCTTCCTCATCTACCCTCTCTACTGTGCGCTCATTGCGCGCACATTCGGCCGGTGTGACCGACTGCGCTATAATAGATCGCGGCAAGAATGTGGTTAGTTTCGGTCGAGATGCCTGTGCGCGACTATGGCATGTGGGGGAGGGGAGAGAAATTGTTGGGCGTCGATGGCGGGCTCCCAAAGGCTCACCGATCCTTTGTGGGCATGTCGACGCCGACTGGAATTCGGTCCTTGCTGAAGGGAACGAAGCCAGGACTAGTACACAGGTCCTGGACGGAGAAGTAGGGACATCTGGCAAGGTTGCCTTTGTCGGACTTCAAGACGGCACCATTCGTGGGTATGAATTGAGTACGGGTGTACCTCGATTCTATTCGTCGGGTGCACTTGCAAAGGAGAGGCGGACGCCCATCGACTCGATCAACTATTCAGCTCATCACGGCACCCTGGTTGCAGGGACAAGAGATGGCGTCGTCTTCATCTGGAACCTCCGGAGTTTGGCTCTGTCTAATGAGACTAGAGAGGGTGAAGACGAAGAACGAGATGTGCCGCCCACCGTCACGCTGCGTCGCAACAAGGGAGGAATAGAAAGCATCGTCTTTGGTGCAGTATCGACGGGTTCCCTGCCGAGCATCCTCTTTGGATCGGCAGATGGTCTACTCTGCCGGGTAGGGTTTACGGCCAACGACGAGCCGCGTCTGTTGGAGGAATATGTCGGGGTTGAGTCTGGCGATGGAATTCGGTCTGTCCGAGTGTCTGTGGTCGAGGGGGTGGAGATGGTGTGGTGTGCTTCCGACGACGGCAATGTGCGGCGGTACTAAGTGTATAAAGTGCTTTTATTATTTACATATTCTATTAATTGAGTCGTCTGTGAACTATAGCAAAGTGGGGTTCCACTAAGCACACGGCAGCCTTTCCCTTCTTGGTCCCTCCCTCGACCTCGTCGTCTCGCCAACGGCGCCCAAACGGCCTTGGATCCACTGCAGCCGTCTATTCTACTTTCATAAGCACCTCACAGCGTCTTTTCTACGGCCATGGCGACTTCGACTTCGTCCCACGGCGGAACATCTGGCGGTGGAAACTCGAGCATCATTGGTCAACACTTTCGAGTTGGCAAAAAGATTGGCGAGGGTAGTTTTGGTGTCGTCTTTGAGGGTCAGTCATCGTCCCATTCTAGCTCCAACTCGTATCGCCCGTTCGTCATACGCAGTGGGATCCAGCCGCAGACAGTGGCCACTAAAAACTCGATACAGGCGTCAACTTGCTTAACGGACAGCTCGTCGCCATCAAATTTGTGCGTCTCCAGCCCCAGTCGGCTACCATCTCAGGTTCGGGTTTTTACTCACTAGCCCGTGTCTAGGAACCTCGCAAGTCGGACGCTCCACAGCTACGAGACGAGTTTCGTAGCTACAGAACACTCAACGGCACCCGTACGTCGCTCTCTTAGTCCACGCTTGACCCGCTCGGCCTCGCTAACCGCGCTTTTGCTGGTAGCCGGGATCCCCCAGGTTCACCACTTTGGTCAAGAAGGTCTTCATAATGTCCTAGTAATTGACCTCTTGGGTCCGAATCTCGAGGATTTGTTCGACATGTGCGACCGCAAGTTTACCGTCAAGACGGTCGCCATGTGTGCTAAGCAAATGGTATGTTTTCATCTCAGAACGTGCATTGCCTCTGCCCGATATGCCACGCTCTGGACCGCCTCGATGATTGCTAACCGCCCATGTGCGTGTTTCTGTGTAGATTACCCGTGTTCAAGCGATCCACGAAAAATCGCTCATTTATCGCGATATCAAACCAGATAATTTCCTCATCGGTCCCGCTGGAAAGAGCAGTAACATGATTTACGTGCGTCGACAAGTTTTGCGTTTTACCCACGGGCTTTTGCTTATCCGCGCCGCAGATGATAGACTTTGGCATGGCAAAGCACTATCGAGATCCAAAGACCAAACAACACATTCCTTACCGTGAACGCAAGTCTTTGAGCGGAACTGCGCGTTACATGTCCATCAACACCCATCTCGGCCGCGAGCAGAGTCGACGCGATGACTTGGAAGGACTCGGTGCGTCGTATACCTATACAACAAATGTTGTTCCTAACTTTGGCGCCAGGTCACGTGTTTATGTACTTTTTGCGCGGCGGATTGCCGTGGCAAGGGCTCAAGGCTGCGACAAACAAACAAAAGTACGAGAAGATTGGGGAGAAGAAGCAGAGTACGAGCATCCAAGAACTCTGCGAGGGCTTCCCTGGTTAGACTTTTTCTGCTCATCTTGCCGGTGCTCACCCTCTATCAGAGGAATTCGCCATTTACCTTAACTATGTTCGAAAGCTGGGCTTTGAAGAACAGCCCGATTATGACTTTTTGCGAGATCTCTTTGCCAAAGTACTGGCGAATCTGGGAGAAACCGATGACGGCGTCTTTGATTGGATGTTGATCAACAACGGCGCCGGGCCATTTGCGACCCCGACCACGAATACAATTGACCGGCATATGCCCCAGGCTGGTGGAGGAACTGGCGGTGGGAGAAGACATCGCACGAGCGGTCAACCTGCTGGTCCGGCTCGACAAGGCTCGAGAAGAGGTGGTCGGCCAGGACAGCTGGACACTACTCTCGCTGTCGGTACCGCTCAGGGCATGGGTCCCCAATCCGGAGATCCTAGACTCGGACGCGGTGCACCGAGTCCGAGTCCACTCCTCGTTAATCCACCCGCAACTGGCCGTAGGATGAGCGGTGGTATGGGTCACCCGTACTCAAACGCCGCTGCGTCTCCTGGTGCACCACAGGGTTACAATGGCTCTGCAGGTAATATTGGGCAAGGAGCCCACGCGAGAGGCATGACTGGGGACGATACTTTGGGTTACCAGAGCCAAGGTCGAACCAGTGCCATGGGGTACTCGCGTGGTTATGGAAGCAACGTTGCGGTTCGCGGTGTCGGTGGGCCTAATGCCTCGGGAACGCTGGGTACTGGACAACATCATGGCATGATGCAAGGCAACGGCATGAACCCCGTGCCAGAGGAGCCGCAAAAGAAGGGTATTTGGGCCATCCTCTGCTGCCGATGAACAACTCGATCTTTCTCAACTATCGTGACATATTTATCTCAACGTCCCTCACCACCGACGACCGGCTCGTTTTCTTTCCCGTTTCTCACCAGGGAAAGAGCGACGCCTAGGATTTTGCGCTCGCTCATTTCCCCTCCAACTTTTGGCTTGCTAGACCACTGGTACCCTGTTATTTCATTTTCTACCTCGCGTCTTACACTCGCGTCTACCACTTCCCCATTTATGCCGTTCATGACCCCTCCGAACCCCCGTCCGCGTGCGGCCGGTAGCCCAGGATAGTGCGATATCATGATGCATGTAGGGTATGTTTCTATACAATTGGACTAATGATGACGACTTGTACTCTATTGCGTCTTGCCGTCATTTGCGTTACAAAATCCATCTTGAACCCAATCTCGACATATGGCCGCAGCTGCAGCGAGGACAGATGAATCATGGGTTATTGGCTTAACGGAAGATATCTCCCATTTATTTTGTTAGATGGCAAACTAAAGACGCTTCCCTTGAATAGACCAGGTGCTATCGGTCCTTGGAGATGAGGTTCTAGCGAAAGATGAAGAACAGTCTGCACGAGATTTCGTGAGCGACTATGATCCCATACAGTATTTGCGCTCATGTTTTCAAGGTCACCTTTTTGAACAATCTCATTGCGGTCTTTCCCAGCCTGAAGCGTCGGCCACTGTATATACTGGGATCAGCTATGCCGGGGTCTTTATCGTGCGTTCTTCACAGCTAAAAGACTCACGCGCCGTAGCCATATAGTAGAGTAATATAAGTATATCATTAGAAGAGTGTACTGTGCAAAGAAAAACAAATAACCATTGAGTTCAAACCCATCCAATCTTCAGCAAGCAGTAAGTGACTTCATCCGCCCGCCCGATTCCCTTGCGCCGCTCGAGATGTTGAGATTCGAGAACACCCAGAGTCCAATCACCTTGTCTTTCAAATGTATCCTCGGACGAAATGGACCTCGCCTCCGCAAAGGCTGCGGCGATACTGCGCACCTCGGCCGAATGAGTTGGACGGATTGGATACATCAGCCAAAAGATTCCTCCTCGTCTCTCTGTCACACTCGAACTGTCATCGTTTTTGCTCCCTGAGGGTCTTTTGAGGACCTTTTCGACAACAGCCTTGATAAGTGGCGCGTGCTCGGGTTCATAGACGATATCGGCCCCGAAGATGATGTCGTACTTCTCAGAGTCTTCCACCTCTGGACAGTCTACCCAGTCGAGCGCCTTGGCAAGGAGAGTCGGGCGTGGACGACCGTCGTGCAAGGCAGCGGCAGGACGGTTGAGTTCGAGGTTGAACGCCAGGTTGGAGAGCACGGATGGATGATAATCTGTCGCGAGAATGGACACTTCGTTCCACGGGTTCACGCCACTCCTCGACGTGACGTACAGCATTTGGTATTCGAGCAGACGCCACAGAAAGAGGGATAAAAGCCCAGTACCAGCACCGAGTTCGAGTATGCGTAACGTCCCGTTCGTCGCGGCTGAACGGCGAGCAAGGTCCAGCCCGAAGCGTGACGGTACGTCGGAGATGAGCTGACAGAGAATTGGCGCACTCCCCCACGTCTGGAGACCGACGGCTGTGTGATCTTGAGAGGGCAACGAGTCATCCTTGAGCTGAATCTGGAATGACATTGGTGAGCTGGGTCGGGGCTTTGATGCTGTGAATTTGGGTGCAAATGTAAAGGACCTCGTAACGGCACCCGACGCAGAGGAGCCAGAGCAGGCAGCGAGGAGTGCAGATGCTTTTTCGACGATAGCCTCTCTGTTGGACGCGCCGTCGTCTTCACCGCTGCTGGCGTCGATCCATTCCTCTGAGAAAGAAACAAGACCCGTGAGCCATTTCATGGCGTAGGTACGCTCAAATTCGTCCGCTCTGAGCGTGTCAAGCTCGGTTGTTTGAGAGGGGACATCGAGGTGAGCAGTCGAGAGAGTATTCGCAAGGGACTCGACGGCTGCTTGGAGTGCCTTGTAGTCATCGTCTTCGCCTAGAATCGCTGTCAGCTGACACTCAGGCAGGACGAATAATCGACGAACTGTCATCCTCATTGTCCGAAACGACGACCGAAGTATAGCCAGAGTCGTGTACTGAGACGGACTTCTTCTGACTAACCCATCCTCCACCTTTGCGAGAAAACTTGATTTGCGGTGTCGCGACGGTGAACTGGGTGCCGAGGACTTGCGGTGTGTAGATGTGGGCAAGTTGTGAGACCAAGTCCTCCATTTCCGCCGTGGAGAGCATCAGTGCCCTTTTTACAGGAGGCAAGAGCACACTGGGCGGTCTGAGCGGCTGGGTATTGTGCATGTTGGTCAAACGTTTGATCCAAAGGGGCACTGGGGATACTAGATTGCGATAAAGATTGCAAATAAACGTCGGGGAGACTGATTTTGAGCGTGTTAAGACTTGATAGGGACTGTGGCTGCTCGGATTGCTGGCGGTGACTTAGAGGATGAATGCGAAGACGAGCGTTGAGGAGACAACTGGATGTTTATTGAGTTGTCTCCCCTTCAGAAACCATCGCTTTTGCGCATTTTGAGCAGAGAAGTCGTGGTTCAAGTCGTGGTAGGGAGCAAGAAAAAAAAAGCCACCGTGGCTGTTCGGACCGTAGCCGGTGGATTGACTCGCACTTACACTACTTTGAGATGACGAGCATATGGTGGCTGACATAGAAGACTTTGTCAATGAGCCCACACTCATCCAACTCGAATATGCCTTTGCACATTGCAGCCTCAGACACTGGCTCAACGCAAGGCTCGGTCCACTCCAAGACATTCCAATTGCACCCATGGCGGGTAATCACCCAGTCGATGGGTTTTCACACTCCCCAGAGGAGAGAGCCTACATATGACTCCAAATGCAAGATGAAAGAGGCTCAGTTGGCTACAACGTCTGTCGGACGCCGTTCGGAGGAGGCGACAAAAGCTGATTCAAAGTGACCAGTCATTGGGTGAGCGGCCACCAGTCCATTTCCGATGGCGGCGAAATTCCCAGAGGTGAGAATGGGGCGCGTTTGACCAGCATTCCCAACTCCTCCGCCGCGTGTCATTGTAATCTGAAAGTCATCTCACGACTCCTTCGTTCCGGTCATCTGATCTGGTTCATTATCCTGTCGTTCAATTGGTGGAAATAGCCATGTTAGGAATCTAAAAACACCTATTGGCCGGTTAAAACATGATTGTAAACAGACACCAAGCGACATACTCGTCATGCAAGAGCCCGTTCCACTTCGTCCTCTAGTTTCTCGTCCTTTTGGGCTCCACGACCAAACCCAAACCAGCTGCTCAACGACGATGACTTTTGCTCCGAGACGCCACCACCTAGTCGCTTGATCTCTGCGGGTGTGATCGAATGCGGGCGAGTTTCATTTCCGAGAGGATACGGGCTAATGGGGATGGGCTATAGGCAACGATTAGCGACTGAACTTGGAGTTTTGTGGACCACTGACCGACTTGTCAAAGTCGCGCTCAAAAGATTCCAATCTCTCCTTGAGCTTTGCACGGTAGAGTTGCATATGGTCGTTTGTCGCTCCGCCCTTTTTGACGTAGCCAGTCTCATCGTCGGAGAGCAAGGTAGCGAGTTTTGAACGCTTTTCTTGTCTTTCCTTGGCACCTTGAGCGAGACTCATCTTTTCAAAGTCTTCCTCCTCGAGAAGTCCGCGATTTCGTTGCAAGAGCAAACGTCGACGGGCTGGGAGAGGGTCAGAAAAGAGCAGAGTATGCAAATATTAGAGAATACCCAGGATTTCTTCCTGTCTGAGTTCGAGATGGTGAATAAAGTAGCCCAGGACAGCCCAGAGTGGAACGGCAATCATATATGGCCTCAGGGCTATGAGGAAACGGAGATTAGCAAAGCCAAATAACTCCTCATATGACCTACGTGCTGCAAAGACAGGTCTTCGCTGGATTCCCCGATGCCATGCATGCGCTGTGATGCCAAATGCGCTCCAACCGGCCATGTTGGTGGCCAATCTGGTCCCATCGACTGGATTCTCGACCCAAAATCTCTCCTTTCCACCCAAAATGGACTCGAGTGTCTTCTGCCACGCCGAGGCCTCGTCTTTGAGTTTGTTGTCGACGGCCTTGATAGAGTGTTTTGTGGATGTGAGCGTGTGTTCTACAGCGTCTGAAGCCGTATGGAGTGCATGTTCTGCCTCGTGTATCAGTTTCTTTGCGGCGTCGCTGTCGGCCATAATAACAGCGGACACGGTCGAAACCAAGATGAGTCCAGCCTCGCATCCAAACCATCTTGACGCCCGCCACTGACCGCCATTTCTCAGACGATAGACGAGGCCATCTAGACGACGTAGAACACGCTTATACAACCATTCTACGCATCAATTCATCCACCGCGCTTCTGAAGAACATCGGCAGACATGGCCTATGCAGGGAATGATCCACTACAAAAGATTGAGACAGCAAAGATCAAAAAGGAAGAAGCAGACAATGCGTTCAAACAAGGAAATCTCCAGACAGGTCAGCTCCATTCCTCACCCATCCCCCCCGACACAAAGCTCACGACGCCGATTTGCAGCTCTCCTCAAGTATCACGAGGTCTGTACTCTATCTTTGCCATCCATGTCCACAGCTGCCCATGCCACTCAACTATTCCACAATCTTCCATCGCTTCCCCGCACGGCGCCTTTGGAATCTTCTGCCATCGCATGACAGACGCTGATATCCCGATTCACCTACAGGCGTTAATGTATCTCCAAGGTCTCGACAAGTCAGTCTCGCTAGTATCCCCTGTGGCTCGAGTCTCAACCAGTCTTGTAGGAACATGCTGAATGCAATGTCTGGTGGATCCTCTGCAAAATCTCCACCAGCAGAAGTATCAGACGGAGAAGATGAGATTGAGACTCCTGGCGTAAAGGCAAGGAAGGAGGAACCAGAGAAGAAGGAACTCAGCGAAGTGGGTGACTCCTCTACATAAACCTACGCTAAACGCATCTAGGTCGACGACCTTCTTTCCAAGATTTACTCTAACCAGTCTGCCTGCCATATCAAGAAGCAAAATTGGAAGCGAGCATTAGAGACTGCCGAAAAGGTTTTGTGTAGTTCTTTATGAGTGACCCTAGCTCACTGTACCGCAGTCAATGAGCAAGAATCCGGAAAACTTCAAGGCCCAGTTCCGAAAGGGCAAGGCACTAGCAGAGCTCGGCTATGTGGAAAAGTCTCTCGCGACGCTAGAAGAACTCTTGAAAAAGAATCCAGCCGGTATGTACCACTACTCCCCGCCATCTCGCCACTGACCCCCTTCTCAGACCAAGCCTCTATCAACGCCGAAATTGCGCGAGTAAAGGCTGCAGACCGTGAACGTGAGAAAAAGCACAATCAAAAGTTCAAGGGATTCCTGAACAAAAAGACTGCGCCGTAAGTATGCTGGTCGCGCCTCGCACTACCCTTTTGATTCCTAACCTTAGTAAATCCTTCGACTCGGTATCCTCTACACCATCAAATACGTCGTCTAGTTCTGTCCAAAGTACCGAATCAGAGGCGAGCACCGCGTCTGTCGCGAGTAGCACGGGTACAGTGCCAGGTATGCTCCGGCTTTCGGCCTACGCTCCCCAAACTAACCTAGGTCCAGCACCGAATGCCACTTTGGAGCCAAGTGGTCTCGTTGAAGTGAGCGAAGAAGAGTTTGAAAAGGCAAAACGCGCAAATGCTCGGGCGTAGACGAGTGATTGTGGGCATAAACAAAATCTTATACCTAATGTTCTTGTACACTCTTTTCTTGTCCATCGTCTCGAATGCATTTTTTGGTGAAGTTTGCAAACTTGAACCCCTACGCGAATGTCCTCGGTTTCGCGCCCAGTCGAGGGTCATGTAAATCAGGATTCTAATGCCTCAGATTTGCGGGAAGGAGTGCAGAAACAGTCGCCTGAACTTACAGTACGTCACAAACGACCCCTTGGACGCCCGATACTGACTCGAACGGATGAGCTGCGCGCAGTTTTACTGGGACTTGGAGTAGGATGTCTCATCGCATTCACTAATCTGTATCTCGGGCTTCAAAGCGGATGGGTCAGCATGTGAGCTCATACAACCACTGTTAACCAAACATCCAACTTACGCCTCCAAAAGGATGTCCATCCAATCCGCGTTGATAGGTCGACTCCTTGGCCTTCTCTTCGAGCGCCCTTTTACACCCGAGGAAAATGTCGTGCTTCAGACGACAGCAGTTGCGACTGGGACGATGCCACTTGCGGCTGGGTTCGTGGGTATCATCCCAGCTCTTGGGTTATTGGAAGTGGAAAAGGACGGATCTGGGCCTGTTAGTTTTACGTGGGGGACGGCTATTGCGTGGAGCTTTGGTATTGCGTTCTTTGGGTGAGTGCGACTTGCCAACTAGATTTGTATCTCACCACGCGCAGTGTTTTCTTGGCTGTACCTCTGCGTAAGCAGACCGTATGTCGACGATATCTCAGATGCGCGTGTCTCAATCCCTATCCAGATCATCAAAGAAAAGCTCCCGTTCCCATCCGGGACAGCGACGGCTCAACTCATTTCTGTACTCTATCAACACCCTCTGCGCAAAGAAGCTGCTCCGAAGCAAGAGGCCCGTCCGACGACTGAACCTGCAGAGGAGGCGCAATGGCTTCTGCATGAAGAGGTCGATGCGAGTCTACAACCGGAACAAGGTATCGCTGCTGAAGTCGAAGCGCGAGACGAGGATTCGTCGGTATCTGTACAGCAAGGCTGGTCACCCCTTGTTTGGAGCTTTGCTGCCGCGTGCTTTATCACTGTATGTCATTCCGTCTCTCTTGTTCAAATCCATCTCATGCGCAATAGATCCTCTCGTATTTCTTTCCCGTTGTGTTCGCCATGCCAATCTTTGGCCTCTACCTCGCTCGGGAGTGGTTATGGTACTTCACCCCGAGTCTATCATATGTCGGACAGGGTAATTGACGTATTTAATGTCAAAAAACTCATCGCTCACTTTTCTAGGTATTATTATGGGTTTCCCGACGACAGTGTCCATGAACTTGGTCAGTCCTCCAGCCGTTTCCAATGAATACAGAATGATACCATCCAGGGCATGTTTGTCGGATGGGCAATATTATCACCGTTGGCTAAACATAATGGATGGGCACCTGGAAAAGTGGGAGACATGTCCAATGGAGGTCGCGGCTGGATTCTGTGGATCTCCCTCGCGATCATGACCGCCGACAGTCTCGTTTCTCTCACGCCAGTCTTTGGAGAAATAGTTTCTCACCTCTTGAAGTCTTTCAAATACGATGCTCCGATTCTTGGTATCGCTGGTGTCAAGAGCGACGAAGAGGTTGAGCCTCCTGCGCGGCTTATCCCTCGTCGCTGGGTTATATGGGGACTTGTCATCTCCGTTACTGGGGGAACGCTAATAGTGTGGCTCGTCTTTGGATACGAGGGCATCAAGCCGTGGGCGACGCTACTCGGGTTTGCTCTCGGTGGTGCCATGAGCCTGCTCGGGTACGTTGTCTCCTCGAGTGATAGACGCCGCTAACAAATCATAGAGTCAGAGCTCTTGGAGAAACCGACCTGAATCCCGTCAGCGGGCTCGGGAAGATCAGCCAGTTGTTCTTTGCAGTCCTTCAGCCAGGCAATGTCGTAGCAAACATTATCGCAGGAGGTGTAGCGGAGGCTGGTGCACAACAGTGAGTGTAATTCATGGTCCAATTCCTCCCCTCACATCCAACAGGGCGGGTGATCTCATGCAAGACTTTAAGACGGGTCATCTCGTTGGAGCATCACCACGAGCACAGTTTCAAGGCCAACTCATCGGTTCGCTCGTATCCATATTCGTCACTACGACCGCTTTTATTCTTTATTCCAACGCCTATGAGATTCCTGGGCCAAACTTTCCCGCACCAACTGCCTACGTTTGGCTAAACCTCGCCCGTCTCTTACGCTCGAGCAGTCTCCCTCCACATGCTGGCGTGTTCATGTCCGTTTTCGGTGGCGCGGCTGCGCTTTCATCTGGCATTAAGGCGTGGGCTAGTCACGGCCGCAAACCGAGATGGGTCAAGTGGATTCCATCCGGCGTCGCATTCGCTATTGGGATGCTGAATACACCCAACTTTGCCATTGCTCGACTCCTGGGTGGATGTGTCGAGCTGTGGTGGAGAAGGAAATACATGAGGAAGATCAAGGCAGCTAGAGACGGCGAGGATGAGGAGAATGAAGATGGACTAGGAGAACTCGCTATTGTGATCATCGCGAGTGGGTTCGTTCTCGGTGAGGGAATCGGGAGTATCGTCAATTTGACGTTGAGGATCATGGGCTTTCGCGAGCTTAGTTGTTGGGGATGCGCAAAAGGTTTGTGTGGTGGATGTCCATAGTACTCTTTATACAAGCTGGAGTACGAACCATTATCTATCACATTGAGGAAAGAGGAATGGGCTTGAAAGCTAATTAACCAAGTGGCCGTGACGATTCTATAGAGTTGATACAGATGATAATCCGAGCTCCTTTGTAACCATAGAGCGTCCTTTATCAATCCCGGACACGCTCTCAAACGACTTGATGAGCGTCTTCTGTCCCTCGTCGATCCTATGGCGGCAAGTGAGTTGAGAGGATTGGATGGTGACATTGCAGGCATACCACTGCACTTTATGGCCATCTCTCTCGATAGCAGTTCGGATGGGTGCCCAGCTGAAACGTGCGATAGTTGGAAACCCAAACGTCTTGTCCAGGTGCTCTGCGATCCAGGCTTTCGTATTAGGGTCGGATGGGTAACCTGAGCCGAGTTCTGTGCCTTTCCCCCACGTAGCTTCGCCATCTATCTCGTTTCGGGTTGCATTTGAACCAGTTCTCGTCGCCTCTTCCCAAACCCACCCCTCGACCAAGTAATCTCGCGTAACTTTAGCAGCGACACTCGCCGCGCCAACAATCTTGTATAGCGAGTCGGCTTTGTTGCGGACAGTGATCTTGAGCGTCCGAAAGCGCGATTGGAGATAGGCTTGGTATTTCTCTGCGGGACCGAGTGCGTCGACGTAGACTTCGCTTATGTCCAGTGCATATGGTTCTGATAGAAGGGACTGGAGAAGTGCGATGGTAGCGTTTTGTGATTGCGTATTCAAATTTACAGGGGGTCGGCGGAGCATCCCGCTCGAGACGGCCTGTGGACTAGGCCATGAATGAGACGACTCTGAAATGAGGAGATGTGCCTACCTTATGACGCTCACAGCCCATCCCATGTTTGTGGTATCTTCGCTCAAGGCTTTCAAAAGTTCAACGCGCGTCTCATGCGTCAGAGTTTTGGAGTCTAAATCGGTGAAAAATGAATTCCTTTCAACTATGAATGGGAAAGTAACAGACCATCGAACCCCATCTCCGCCAACGACCCGTCGACAAACGCGACAGGACAAAAGGCCATCCCATACACCAAGGGACCAAGTGCAGGTCCGCGACCAGCTTCATCTACACCGACGGCATATGGTCCAACCGCGGTTGGTTTGGGCGATATCCACTGGTAGGACGCTGTCAAGGATGCGCCTGGTGCAGGCAGCGATGCAGGTCTAAATCCGTGGACACCCTGTCCGTCATCTTTGTCGCTTGGGTGCTCAGGCTGACTTATTTCCTCTTCCCCTTCATCGTCAGAGGGTGAGATTGGAGAAGCTTGACTGGTCGCCGGCCGTGAGCCACCATCTGTAAGAGTATCCTGAGGTTGTTGCATGTCTACTTCCATTGCAATTGCGTCTTCCGTATCAAGAGTGTCGCTCATGGTTCAGTCAGCGTTGTGGAGATTGGGAAAAAATATCGAAGTTGGATTCAAGAAACGAGTTCCACATGCCGCCAGCAAGGACTAGCTGACACGTTGTAGTACGTTGCATACATTGTGTTAGAAGACGCATAGGAGGGTATAAGACTGGTACAGGTATCATACATCTGAGTGCCATAGGACGAGCGATGAGATTTCACGCCGGTCACGCAGGGGTTGTTGGGGGAGTTGCCGGTCCATAGAAGAGAGTCGAGCTCTTTCTCTTCCTCAAGCGTGGCTTCGCCTTCTCGCCGTTTGTCAATTGCTTCACCATCCTGTCGAGAATCAGTCATCAGGCAGAGAGACCCATATATCCAAGAGACTCACAGTCCTTGTCTCTTCATCATCGCCAGGCACTTGCGTTCCACATAGTACTGCACGGAAGCCCATTGCGCAAACATTGCCCGTTTCTCCCGTTCGAATGTAGTCTGGAGCCGCTCCGTAATTTGAACGTTGATAATCTGGTCGATGATGTTTAGTTGTTCTCGCAAAATGCTGAGAATCCGAAGAGGGATCAGGCATCCCAGGAGACCAATCGACCCGAACCACACGGCTGCGAAAAGACTAGCGGCACCCATGCTCGTGCTGTAAACCATCAACTCGTGCTGCTTCTGCCTCTTGAGAATTTCGAGCCGTTCGGGCGGTTGGGTTTTGCAGTGTTCTGCAAATGGCAGACTTTCAAAGTGAAGGAGGTTCTTGAAGGTCAACGTTGGATCCATGGAGTCCTGGAAACTTGGTGAGTGAAAATCATCCCATGAGAGACGATCAAATGCGCTCACTTGGCCTTGGAATGTCGAGTGGGGGCCGTTAGGACGGGAAATGAGAGACTGTGTGCATGTCTATATATAAATTTACCCCAATGGCAATCTCAGAGGCGGGCGACCGACTGCCACATTTGACAGTTCGAGGCGGGCCCGAATTTTGCGCGTCATGGAGCAAATTATTCGAACCCTCCTCATGTATATGCTAATGAGACCCCGTGAGCTCAGTCATGGATGTCTCGCGTGCATCCGCCACTTTGCCGCAGCTCTTATAGGGCGGGCGTAGCACTCTCCATGTCGCGTCGGCGATCAGAATAAAAATTCTTTCAACCAATAGGCAAACCATGTGCAACTTTGCATGTGTTGTGGTCAAACCAACCCGCTTCGAGGCTGGACCCAGCGCCTCATCCCTGATGAGTGACGTTGCATAACGTAAATCGCAGATAACGATTCCACTTTGATCTATTAGCAGCATATCTCACCGGGACTGGATGAGTTTCCGTCAGAACGTCAAGTTTGGCTTCAAAGAACCGTATCCACTTGTCACCAGGAATGGGTAATAAACTTTAAGAACATATTGTAGTATGTACATGGTATCAATGCCTTGTGCATGCGGCGCATAGAGGTTATATAGTACAAAACTAAAACTCTGGGATACTATAGAGAGCATCCAAGCAACCCGTGTTCGGCATGCCCTATGCTCAACTGTCACCAAGTGACAAGGAAAGTCTAAGTATTTCACGTTGGAATTGAGAGGGAAGTGGTTGGGAGAGATGCTAGACTTCCTGAAGGCGTTATTAAGGGTGTTATCGGCTCATAAACAGCGGGTTTGCTCTTCTCTTCTTCTGATGCAGCCTTGGCTTCTTGAGTCTTGACAATTGCTTGAGTAGCCTATCAAAGTGTCAGCATTCTAGGAGACTAGGTGTATCCCATGAGACTTACAGCTGCGGTCACTCCATTAGGCAGCCCGTAGAGCAACACAACGGACTGCGTTAAAGGTTTGTCTCTCTCCCTTTCTCTTTCTTTCTCCCTTTCCCTTTCCCATGCAGCTTGTTGCTTTGCTATTTCTTTCTCGCGAATTGCTAGTTCGATGACATTAAGTTGCTGCTTGTAAACATCGATTTGGCGGAAAGAGATTGCGCAGCCCAGGAGGGGTATGGTTCCAAAAGAGACTGTCGCGACGAGGGTAGCACCCATGCTACCGCTGAGGAGCATTATTTGATGATTCTTCGTCTCCTTGAGAGCCACAAGTGTTTCAATCGGCAAATTATTGCAGCGTGCAGTGTATTCCGCATTCGAGAAGTGCCAAAAGTTCTTAATTGTTGGCTTTAGGTTAATCATTGCTTTTGATTCGGATTAAGTGAGAATGGCACAATAGGACTTGATCGGAGCTTGCTCACCATAGATCGTCCTACGACCAGCGTCTTCCGTAAGGACAGGAAGTTTTTTTGGGGCACGCATAGAGCTTTCCTATATTTATTTCTTCCAGGTCAACCTCGGAGGCGGGAAGACACGTTACTCGTGGCAGCTCGACTGACCCAATCTCGCGCACCTGGTACACACTCCCGACAGCTCTCGCACACGCGACGTGACAAAGGTTAAATCGCCGCCGGTTTGCATGCAGCTGCCACTTTCCGTCCCGCCCATATAGGAATCAAGCAGTCTGCTGTAAACCAGCGTTGGTTAGGAGGAGTAATGAAAATTTGCGACTTATTCGACGCACCATGTCAGTCTCGCTGCAATCACGCACATGCCCATGATCCAAACCAACCCGCCCCCAGAGGTCCGGCAAACGCCAGCTCGGCTCCAAAGTGCCCTTGCTCAAACGTAACGTTAGATGGGCATTATCTCTCCCGACAATCCCCGCCACTTTTATTCTCGAGACGTTGCCCCTGAGGAGGGAAAGATCCCCCGCCTCCATTTGATGGCACTGTATGACAACACGAATACAGTCCATAGAACAATCTACCACATATATACACCGAAAAATCCAGCTACAATGGCCAAAATCCCCACCTTGATCGAGCCATCTGTCCTGACCTGTGCTCCAGACGAAGACGGTCCGTCCAAGCTGCCGGGCACGACCAAACCGTCACCCGTAGCACTCGCAACGGGGACATCCGGTGCCGTACGCGTCGCCATGTAACTCGCCCACTGTGCCCACTTGTCCGCACCAAAAGTCCACGTTCCCTGAGTTCGGTACGAGCCAGTATAAGCCACAGTGGCCGTGAGGATGCCCTTGAGGTACTCGGTGTGTACACCTCCAACTACGGTCACACTCCCACCCGACGAGTTGTTGGAAAGGGGAACGACGGATCCAGTCGAGTTTGACCCGAGGATAAACTCTTTGAAGAAAGCGTACGCCTGGACAAATGTCATTCAATAAGACGTATGCCAAATAACCCTGAAGAAACGCACAGCCTTTGGACGATCAGCCGGCACCATGTGACCTGCGCCGTCGAACAATGCATACGTCACATTGCGCTCCTGGTGCACAATCCCAGCAAAGTTTCCATCCACATCGCTAAAGGGCGTGCTAGGCCGCGCAGTAAACCCACGAATACCACCAAACGTCATATTCTGAATGGCCACTACACGAGGATCAGTGAATCACAAACTCGAGAGAAAGAAGGGGACGTACGTTCCGTCCCTCGATGTCCAACGAGCGTGTCCTCATTGCCCGAAAAAAATACAATGGGAACGCGCTTGGCGAGATCTGACAAAAACGTCTGTGGCTCGGGACCTGCAGAAAACCAATTAGCGCCACCTTGAAATTGGCCATAGCTACGTACTAGGATCTCCCCAAGCGTTTCCACTCGCACTGGAAACGCCTAGAAAGACAGGGTGTCAGAAAGAACAAAAATGGGCTGGTGTCCAAAAACGCACCAGTGCCGCTGGCGGACCCAAAGGGATACGGCTGTGACATGACATAGTTCTTCCTCGGTGCGTGAAGAGCCGCTCGCACCGCTGGAACTATGAGGCGAGAGTGAGTGCTAGAGTCCCAATCAACGATCGCGAAACGTACTGTTGAGATACGACTCGGGGTCTTCGATTGCAGGCGGACCAATCGCATCCGTGAAACGATAGACCTGCACCTCTGTTAGTCAACAATTGTGGGGAGAATAGAGGTGCACGCACGTTGAAACGATCCACTAGCCCTATCAACAGATCAACAAGGGTTAGCCAACCAAAGAAAAGGTCCGTAAAGTAAAACCCACCCCACGGTAAGATGAATCCTGAGACATGGGACCAAAGTTGCATGGCGAGATAGCATCCGTACCGAGGATTGATGGAGCCGTTGGAGTCGAGGAGTGGGTTGATAGCCGACGTTAGTCCTGGAGCTTGTCTTTTATCCAAGAGTCCCCTCTCCTCCAACAAACTCTTCTTGACAAACCGCTTTCCGCGAACGACGACTTCGTCGAGCGATTTGTCAACCTTGATCAACTCCACGGCCGTCCTTAGCATCTCCATCGCCTCGACAGCCGCACGGCTATAGTCCTCCCCCCTTGGTTCTTCATCTCCAGTCTTTCGACTCCGTCCATCATTCCTCGTTGGATCGCGTATCGTGGGATACACGCCACGAGCAGGATATTCGAGGGTCATGTTATAACCACAGAGGTTATACTGCTCCACAAAGTACTCGTAAACCGTAGAGTTGAAATCGATCAAGGCTGGGTAAGATTGGAGGATGGAGAGTACAGAGTATTCGACAAAGGCACCATAGTTGCCCATTGCGCCGTTGCCAATGGCGATTTTGGCGAGGTTGACGGGAGAGTCAGTTGACAATGTAGTGAGTGCTTTGGCAATATAAGGCTAGAGAGCTAATTGGCGCGTGTTTAGCAAAGAGGAAGAGGCCTACGATGTATGTCCCCGCGTAGCTTTCTCCGGTGATATACAACGGGCGTCTTTTCAGACTGGGGAACACTGCGACTAGATTGCGAAGAACGTTGACCTGTACAGGTATGAGCTGATGATGACGACATTGAGCACGACGTACGAAATCTTGGGCCATTTGGTCCTCGTCCTTGACGTATGTGCCCGCTTCTGCAGTACTATACCCCGTGCCAACGGGTTGGTCAATGTAGAAAATGTCCGAGTGCTTGTGCCAGCTCCACGGATTCTCACGAAGGACGTAGCGTGTCCCCGTCGTGTCGTCGTCTGCGAGACCATAGAGCATAGGACCGTGTTCGTAAAAGAGACCATATAAACTCGAAGAACCAGGGCTATTGTCCATGAGATTTGAAAGGGTGCGATCAATGGACTCGACTTACCCGCCATTGAGCCAAATCGTCCATGGCTCCGAGGTACGTTCGTCTTCTTTAGCTGTGAGGAACCTTGTTCTTTTTCAAATGCCATGAAGAAGAGGGTGCTGTTCCGGTGTCCGTCGCGGTTGACAGAGACGCTGCCGGCGTAGGTGGTTGGTAGCGTAAACGTTACATTAGGAAGTGGGTCAGTTACTCTATAGTCTATAATAAACATGAGTTTGGGATGCTAGAGCTCGGGTAAGGACGTACAAGATTGCCAGTCGACACCGTATGGAGTCGTTGGCATGCCAGGGTCGAGAACAGAGCTTGTATTGGAGAATTCCTGCGCTTTTGTAGATGTAGAGAACGTGAGGACGGCAATGGCCGCGAGGGAGAAGATGGATTTCGAGGCCATCCAATAACGCGTCGTCCGGCTTGGGCAAAGAGGAAAGGAGAGTATAAAGAGCTGTGTTAGAGGGATAATACGGTGCTATGAGGTTTGTAGATGGGCGGGTGACCAAAGGAATGGACGGGAAAGCAAGAATAAATCGACGGTGGAGGGTCTATAGCATCAATCTTCACACTATTTTGCGTATAGACGTCGTCGAAGAGTCGAAGAGTCGAGCCGTGGACGAGGCGGGGGACGAGTTGCATCCGCGCCTTGGCAACGGAACGCAGTTTGCGGAGTTACGAGGTGCCAATCCGGAAATGAGCAGGTGGTTTCAGGAAGCTTTATTAGAGGATTGCGCTGGGTATCGGAGATTGCTGGCTTTGAAAGTGGGGGATTAGAAAGACGAGATTATCCGACGGCTGAAATCGAGGCCGAATGAGTCCGCAGCTCTCGACTGTTTTTCTTACCAAGAGATCTGGATCCTTCCGAATATGGGAGCACATTGGTCACGCGTAGGCAGGGATATTACATTACTCGACCATTGAAATATACGATTCAGGCGTGATCTGATTGGCAGAAATGCCGGCAAGGCCCAGTGGGTGAGTGCTTTGGTCAGCAGTTCGCGCCTTTTGGTCGGGTCGCTGACTTATAAGATCCTCGACCCGCCCACATCCCTTGCAGCGCTCTCCATCGGTCTTGTACTAGATTAATTCCTGGTAAATTCCTCTTGTTACTTTCCAGCTGCCCATCGCTCACCCATTCAGCTCTTTGGCCAGCGTCTCGGTCATCCTTCTGACCAATCAAGCCCTCAGAGTCGTCACTGCCGTCTCAAATCTTGTCCAATTTCTCTCCTCGAGCTCTCCGAGGAGTACAAATTCCATCGTCGCCGCAATTCCGAGCAGACATTCCCCTCGCACTCGTCGGTCACCAGCAGTAGAGGCGCGCTCCGAACATCAAACTTTAAGATTTTGTCACTCTCGCGATAGCAAAACTCCATCCAGACGCAAAAGAAGGAAATCCCCATTCCACACAATGTCCAACTCTGTCATGCCCGTTCATCCTGCTATGCCCCCCGCCCCTCTTCTGGGTGGGCTAGCAGCTCACCAAGTCCCGACTGTTCCTATTATTATCGTCTCCGATTTCAATTGCCCTTGGTGCTACGTTGCGCACAAGGAAATCCAACAAGCGCTCAAACGCGTCCGTGAGACGCATCCAAACATTCACTTTACCGTCGAGCACCGTCCCTTCCAGCTCGATCCAACGCTCCCAACCGAAAGGCCAATGTGTCGCGTCGCGTGCTATCTCGCAAAGTTTGGCGACGAAAAGCTCAAACAGATTAGTGCCGCCCTCAAGGAACGCGGTAAACGCGTCGGGATTGATTTGTAAGTCGTTTTACTAACCCCATATACATCTAATCCTCATACGCCCTTCTTTCGACCACGACGTCACCTCTTACAACACAAAGCCACATGGCCGGAAAGACGCGCCAAACGACAAATGCGCACCGACTCGCCCTCAAGGCTTGGCTCTGTGGTGGGGAAGCCGCCCAAACTAAAATGGTCGACGCTCTCTTTGCTGCCTATTTCGAAAAGGAGACCGACATTGGCTGCTACGATTTCCTCAGCCGTGCCGCAGAGTCGACTGGCCTCATGACCTGTGAGCAAGCTCACGCATTCCTCGAGTCGGACAAGCTCCGCGACGAGGTTCAGTGTCTCATCCGTCACTCTGTCCTCCGTGGCATCAAGGGCGTCCCATTTACCATCATCTCCAACCAATGGGCCGTCCAAGGTGCAGAGACGTCGGATAGCTTTTACAAGGTGCGTTTCTCTCTTCCCACCGTTTTTTGGCACATTTCATTTTTACAAATCATCCCTCAGGCCTTCGAGTTTGCTGCCAATGCCGCAGCGAACGTCGTCACGCCGTCGCTGCACGCCGCCCAAGTTCCCAGTATCCCCGCCGCCGTCATGGCTCCTGCCCATGGCGTCACCGGAACTGCACCGAGTTGCAAGCCCCAGGTGCGCACATCCTCATTCCGCACCGTTACCCGTGCTCACTGGTGGTTTTTTGACTTTTACAGGTGACGATGGATACTGCGTCTGTATCTGGCGACCACGCTAGCGAGACGGCCACCCAAAGCGGCACGTCTGCCGCTACGACGCCCATCAACGAAGTCCCCGTACGCCCATCGCTCGCGGTGTAATCAAGTCTTTCGACGACGTCGTTTGCGCTTTTTTCTACAAATTCCAACTCGGCTCGATGTAATGATTAGATATCCGACTCAGTCTCTCTTCTCTTTTCTCTCTCTCCCTCCTCTAGCCGTTTACCTGGCTCTATGTAGGTGCACTTTTCTTCTCCAAGTTGCATGGTCCGTCCTTTTCTCTCTCTCCTGTCTGCTCGTTTCGCCTCGCCGTTTCTCGAGACTCGCACACGTTGTTCTCGTGGTCGGGAGTATGCGCCTTTGAAGGCGCGTACGTCTTGCTCGGACAACTCTTGAATACAGGGTTTCTCGATATTTTTTGTGTGTGTGGGTGGTGAGATTACCAAGCGATAATACGCCCGCTCGGCGTTACGCCCAAAGTTGTGAGCCTGACCAAGTGCCCCAATCTCGACGCCAACGTCTGCCATATCCTCGACTACGGCGGGCTACGCCTGAGAGATAATCGAGTAAGACGACCATGGAGGCTGTACAGAGTGGTAATAACCCGTGGATGCACGCCATGCGCGCTGGCGAGGCGGAGCCAGCGTTGGATCAAGAGATTGCGCGCGCAAGGCGGGAGCTCGCGATTCTCGAGATGCGTAAACGGCTTCAGCTGCTCGAAGAGGAGAAGATGCATCTCACCGTGTCGTTGAACGAGTTGCAAGGCTCTGCTGCGAGGGCTCCACCTCGAAATCTGTACGTTTCGGGTTTAATTATTTGGAATAGGATGTTGAGTGGTACTATAGGAATATTTCTCGCAGAGTAAGCGCAAGGGAACCTCCAAGTCTCCCCCGAAACGAGCGTCTGCAGTGAATGCAAGTCGCAAGGGTGGTCCTAGGTCCCCTCAGGAGAGGACGCCTGGGTCGAATACGAGCCACAAGATCGACTCTGGACAGTGCCAACATTGTTCTTCGATGGGATTGGAATGTATCAGGAGGAATGGACCTGGACAAGTATGTGACGAGTGCGTTGCTCGTGGCAAGACGTGCTTTTCACGTCATACTCGGTGGGCGTGGGCGAACAAGGGTACCAAGTCGACGAAGAGCGGGTTGAATGGGAACAAGCAGGCTACGAGGAACCAGCCAAAGCGGGAGTACAACCGTATGTTGGGAGTAGAATCACAGTGACATGCAATATGAACGGAAATGATCTGATACATCAAAGCCTAGCCTATGCCTATTGCATTGAGCTATGATCGAATCTCTTGGTATGCCACAAGCAGTAACAGGAGAGCCAGTCCAAACAACTCTGTCACTACGTGTATTCGAACGGTCTGCAACTCAAGGAACCAGTAAACATGAGTCGCGCCTATAGCAGAACCCAGGTAACTCGCAGCCATAATGCCTTCGACAGAACGGACAAGAGGAAATTTTCCAATGATCCGCCCGTCGACAAATTCCCAAAATTTCTTGAGCCACCTGTCACGCTTTCGGGGCCATGACGAAGGTATGCGCAACGAGGACATTGCCCGCCATTTCCACTGTTGACCTTTCAACGCTATTTCCGGGCGAGTATCTATCAGTTCGGGTGGGATGATAGGCCCTAGTATCCCACGGCGTTGAGTGCACCAATAGAGCGCATCCCATTCCGGAGATAGACTCTGAGGCCTAAAGACGTCGTATGGAGAAAATCGGACGCAGACGAGTGGATGGCCTGATTCGACAAGATGGCGAAACCCTGCAGGAGAGGTTTTAGAGTGGATTCTATCGACAATACTAAGATGGGAAAGCGGGTGGTTTCGTGGCGGCGGAGAATGGTACTCGAGGTGAGAGGATCCGATGTGCACGAGTGAAGGGTGTTCATGCCAAAACGCTTGATCCACCACCAGAATTCGACGGTGAACAACGAGAGAGAGGAGTAAGGAAGGGGATATGAGGCGGTGAATATCCAGAGGTAGTGGTTCGGGTGATGGATCGGGATGATCTGTATACACCAGCGCTAGGTGCTGCAAAGCTGGACAATTCCACCTTCCTACATCCATTTCGAATGCTTTAAGCATCAGCACCTGCACTCTTGGTAGCTCCAGCTTCATATTGGATATCCAATTCGCCTCGATGATGAGTGTCGTCAGATTCTCGAAGAGGTTGCAAACGACATCAAAATTATTGATATGGAGCCCAGTGTATGCCAAACACTCTATGTTGCGCAAAACCGCCGGTCTATACATGGACAGGTCGGCTAATGCGCGTTGTAGATTGGCTCCGTCTCGAGGGAGGAATAAAGAAGTACCTATTGCGAGAATTCGCAACTCCTTCAGATCGTCATCCCGGAGTTTGGGATTCGGAGATTCTTTGTCGAATAGTGTGACCCCGGCAGGTGGTAATACCAACTCGAGCCGCTCGACTGTCTGCAAACCGGGTTCCACAGTTCCAAACGACCACGCCGGGCGTTGCCGCCGAACGAACGTATGCCAGTCGGAACACACTAGGCTCAGCGTCAAGCGTCGTTGTAGGTACGCTTCATATGGATGATCCGGATCGACTGCGTAATCCTCCATCGAGGCAGAACGGGTCGTCGGCGATTTGGTATAGGTATGAACCCGTTTGCCGGACCGGATGTACTCTTGGAAGCGATGATAGTATAGATATTCCAGAATACCCTCTGGGGTACACGTTGTACCCAATGCCTCTGGTATATCTAGGCCAAACGCGAGGATCTGCTCCCAAATCTCTGTTGGAAGATCCGGAAGTCGATACCGTACGATCCCAGCTCTCTGTAAAAGTCTATAAATCCGCAACGTGGGCCTTGTATGCCGCAAAAGCCATAGTCCAGACCATTTGTGCATGATGCTATCTTCCGATATTGAGAGTGGATGGTCGCGGCAGAAAGTCACCACGAATTCAAGGAAAATGACGATAGCCGCTACAGGAGTGACTACGGCCCATAGGGAGGTGATAATCTTGAAGACACTCGACCATGGGATAATGAGGGCCAGATGCGCTATCAAAACGCACAGAATATACGGTAGAAAGTATGACGGTAGGACTCGGAATGTCCGAAAAACCGCTCGGAGAGCACGCGTCACGCTGGTGGTCATCGCCAGCTCTAGGTTTTTCGATGCAGGTCCCGTAGCCCAAGAGATTACTGGTTGCCACGAGTCTCAATTATTGGCGGTGCACGCGCCTAATCTAGATTGTATTGGAGGTCCCTCTCAAATATGGGAAATAAAGGTTAGGATAAGTAAACCGGTACTTCTCAAACGATATCCTTACGGCGCGCATACACCCAGTGAGAGGCCGGATGACGAGTTATTGTATTGACGAGATCAGTACAAACAAAATAGTTCAAGTGACATATATGACCCATGAAGTAATCGGGTGCGCGCATCGACTCCCCAAACAAGCTCGGCAGTTCTATATCTCAATCAGTATGGTCACGTATGATGCAAAGGATATTTGGTTGCTTCACCTTCAAGCATTCCATTAATCAATCCACGAGATGGCTCTATTTTCACAAGCATCTATTGTTCAACTAGCGTAGACAAGATTATAGGGACAAATATTGCATATTAGGTGATGAGCTCCAAGTAAATGGGGTGAACAATCATAAAGAGTGCGAGTAAAGTCATCCCGACCAGTTCATAAATTATGAAGTCAAGAGCGACAAGCCACCTACCCTTGTCCATGGTAACAATCTGGAGCCCATGTAGTGCTCCTATGATAGTGCCAAGATACATAGCTGTAGGAAATCCGGCGCCAGTAAGACCCCTCTTATCTGCCAAGCGAGCCATAAGGTTTCTTCCCCACGTATCGATCCACCGTGGTTCGCCTGGCCAAGGGCGACGTGGAATACTCCTTGAACAATTCCAAACCTGGTTTGAGAGATCGCATGATTGCTCGAGTACTTCAACAGGAATCCAGTGTGCAACAATTCCACGACGCTGAGTTTCCCAATAAAGTTTATTCCACCTCTCGTTCAGAGGATGGGATGAATAAGTAGAGGAGTAGCGCGGAATGAGCCAGATGGATCTGATTGAGTGACCCGAGTTGATGAATGAAAGGAAGCCAGACAAGGTGCTCTCGGAGAGTGTTGGGTCGACGATACTAATGCTGCATAGAGGGTGACCCTGTGGCGGTGGATACTGATAATCGAGACTTGAGAATCCAATGTGCGCGAGGGATGAGTAGGACTGCCAAAACACCTCGTCCACTATAAGGGAACGGTTGTAGACGATGAGTGAGAGGAGGGAGGAGGGAAACGGGATGAATTGCATGTCAATGTTCAATGGTTCATCAATTTTGTGAAGATCAATCAAGACACAATGCTGCAAAGACGGGCAACGCCACCTCTGCAGATCAAGCCTCGCCGATTTGAGCATCAGAACCCTCAATTTTGGTAGTTCCATGTCCATTTCTACAAGTTCCGTTTCCACAACGAGTGTTGTGAGGTTAACAAAGAATCCCCACACGGAACCAAAGCGGTTAATATGTGCGCCTGTATACGAAATGCATAACAGGTTAGCAGCAATATCTGGCCGCTGTTCTGCCAGGCCCAATAGACAGGGTACTATCTCGCTTGTTGGAGACGTGAGATCACAGATGGCAAGGGTATGCAAGCGAGCTGGGTCGAGATCCTTCGCCCAATTCATCAAGAACACGCCATCGTTTTGTTGCGTATGGGTGTCTCCCAATATCAGTTCGAGCCGCCTGGCCGTGTGGGAGTCGTCTGGAAGGCCGAAGGACCACTCTGTCGGACAGCGCCGCAGAATGCTGTTCCACTCCGAGCAGACTAGGCTCAATACGAGCCTTTGTCGCATGTGTACCTCGAGCGGATGATTCGGTTCTTCGGAGTATTGGTATGGAGGCGCGGCTGGTGGCTTGGTGTGCATCCGGATCCGGTTCCCTGATCGGATGAACTGTTGAAAGCGATGGTAGTATATATACTCCCAGATGATCTCGAGGTGCATATTGAATCCATAATCTCTGGCATGTCGAGCGCAAAGGTGAGGATCTGATACCAGATTTCCGTTGGAAGTCGAGAAAGACGATAGCGAACGATGCCATTGCTTTGAAGATACTTATATATCCTCATTGTGAGTCTCGTGTAGGATAATATCCATAGACCAGACCACAAGTAGGCGGCACTTCCTTCCGAGAGCGGATGGTTGCGGAGGTGCCTCAAAAGCAACATCAAGGGAATTATAATGAAGGATAGAGTGATGGCGATCTTGATTACCGGCCACCATGGGATCGCACGTAGCAGGAGGATCGTGCCGAGGAATAGCGAGGAAAAGGTTGTGATGATGATGTCCATTGCAATATATATTATAATATAAAAGCGAAGCAGCTGAAGTGATTTTGATATCTTTGAGAGGGTTCGTCTTGCGTTGAAGGTCATACTAGGTAGGGTCGAATCTAGGTTGTGTGCTGGTTGACAAATCGCCGGGCTTCTGCCGGATCAACCAGAGGCTGAATGAGATTGAATTGCACTGGAATCCCAAATGATACATCGTATTGGAGTGAATCAACTACAAGGAGTCATTGCCGTTCAGTTATAGTACTGGTTCGGAATATCGCTGGAGAGCTGGATTCCATTCCGAGCGGACCAGGCTCAACGTGACCCTCCATCGCATGTAGATCTTCTACAGATGATCGGAGTCCACTGCGTAGGCTCCATAGATCCTTGATGGGGGTCTCGTGTACATGTGAACACGAGTGCCTGAGTAGGCGTACCGCTGGAAGCGATGGTGGTAAACATGTTCCCAGACGCCCTCAGGTGTGTATACCGTCCCCAGCACCTGGTATGTCAAGCGCCTACTTTAGAATGTGGCTCCAATTCTTGGTTGGGAGCTTTGGAAGAAAATATGATCCAGACTCGCTTAAGAATTTAATATATTTTCATTGTGGATAGTCACACCTCGGCCCAACAAAAAGAAGAGCGCGCTGGCGAAAGCCTAATACTGGCCAGTTAGCCCTATATAGATGGAGTGAACGACCAGAAAGAGAAGGAGCATTGCCAAACCAACTAGTTCATACTGTAAAAAGTCAAGAACGACCAGCCACCTGCGCTCATCGACGGTGAAGAGTTGCGCTCCATGGAATGAAGCCACAGTTGCACCAAGAGTTACGGCTGTAGCAGACATTCCAAACGAAATAATTATCGCGAGGCCTTCCCATCGTTTTATCCGGCTTTCTAGCCACATTTCAATCCACCATGACTCCCTTGGCCATGGACCTAACATGACACTCCTGGAGCGTCTCCAGGTATAGCCGTTCAGGCCACTCGCCCGTTCAATCAGCTCAAAAGGAACAAATGGACCAAGGATCCTGAGGTCTCGTATGTGCCGAAGGAGCTGATTCCATCTCTCGACAGGAGAATCGAATGAGCGATAGTGATAGTAGGGAAGGAAGCGAATAGACTTGATAGGATGTCCCGAGCTTGTGAGTGAGCGGAGCGCAGTCACTGTGCTCTCGGACAGTACGGGATCAATGACACTGAGATGAGATAAAGGATGATGTAGGGGTGGCGGATATTGATAATCAAGATTTGAGGACCCGATGTGTATGAGGGATGAGTAAGACTGCCAAAATTCCTCGTTGACTATTAGCCGACGATTGTAAACAACGAGTGTGAGGAGAGAGGACGGCGATATGATGGCAGGAATTTCGAGGTTTAATGGCGCAATGATACTGTATAGGTAAACCAGTACTAAATGGCGCAACGACGGACAGCGCCATTTTCGTACGCGAATCCTCGTAGATTTGAGCATCAGCACCTGTAACCGCGGAAGCTCTACGTTCATTTCGATAATTTCTCCCATTTCAACAATGAGCGTGGTGAGATTGATGAAGAGGGGCCACAGAGAGTCGAAATGGCCCATATGCGCGCCCGTATACGAGAAACACGATAGGTTCCGCACAATCTCTGGTCGTTGCTTTATCAAGTCAAAGATTGTGGGTGCCGCATCTCCATGTGTTGGCGAGGAGGAAGAGGAATCGTAAATGGCAAGAATGCGCAAGCGTGCCGGATTGAGATCCCTTGCACTAGTGATTATATTTTGATCGTGATTTGGCATCCCTTGGGTGTGAGCCAATATGAGATCTAGGCGTTTGACGAACCGGAAGTCCTTTGCAGAGCTTCCAAATGACCACGCAGTGGGACACTGTCGTAGAATAGTATCCCACGTCGAGCAGACTAAACGCAAGTTTAGTCTTTGCTTTCTGTGTAGCTCGTAGGGGTGCTTAGGATCAGCGGTATAGCTATCTGACCATGGTGTGCTTAGTTTGGTGTAAGTTTCGACCCGCTTGCCCGATAGACTATGCTGTTGAAAGCGATGGTAGTAAAGATATTCCCAGATACCCTCACTAGTGCATGTTGAACCGAGGGCTTCTGGTATATCCAATGTAAAGTCGAGAATCTGGTACCAGATCTCCAGTGGGAGGGGCGGAAGACGACAACGAACGATACAAGCCCTCTGTAGAAGGCTATGGACCTTCATTGTAGGCGTCGTATAGCGCAATAACCACAACCCAGACAATTTGTAGGCGGCGCTGTCGTCTGATAAGGGATGGTCGCGGAGGTGCCTCAACAACCACATCAGAGTCAATACGACAGGGCAGAGGGCGGTGGTTATCTTGATTACGGTCCACCATGGGATTGCGCACAGCAGGATGGTTCCGCCGTACAGTATGGTCAAGAGAACCGAATGGGCAATATCCGCTGCAAGATACATAATGAAATAGCAAGGTAGTGACCGGGCTGATTCCGACAGCGCTGAGAGGATTCGCTTTGACCTGGAGATCATCGTAGGGTCGAAACTGAAGCGTGCTGGTTGACAACTGGTGCCATCTAAGCCGGCTTCGGACGAGCCATTTGCAGCTTGAATAAATCAATCATATACAGAGTGATTCAGTGACCAAGGCGTCGAGTTTGGCGACAATCACTTTCAAACGCGGACCGCACGAATAAAAGGGTGAAATCCAGAACAACCAGCTACTACATAAAGTCACCTGTCAAACATGAAACAAAAGCCATAGATATGCTAATGTAAACGAGAACCATGCGTCATTTAGAACAAGCGAATAAAGGATCGTATTCAGAGCTGACTCTAGCAAATGATTGGACAGACAAGGCGCCATACTGGCTGATGAGTTCGAGATAGACGGCATGAGGCATTACAAAGATTGTCAAAATAACTATTCCAGCCAGCTCGGACTAAATGGAAATCAACGATGAAGAGCCATCCCCGTGCGCTCAAAGCAGAGACTTGGACGATACCACGTTAATCCCTAGACACAGGATCATCGCCACAAAGAATTCCGCGTTGTGTTCTCTATCCCCACTCACGGTGTCCCACTCGGCCATAAAGTCCTCTGCACGCCTCTCAATCCACCAGGGCCGTCGCGGCCATTCAGATTGGTTCCCGCGTAAAAAGGTACCTGCGCAAGCCTATACAAAGGGGTGCAGATCTCCAACGGCGGACACCACTTCGGTCGGAATCAGTGGGCCCAGAATTTCAAGGTATTGAACATGCCAGTAGAGTTCCTTCCACTCATTATCGACTGGACATTTCCGAAGTGGACAGAAGCGGACAGACCTGAGTGGATGTCCAGAGTTGATCAGCGACCGAAATCCAGCGGACGTCCATTTAGAGAACGATGGGTAGATGACGCTGACGTGAGATAAAGGATGCGTTCGTGGTGGCGGATGTCGATAATCGAGCTTTGAAGATCCGAGATGCACAAGCGACGGATGCATTTCCCAAAATGTCTCGTCGAAGGTTGGCTGACAGTCGTAAACGATGAATGAAAGAAGACGAGACGATGCTTTGATGCTTTGTGTGTCAAGTGCGAACGGACTATCGATCTCATATGTGTATACCAGCGCGAGATGTTGCAATGATGGACAGTGCCATTTCTGTACGTCTAGCCCTCGTGACCTGAGCATCAGAGCCTGGAGTTTCGGCAGCTCCACAACGTCCCCGAGTTCATCCGGATGCTCAAGAATGAGGGTAGTCAGATTGTCGAACATCTTCCACACGAGGCGAAAATGAGCAACATCAAACTCTATGTACGAGACACAACGCAAACTTCGAACGACTTCAGGTCTGTAAGTTGCGAGAGAAGAAAGAAAGCGCTTCCTCCTCTGGCCATATCCCGTCGAGGCTGGTCGGCTTCTACTGTATCCATACCCGATGGCCGGTTGCTTTCGACTGTAGTGTTTGGCGTATAATATGATATCAACTCGATGCGCTCGGCCGTCCCCAATGATGCTTCGTCGGTATCTCCAAGGGCCCATGGAATGGAATGTCGCCTGATGATAGTATTCCACTCGGAGCAGACCAGGCTCAAAGTGACCTTTCGTCGCATGTGGACTTCATACGGATGACCTGGATCCACCGCGCAGCGTTCGTGCTTTCCTGAAGAGGGTTTCGTGTACATGTGGAGGCGAGTACCTGAGTGGGCGTATTGCTGGAAGTGAGCGTGGAGTAGATACTCCAAGATTCTTTCAGGTGTGCATGTCGTCCCTAGCGCCTCTGGTATATCGACCGCCAGCTCGAGGATGTAGCACCAAATCTCGGTGGGAAGGTATGGAAGACGATAGCGGATAATTACCGCTCGTTGGAATAACTTATGTATCTTCATTGTAGGTATTATATATGGCAAAAGCCATAATCCGGACCAGATGTGGACGGCACTTTCCTCTGAGAGCGGATGGTCGCGGAGATACTCCACCAACAGGCTCATAGAGAATAGGGTAACCATCAGAGCAGAGAGGGCCTAGATCAGCGCCCACCATGGGGCGTCCATCAGAAAACAAGCAGCAATTATAGGGATGAGGAAGGATGAAATAGCAGCATTAGAGACCAAATAGGATTCCAAGTAGTAGTGCAGTATCGGAAGTGGCTTTAAGGCGGCTGACAAGATTCGCTTTGGGCTGAAGGTCATTGTTTGTCGGGTCGAAGATGTCGGCCTCTGTGCATCGTGGCTGGTCGACTAGTCAGCACGCGGGCTACATTTCCTAATGAAATCCAAAGCATGCATTATGGCTTACACTCAATCATATTATCTGGCTGGCGCCCTTGCTTATCTTGCGAACCATGATTCGGTTGAAAGAAATTCATAGTTAGTTACATACAATATCCATATAAACCTCGGTTAGACCGTTGGGAAAGTAATATATCGACCAAAGCCAACGAGCCCGGCTATGTCATAACGAGACTCCTGTGGGGGGCTCTTGGTGGCCGCTGTAGCAGGAGAGAAGGAGAATCTCATCCAGTTACGCCATAAGTCGAGCGAGCCTTCGCTCCCTTTCTGGTTCGTCGAGAAGAGTTCTCGCCCATGCGACGAGTCTCCAAATATCGTCAAAGTTGTTGGCCAATCCGAGGCTGATGCGAACGACACCAAGACCGTCCATGCCTCCAACAACGCTCCAAACCTCTTCCATATCCCGCTGCATGTCAACCTTGGTCGTGTGATGAGGGAGCACACCCCCATGTGAGTCGAGGAAAACCGCCTCGACAGTCTGCATCTTCTGCTGCGCCTCGCTACCTCGCAGCGCGGCTGCTCCTCCGGGATTGCAAACGCATCCAGTTCGCAGTGAGATGCCGTGAGCTGCTGCGAGCTTAGAGATGTGGGCGAGTGGGATCATCGCCCCCGAGCTCGTGTAGAATGTGCATGACAGTACATATCCTTGGCCCTCTTCCTTCTGCGCTTCATCTTGGCGCGATTCGGAGATTGAAGTGGTTGCTAGCCCATCCGAGGTTCGAGCGGGAGCCGTCATAGGCCGTCGAGAAGACTTTTTAGGCGGTAGGGAGAGCGTATTGGATGACGATAGATGGAGTTGTTTCTGCTCCATCTTCGGTGTCTGGGGTGGGGTAGGAAGACCCGACGAGGTGGACTTGCGAGTGAACAGCCGCTTGAAAGAGGCAGTACTGGATGCAAAAGGTGTCTCAGAGGATAACTGATGGGACATGGATGTGTCTCGAGCATAGCTTAACTGAGCTGGTGCATGTAGGGACCGCTTTTTCGTGTGGATGCGGATGAGTGGGGCGTTGGTTCCGGGATAGACGAGTGATTCGAGACATGTGTGAAGGTAGTGGTGAAGGGCTGGAAGTCGCACCGCGAGCGACGGCATATACTTTTTCAAAAACTCGAGGCCGGGCTCAATAGCCGAAAGGCAAGCGTAATTCAATGTTCCTTCCTGTTGTCACTCGCATTAGCCCAGGCCCAGATTTTTTTTTAAAACAAAAGATGGGCTCACCTCGAAACGTGCAATCAAATCACTTGCCGGCAATGCCAAACCTCCGGGACTCTGTACAAAGTCCACAGCTCCTCCACTGAACCATGGTCGATTGAGGGTAGCTAGAAAACTCTTCTTGGCAATGAGCGCGCCCACGCCAGTCGGATAGCCGAACATCTTGTAAAAGCTGACAGCCATCGCATCGACGTGGCCAAGAGAGCTAAGAGAGATACGAGTGGACGAAGCCAGAGCAGCGGCATCGAGAAGCGTCGCCCAACCAGCTTGTTTCGCGGCGGCCAGGATTGACAGGGGAGGACGGATGCCAGTGACGTTCGATTGGCCAGTGACCACAAACAGCGAGGGACCGTGATCTGCGTTTGATTGATGCAAAACGTCCTAAATAAAATCAATTGACGGTTTCTTTAGTTGACATCCTCAACGTACCAGCGCTTCACGCTCCCTAAAGCCGCCGTGAGTGCCAGCAGAGAGATAGGTGACTACCGATCCGGCGCGTTCAGCAAATCGTCGGATGCCGTTGACACTATTATGGCAGTCGACCGGGAGAACAAGTCGTCCGGTAGGATCAAACGGAAAGCTCTCTCCAACAAGCTTGAGAGCCGCCGTGGCATTCGAGGTGAAGATGCAGACGTATTCCTCTGATGGTGCATCGAAAAAGTCGAGGACAGCGCGTCTTGCCGCAGCAATATGGTGGTCTGACCTTAGTGCACTGAATCACGGTGAGCAGAAAAGAATACGCAAAACTCTCCAGCGACTCACCATGGGCTGTCAGAGTGTGTGTTTCCAAAAAGACCAGCTTGTAGAATCGTCGAATGAGTAGCAACAAGGTGCTCTGGCCATAATGCACCACCCATATAGTCGACGTAAATCTCGTTGGCTTTCCCGAGGCGGCGAAACTCCTTCTTGCGCATTTGATCCAAGTTTTCCGTCTGAGCATACTGGGTGTAGGTCGTGACAAAGGTGGCATAGTCGTGTTTGCGTTGCTTTTCCATGCTGGAGAGAGTGTGGGGGTGTTGGAAGAAGAAGCTCGAGTCGCCCTCTCTTAAATGCGCCGAGAGAACCTTGAGGAGTTGGTCCTGTCCCATTATGGCACTTTTAGCAGTGCAGCACGTTCTATTGAGGCAGGCCCTGACAAGGCAGGCGCGAAAACGTCGCCGTCGGGGTGTCCCTTGATGCCGGCCGTGACCTAAACTCATGAATATCATATCGACCGGAGCTTGCTTCTTCACGGGTCCATCCGGATTTCCACCCATCGTCCTGAACAATTCGTTGTCTTTAGGGCAGCTCCGTCGTGGCAAAGCTCATCGTCGCAGCGGTTCTAAATTAGGCTCCCATAATTTGCACTCTGCAACAGCCTCTTCAGTATTCACTATCAACGTCTGCTTCGGTGCCGTTTGTTATTTTCAACTCCATCCACCTGCCGGGGACTCCGTCTAAATTCCAATCAGTTGCAGAGTCAAGGTATGAGTGAGAGAATTGGTATAACAAAAAAAAACCCCCTACCATGGGAGATGCCAAAGGCACGAGCTGCCGAGCGAGTGGTATTGTTGGCGCTGACCCCGTGACGACATCCACTGAGCAGGGAGTGTAATTCTCGGGTATTACTGATCTATATAAGAGACAATATTGGGCTTTGAATGACCTCGAACGCTGAATTGTGGAGCGTAGACATGGCTGTAGAGTCTCGGTGCGTCGGCACAGACGACCACTGCTACAGTTCACCATTTTGCAGGGAGAAAACGCCAGACCCAACTGGAAAAGAAATAGCATACGAGAGGCATCCCATTCTAGACGTACCAGAGGACATTCTCCGTCTCATCTTCGAGCATCTGTGCGCTGGGTCTGGGAACCACCGCAATAAGCTCGCTTACGGAATAGGACTCGTAAACAAGCAGTGGAGAGACGCCTCGAGACGTACACCTAATATATGGCGCTGCCTGGATATCGATATAGCCTACAGCGTCTCGGCTCTTGCAGCTCAGTACAAATATATTACCTCCATTCGCCCAGATCCTGATGTAATTCGCATTTACCGGAGTAGAGGTGACGATACCTCTTGGAATCACCTTGGGGACATTCTCCGCGAATGTCGTATCTCTGAACTCAAGTTCATCGACCATCTCAGCATCTACATATACAAACCTTATCTTGTCAGTACTATCCTCGACAACCTTCCCCTCTTAAAGGAACCGCGGATTCGCGAGCTCAGCCTGTCTGTACAATCCAAGCGCAGGGGATCGAGGGAACGCATACCATGGGATGCGACGCGGCTCCCGCTTCTCATTCCAGGTGCAAAAAAATTATATATGTCGCATCACTACGGCGTACAATTCTTTACCCAGAATTTTCAACAAATATCATCCATCACTTTCCTCGACATTTACCGCTGCAAAGCGGTCCACTTTCTCCCTCGAATCGGAATGTTCACAAATCTCAAAAAGCTCTGGGTTCGCTCAGTCGAATGCTCTCTTCCGCCACTGCCCTTCACGCCTCAATTCGAATACGCCGCGCCATACCAAATGGTCGACTTGCCAGCACTAGAGACACTATGCATCGCGCAAACACCGAATTTTCCTTGGGACTATCTCTCGTGCCCGTCCCTTTGGTCTGTAGTAGGCGACGAAGACGTTTCGCAGGCAATGATCCGCTTTCTTCAACGACATCCCAGAATTCTTGAGCTAGACGTTTGCGTCGATTCCCATTTATTCGAGTTGTTTACTCTATCTTGCCCACAACTCGAGACTCTGGATATACGTGGCCATATCGAGGGTCTCGTCGGCTGGCAGAAGAACAAACTAGGTGAATGGGACAAGGACAGTCCCGGAATAGGCGCAACGTCGTTGCCAAATCTGAAGAAGCTCATTCTTGACCGCGTGGATAAAGAGCTGACGCTAGAGCTACTGGAGGCTATCGTCGAAAATTGGTGTCACCCACGAAGTCCCGCTTCGAGTACCGCAGAGGTCCAGCATCGTTCTCGCAATAGGTTTGTTCCATGTCTTGGTATCCTTGGAGAGACCAAAGATTTATACTCACCGCCATGGATGGAGAGTACACTTTTGAAAGGATGTGAGCGAAGCTCGAGGTATTTACCCCATCTAGGGCACCGTTGGACGTGTGTCGAATTTCGTTGGTCGACAGGATAATGGAACTACAGGGTGAGTGAGCCTATTAGGCGTTGCGACCAGATCCCAAAGGGACCATGGACGTTGGTATAACCCATCAAATATGTATTCTTCATCCAGAAATATACACGGAATCGTAATAGAGCAACTAATGAGACGTGTAATAGTCCATCTCCATGGCTTACGAGATGCATAAGGGTATAAGCCGTGCCAGCCTCCGCTCCCGTTCTGGTTCATCAAGAAGACCCTTGGCCCATTCAATCAGTCTACAAATGACATCGAAGTGATTCGCTAGACCGAGGCCAATCCTCACGACACCAAGGCTATCCATACCTCCGACAACCCCCCAAATCTCCTCCGTATCCAGCTGTGGGGCGTCACTGCCCTGTCGATGGGAGGATGTACGGTCGTTTGAATTGCTAGATATGGCGCTGACTTGCCGCATTCGTTGCTGTGCCTCCTGGGTCGCACACACATCCGGTTCATAGCGAGATTCCATGAGCTGCTGCCAGTTTGGAGATATGAGAGAGTGGGATCATTGTACCCGAGCTCGTATGGAATGTGCACGACAGCACGTAACCCTGGCCTTCCTCACCATGCACCCGGCTCTCCCCATCCGGAGTTTGGGAGGAAGCCATCAAAGGGGTCTGGATGAAATTTCCATGGGCAAAGGTAGCGAAGTGAGTGACGGGGATCGTGCATATCCGTGCCTCAATTCCGGTGTTAAGGGTGCGGTGTGCGACGATGTGGCTTTCCGGGCGAAGAGCCGCCTGAGAGATGCCTCGGAAGAGGATAGAGGAGACACGGATGCACCTCGAGGATAACTTGACTGAGGCTGCGCCTTCAGCATCCGCTTCTTGGTGTGGACACGGACGAGATGGGTGCCGGTTTTCTGGGTAAACGAGAGACTCGAGGCATGTGTGAATGTAGTGGTGAATGGCTGAAAGTCGTATGGAGAGTGACGGCATATACCTCTTCAGAAAGTCAAGGCCGGGCTCAATTGCCGAAAGACACGCATAGTTCAGTGCACCTTCCTATTTACAATCGCTTAAGTCCGACCTCTTTTTAAATTTATGCGGAATGAGCTCACCTCGAAGCGTGCAATCAAGTCACTCGCCGGCAATGCTAGTCCTCCGGGACTCTGTACAAAATCCACAGCTCTGCCACTAAACCATGGTCGATTGAGGGTATCTGGAAAGCTCTTTTTGGTAATGAGCGCGCCCACACCAGTCGGGTAGCCGAACATCTTGTAAAAGCTGACAGCCATTGCATCGACACGAGCGGGCGATCTAAGGGAAACGCGTGTGGACGCAGCCAGAGCAGCAGCGTCGAGAAGTGCGGCTTCTTTCACGGCGGCCAAGATTGACAGAGGAGGACGGATGCCAGTGATATTCGATTGGCCGGTGACCACAAATAGCGAAGGACCGTGGGTTTGATTTGAATATTGATGCAAAATGTCCTGGCTATAAGTGAATAGATGCTTTCCGCGTAGAATTCGTCGACGTACCAGCGCCTCACGCTCGTTGAATCCGCCGTGAGTTCCAGCCGACAGATATGTCACAGTGGCTCCAACTCGCTCAGCAAACCATCGTATACCGTTTACAATATTGTGACAGTCGACTGGGAGCACAAGTCACCCAGTAGACCTGAAAGGAAAGCTCTCTCCAACAAGTTTGAGGGCAGCCGTCGCGTTTCCTGTTAAGATACGGGCATACTCCGATGACGGTGCGTCTAAAAATTCAAGTATAGCGCGTCTCGCCTTGGCAATATGCTGATGTGATCTGAGTGCACTGGATAGTGGTTAGCAAAGGACAAACGACCATTTAGCCACCTACCAAGGACTGTCAGAGTGTGTTTCCGAATATACCAGCTTATGAGATCGTGGAATGGGCAGTGACAAGTTGCTCAGGCCATAATGCGTCACCCATGTCGTCTACGTAGATCTCGGTGGATGTATCGACTCGCTCCCTTTCTTGCGCATTCGGTCCAAATCGTCCGTTTGAGTGTATTGTGGGTATGTGCTTATAAACTTTGCAAAGTCTGATTTGCGTTGTTTCTCCATGGGGGTTGTGCATGGAAGGTTGGGGCGACGAAGCGAGTTCGAGTTAGTCCCTCCTAAATACGCCCGGTAGGACGATGAGCCACAGTGATCTAGTAGGGCTCCCGTTTTGAAACCTTGGGCGGTTATAGGCGATTCTTCGAATTCAGCTCTTGACCATGAGCCATGAAAGGCTCGTCTTCAGTGTGCTCCTGGATGCCTAATATGTTACTATGCGGTACAGATCGCATTGTTGTGAACTTCTTTCTTCACATGCCCGCCCGAGTCTGCCCGGTTGAGAATGGGACGACAAACTAGTTTCTGGGCGGTGTCAGTGCCAGGCGCAGAGTGATAATAACCGTCACTTACCAGCCCATTCGATACTTTCGTTCGCTTTCTGCAGCAATAATGACTATTTTTCCAGTGACCGTGACTCGGTCCTTATGTCGCCAACCGAATCCAGAAATAGCTCCTGGGAAGGGTTCAGATAGCACTGTACTGGGATAAGAGGGTTTATCAATGCAAACTTCGGTGGTCCAAGGCTTTCGCGCGCACTTGGGTGGTGATTGAGCTTGACGCTGACCTCTTGACGACGTTGAATTCGGAGACAGTGCAATTATTCAGACCCGAGAGCTCATTTAGAGAAGAGAGCAAACGTTAGGTATTATTATTGCCCATGGCCGTTGAGTCTCAGTGCGTCGCCACGGTTCACCTCGTCTGCGGCTAACCATCAGCAGTGAGTCAGCAGCTGTATCTGCATTCGAAGAGGTTTCTTACGAGAATCATCCAATTCTACGGGTACCAGATGACATTTTGTGTCTCATTTTTGAGCAACTCTGCCCCGGATCCAGTCATCATCGCAACAAACTCGCCTATGACCTCGGATGTGTGAATAAGAGGTGGAGAGACGTTTCGAGGCGCACACCCAACATATGGCGCTGCCTGGACATTGACATATCATACAGTGTCTCGGTTCTTGCCGCCCAGTATAGATATATAACGTCGGTCCGCCCAGATCCAGACAATATCCGCATCTATCGTAGTAGAGGGGACGATTTCGCTTGGAATCACCTTCGCGAAATCTTTCGCGAGTGTCGCATCTCTCAGCTGAAAGTCATTGAACATCTCAGCATCTACATCTACAAGCCATATCTCGCGAATACACTACTGGAAAATCTGCCTTTCTTGGAGGGACCACGTATTCGCGAGCTTTATCTCTCCACCCAGTCTAAGCGCGAAGAGTCGGACCAGCGCGCGCCATGGGATGCTGCACGTAGCGCGATTCTTATTCCAGGTGCAGAGAAGCTGTATCTCTCGCATCAATTCGACGTCCAGTTCTTTTCTTCGCACTCTCCGCCAGTCTCCTCTATCACGTTCCTCGACGTCTACGACTGCAAAGATGTTCAGTTCCTTCCTGGACTCGCCATGTTCACCAATCTCAAGAAGCTCAGGGTGCGATGGGTCGAATGTCCTTCACCACCAGCCGCATCAGACCGCTCGATGATCAACCTTCCATCCTTAGAGCTACTACATATCGCTCGCTCGCCCAATTTCCCCTGGGACCATCTCTCCTGCCCATCCCTCCGACGCATCCTTGGCGACGAAGATGTGTCGTTGCCAATGATTCGCTTCCTTGGCCGACATCCCGAAATCCTCGAGCTCGACGTTTGTGTCGATCCCATTCTATTCGAACCGTTTAATTTGTCCTGTCCCCAGCTCGAAGTCCTCGATCTCCGCGGTCATCTCGAAGGACTGGTCGGCTGGCACAAAAACGATCTCAGCGAATGGGACAAGAACGACCTGGGAGGGGGCACAATGCTATTTCCAAAGCTCAAGAAACTAATTCTCGATCGCGTAGACGAAGAGTTGAGTATAGAACTACTCGACGCCATTCTCGCCGCTTGGTTTTACCCACAAAGCCCAACTTCAGAGAGGACACCCATTCACTATCGGGATAGGCCTATTGAATGTCTTGGTATCCTTGGAGAGACAAAGGATCTACTGTCACCATCGTGGATGAAGAGTAGGCTTCTGAAGGGATGTGAACAAAAGTCAACATATTTACCTCATTTAGGAGAGCACTGGACGTGCGTAGAATTCCGTTGGTCTATCCACTAATTTCTATTTCTTCCATCGACGGATTTATGGGATTTCTCTTACATCCCTCCACCAAGAGTGGACCAGGAACGGTTCTTTTAGCGTATTGAATATATATCTTTCGACAAGAAGTATAAGAAGTGGGTGTGCTCAATTGTCTAGAATGTCCTTTTACGAGTCGGAGGCCCGATCAAGCGATGACGCCCAGGTGTATCTGTAGTAGACCAATTCTTCCTCAGTTTTGGGGTCGAACTTTCTTTCAACGCTACTTGTCTCTGCCAGCGTCAAAAGCTCACAATCTTTCCATGTTCCCAAACGAGCCTCCTCTTCCATCACAAGTGTTGTTTGCTTCAACGGTGCCAGGTCCTTCCTTCCTGGACAGTTGACACGTTTAGGACGTCCAATGGCGAGGCAACGGCGCTCGATGAGGAGTTGAGCGGCCTCTGCATCCAGTCCCCATCGAGAGCCCTTGATGATCAAAGTCTGTAGACGACTGAAAATTGGTATGGTGGCGGTGTTCTCGTCCCATTCATAGAGCTGTGATACTTGGGCTGATCCGTAGATGCGTAGCATGGGAAGGCTTGGGAGAATCTCCGAGATGGACAAGAGAGGAATGTCGGATGCGATGGAAAGGCTGGTAATTTGTGGGTGCTGGACTAGATTGGACGAGTTCAAGGCGGCTCGACGCCAAGCAGCGCAAACCTGCGAGAGTTTACTTGCTACGACAATAGAATCCATAGGATCAGCACACACGGCATGAGTGAAGATGTAACTGAGGATTTCAGGAGGGAAACGACGAAGGGGGCTCAGAATTCCTCTGAGTTCGCAAGATCGAGAGGACAGAAGCGACTTCTGCTTTTTTATGTTGGAAATGTAGGTCTTAGTCGCGTGCAACTCCGAGTTGGCGGCTTCAAACTGAGTGACTGCAGCTGAATGGCGAGCGAGAATCTCGGCTCTCGTCCTCTCTGCAATATTGAGCTCGTGATTGAGGTGATGAATGAGGCTGTCGTTTTGGCGGATGACGGCACGAAGCGTCTGGGCCTCCGTTGAGTTAGCAAAGCGATTGCGTTTGACGTTCGAATCGATGGGCTTATACCTAGTGCACATAAGAAGCGAATTAGGAAGATTCCAGTGAGAACTTACGCAGAGGGGGGTCAGGCGGCGACTTTCGTTACAGTCGCCACATTTGCCGGCGCTGGTGGGTTTTCAGCTGCTTTAGACTGTGATGTGGCATTCTAAGAGCTCATTTTAGAGAGCTCCTGTGATTCTAGAGCAGCTCGACTGCGACTACGCAAGATGAAGTCGGCTCCAAGTTTGGTCGACATGCAACCGACCCTTGGCAGTGGTTGGGGTGTTAGAGATGAAGTAATGCAGTTTATTTGATTCATAAGTGCACTAGTCTATTGACGTGTCACAACCCTGGACTCTCCAAAAAAGCGCAAGGATGGGAGAATACTTCCTGTATCACGGACGCGGTACATACAGATCGACTAAACGCGTGACCGATTGCACCGTATTACATTTTGAGTGTGCATTTTGACAAGTAAATGAAAGGGGATTACGTTCCGAGACATGATTCGTTTCCTTCTCTATTGACCTCCTAAATCTCCTCCGAGTCGTAATAGTCATTGAAAAATACAGTGCGAGCATCCCAGCAAATGCGTGGACACGCGTCTCCAAGGGCGACCATGGCTTCGAGGAATCTTTTTCTTCGCCCCTCGCCAGCCATATCCCATTCATCTCCATCCAAGTGTAATCTGGAAACATTCCAAAGCCCATTCCGACTGTGAAAGAGGTCCTTAAGAAGTTTGGCCAGATCCGTGATCGCCACCGGCTCTATCTCAGCAGAGCCACGACTCCCACTGTCGTCCGAGCCTCCAACGTCTTCGACAAGACCGCATACCTCGAGGACATGGAGCGAGGGGAGCGAGACGAGTGCCGCGTCGACGTTCTGTGCGGACATGATGGAGATGTACGCCGGTGACACCCTCCGTATCCTGAGCACCTCAAGACGGAATAACGAGGAGATAAAAGCCGTATACGCACTCGGGCGTCCAAGTGACATTCCAGCGAGTTCGGCTATATCAAACAACTGGAGGGTCGTTACGTGTTGGAAGGACTGAGTCTGTTGATGACGTTCGGAGATGGCCGACCACACTCCTTCAATGTCAGGTTCTGCAATTGTCGAGAGGCCAAACTCGCGAACATTAGGGCACCGTAGGAGGGAAAGAATGTACCGCATGTACGCCGCATCCATCCCGCCGAGTGCGAGTTTTTCGAGGTGGACTAGATTGGCGACGGGAGAGTTGGGTGTTTGTGGCTCGAATGCCGGGCCAGTATGGCGAAGTGTGAGCGCCTTGAGTTGCGCGACTGACGCGACGATGCTCATGAATAGTCCTGGATGTATGACTTTATGTCCAGTGAGATCAAGCTCGCTGATGTTCCGTATATCAAACGAAGCATGGTCAATGGACGCATAGTGTACCGCGAGGGAGGATAGACTAGGATAATGTCCCCCAAAGAAGGGGGCAGAATGCCGGCTGGGACCGAATGTATCTTTGATTGACAACGGTTCCATGTCGACAATGTAGCCCGCGACGAGCTTGAACTCGCGTAGGATAGGGCCAGGTGTACTGGCGATATAGGTATATATACTGTCGACGACTTTGATCCTATCGACGATAAACGTCAGCTTTTGCACTTGTGACATACGGGGGACGATATATCCCCCGACGAGGGTCTCCATCATCGCCGGCGTACACCAGTGCGACTCTGGATCGTCGGAGCGAAGATCGAGATAAAAATGAAGGGGAGTGTTGCGTGCATGTCGGAGTAGTCGATCTATCATGGCGAAATTGGGAAATGGTCCCGCCACTGGGATGAAGGACCAGAGGGTGGGCTCGGATGAGACTATTGCGCGCAAACGTTTGCATATGAGCATGACAAGTGTTCTTTGATGTTGAATACTGCCGACGTAGGTGTATTCATAAAGGGAGAGTACGTTCCTACATATATTGGTGACGATTTCTGTCGGGAGATGGAGTATTGTGGATCGATTTCGGTATTGTGGGATGCAGATTTGATTCATGTATTTGCATGAGATAGCTTTGAGGCGTGCCGAAGTCGGTAAGAGAATATCCTGGCCAGGACGAACTTGTAACATGACCTGAGTGGCGGTAATCAGCGCACTACTCAAATATTTGGCAGCGTAAATGAGTTACCATATAAAAGAGCTTATCACGTGGGAAGGGTGTAGCCAAAGCAGCGCAGTGTATGGTACAGAGGTGAAGAAAAGGAAAGGAGGGAAGAAATTGTGCTGCTGAAGCGTTTCTCCGGATTTCAATCGTTATATACGCTCAGAATCATATGGTCAAGTGGCGACTCTTTGTGAATGGCGTCAATCCATCGTTGGTCCAGGTTGAAGCCAGATGGGCTTTGTCCCTTGTCAGTGGCGAGGTCGTCCACTGTCTGGCAACGCGTACCTGATGCTGTGTAAATGTCTAACTCCCTATTCCGCCACGGTTTTTTGATCCCAAAGAGGATTATTCCTCGATTACCGCCTTAGCCAGCTCAAGAATCTTGTCAATTTCCGAGTGCAAATCTATACCAGATCAACATTAGTTCCACAATCTGCCGAAATATCGTCTCACCGAGCAACTCTGAAAGAGGAAACGTCGTCTCGCGTTGCCCTCTCCTGAGGCGTATTCGGACAAAGATGATGGAGATTTGCGGCCCAAATCAGATATATCGACCTTTTTCGGCATTTTCCTTCGATGTGAACCCTGCCTGTGCACTGAGCCACGTCCAGAGGCTCGTTTGGAGAACAATGCCTTGACATTGTTCACAAATAAGGCCGTAGAGCCGACAGGAAAGGTTGAAGAAGGATTTGAAATACTTTAGAACAAGTTTGATGTACATTTCAAGTGTGCAGGGCGATACAAGCTTGAGCCAGTCGACGTGGAGGAGAGGACAATGGCACCACTCTTGATCCTCTCAGCCAGCTAGGGGGATAATTCGTAGGATACATCACAAAGATACAAGAACAGGGTCCAAATATAACCAACTAAGTTGTCCCCAGCTTTCGTTTTCGCTCCGCCTCTCTCTTTTGCTTGACGAGTGCAAGTCGCGCTTTCAACGAGCGTACCCGCTCATCCGCATCCTCTTGCGCGCGCTCCTCCTCCATAATACGATCCATGATCAACTCCCTCTCCTCTCTCTCCTTGCGTTCCCTCGCTTGTTCGGGCGTCTCGTCCTCGGGAGGCAGCTCTGTGATGACTTCCCCATCAATCACTGCACCTACTCGTCCGCCCGAGGGTCCAACACTCGGAATCGCCTGTGTATTCGCACCGTTGCCTTGTCGTAGATGTGATGGGAAACCGTCGTCTGCGGTCGAGGTGATGACCTCTTCAGCAGCAACTGTTGCACGGTCGTAAATATCCTTTCTCGACATTACTTGCTCTGAAGCCGTCGGTCTAGCCAACACTTCGCGTTCAAACTGTGCCCACTCCATGTCCAGTTGTGAAGGTTGTGTCTTCTTAGCGGCAGGAGTAGAAGCTGGCTCTCCTCCGTCGTCGCCTTCGTCGTCGCTATCTCGCGTCGGTAGAGTACGTTTCGGGTCTGAGAAGAAATTGCTCGCAGCAAATTCAGACGACGGTCTCTGTTCCTCTTCAGTCTTTTGTCGTTTCGATCCATGCGCCTTTGCGTCCTAGCCATAAGATTAGGATACGTCCGCGCATCGTGACCATCTTTTCACTCACCAGATGTCCATTTTGTACCTCGTCCTCTTCATCTTCTGGCTCATCGTCATCATGTGCTACAAGTGCCTTTCGCTTTCCCTTTTCCAATCGCATCTTTTCGCTTTCTCGCTCTTGTGCTTCTTTTAATCGACCAGCATTTGTCCTATGTGATTTACTTCCAAGATGTCCTGCCCACGCTGTCTCGTTGTCTTTGACGACAATGGCACAGAGCGTACATCGGAGTTGTCCAGACGCGTTGTACGCGGCGAATGGGTGAGTGATGCGTTTTGAGCGTTCCTATCATTGAGATAACCCATGTAGGTTCATCAGAAGACGCGTAGTATGGAGAGAAAATGTCAACAAACGGCGGCTTAAGCCATAAACTAGTGACTGACCTGAGCTTTAGCCTTCAAGAGAGCTCTAACGTCTGTAGACATTTTGATATACGCCGATAAGACAGTTTGACGATGCGGCTCTCAATCTCCAGTGATGTGGTCGGGTCGAAATTACATTCGCCACTGGTGACATTGCAAAGTTTACCAAATATGCCGTGGATTGAAACACCCTTACTCTGGTGCATATAGCCAGACGAGTTGCTGTAAGCCGCACCCCACAGCAAGATAGATTTGTTCAACAAGAATAGGTTGGGGACAAAGTGCAATAATCAAACAGAACAAATAGATAATTAGAGCCGTGCTATAGGAATGAGACCGAGAAGGCCAAACGAGAGAATATACAAGCCGCTAGCTACAAATAACCCGTCAGGGAGCGTCATTTCTGAGAGTAGTTCATGTACGTACCCCCAAGGAAGCTGAGCAAGAAGCCTAGCGACGAGGCATACAGGGCAAACACGAGAAACGTCCAGCCAGAAAATATGGTGACTGTCAATATCTAAAACACGAGTATGATTAGATAGCAATGATTAGATGGCGAATAAGGCGTACTGGGATGACTATTCGCAGCTGCTCCGAGTTTCTCCATTGAGAGTACTTTGGAGGGTCAGCAACAGCAGTCTGATAGTGATAAAGCATACCTCTAGTCTCCTCCCACTCAGTTTTGGTAATAGCAATAGGTATAGGAAAAGTAGAATCGTCAGGGAGCCGAGCCCGACACTCGCAACTGCACTCATTCTTCAAATGCATCATTAGCACACGTATAATAAGGCACCAAACAGTTTAAAGGTACATACCTACTCCATGTCCACCCCTCGCCGTCTTCCAGCGTATCGCCCGATGATGGTGGTCTGACGAGGTTTCGCAAGAGTGCGACGACATCAGTATAGTAGCTAAGAGCACCTCCGAGCGCTATCCACCGCAGTTGTTTTGAATTGTGCTTCAACGGCCGACTCATTGCCCCGGTCCACCAAAAATGCTGTTAGCTGGCGAGTCTTTTGTATGTGTTTGTTGGGATTCGTCCAGCAAACTGGTCTAGATTATGATAACGGACGTTGCTGCTGGCAATGCTACGTCGACGTCGGGTCCAAGCTGTTAAGTCTCCCACATGTTTTCGACTCGGCCCACCGGCTCAGCCAGCGAATGCACTAAGACGACGCAAATCATCTCCGATAGATTCTCAACATTATGACCAACAAGTGCTGATACCAAAGATGGACGCATTCCCGGCTTGGCCTCGACCACAAGATTGACTAATTTCGAGGATATAAATACAGCTTTAACACGGAACCTACGTATTCATACGTCATCAGTACGCGTCTCATCTAGACTTGAAGTCGACGACTCTCACATTTCAACCACTTTCCAGTAACACTCGTGAGAGAGAAAGGATCTCTTATGGAGATTTAGTCAATGGCATCGAAATGTAGATTCAACAGCAGTTCTACGCTCAGCAAGTGCGGCGGGAGACATCTACATGTTCGACCTACCCGCCAAAAACTCATATTGTCCCCTCAATGCCGACATTTCACAGCTCCTTCAACTCTCTCATCTCCTGGAGAATCCAGCTGGGCGCGAAAACCCCCAGTGCCCTTCTTCACGAGCAACCAATCGCTGAGCGGGTCTTACACCACATACAAAGTCCAACATCTACGCTCCCAGACCCTTTCTCAGCACCGTCTGAACCACGGAGAGCGAGAATGGCCACCAAGCGTGTCCCTCGAACACTATAAACCCATCCCACCGCTCACACTCGGCACGACGCTCAAAGTGTATGCGCAACTGTCCAAGGCGCGGTTAACCGTACTCGTCGTTCTTACTGCAATGTCTGGCGTTGCACTCTCCCCTTTACCAGTCGGATTGCCTGTTCTCCTCGGAACAGCACTCGGCACGACGCTGTGCTCTGCCGCGGCGAATACATTCAACCAGATATCAGAGGTGCCGTTTGATGCCCAAATGGCTCGTACACGCAATAGACCACTAGTACGAAAAGCCATCTCGCCGTTCCATGCCGCATGTTTCGGTGCCGCTACTGGCATCGCTGGTCCAGCGATCCTATTAGCCTATGCGGGACCAGTGACGGCAGCACTAGGGCTAGGGAATATCTTCTCTACTCTGGACTCTACACCGCGCTCAAGCGGCGGAGTGTAGCGAATACTTGGGTAGGGGGCATCGTGGGTGCTATTCCACCACTCATGGGATGGTCTGCTTGCGGAGGTTCATTACTCCCGACGACATCGACACCCATCTCCCTCTATCTCCCCTCATTCCTCTCCTCAACGGATCTCTACGCCTCACTAGCGACGCAACTCCCGACAATTACCGACGGCCTAGTGACACTCACACCAACATTCGACAACCCACTCGCCCCACTCACCCTCTTTCTCCTCCACTACGCCTGGCAATTCCCACACTTTAACCCACTGTCACATCTCGTGCGAACATCATACGCACAAGCAGGCTATGCGATGCTCACCATACTCGACCCAAAGAAAAACGCACTCGTCTCGCTCCGCCATGCAATCTTCCTCGTCTTTCTCTCCTCTTTCCTCGTTCCGCTTTCTGGGCTGACAAATTGGGCGTTTGCGCTCACAAGCTTGGTCCCCAACGCCGTTCTCGTCCATTGGAGTTGGAAGTTTTATCGATTTGGAGGAGAAAAGATTGCTCGGACACTCTTTGCGCACTCGCTGTGGTACTTGCCCGTCATGCTTGGACTGATGATGTTCCATAAGCGAGGTATGGAGTGGCTCGAGTGGTTAGGTCTTCAAAGTTCAGAAGAGACAGAGGTAAAACCTGTAGAGTCATCCTGATATTCATCACCATTCTCACCCGATACTGTTCTACGCGCTTGGTACGCGCCCGATAGGCAAACATTGAGCGTAAGGTGAAGACATGATGGATGCTCAAAACCTGTTTTTTCTTTATTCCCAACGTACCACGTTCGATAAACTATCATGTCCTCGTGGGTTGGTGTGGGTCACCGACTTGGACCTTGCCCTCACCAAGTATTGCTGGCCCTACGACACTTATTCAGTCTACATGTGACACTAATCACATCTCAAAATATAGAAGCTGATTTATAGACGACAATAGGGTCCATGCGTCCCCTCCATGATTGACACTACACCGTTACGCACGGTGCAATCGCGCTGTCTAGGTTCTGGTAGGATAAAGAAGAATATTAAGATCTGGGCTCTATACATGTTCGTATTAAGTCCCGTGGAGAAAACCACGTCTCCAATCGGGCAACTATTAGTGACGGTATTAATGGTCATGGGAACAACGCCTGGTCAAAATCGCGGCTGAATCCTGCAAACGATCTAGAAACTACTATGAGCAGATCTTCATCGCTCTTGAACCTACATACCCGGTCGACGGATCCCACGTTGGCTGCATGACTGGATGCGTCAGTGTTGAGACGTCCATCGTAAGCAACAAGGACATACATTCCATAGGGATATTACTGTCACTTGCTGTAGACCTTTGCCAATGACTGTGACCATCTTGCCCAGGTCTCCCGTGCGGCGAGTTGTCATCATTATTTGCGAGTGTATCTGTCTTGACGAGTTGATTGAGAAGTTTATAAGCATACTAATCCTCCTTCGACCCGAGGCGACATACAGTGCGAGCCCTTGATGTTTGACGACATTGTATTATTTACTTGGACACGGTGAGGGAAAGGATGTGCTAAACACAAGCTGGATCCTCGTGTACGATATATATACCTGTAGCCTACGAGTACGGACCGTTATCCTTCTGATGAGCCCCGCGACGGCAACGCGGAGAATATGAAGAGTCCGCAGCCTCGTCGTCGGGTAGTTTGCCTTAATATAAACTAAGGAAGTGCATCTCCTTCATGTCTTGGCGTCACCATAATGTCATTTCCTTTGGGGTCACCATGTGGAGCACAGGGACAAATTCGATGCTTGTAGTCGATCTTTTCTGCCGAGATTGCCGCACCCATTGCCACACCCATTGCCGCCGAGGATTACGTGTACAAAGCACGCTGAAAAGTTTCGGGGTTTCAACCATTGGCGTACGGCACGAATCGGAGATCAAAGCACTTGGCCTCGTCTTAGGCGGCGACTGGTTGATGACCATGAGGAAGACGCCTATTCATCATTATCCGACGCAGCACTCACGAGGAACGTGTACGGACGTTCGAGGCGCCCATTCCATTCGGCAATAGACAAAGCTCTTGACTCGAGGTCGGAGAGCAACTGCGAGCAGAAGGACTCCTGGGACCTCGAGTTGTCCATCCTCTTGCCCGAGGCGAAAAGCTCATCAAAGTCGTTTTCTCCAATGCTCTGATTTCTATCTCGACATTCAGTGAACTTGGGGAATGACGTCGGGGATCCCTGCTTACCATTTTATTAGACCGTTTACGCTATTTTACACCTTTTCTCTTATGTCCACGCGTTGAAGATGCGGGTGAGCGGTCATAAACTCGTTCAGAAACCGCGTTAGGAGGTCGAGTTTGAGGTGCCGAAGAGATGGAAAGTCGCCACGTAGAGCTGGGTTGCCATTTGGACGCCATCCGACGTACTCGATAAAAGGAAGGTGCATCTTGATGATGCCGTCGTGCGAGGGAGGCGCGATGTTATCCCTCTCTATCTGAGCAATCTCTTGAATCCGCACTTCTAGAACACGAAGATTTGGTACGATGGCTAGGACCTTGGAGAGAGGAAATGGGCCAACCGGTTCCTCCACAACCAAGATGGTGAGTGAATCCCAGCGCCTCGCTGGTCGATTTGCATATCGCTGACAATATGGCGACGATGTAGTCTCTCAAGATTGAGCCGAGTGAAAATGTCATCTTATGAGCACTTCCAGGTCGTGTGCGGATGTCGAGCCTGGGTATACGTATTGATATCTCCACCATCAAGCTTGAGTGACCCTGGTTTGCTTCCCAGATTCTCGAAAAATGCGAGCACTTCACTGTGAGTAATATCACAGTCGTTAAGGAGGTGGATGGACAAAGCGCTTAGGTTTGTCGTCGGATGAACTTTGATAGAGTGAATAGGATGCTTCCCAGGGTGATACTTATCCCATTTGCCTCCTGTGAATCCCACATCGTCAAGCCGGAGGGTGATGGCAGCACCCTGGAGCCGTGGAATCACATCTTCACAGATGTGAGCAATGAGGCCACCGCTACTAAGAATAGAAAAAGTGATGTCGGGCCACAAAGAGGTGCTGTGATTGACGATGTACCGCCAGTGAGAAGAGACGTGCGAGAGCATCAGTAGGGCTCGAATTTGCGAATTCTTCTCCTTTCTTGGGACATTCGTGTCGATAGCAAACTGGAAAATTTCCGATACGATTTCTAATGGAAGCTCCGAGGCTGGATCGTGCAGACTTGGGACATCTGGAGGGTATCGAGTCAGCGAAACTCAAGCGGTATGTTGTACAAGCATGCTTCTTCATCTTGAATCTATACGCGACAGGTCGGTTCTGGCGAGTTTAGGTAATCAGATATTGTAGCAGCAGCCAACCTTCAGTATCAGTGATTTCACTCGAGAACAAGGATGCAGATAGATGATGAACAAGTAGATAAACACCTATGATATTTCACTTCATGCGATCCAGTTACCGTTGTTTACAGGTTCACCCGCACGAGTGCCTGCACAGCGCGTATCTCGATCCCTCGTCGCCATACTCAGGCGTTTGTTTGAGTATTCCGATAAGGCTTTGCATCACCCCAGCGGTCACTCGTGATTCCGGCGCTCCCCGGATGCCTTGCTCCAGCTTCGAGCTGCTTCTGATACGAGATCGCTCGCAGGCGTTCAGTTTCGTTCGGAGTCAGGTTCAACTACGTGGCGGTTAGTCGTGAGAGCAGAAGCCGTACTACTGTACACGTACGTAGACCTCCAAGAGGAAGATGTGAATGAGCAGAGCTGCCCAGGCGGAGTTGCCGAAACCACTTCGAAGAGCAGAGGCCACTCCTTGAGGATCATCCTTCATGTTGGCGGGAACAAGGACGGAGCGAGAGGTCGACCCATCTGTACACTGGGAATAACCCGCATGTGCAAGTTGGGTCGTGTTACCCTTGAAAGTATAAAGCAGTTCTTCGCAGTTCCATGGCTATCGGAGCTTCAGAGATACTTTCTGTGAGTGACATTTCATACCATGAAGAAGCCGCCAATGGCAGTCACGATGAGCGCCGAGATGATCATAATGATTCTCATCGTTACGATGGACGACATGTAGACAACTGACCCTGAGCGGGGGGTTAGTGTCGAGTGAGCATTCAACATTGACCACTCACGCAGCATCCACTTGCGGTGCTGTTCTATCTGGAGGCGCTTGATATTGTAGTAACCCATACCTGCTGAAAACAAGGTGACCAACGCGAGGGCATAAATTCCTCCCGCAGAGGAGACGTCACCACCAAATGCGTGGCGAGACATCATCAAGCCACCGATAACTCCAAGCAGTATGAGTGTCAAGACGGTGTATCCGTTGATCCGATGGAACAGGAGGTATTTCTACTCGGAGTCAACATCTGTCGACGTTCGCATCATTCGATTATCATCACACCTTTCTAATCCCAGGGACAAATTGCAGGACCGAAAGAACGCCGCACGCTAAGAAGGATGAGGACCCGGCTGAGGTGTACTCAACTACCTACGCAAGATGGTCCCTAGATGAAGCAACATGCCAACTATGGTGTATTAGCCAGATAGAAGGATAGCAGAGAGACATCCTTTACCCTTCCTCGAACCTCCACGGAACCAATAGAGCTCTCCTACCTTCCCAATGAGCAAGCTGAGGATACATGCTCGTCACGTACCTGGCGCAAAGGCACCATTGTAGTATCTGTGGGGGGCTAAGGATCTGAAATTAGCGAGCGAGAACCCCATCAGTGCGCCGCCCAGGATAAAAACTGTATAATTCCGGTGAGTGAAGCAGAGATGAACGCTGAGAAGACATACAGAAGAAAAAGCTTAGGGGCCTTCTGAATCCAAGTCGACGGCTGAGGGAACTCCATAGTCGAACCAGAATGTTCGACGAGGCAGTTGGCTCTGAGCTCGCCGAGGTCGTTGTCGCATCGACCTTGTGAGGGCCTTGCTCCGACATGATTGAGGAGACAGCCTGTATGATTATGCAGGTCAATAGTATAAATAGTCATCTGGCTGGCCCAACGAGGAGGCTGCACCATATCACGAAGGACGCCTCTCGTGCTGTTTGACTGTTCCAAAGCGAGCAGTCTCTTCGTGGTTCCGGTCTATAAACTTATTTTATGTTTGAATTGAGGCAGGAGTCGGCATCGCCCAAACGCCTGAAGCTGTTTGAGAGCCCCCCTGCAGAGGTGCTGTCCGATCGTGTGCACATGACACAGACTATATTCGCAACAGATGAGAGACGATGAAATTACTACGTCTTGACTTCGCCTGTGTGCCTATCCAGATATTTATGGCCATACTCGAGGAGCCTAGGGAAGTCAAGCAGTGGTCAGAGCCTATCAGTGTACTTACCAATCCGGCTCTATCTCTGTCAGTACTCGGATCCTAGGAATGTCAGTCTACATCGAGGGAGGGTGTTCGCACTCACTGTGTCTTCTTGGTCTCCTCCATCTCATGGAAAACCACCCATCCAGAACGCGGTTTACGTGTGAACATGACCGAGTTGGGATGCACATGTAAAGTCTAGACCTCATGTTGAACTTGCCGAGCGATGCACAAAATACAGGGAACTCACGACATTGCCTCGGACGCTTCGGTACGTCCCGTCTGCCACCCACTTTGCGCCGTTCCTCCACATCCCACTCACTAAACACCGCCGAAGCCGCGTTGCGTCCCCTTCGCAGCTTTCGGTTGGGAGGCCAAACCGAGTCATATACTTCTTGAGCTGAGCTCGGATTGAAACGGCGCGAGACATGGCTCTGAAGGAGAGTGCGTGTGTCTGACACCATTTAGATGACTTCCCATAACGAATGAATGCGTTATACGCTGAACTAGCGTCAGAGAGCAGACAATCAGAAGTGGCAGAGCTCACCATTCAGAAGAGTCAAATGGTCCTTCATTAAAACATGAGCTGATAGGCAGGAGGTTTGCACTGTGACTTACACCTTCCTCGGCTGTGAACTTTCGCCGTTCTAATTCCGCCATGGCTCCTGCGGCACCGTCTGGAATGACAAATACATCCTGGAAGAAGTCAATAGTGCACCTGGAAAGTGGTGCTACGGACTTGAACTGCGACCATAGCAGCGATGGTGAGAATCTCCTCCCCACACTTGAACTCTTTACTGCCCCAGAGCTGCCATCGTCATGAGTGTCAGTGAAGGGATGAAAGTTATGAATAGAGTAATATAACCATTCTGGCGACACCGATATCCACCGGTACTTCTGCCACTTTCGCGCCGACCTCCGTGAGCCGGGCATCATCCCGATTGAGCATTCCAGCGGCGACAAGCGTCTCCAGCGCTCTGAGAACGTTCTCCGCTGGGGGTGGCGAGACCCATTCAAACTTCATCAAGTCGTCGATGCCCAGGCCTTTGAGTTGAAGGATTGGTGTCGTTAGGTCGACTCTTGTCACCTCGGGCGCCGTGGATTTTGAAAGTTGAGATAACGAATCTACCGTATAAAGCCGATAGCATACACCAGGCGCTGTTCGACCCGCACGCCCTGCCCGTTGGACGGCTGAAGAGAAAGAGATGGGCTGGGTAACGAGTGAAGAAAGGGAGGTGACTGGATTATGAACGCGAATCTATGGAAAAATTAGCCGCGAATGATATGGCTTCCAGTACACTTGCCTTTACAAATCCGCAATCAATCACAAACTTGATCCCATCTATTGTGACGCTAGCTTCAGCGATGTTGGTGGAAATGACAACCTTCCGTGACCCCCTCTCGGACGTCTGGAATACTTGAAGTTGGTCTGATGTTGAAAGACCTGCATGGAGAGGAACGACATTGAGGCGAGGTGCGCTATTTGGAAGTCTGAAATGTGTGGTCAGTACTGAACCGTCATTAATCGCAGTATTACGTTGGTAGAAGCTCAGATATCTCGTAAAGGGCACGTTCAATCTCCTCGCGGCCAGTAAGAAAGACGAGAACGTCGCCGCTGCCATCTCTGTTTCCCTTCAAATGGAGATCCCAGACGGTTTGAACCGCTTTTCGTACATAATCCTCAGTGGGCTCACTGAGATATGCGATTTCGACCGGGTACATTCGGCCGGGAATGTTGAGCACAGTAGCTTCGAATGGTTGAGGCGGTGAGGAAGAAAAGTAATGAAGAAAAGTCGAAGCGTCGAGAGTGGCGGATGATATGATCAGTCGCAAGCTAGGTCGCTTTCGGCGGATCCTGCGGCTTATCAGACAAGACCAGGTGACATAAACACACGCACTTTTTGAGGACTCCTAGCAAGAGGTCTGTGTAGAGACTTCTTTCATGCGCCTCGTCGACCTTGTTATCATCAGCTCTCAGAGACGACTCTGGGGGGACGGTGCACACCATGATCACACTATATCGACTAAGTAGGGGATCCACCATTGTCCTGGTTACGCAGACATCAGGATCGTTTCCGAGTAAACGGAATAGCGCCCGACGCACTCACGAAAGAGCATGCCATCCGTCATATACTTGATACGCGTACGCTGCTTATCCGAGACATCCTCAAAGCGAATCGTATAGCCCACCTAGATTACGAATCAGTCTTGTACACAACCCGCAATCGATGCTCCACCTCGTCGCCCAAGATTGAACCGACCTCCTGAGCGACGCGGGTGGCGACGCTCGTAGCTGCAACACGACGAGGCTGGGTGCATGCAATGACATGTCCTTTCGCGGCCCAACCAGCCTCGAAAAGATACTGCGGTAGTTCTAGACGGAAACTCAGACATACTCATGTCTCTTATTCCGCACTCACGCGTCGTCTTTCCAGATCCAGTCTCTGCAACGACAATTGTGACTCCATATTTCTCTACTGTATATAGCAACTGCCGCTCTGCAAAAGATGAGACACGCGCAAAAACTTGGGGAAAATTGGCTCACTGTAGCGGAATATCGGCAGTCTCTCACGTTGTTCTTGCAGTCCCACGAATGCAGTCGAGACTGGCGCGGATTGTAAGAGCGCTCCTTCGGATTCAGTCGCTCTGTCCAACGAAGAACCTGGCGCGACGGTTCCAGGTTTCCAGAATTGCATGCTCATATCAAAGAAACGATACTCCTAGCCGAAACCAAGTCAAACAAATACACGCTAAGGCCTTTGTTCGTCTGTCGAAGTAGTGGTCGAGTTCAAGTCTGTACGGCAGCGTTTGAGGTGGGGGAATCATTTGCATTTCATTTGGGCATCAACGGAACGTATTAAACAGGTGATTTCCCAAGAGATACAGGCCCAAAGGGGATAGAGCTCGAATGGACAAAGGAGGGTGGCTGTAGATATGGAAATAGAGCGAGATGCTGAAGCGCTGAGAGGCAGGAAAGGGATCGAATCATGGAAACTTGGTGCGTATGCCGTGTCAGGTAGGATGCCGGCACACACCCACGAAAAGTTGGCAAGCGGCTGAATGGCGCGTCAGTGTCAGCAGGGGCCATCACAGGATCGGCATACGATATAGAGTGAAATGAATGTGGGGTCATGATGACTACTGATTCCAAGAAGCCAAGAAGTAAAGGATTGTGGGTGGTTGATCTCTAGGTCTTATGTTAGATTCTGTTTCGATAATGCAAGTCGCACTCACTCGTACAACCATAAAGTGATCTCGAAGAGCGCTAGGCGCTCGCCATTATGGCGTGAGCGATGGAGTCCCAATAACCCAAGAAAATGAGATGTGAGAGAGAGCGGCAAGGAGCGTGAAGTAGGTTGTATAGAGACACAGATTTGGAGTAGTGATAGAGGATAAGATGGACCAAAAAAATTATTGCAACAAAAATCAAGCATCAAGACGAATGAGATGGCAAAATGAAAGCTCTGGGCGGGTACAGTTAGATGGCTTGAACCGCAAAATGAGGCGTCGTAGGATGTAGATGAGCTGATAACGCATTGAAGGTCGTAATTTGGCACAGATTGATCCGAACGGACACGAAACGACAATAGATCATGCACTTGCAGCAAGTCAGCACACACTTCGCAGCGAACCGTTCAACCCACAGAGCATTGAGACACGACGAGTTGGCCGCAGGACCCGCGTGGATCCATCGTAAGAGAAGATACTGGACAAGGTTAGCCAGAAAACTTCTGAAGCGGGTCGTCACATACCAAAAGTAAACACGAGTCAGCAGATCAAATTGCGCGAAGAAGGATTCACGTTGTTAATATGGGCGCGGCTTTTCGCCCGGCCCAAGCATACTGATACTACGGGTCATGCGAGCACGACCAAAGCCGACAGAAGGTCCAGGTCCAGAGCGCAAGGTATCACGGCTAGGCGTCTGTCGTCGAATCTGAGCCGGTTGAGCAACACCCTCGTCCCCATTGCCAGAGGTAGCGTTCGTCGGAGACGATTCTTGGACAGTGTCAAGTTGCGTCGATGGAAGATCCGAGGGTCCATCAGGGAAGAGAACGCTAGAGATAGACGCTGTGCTGACGGCAGGGAAGCGCTGCGTTCCAACGCGTCGTAGTCGATTTGCGACTGCTGCCTCGTCCATTGGCTCTTGAGAGACTGGCTGCTTGAGCACGAGCTCGGGTCCAAGAAAGCTGGGCGTTCGCTTTTGCACCGTCCTACCAGCAGTACGTCCAACGGTAGCACTCATACCAACTTTAGTCGCAGAGGTGTCTGCTGCCGTTGATCTGGCCTTGGTGGTGCTTTCGCCCACCGCTCGACGAGCTCGGTTCTTCTCAACCGGCGACGCAGGACGCTGAGTTCCACGAGTGGAAACACCCCTCCCTTCCTTGGCAGTGGTCGGGTTGGAGGAGGCACCACCAGACCCAGCAGCAGCGGCACTCGCCATCCCAGAACGAACTCGCTGACGAACAGCCGCACGCGGTGTCTCCCCATCCTCTTGTTCGACTGGGGGAAGACTGGCGACAATCTTGGCCATATTGTTGAGAGGCGGAGGGCTAGCAGTGAGCCGAAGAGTTGGTAAAGGATTCGCTGGTCGTGGAGGAACTGGGGGTGAGTTGGTCTTGGCTCGGCCACCACCAGGTAACAAACGAGGGCTCTTCGCGCTTCGGCGCGGAGGAGTTCGAGAGGCAGAGAGTGCTGTCGCGCGTACGCGTCGGGGAGGAGTCCGCGCAACTCGACGGCCTGTATCTGAGAGCGCTCGAGAGGCGGGTCGAGGCGTCTCGGGGGTATGATCTTGGTGGCCATTCTATACCGGCGTTAGAACTTGTCTAGGGGACTCACGAGTCCACATACCTGAGTACTGAGAACATGACTCCGAAGCAATCTCGGTGGAGTAGTGAGCTCATCCGTCTTGACTCGCTTGCGACGGGGCTCTCCTTCTCTCCTCTCTACAGGCGATTGGCGAATGGTCCTCAACTCGGCAGACGTCTTATGACGAGCAACTGGGAGATGCGGGGTACTCATCACTTTGGATCGAGGAGTGCTTTCGTAGCTAAGAACTGACGACTCTCTATCACTGTGCGCTCGGAACGAGTCTGGGGAGAGCAATAGACGATCGAGATCCATGCCACGTCTACCAGGAGTGGATGGTGTGATAGGCGAGAGCGTCACATCTCTATCCTCTATCGGATCAAGTCGAGGAAATGGCGAGGGCGTAGGGCTGGGGCTGGTAGTTCGGTCTCTCTCCACGTCGCTCGACTCGGCAGACTTTCCCTTTCCACCCTTTTTCCGACTGAAAAGTCGGCCACCAAGAATGCGAGGTGAGGCGAGAAGCTTGGATGACTGGAGTAGCTTGTGTGGAGATGGTCCACCCTTTCTCGGTGACTTGGGAGGCGAAGGATTAAATGCAGCCTTGAGCGGAGACACGGGTGGAATGACATCGCTCGATGGAGCACTGCTCGGAGGTACGTCTTCCGTATCGTATTCGCTCTCAGTCTCCACAAACGACGTCTCGGAGCGTTCTCGCTTGTGTCCAAGCAAACTAACGGGCTCTTCTGGTACAATGTTTGTTTCTGGTGGAGAGTGCGTGAGACGCAGCTTGGAATTTTCGCTAATGGACGGATAGCTTGGGGCGCGCTTGATGGGATCCGCTGGACGAGAGAAACTGGCGCTCCGTTTGATTCCACCACGTGAACCGTGTGCCTCGTTGAGATGCGGATGCGTTACCGAGAGCGGTGGAATATACGGGATGCTCTGTTGCTTCGAGGGCGAATGGCTGGGTCGTGTAGGAGAGCCAACAGCAGAGGATTGATTGGAGAAGACCGAAGAAACGCTTGAAATACTGGAAAAGTTTCTCGGCTCGGTACGCCCACTTGGCAAGGGTGCATTAGTCGAAAAGAAGCCATCCGCCTGGAGCTGGGCTGCTGGCTGCAGCATGTTGCGCACTGGCTTGGAGAAGAAGGAATCCGGAAGAGGAGCACGCTTTCCAGAGGTTCTAGACCCGCTTGCCTCTGACGAAAACGTGGCCAGGAGATCCGCAGGATCTGGCGATCTAGCTGTCCTTGCCTGATTTGGTTTGTGCGGTGAAAGCCTCATTGGGCTCAAGCTAAGAGGCTCGATGTGCCGCGACGAGACCGTGGGCGAATTCGGGCGAGGACCATCACTGCCTGGCGACACAGATCGTGAGCGAGGCCTACTGGCCGAGTTGTACGAGGGTGATCCCGGAAAGTAAGATTCGGTCGGGGAAATCGGTTCCACAGAGGGAGACCGTGGTGTCTTGAGTGGGGAGCGCGGTCGAGCGTACAGGTAAGGATGATAGCTGACGGGCTGAATGTCCAAATCACGATCAAGACGCTGGAGCCTGATTGAGGACCTAGGCAGATGTCAGCTCCCCTTCGAAATTATCACAAAAAGGCGCACCTCAGAACGCCTGCTGGCACGTTGGTGCTCCGAGCTGGTGGAGGAGAGTCTAAAATGCCTCCAAATCCAGTTTCATCACGTGTTTCTTCATAGTCCATAAGCGCGTCTCCGTCTGCATTGCGAGACTTTGGTCGTCCGGGTTGAACACCTCTTGCCACGTCTGCAGCCATCGACTTGAGCATTCTCCGAATTTCACGAACATTATGAGGCCAATCTCCGTAGCGTTTGAGCTGTCGAGCCCATAAATCGATAAGCGTGTCTGGTGGTCGCGCGGCGTTGTAAGGTGTTCTCGGAGCGGTTCGTTTCTTGACATTCGGGGGACATCCATCTTCCAATGTCTGGAGTGAAAAACGATGAGCGAGTTGTTTCCGATGTAAATTAATGGCCAACGCGATGCTTACCCGCACAAGAATCGCGACTTGTTCATCTGTCCACGCATAGTTGCCCTCTTCTGCGTCAGTCCCCTCGCCAAGAACTGTAGATGCACTGGAGTCCATGCTGACGCGGCCGTGCATTGTCGTGTCGCCGTCTATGCTATCATCGGTCAGCCTCCTCCGATGGTCAGCAACTCCGGCGAGTGGCTTGATGCGATAAGGCGGCGTGGATGGCGTCATTGGTGATATTGGCGACAATTGTGGCGACTGGGCGACCAGCTGAGCGGCCGGGGAGCGCGTCTGCATCCCGTCTGCCACGCCAGTCGACAGATTGCAGTCTAAAAACGTGATAGTGTAGTTGTAGAGTCGTAATAATGCCTATAAGACGCGTTTAACGCGGATCAAGAGACGCGGCTCGTCGACGCAGGGGATCAAGGTGGGTGGAGTTGGGGCGCATTTCTGTATACACCACCCACGTCGAGGCCGGCCCTTGAGTGTTTGTTAATTTGGCATATAGAATGCTGTAATATACGTTTTCATTACCTTTATCACTCGTAGAAGTTAAATAGATGCATTACAGCCAGTCATCATGTACCTGTCATTCCCCATCTGTGCTCTTGCTCCAGTCTATCCTGCTGAGCCCGTGCTCTGGTCAACAGGTCCGCAATGCCCTCGAAAGCCACCTTTTGCAGTTTCTTAAAGTCGTTTATATGTGCATTATCGAGTCTCTTGCGCTCGGCGACCACCTCCTCTGAAGTAGGAACGCGAGAGAGAAGCCGAGAGCTCTGGAACGTCGCATACTGTGGATTCAAATCCAGAAGCGCGGTAGTGGTTTGGAGACCGGTTTTGCACATGTCCTTTGTCTCTTCGTACATCGTTTGCTTCTCCTCGTCCGATATCAAGGACATTCGCGATACATTCGTGGACACTTGTCCAAGAATCTCTGCCAGCTCTGCATCGAGGGCATCCAGAGTAGAGTTTGACGACTCGAGCTTGGTCAACGTCAGCGTATGACCACACCTACTGCCAGGCGGCCCTCACCTCTGCAGTGGCGTTCACGACGCTCGCCTGCTCGCCTTTGCTCTTCTCTATTCGTGAAAACAAGAGCCTTTTAAGCGCCTCGCATGTCCTTTGATGCTCTTCAAACGTAAACTTTGCCACCCTGAGCCCTTCTAGTGCTTGCTGGTCCGCTTCGTTGGATGGCTCAGCCGTCACTTCACGAGAAACGTCCGCTTTGAAACCACTGGCGACAAATGTTGCCACCAATTTGTTCATCTCCTCCTTCGTCTCGTCGTATGATGCCGTGGCCCATTCTTCAGCCTCTTCCAGTCTGTTCCGAATGGCGTCTAGACGATCTTGTATCTCGAATATTCTGTCATTAGAGACTGGCAGATTGTCAACCAAATTGAGATCGACCATGTCGGTATCTGTAGCTCCAGGAGCAACGGGCGGCGCATGCTTGTGTTCGTGCAGCTCTCGAACCCGCTCAAGCTCCTCTTGAGCTGACTGAACCTTTGTGCGGAATGACCCTTCCACCAAGCGCTGGTTACGCGCCTTCATCGCAAGCGCAAGCAGCTGAACAGAAGGATCGGTTTCCTCCGAGTTTGAGAATGTATCCAGGCGTTGAATAGACTCGGCAAACTCGTCCTCTCTCTGGTGGGCATAGTTCGATCGCGCGATGCGTCCTTCAACCCAAGCTGCCTCTGCTCCACTCGGGAGTACGTTTGGCCAACGGGCAGCTTTCGCAACTTCTGTCTTGAGGTTTGAATGCTCCTTGTACTGGCTTTTGTAGCTCTTCAGATTCTTGCCTGCTTCGACTTTGAGTCGTTGGTTGTGCGTCGCTTTGACAAGGCGTCTATCTTGTGTCAGTGGATGATAGTGTGCTGTAGACTCACCTACGTTATGTATTCAAGAATAGCATGCTCTTCGACGTTGCTCTTGGATGACCGAACCCAGTCCCTTTCTACTGGTGAATCCATCTCCTCGTCGACTATAATCGGAGCTTCTCTACTTCCAGCCTTTAGAATGGTCAGGGATCCCTTTCATCAATCCGCGTGAACACAACCGACCATTCTCGGCTCGTCTGTATCAACATCCATTCTGACAGCAATTTATTTGTGTTTGAGGAACGCTCAGAGTCATCCAATAGGCAAAGGTTGATTGTGGTCAAGGTCAAGAAACTTGAGCTTGACCACATCAACCTTCAGTGTACTTAACACGCAAATAATACCGTTTATTCATCTCTACAGTATCTCTAACTTGTTTTCTCACCCGAATTATGGCCATATGGTCCACCATCAGCTCATGTGGCCCGCGAATATCAGCATATGGACATTCAACCACGCTCCTTTCACATTCTATGCACTCAAGACAACCGTTCGCATCAGACATGCACAAGGGATACTGTTAACCCCGTAACCGGGCAAAGGAGAAACCGGCCGTCTATAGCATTCGTGGTGCGGACAGCCGAGCCGTTACATCTTGGACCCTGCTACATAGCTAACCAACTCTCTTTCACTCCTTTTTGTCCCATAGCCCGACGGATAGAGCTAGCTTTGCCTCGCCGTCAAAGTAACTGCCACTCTTTTGTGCAACGTCGCCTCTTTCGCCATGTTCCTCATTCAAACCATCCTTTCCACCCTTTCTCTGGTTTCTCTCGCATTTGGACGTCCAACGCTGGAGCAAAGAGATCTCGTATGCAACGGACGCGCGGAGCTCTGTGATAGAAGTTATGGAAACGTGACTTTTCTCACATGTACGTCTCCCCATGCAAGTTGAGCTTAGCTAAACTCAACGTATAGCCCATGATTCGTTTGCGTATTCGACCAATCCGCTTGAACTTGCCCGAACTCAGTCACTGGACCTTACAGCGCAAATGAACCTCGGTGTCCGAGCATTACAAGCACAGAGTCACATGAAAGACGGAGTATTGCACTTTTGCCATACCAGCTGTGTACGTTCAGCCTGTCCCCCTCAATCGCCATGCTCACTCCAGGTAGCTCTTGTTTGATGGGGGCTCTGTACTCTCATATCTTCAGACCGTCAAGAGGTTTATGGACTCGCATCCCAACGACGTGTTTACGTTCATCTTTACAAACCCAGAACGCCTGTCACCAAAGAATATATGGGACCCCGTCTTTCAGCAATCGGGACTTGCTTCGATGGCATATGTACCTCCTCGTCGCCCTCTGAAGGCTTCGGAATGGCCGACCCTTCGCCAGTTGATCCAGACCGGCAAACGTCTTGTCGTCTTCAGTGCGTGGTTCCAGATTTGTAAAACTGTGCTGACAATGTGCCAGTGGATTATGGTACCAATACAGCAGACGTTTCCTATATTTTACCCGAATTCGACCACATATGGGAGCCGCCATTCTCGTCGACGGATCCATCGTTTCCATGCAGGGTGGATCGCATGAACGGTCCTCTCAGCTCACAAGAGTAAAGCGATCGCCTCGTTTCCTACTGTAGCTCACCTCGCACGCAGTCACATGTTCATGATCAATCACAATCTCAACGCCAGAGTCTTTCCGTCTCTTCGCGCACGTTCACCATTGCCCGCTCCCACAGCAGCACCCGGGTGGTTTGACGATCTCACGAGTGCCATTCACAATGCTGGCGGTATGATCAACAGCGGGATCCAGCAAGCCGGAAGCATGATCCAAAGCGGTGCATCATCCGTCGGAGGAGCGATCCACAGTGCCATTTCATCGGCTATTAACCAAGGTCAGGATGCGGCAAACTCGGTTCTGGTGCCCGACTATCTCAGCACGCCGACGACAAACAGCATGCGCTCCATTCTCGCCGATTCAAACGGCTGCGCGCCGTTTTCGGGTGGAAAGGCGACGAATTTTGTCATGCTGGACTTTGTCGAAGTGGGCGAGGGAATGAGGGCAGTAGATAGGTTGAATGGGTTCCTGTAGATCCCAGTGTTATACGATCAAAACTGAGAGTATTTGTTATCTAGATAAGCTTTTTATTCGGGCCGTCCTGTCTCTGCGGCGCCGTTGCCTCGTGTGGACGAACGCCACTTTGGCTTGTGCTTTGTGCTCACAACTTGGATTCCACGAGCTCTGTCATTGGCCTCGGACGTCTTGCAACAACTCGTTTTAGATACACAGTTCTTTCAGATTACCTCGTTTCTACGCTCCTCGCACTCCATCGCACACCCGGAGCTTCAACGTCGCCACCCCAGATTATTCCGTGGCTCAGTACCGTCTCTACCGCACAAAAGGCGAGCTCAATGTTTTCATTAATGGTTTGTAACATGTCTAATCCTGCGATTAGGATAGTTCTTGGCGCAGTTTCCCGTCCATTATGCCCCGACGCTCAACGTCGTCACACTCGTCCTGGGGGCCTCGCTCTCTCACTGCGCTTGTCACGCACACGCTTCTCCTCTTCTCGGCTCTTACTCCTGCATTTGGCGCCAATACGAGAAATGACCGAGTAACCAAGTGCCGCGTCAAGCGCAAGGAAGGCCAAGGCATTCTTGTCGCCCCCACCCAAACGACCAGCACATCCAGTGCTGCCGTAATTGACAATGTCGCACCAGCACCCACATCGACACAGGACGTGAATGGCACTGTCAACCAAGACGCGGTCGGATCGCCGCCGCCGTTGCCACCGTTTGATTACCAGAACCGCAAAGTTCGTGGTGTCAATCTCGGTGGCTGGTTCTTGATGGAGGTTCGTATTCTGGTTATAGAAACAAATTGGAATGTTGACCTTGTCTAGCCTTGGATCACGCCGAGCATGTTTGAAAAGACGGGCAACGAGGCCATTGTCGACGAGTATACGTTTGGTCTCTACCAGGATCGTGGTATTGCTACAGCTGCTCTTGAGCAACATTGGTCGACGTTCTATACCGAACAAGACTTTATCGACATTGCTAGTGTCGGCTTGAATCACGTTCGGTGCGTGGGTTGTTCGAGCATCCATGCGATACTTACTAGATATAGATTACCCATCTCGTACTGGAGCGTTCCTGCCGCGCAAAACACTTGGCCCTATATCCCTGGCGCATGGCCTCACATCCTCCGGGCCCTCGACTGGGCCACCGCTCATGGTCTCTACGTCATTCTCGATCTTCACGGTGCACCAGGATCTCAAAACGGATTCGACAACTCGGGACAACGCACCAGCAATCCCGTCTGGGCATTTGACCAGGCGCACGTCGATCAGACGCTGCTCGTCATCGAGACGATGGCTCGAGAAGTCGCCCACAAGGTTTCTGTCATCCAATTGCTCAACGAACTCGCTGGTTTCCGTGGACAACAATGGTCAGACCAGGCACGAAATTTTTGGCAAGCTGGCTACGACCGTGTGCGAGCGGTTGCCGGCAACGATGTCAAAGTCATGATCGGAGATGCGTTTCTCGGTATCAATAGCTGGGATGGATATATGAAGTCGAGCCAGAATGTCATGATGGACTTGGTACGTCGCCTCTACCCTCTGTACACGGTCATTCATTGGCGTAGCATGTGTACCAGATCTTTAGCAATGGGGAGCTATCTCGTTCATGGGATGAGCATGTCAACGTACGTCGACATCCTTGGGCTGCGTCCATCGCTGATCAATAGCAGTTTATGTGCAATCGCATCGACGAGTTTACTGGTTACGCTTCAAGGAACCTCTGGTTGGTGATGGGAGAGTGGTCAAATGCCCAGACGGACTGCTGCCGGTAAACCCCAAAAGCCCATTATATAAAGAATTGCTGACACCCCAGAAGGTACTTGAACGGTCGTGGTATCGGCGCACGGTGGGACGGAACCTATGCTGGCGACGCGCCATTGGGATCCTGCCAAGGAATGACTGGAAGCTACACGACATTTAGCGAACCGTACAAGGCGTCGATGCGAAAGTACTGGGAGGCCCAGGTGACGGTTGCCGAGCGGGTCAACGGATGGGTATACTGGACGTGGAAGGCGGAGGATGCAGACGACTGGAGCTATCAAAAGGGTGTCGAAGCTGGGTATATTCCGCGCAATCCAGACGAGAGGCTCTATCCAAACGTGTGCGGATGAGGCAATTTTATTATTAATTATTCTGTTGATAGATGTAATAGACGGTCGTTGCTGTATTCATGTAGCGAGATGAGCCGAGTAGCAGATACGGGAGAAGTGGTGCTCAACGTTTATGAACTGCTCTGGTGATAGGCGGGGTTGGCGGTCCGAGTGAGCTGAGATGAACTAAGGGCGGCTAAATAGAATGAATGAAGGATAAACATATAGAAGAGTTTGCGTGGTACATGCACCAGTCTTGCCTAGATCTGCGGGCTGGGGCCAGGAGGTGAGCGAGGTGAGATGTCGGGGGGACCGGGGATTAGCCAGCGCCACTTACTCGAGAGGCATGGCAAGGTCGATTTGATGGACCAGAGTATGAGAAAAAAGATTGCTCCAGAATCTTCGAGAATCGAGGACTGGGCCGCAGGCGCACGACTTGTCAGGAGAGCGCTTGTACTGAACGTCTTTTGAGTTGATTTTGAATACTGTGGCGAGACATGGGCGCCATGTGGCTTGTTCACGTGTGCTGTTTTGACAATTTAGGAGAGCTCTGCTTGGGAGAGATGCTAGCCGCAGAGACTGACGTGATTCGACGTGACCAGAGGAGACTGGAGAGGATGATGAATTTTTAATGTGGTAGCTTTGAATGTCAGTCAGACTCTTGACCAGCTTACTCACTCGTTTGTGTAGACTATTGCCAGGATGTCAATTAGAGTATAGGGCATCAAGTGTCACGCGGAGACTGCACAACTCGATCTGCACGCTTGAGTCAATCGGCCGCAAATGAACGAGGGTGTTTTGTTGCGTCATGGATGATAAGTTTACGGAAGCGAGCTCGGGTAGTTGGCGAGGGTAAGAATGGGGGAGTGGTGGGTTTACAGAGGGCTCATGGTAGACATGGCTCAGAATCCAGCAATCTTCAAGGGACTAGTTGACCCTGTAATCCATATCAGCCCCGATTATACGTGTTGTGTGATTGGACCGTGCCTCGCCCGAACCGCACGGCATCGCTGGGAATAAAGGACGCGCTACGTCCGTCGGGTACGCCGATTGGATCCGTTCGCTTGGTGCCATTGCTCAAATTTCACAAATTGACATGTTCTGTTCGAAGTCGTCGTTGGTTGAGACACGCATGCTTTATGATTCCTCCCCCTCGCGTATCGCCTGCTTATCTCGAAAGAATATGAAAATGCGGAAAAGGGAAGACGACAGAGGTCGGCGAATGCAAGGGCCCCATAATGTAAGCGCGCCGGAGCTTTGCAAACTCGGTGGGCAAATCCAAGGCTCAGCCTCGCGTTCGCCTCTTGTCTCCTGCCACGACCACGACCTCTCTCCCTCCCCCGATCTACAACAACGGCGACGACAACGACGAACAAACGATAGCGATAAGATAACATTCTCCACCGTTTGATAACGAGCAGCGCCGACGCCTCCACCCAACAACACTAAACGCAGTGCAACTAACGCATACCCGCCTCCAACGCGACGATAGTAGAAATGTGCTGGAAGGAGACTGTTCACGATGCATTTGGATGCGGATGCTCAAACGTCTCGATTCGTCCCGTGAGTTGCTTCTCATTCACCTCCCGCCTCCCATCCTTTGAAATCTCCCGAGGAGACCGCTTGATAGTCCAAAATATCCTTCATTCTCTCTGGATACCCGCTCTCCTGCGCTTGCTGGTTCATCGTCTCTGGAGACTGGCCAAGCACTCCACAGACCCGTGACCCATCCCACGCTCTAGACCCCACGAACCATGGAGCCAAGAACTAACAAACTTCCTTGTTTTGGATTCTTTCCGCGAATACATATGCCGACGTGCCGACGCCCCCGTTCGATACAATTCACACCGGCATCTGCGCCGCGTCGAATCATGCTCGACAGGGAGACTGCTACGATCGCAACTGTCGACATAGTTCGGCCCATCCTCGTGGCCATGATTGCAACGTTCATGGATGTGGTGGATAGTACGTTTCGCGTTTCTTCAAAGGAATCACCCAGCTCATTTTATTCTCAGCTGGTACGAGCGTGAAAAGAGTACGCATTTTCCCAGTACCTATTCACTGGGACTAATACCGCGATTGGACATATAGCTGTAGATTTTCCAGAAGGATGTGCGCCTTGTAGGAGCAAGCGTCTCCAAGAACAATATCGCCAACAAAGACTCATGTAGTCGAAATGAAAACACCGTGTATCATTCCCTGTACCATCACACCCGACACCGTTCTCCGATACGCGAACCCCCATCCCTCCCCTTTTTTGTCCCATCTCTATCGCGTTTTGCATTTTCTTGTCCATATGTTTCAAAAGCGACCCATGTCGTGCCTGTCTTTCTTGTCTATATATTCTTCCATGCGTCACTTTCGACGTCTCGTCGTGCTAGTCGAGGCGAGCAGGTTCCATCTTCCAGTAGTTTGACGCTAACATCTATTTGCAGTACCTCATATTGAATACCTTGTTGGCGTTCAACAATTTCCGTATCTAGGTCCTGCGGTCCCGCTCGGGTAATGAAGACAGAAGTCCATGTCCGGCTCAAATGTCAAACATTGCCGAGTCGAGAGCCAGTCTCCTCTCCCTCGCATATTCTCGTCATGGCAATTCGCACTCGCTCTTGTGCTCGCTATGTCCACGGCGACACTTGGGTCATTTCGAGCATGTACGCTTACCTCGTATTCAATCTCATTGTCACCTACAACAATGTTCTTTGCTCGCTAGATGTCGAGTAGCGTCTCACCGTCCCGTCGAGGTTCAGAATCTCGCTTGTGTTTCGAAGTGGGTCAAAGGGTGCACTGTTTGATGCGAGTAAACTGTTCTAGTTTCAAATCACCATCGAAATGGTCCGTTTATTGCACAAAATTGCCCACACGCAGACCAAAGGCCAACTGGGATTTGAGCACGATGGTGGACATTGGATGGACGAGAGAATCTCATACCCTTTCAAAGCGTGAAAGACGTCATTTACTTCCGCTAGGGGTCTCTTTTGTCCACAACACTCGGAAGTATTCTCCAGTGGGCTTCGAGCTGGGCTCATCTTCGCGTTCGCTTCTCACACATAATGGGGAACTGTTCGAATAGTCCACCGGCAACTATACCATATATCTCAGTGTTTCTTGCCAAATCTTTTAGTTCCGTGGTCTCGTACCCCCTCCCTTTCCCCGGATCGACCGACTCGCTTCGGTGAGCAAGGTGGATAGGGTCACTCGAGGAGGAAATCAGGCTTGCTCCCTTCTTCGCTGATGAATACTAGGACAGCAATGGCTGCTCTCGGCTTCTGTGGACGTCCTCGCGCTTCGCTCGTCTAGTTCACTCGGCCGGTCTCGACCTTTGGCGAGATGCAAGTCATAACAGCTCTTTTGGGGGAGCGACGTCATGGAGGCAATTGAGATACACTAGTGACCCTGGATATCATATCACGACTTGAACCTTTCCACAGGGACCGGCGGTTGTTGGACATTTCGACATGAAGAACACGTCGTGCGACCTCGTTTCCGAACCAAACGTGGGTATACATGTATGCCATCACAGGTACATCTTCACGTTGATTGACACTTGAATTAGGTTATTTCAGAAGTTCTGTGTACTGCTGACGGTTAATCGGTGGCGGCAATGGCCCCCTTCTGAGTGGTGGACGCCTGTCTAGTGTGAGGTAACCACACCAGATCTACTCAAGATCCGCATGTATGACGTAGATCTCGCAGAGATCAACCAAGCACTGCAAACTGCGGCGCGTGAGCACTCGTGCTACATTCATGGCCACATTACGTGCAGCCCTTAGTCGTGCGTTCACAGCCAAGAGGCTTGAATTGGACGGCAAAAACCTTGGTCCGAGCCCAGTATTCGTAGGTGACATAAAGGGGAACATCTAGCCACCGGAAATGGCCTACCTGTCATCGATGTCGCAAATTACGATTAGTTCCTGTTATCAACCAGACGCGCGTCTAATTTACGCAATTACGTCGTGTGGCGGATAGGCAACATGTCCTGTCCATACCACACCCGAGCCTTGCAAGTATAGGATTTCGTCACGTGCCTGGCTTGTTCGCTCTGGATATCGTGATGGAAATGGATAATTGGTGTTGAGAAATATCGGGTTTAATTCACAGGTTTTGTTCCCGTGACGGTTATTTTATAAATGTGTGACTTTCAGTGGTAGACTGTTCGTCTCGTGAGGCAAATTCTTGGAATCTGTCGCTTAGGGTAGCGATTCAAGTGGTTCTAGGGTACGTGGAGGTCTGTCTAACACCCCGCACACCTACCGTATTCATTTTTGGTGTTTGCCTACTGGTCAGTCGGACCGAGGCAAGCGCGGGAACCCCCGCAGTTGTCCTCCTCCTCTTTGTCATGTGATCGACCGGCTAGCAAGAAATATGGCGATTGGGCGTGTGAGGTGTACATGCCGTACACGCGTGTATTTCCATCTATACAACAACCAAAACAGACGTAGAATAAGCCCACTATGTAAAATAAAACCCAAAAGAATATGAATATAGCCAAGAGTAGACGTGGACTAGCAAGGGGATATATCGCGAAGAGGGTATCATAGAAATGGGATATCGGCTCTAACCAGTGTTCTATAAGGATCAACAGGACAAAACGAGACAGGACGACGAGACTAACAGGGAAAGACGAAACCCAAGCAAAAGAAAAGAAAACTATGGGGGAAATTGACACGACCAAGGGAGATGCATGACCGACGGGAACAGGCCAGCGAAAAATGCATGAGCGTGTGATGACGAGAGTGTTTACTGTACTCTACGGACCCAAGTGAAAATACGGGAACACGGCGCGAGATGCGAATGAGCGATGCGATATGAGACGTAAACGGGGTGTAGACCACCAGCACCGAGTACTCTCTCCAAGAGAATGGACATCCAATGGGCACCTCGATGTCATAGGTGGTTTGATGCAAATTGCTCGTGTGCTCGACTAGCGAGTCTGAATATCGATGCAATCTGATGGGTTTGATCGACCCTTTCGTGTCTTTGCATCCCATCCGCTGAGATGAGCTCTTTCCATTCGTGTCGTTCCGAGCTCGAGCGATCCATCTGTTATCGCGAGCTCGAGGAACGTGCCGGTGGCTAAAGTGAGCGATAACTGATGAGCGAGCGCAACTGGTGCGCTGCGAGCTCAGGTTCTCTCAAAGCCAAAGACCCGAAGTAGACGCCCACGTCTGCCGCGGAAGAGGGGTGCGGATGGATAGGAAGGGGCGCGGAAAGTGCCGCGCTATCGACGAGCATCGTCGTCATCTCGATCATCGCTGCCGTCAAGGAAAAGGGGAAAAGTGGGTGGCCGGGGGGGAGGGATTGAACGCGTGGCGTGTGAACGGGTCCAGTCCAATGAAAGACGCATGGGTTGTCGTATAGAATATAGTTGCCGTTCGCGGAATCTGCCGTCCGAGGAGAGATCTAGAGGAATAATGTAGTACGCGACTGTAGGAGACCCAATGTCGTAAAAACCCGGTGGCTAACGGGTGGAAGAGTTGGAAGAGGACGGGCTCTGTGGTCTGCTTGGATCAAAGGGTGCGTTTGTCGCGCATTGGGGGCATCTGCTGGGCGACAGGCGGATAGGATTCTTGGCCGAGGGTGTCATATGGTGGATGCACGCATTTGAAGCGCATTCTATACCCCGTGGGTCAGTCACGTATACAAAGTCACGAACACGACAAGACGCACTTGGAGGGTGACGGTGTTGGCTGGAAAAGACACAGTTTGGCTCGAGGCAGTCGCGGAAGTGGGTGGACATGGGGACGAAATGGAGGCAAGCTTGGTGAAAGCGGCCGTCGACGACGTTGTAGCACATTGTGAGGGAGACTTGTCGGAGAGAGAGCAAGTGAGATGGCGGGTTGGGGAGCGGCAGGGCCCAAGGGAATTTATAGTTTCTGTTTTGCAGTGTCGAGAGATTTGTCGTACGTCAGAACACACAGAATGCCCGTTTTGTAGAAATCTATGAACCGGGTGATGTCCGAGTGGTGGTGGTCAGGTGAGCGGGGAGGAGGACGAGAGGACTGTGCGGGAGATCTGTGCACTCATTATATACCCGTGCACAAGTAGCGAGGCGAAGGCCGGCCTGGGTGCCTCATGCAGGCTCACCTGGCTCTGACGCACAAGTCCCCCCGGTCTTTTTTTTCCCTTCTTCCCATCTACCTGTTTCTCCATTTTCTCGGTCGGCTGCCTTGCCTGCCTGGCACCTGGCCTGGGCTGGGATTGTGCAGTCGATCGTAGTAGCGATGCCATCTCTCCTCACTTGGCCCATCTTCGCTACCCATTCACTGCTTATCTCGGCCTTTTTTTCTTACTTTCTGGTTATTCCTCGCAGATTTTTCTCCGTCCATCCATCCATTTATCCCGACGTAGTCGAGTAGGCCATTTCAGGCAAGGGCTCGCGCTGGCGTCGTCGTCGCGAGGGATGAGACACCGACCTGGCCGTATCGCAAGAGTCGGACCGGAGACATCGCGCACAAAGCCACCCGTCGAGCAGAACATCAAATGTGAGTCCACGGCGCGCTTTTTCGTCGTTGTTAGCGAGCTCAGTCACCGCCGACGATGAACACGCGCTTCACCCGCGACAGGCGGTTCTAGTGTTCCATCTCGGACCGTGATCCTCGCTGTGGGCGTGTGCCACACTCGCACAGCTCGACATCTCTTTTTTTGCATGATCATACTCTGCAAATCGGACTCGACTTGTCACAGACTTGAACCAATTTAGCTCAGAAGTGGAGACGGGGACCCAGCGGTAAAAAGTTTGTGGAGCACAACCCTCGGTCCTTGCCATCATCGACGCCATTTCAGGATCGTCAAATGTTGAATGTTTTGGGATAATGGGCGCTGCTGTGGAGCATTCCCCGTCCATAACGGTCCGAACAGCCGTTCTACGTCGTCGTTACGTGCCGTGTTACGCGTTTTAACGAGGTTGTGGGTCATGCTATGCACATTTGCTCATTCATCGTAGGCTAACATCTAAGCTTAGACTATGAACCATCTTATGCAGCCAAGGACGATGTTACAAAAGAGCCAAGCCGGTCACTCCAAATACGCAAGTTCCCATCAATTATGTTTGCATCATATCATTTGCCCCCCCCGCATCCATCCCTTTTCAGCCAAGTCACCGAACTGGACGCACTTCTCCGAGGTCGAGAATGCTCGCAATCACGATACCCTCTGGTATGTTTGTTTGCCGGACAGCAGCCACCAACGTTTGTCCGCCAGAGTCAGATGCTAGGTCTTGTAGGGACATATATACTTGGACGGGGTCGAATGACGCACGGCTATTGTCAACTGGGCTAAACCATCAGCATCAGCAACCTAAATCCAGCCGCCCGTGCCGACCATCTCAGCTCTACATCTTGTCCATCTATCCAGGACTGGCCACTGTTCAGTATGTCGTCGGCAAGTAACCCGGCCATTGCATAAGTCGCCGTACTACCTGCGAGTCCAACGGTCGCGACGACTGCGAGGGTGCGTGCGTAAATACACCTAAATTATCCCAATTACGCCACCATGTCGCCCGTTGACGAATGGCAACGAGCGAGTGTCGGTCCTGGCGGACTTGAGCTCCCGACGCCCTCCTCCCTTTTCTCCCGTCCCAACCCTGCGCGCGCCGTACGCTGGGTTCCAAGTACGCCCGGCGGTGGATTCATTACAGAACCACCCTGTGGTCGAGCTCGATACGCGTCTTGGTGCGCTCCCTGCGTCGTCATATCCATCCAATATCCTGACCAACACAAGTGCCCAGTCGATCAGTAAGACGTCATGAGTACCCTTTGCTTATCTTAACAATGGTGAACCAGAGGCCAACTGCAGCGAAAAGACGACTGGATGATAAGAACTGATTGGGAATATGGACTGGCTAGATACATGGAGATACGTTACGTATCATTACTCGAATCGTATATTGATGACGTTCGGAGAGAGACTATCCTGGACAACCACCCGACTTCGCGCTCAAGAGAAACGCGCGGTACATTTCACCACCTGATCGCATCTGACTGGAAAGCAATTCTAGGCAGACATCGATACATCACACGTATCCATCACTTCTCGTCCTCCGGCGTTCAATTGCGGAACCGACACTCTCGGCCCTCTCAGCCAGCATACCCTCGGTTTTGTCCTATTTCGACCAACAGGTCAAATAATTCGGCTATCCCGACTATAGATACACAAACTCTATTGCGGGTTTGCGATTGCGAAGAGGCTGGAGTGCCAGGTCGCCGAAGTGAGATCTGCACGCCGCAAATTCACGATCCGCCGCGCCGCAGGTGTGTCCGTGGCTCTCCGCGTCGTCGCTTTCAAGCAAATCGTACGTGGTTTTTTTGCGTACCAGTCTATTTCTGGTCGTCATCCGAATGCTTTGACAGCAGGTTGGCTGACAAAACATGTAGTAAGAGCATGATTGATGCGAACCTGTTCTCTCTCGACGTTCGGTTCCTTGCAACGTTGTAGATGATGGGAGCATTGCAGGTTCGACGGAAGACGAAATTGGCGAGACCGATGATTTTGAAACCGGAGCGCAGGCTCCCAAACAAGGTTCGTCAGGAGTGGCAATCTCCGAGCGCTCGTGTGCGCAGAGGCACAAGAGGACCAAAAAAAGAAAAACCCCCCCCGAGTTGCACGAGGCGGACGACGGTGAATGTCGGGTAGGTTGCGACGACAAGGTTGGAATGGGGAATGATACGAGGTAGATGCGCTCGCTGAATCCTGATCTCGGCGAAATGCAGGCTCGCCTTTTCCAGCCACTAGCGTTCTCCCGCTCAAGCGCAGAAGGCGAGACCAAGAGAGCCTAGACGTGGGCTTGGGAGGACAAGAAAAGGTTGGCGTTTTCGTATACAACCTGCGTCCTGCTAAGGTGAGGATGCTACGCTCAAGCGCAGTCGGCGTGGAAGCGTCCTGACAACATGGGATATGCAAACGGTTTCAACAGCACATGGTACCGTACGTCGTTTCATTAGATCGATGACGACGCGAAGAGGTCTAGCCAGGGATGGGAGGAAATTATTTGTCCGATGGGCCGATAGGTCAGGGTCATCTCGGAGTTTGCCTACAAGGTTCCTAGGAGCAGTGAACATGTCTGACGACGCAAAGAGGTGCGTTTGATATTGGCACCTTCGGTTCACCCGGCCGGTCTTCCCTGGGCAGGTGTTCTGTTTGAACTTTTGAGGCCACGGTGTACTTTATCTGTGAATGATATTCTCATGTTCGGTTTACACACTCCGTTCACTACTGCATAATTTACGCGTGGTCAGTACGAGCAAGAGGTATCCAGGGATCATAGAGGGGACAGGAGGGATACTATGCTTGACAGTACTGTACCCAGTAGGACACGTTGAGAGACATTCCACCGCCCAAGTGCCTCAATATCTTCTTTGCAACTCAACTTGAACTCGGCCCTTACCAGTCTACATCACCTTGTATATCTTGAGGATACAACATGAGTTCAGGTATGAAAATAATTCCTTTATATCGAGGTTTGACATCCAAATCAGCAGCGTCTGGGTACGACTTCACGATCCGCTTGCCGGCGGAGCTCCTTGCGGACATATTCGCGCTCGTGGTGGCCGAGATCAGTTCAATTTATAAACCTGGAGATCTTGGAAAGGGGAAAGCAGCGCCCATATCCTCAGCGTCGAGCATCGAAGCAGCAAATCAAATCTCGCATGTTTGCTCACGATGGCGACAAACGGCCATTGGAATGCCGGTACTATGGTCACGGATATCTCTCACACTCTACAGCAGCTCCCGCGTGGTCGAACACTTTTGCAAGAGTGTCTTTCCTCGACTCAAAGGATACCCTTGCTGGTTGCAGATCCAAGGAACCCGCTTCCTGGACATGGATGGGCACCCACGGTATACATCTGGATTACACCCGTTATATCACTGCGCCATCATTCCGACTATGGTGGTCAAAGAATTGGCCCTCAGCTTTCTAGCTGATTACGAGTATAATCACCCAGAATTACTTGATTTTCTGTCAAGATGCCGAGGAAAGGTTAGATCCCTCGTGATTGACATGGGCTACGTTGTCTTAGCAGATTCCTGGAAGCCCAGCTCGTGTGAGTGGGATCCTGGCAAGGTTGTGGCTCATCTACCGTATGTCCGCCGCCTAAGACTACAGTATATCCAAGCGGATTTTCAAACCCTCGATACTCAACCTTGGCCGCCTATAGAAGAACTCGAGCTCGTGGCGATATACGTCCCCCGTAGGTGGTCCTTGCTTGTACCCAAGCTACCTCACCTTCGTAAACTGGTGATATATGACCAGGGATGGCGCAACTTTCCAGCAGGTATCGATGACCAGGACTTGCCTCCGCCGTCTCTCCCAAAGGTCACAGAGATACGGGTTCCGTGGGTTGGATGGCTCGGATGGAACCCTGGGGTAATAGACGTTTCACTACGTGGATATTTTCCGTCTCTCAGGACGTTGGAGGTCAGCAGCCCCGATAAGAGGGGCCTGCAGGCCTTTTTGACCGCTCACCCTAACATTCAGCACCTCGTTGTTCATATGAAGAGGTATTCAGGAGGAAGTGAATACTTGGAGAGTGCTCATCCGAATTAACTAGTCTCTGAGTGACCATAGATTGGGCGAGAGTAGGCCAAGAATATGTATACCAACTAACCAGGGAGTGTAATTACAGAGTGTGTAGTTTTGATAAGAAAGGTCCCCCGTTTGCATCCCGGGGGCCGAATTGGTGACCGAGGGTTCACGCCGACGTTGGTTGTTGCACTCGACAGTGACTTTGCTTACCATGAAATCAGCGAGTTCAGACACTGAGCATATACCAGAGGGTATGGAAGTCTCTTTAGATGATCGGTTTCTGATTCTTTGTCTCTTATTAGATCCACCAACGGTCAGCTCGTCCAAAACTCGCGCAGTGGGCCTTCCTGCAGAGCTTCTGGGGATGATTTTCCAGAATTTTGTTAGAAAAGATGCCAAGAAACACGCATTGGACGATGAAAATGACGCCGAGGAGGACACTGATGAGGACGAAGAACCAGCGTCTATACTCCAAGCAGCACGAGTGCTCTCTCATGTATGTTCCAGCTGGAGACAAGCTGCAATTGGCACATCTGCTCTATGGAAAACAATCAAAATATCTCTCTTGACAAAGGACGGCGTCCTCGAGCATTTCTGCTCTACAGTCTTCCCGCGAGTTAAGGGATACCCATGCACTATACATATACGAGACGTCAAATTCATCGGAAAGTCGACGCACGGTATACATCCCATTCATCGTTGCAAAATCCTTCCCTCCATGGATGTTCTCCAACTTCGGATCGGTTTTCGCATGGAGGGCGAGTATGATGACCCAGAACTACTCAAGTTTCTAGGATCCATAGAGGGTACAATACGTAGTATCTTACTCGACAGTGGCGGCGTCGACGACGGTCGAGTTGGGACTCTTTGGAGTCTGGCAAAGGTTCTGTCGCCTTTCTCTCATATCCGAAAGGTCACTATGTGGTTCGCAGATGCGACGATCGAAGCATGTACAGAGACATGCCCGAGCGTAGAAGAGCTAGAGTTGATGAACATGGAAGGGACTCTGGCATTGGCAGACCTTCTCGACATGTTTCCGAACCTCCGATTTCTCAGGTTTATTGAGAATGGAGATAGATATTGGAACGTGGACGGTTACCGCTCCCGACCGTTCGTCCACTCCAAACTGCGCAAGATGTGTCTCAAGTCCGTCGACATGGTCGGATGGACCGCTACGGGAACTTTGACCGCATCTGGTACCTTTCCGTCACTCACTCACCTCAACGTCGAGGACGACGCCCAACTCGACCGTTTCTTAGCCGATCCGGCGCATCGCAGAATCACTTGTCTCGTTGTCGACACGACTACCTATTCATCTGCGAGCGAGTATCTGTCAGCCCAAGGTTGAAGTTATTCTGGCCTCAATCAAGGTCTGGGTTGGAGAGGGGCAAAGAGGGGAAAAAGCTAACGTATGCCACCCTGTTTTAGCTCACCTATTCATTTGATGGCTGAGACATTACTCCTCCCTTCGCGTTCTGTATCCTTGGATGTAACACGTCTTCGTAGATGGGTTTAAGCACCAGCGACGAGGAATCAAGTCGAAGTTCGAGAGATGCATAAGCACCAGATCGCATAATGTGTTTGTGAGTTGGCTGCATCATAGTCGCAGAGTAGAGTGCACCTTGGACCCGAGTTTAGCAGCCCGTTCCGAACGAACACCATGAATTCTTGTGCTGATGAATCGAACGCGGAATATATCGGTATGTCAACATAATAGAGAAGGATGGCCTTGAACTTCACCCCAGAGACACCCTCAGCGTCCGGCGAGAAGGATTTTACAGCTCATCTTCCGGTCGAGTTGCTGGTCGACATCTTTCAGCGAGTTGTAAGCTCTTCAGATCACCTTTTTTACGAAGAGAGCCCAGAGAAAGTCAACGGTTCGCCAATTTCATCAAGATGCGGTCTCGCAAGCGCCATCGCTCTCTCACATGTCTCGTCCCGCTGGAGGTCAATAACAATTAACGAACCTCTTCTATGGGCGACAGTTATTTTATATTTGAACTGTGATATGGTCATACTGGATCACTTTTGCCGGACGCTCTTCGACCGCATAGGCGGGGCGCATTGTCGGATTCGCATTCACGGAATCAAGTTCCAGAGAAGAAACGGAAAATGCGAGTACTCAATGGAGAAACACCCGATACGGGCGTGTCGAATACCACGACATATGAACGTCGAGATCCTTAGACTCGGCTTTCTCGCCGAATACGAGTGTAACCATCCCCAATTCCTCGACTATCTCCTTTCATGTCATGGGAAAATATTGGGCATCAACATCGACTGGGGTGAGGCGATCTCCTCTCAATCCTTCCAACCAGACGATCGTAGATGGAGCCTCAGCAGAATCTTTCTACGGATTCCATTTGTCAGAAAAGTCGAGTTGTGTTACGTGGACATGTGCTTGCTCCTTACAGACGAGCCAATTTGGCCATACATCGAGGAGCTTACTCTCGATAATGTCTATGGCTCACTGGCACTTTCCAAACTTCTTTCTAAGCTCCCAAATCTACAGAAGTTTACCCTTGTTGAGGATTACCCAGAGTGGACTATAGATGAGTCCGAGGCGAGTAATCCGACAGAGTTATCACACCAGAATCTGAAGGAGATTACTGTGGACACAATCTCAACTTTGCGATGGACTGGAGGAAACCTATGCTTCCCTTCACTTCAACGCTTATGCGTGGAGTCGGAGTATCAACTTGACAATTTTCTTGCCGTGCACAGCCATGTTCAGGCCCTAATAGTGGGAGGAACGCATTATGGAAGTGTAAGGGAATATATTAATCGAGCGAAGACTTGGGAGGCATGACATTGGGTTTCAATAGTGAAAAGAGGTTATGGTTATAACCCGTTGTTTCTGCAGATTCGACTTTTGGCTCGTAATATCTGAAGATTTGCTATTCACACTTCATTCCCCGCTCTTAGAGCTTTTTTTTGACTCTGAAGGGTGCACATCCCTCTGGAAAATACGTCTCTGTCCAGGTCTCAAGGATTAGTTGACGAGGCGCACCGGGGGAAAAATTAACGCATGCCACCTATTTTAGCTCGCCTGGATTATTTGGTGGCTGAAATATTACTCTTCCCTTCAAATTCTGTATCTTTGGATGTAACACTTCGACGGGTTCGTAGGCTGATGAATACCCTAGCGAAGACAAATCAAGTCGAAATGCGAAAGATGTATATATACCAGATCACATAATTTGTTTTTCAGTTGGCTGCATCATAGTCGCAGATTGGCGCCCACCTTGGAGCGGAGTTTAACAGCCCATTCCAAACGAACACCATGAATTCTTCTGCTGACAAATATAACACGGAACCTTTTGGTATGTTCGCGTAATTAGAGAGGATGGCTTCAAATTGCATTTCTAGACATACCTTCAGCGTCCAGTAAGGAAGATTTTACGGCCCAGCTTCCCGTCGAGTTGCTCGTGGACATCTTCCAGCGAGCTGTGAGCGATTCAGATCAATTTCGTTTGGACGGAGGTCCGGAAAAGAGCAACGGTTCGCCGATTTCATCAAAATGCGGTCTCGCAAGCGCCGTTGCTCTCTCGCACGTCTCTTCCCGCTGGAGGTCAATAACAATCAACGCATCCATTCTATGGACGACAGTCATCTTCAATCTGGACTGTGATATGACCATACTGGATCACTTTTGCCGGGTGGTCTTTGGTCGTATAGGCGGGGCGTATTGTCGAATTCAGATCCATGGGATAAGGTTCCAGAGATCAAATGGAGAACTTGAGTACCCAATCGAGAAACATCCGATACGGGTGTGTCGAATACGACAGCAAATGAACGTCGAGCTCCTCCGACTCTGTTTTCTCGCCGAATACGAATGTAATCATCCCCAGTTCCTCGAATATCTCCTTTCGTGTCATGGGAAAATATTGGGTGTCAACATCGACTGGGGTGAGGCGATCCCCTCTCAATCGTTCCAACCGGACGACTGTAGATGGAGCCTCGGCAAAGTCATTGAACGGGCTCCATTTCTCAGAAGAATTGAGTTGCACTATGTGACTATGTGCCTGCTCCTTGCGAACGAGCCGAACTGGCCATTTATCGAGGAGCTAACCCTCGATACCGTCGATGGCCCATTGGCACTTTCCAAGCTCCTCTCCAAGCTACCAAATCTACGGAAGTTTGCTCTTGTTGAGGAGTATCCAGTGTGGACGATGGACGAGTCTGAGACAATGGTTCCAACAGAGCTGTCACATCAGAACCTGAGGGAGATAACTGTGAACAAAGTCTCAACTCTACGATGGACTGGAGGCAAAACATGCTTCCCGTCGCTTCAGCGCTTGTGCGTGAAGTCACACCGTCAACTCGACACCTTTCTGGCCGTGCACCTCCACATTCAGACTCTGATAGTAGGAGAGAAACATTATGGAAGTGCGAGGGAGTATATAGATCGAAGATGACCTAGGAGACATGACAATGTGTATCATTCGCGAGGAGACGCAATGGCTATATCACGTCATTTCTGTAGATTTGATTTTTGGCTCGTAAAGAGTCTTGATGTGCTATTCGGACTTTACTTCTCCTGTTCCTGGAGCTTCTTCTTGATTCGGCAGGGTGCACATCCCTCCGGAAAATACACCTCTGGGAAGATCATTTAGATAATGGATGATATTCGAGGAATGAATACGCACCTTTAGGGCGCTCATACCAGCTAGCGACGCGCATTGTATTAGCAAGGGTTTGCGACAGAGGAGCGAGGGAAGCGACTCACTACCCTTTACACCCTTGTTCATCACAGTGGTGATTGCGGCCGTGGGTGCTGCTATGGGGACACTTTGGGTCGCGGCAGTCACCCTAATCACCAGCAGTGACAGAGAAAGACGTCGGTGGATCATATATTAGAACAGGTAATGGGGAAGAATCATCATTGGAGAATGACTTACATGGCGTTCCTGGATGGTCTGGCATCCACAACCAAAGTAGGTGAATTCGGTCTCCTTCCAGCACATTTATCGAATTTATCGAATCTAAGGATCTGTATGAGATCCCAAGGGAGTTATTCTAAGGGAGCAAAGCTCCCGGACGGCTGGGTTGAAAGGGGAGAGTTGGCTGGCAGGACGTATGTGACGAAAAGAGCTCTCAAACAAGCACTTATACTTGTAGGAAGCAGCCTTTTAAAGTATCAGAGCTTGCTTTGACAATATCTCTGGGAAAAGTTACGGCTGGGATGGATGTGTCGTGGAGCGTGTGATGATTTGGGACGATGAAGAGCTGAGATTATATTGCTACTGGAGTCTCTTTGAGAACCCCGGATGTGTTTCAGAGCGACACGGTGGGATTGAAGGTGGGATGAAGTCGAGGTGAGGAACAACTTTGAAGTTCGGTTGCTGGTCATCTGTGCAAATAAATAATGATTCTAATGGTGCCACCTGATTATATCTAGATCAAACGAAGTACTAACCTTCACTTTCATATTTGAGGTTGGGATGGTATCAGATTGCGCTTTACCAATTCCGAATAGTGGACTTGGTTGTTCGCCTCGGGTACATCCAAAATCTGCATTAAGTCATCTAGATATCCTCGGGGTGGTCTTAAGAATCTTCCTGGAAGTCTAGGTAGTCGGTTCAGTCAATGAAGGAGATACGCGAGTTCAAGTTGACCTAGTCTGTTTTTTGATGCAAGAAAAGTTGTCTAGACTCTGATGTGGTGCCGCTGACGACCCTGAGTAGATGAATATGATGCCACTCACTCATCAAGCTGGCCAATCAACTAAATAACGCCTGATTCTTTTATATATCGATTTAATGTCATTTATTTGTGCTAATTGATACTCCGTATCAGTGTTATACTCGAATATATGACTAGAAGACGACATGTCTTGACTGACGTGAACTACTCCCTCAATTAGGCCAATCATCTCAAGGAACCCATATTTCACTCCCTTTATATCCCAATCGCTCATTCGCAGCTTCAAATATGGCCATCCACGCATCGCACAAGCGCGTCGTGCAAATTGGCTCTTTCTCCCACCATTTCCGTGAAAGGAACGGGGGGGGGAAAGCGCTAAGAGTCCCGGATATCCTTCGTGCTGGTATGCTTCAAGAGAGCACTTTCTGGTGTCAAGAACCTGTTGAAGCATCCACTGATCCAGCATATGTGCCGAATCATCTATATGACGGTGCTCAAATTGCTTGAATCGAAAGGGTTAAGGCACACTCCGACGTTTCTACGGCTCCTCATTGCGCTGAGAGAGGTCTGGGATGAGCGCTGAGACGATGGAGAGGCGATGAATTTTGTGGGCATCCTTGTGCAATCTCCTTGAGATCAACGTCTTCTCCAAGAGTGAGGTTGGTAATTTTGGGGTTATCCATAAGGAATTGATAAAGCGGCTCAGGTCCGCCATGGTATCCGTGCATGCCAAGCTTTGTAAGCCTTGGGTAGTAATGATGCCGGGCACCTATGGTTCTCTCATCAACTGATAGATGCCGAATGTAAAGCTCCTTCAAGTTTGCGAGAGGTATTCCAGAAAAGCCACTCTGACGAGTGCTCGCCATGTCGGCAATCAACCTCTCCAACAAGGGAGCAGTCTCCGTTAAGTAGGATAGATCTGGCAAGAGAACCACTGTGATACCATCCACTAGAATAAGCTCCCTCGAGGTCAATGATATTCCAGGTACAGGGTAGGAATTTAAACAAATCCCAATGATCCTAAGCGATTGCACACGAGCCATGATCTTGGTGTGGAGGGTGAGAGAATTATATGGAATGAATGTGAAAAAGCTATATTCATCCCACCTAAGGCTACCATTTGTTATGATCTGTGTTGTCATCTTGGGTTTGTGTGCATCGTTGAGTGTGATGGATTGAGGTCCACTCGGGAGTGCATCAATGAATCGTGTAGGATCTAAGGGAGGCTCAAACTCGGTGATGTGGAAGTAAACATTCCCGATATCTGATACAGGGCTAAACGCTGACCGGAAGATGCCGAGTAGCTCCTTGTGAGTGATACCTGGATGCGGTCCATCACGTATATCGATCTTGATAGGTCAGTTGATGCTCTCCTCACCCGCGTGGCTGTGTACTCGACCAACCCGTCCCGAGGCTAGTAGAGCGGGAAATCGATGATTCGCCACGCCGTCGGTACAGTGAGAATGATACACCAGAAGAAAGACAAAACATGGGATAGCACTTCTCCTATACGAAGAGAGTCTCTTTCTGTCTCTATTGTCGCCACAATCTCGAATATTCGCCGCCAAACTTCAGTAGGCGCGCGATAGGCGATCAAATTGTGTTCATTTGTCAACATCCTGATCACAGATGATAGTTTAAACAGGATTATCTGCGAAGAGAAAACGTTGATAAGTCCCCGCGTGGCGAGAGAGGTCCAAGTTGGTGATATTGATATCCGACTAGGCCGTGAGGCCGAGGTATGTTACCCGTCGGACCAGAGTGTGAATAAACACATGAGTTGTCTACATCCTATGTGCTGTCCAAGGTTTTCCATTCTTTGCCCATGTCCAAGTTGGGCAGATAGCGTCTCGTAAGGTGCGGTTCCATTCCGAGCCTGTGCAGCGTAAGAGTAGTAATTGTACAAATTACTATGGCAATTTATGGGCGATATGGTCACCATGGAGAGAAGTGAGACATTTGGAAGGGATGTCTCTGCTTGTCATTTGTCGGACAGTACTGCACGCCGATTGGCGACTTTGGTGTGGGACAAGAGCCGAGATTAGCATTTAATACCGTACGGGATTGATCCAGAGTGCTAATTCTGGCCACCAACGAGTATCCATGATCCCCTGACAAGAGGACGCGCTAGTCCAATTAACACGAGTTAGTCGAGTACGTAGCGATGATGACGGATATCCCAGTGCATATAAGACATCTTCTGTCACTACAATTAGGTACATTATAGACAGAGAGACGATTATGTACGCTCTTTGATAACTGGTCTCCATCCAGTTGTCATGGTCGACAGCTAAATATAGTACTTTCCAAAAGAATGAAATGTGTTTTAGTTGACGGTAAGTGGATTATTCCTTGTCCACAAACTGAACGAACGACGGATGCTCCGGATCCTCCTCCCATACGATGATGGTATCCTCTGGGTCATACGACGGTACCTGCTCATAATCTCCTCGAAGAAGTGCCTCTCGACGGGCTCCTTTGGACATCGACCGCGAGTCGAGCCAGAAGGTGATGGGCTCTATGATCCACAGCGCAGCGCCGAGAAGCCACATTACTCCAGCCAGACCAACTTGCGCCCACTCGTCGAAACCAAAACCGAACGGATGGGATGGGTCCTCGGGTGCGTTGACCAGCAGGAGTGCGACGGTGCCGTCGGCGATAAACGCATACAAAGAGGCGCGGAGAAGGGATATTGCGAGATTTAGTCGCGATGTGGATAATCTCCGCGGCGTTTGCTCCGGTGCCGTGTTGGGACTTGCGGTCGAGATGGATGCGCGGTTGAAAACGATGCTCGTGGCGGCGACGCATAGGCAGGATCCAACGAGAATGGTTGAAGGAGATTCGGAATGGAGATTTGCCATGGACAAAAGAACGAGCGTTGGGATGGACGCGAGGTGAAGCGCCTTGGAAAGCGCTAACGGCGACAAGGGGCGACAATAGTTTCGCGTAGAGGTACTTGCGTGCATAATGGTAGAGGGATTATTGACTTAGTAAGCGGCGATGTTTGCGAAACGAGCGACTGAATGAAGCTGGTGACCTATGTATTCTCCGAATCAGCAGAGAATGGGAGATATCTCAAAGTCTTCCGTACCAGATTCAGCGTTGAACACGGGTGCAAGTGAGAAGGAGACGAAAGCGGAAAAACGACAGAAGAGGCAGGGTTCAACGGAGATTGGTGGGGTAAGACGGAAGACGGAGTGAGATCAAAGGACACTTTAATAACCTTGATTAGAGACTTCACGGAGGAAGACTGTCTAATCAACCCGTAGCCATTTGGCAGTTTCAGGACACCACGTCCGCTTATCAAATGGAGCCACTTGCTAAACGCTGCCAACAACGATCTCGACTGGGCTAAATGGGAACCATCAGGTATTCGCAAGACAGTTCTCAAGACAGTAAGGCAGCGCATCCATTTATATTGATATCAAATCACCGACCAATCCTGTTTCTTTGGCCTCGTGTGTCTGGCCATGGGAGGCTGGCCAGCGCCATCTCCATCTTGGAGCCATCCACTATTAACAATGTGGTCCAGAAAGTCCAAAAAGCCTAAGAAGGAACGTGTGAATGCAAAACCGCCACGACCTTCGCCACAGCGCGCATCCAGCAACAAGACCCAACTGTACGACACGGCCAATATCACTCTCGACGCGGTGGCAAATCTAGCCGAAGCATCAGATGTACTCGCTCCTCTCAAAGCAGCTTGTCGAGTCACTAAATCGATCCTCGATGTCAAACAAGTGAGTAACCAACCCTGGAGTGCTCCATCTAAACAATCTGCTAGGCCATCGACAGCAATCAAGAAGAATTGACAGACCTTACCGGACGTCTGGAGGGATACATATCCGCTCTTGAAAAACAAGTCGACGTGTTCGAACGCTATCCTCCTGAGGACAGGGCTGTCGACGATGCTTTCAGGCGACCATTCACTGAATATGTCGAGTATGTGAGCGCGTGAAGCACACTTCAGTACGTTAACAGATGTAGGTTCCTCGAGAATCGCTTAGCACTGGCCCTCCAATATATCGAAAAGCGAAGCCAAGTGACTCGTCGTAGCGCTGCAGCGATTCGAAAGGTGAAAATAGACGCAGGCGTCATCCAAAAGTTCAACCGAGATATCGAGGATCGGCATAGGCAGTTTATGGTGCGAGCCTCATCGGCCGTATTCGAAATCTAACCATAAAGACAGGACGCCTTGAGTACTTTTACCGCCTTGCGCGTTCAAGCCATAGAACGAAATACCAAGACTATTCTATCAGATGGTATGTCGGAGCCTTTACAGGAGAGCCTTGCTAAACAGTTCAAGCCGACGCATCCGCCATACTCCAGCTACCAATCGTAGCCTTTGCTGCATCTTCGGTCCATACTACCTGCCTTGAGGGAACTCGTGAGGCTGTCCTCGAGACGGTCTGGCGCTGGGCCGACGACGACACATCAGAGAAGCCAATATTCTGGCTGTGTGACATAGCTGGCTCTGGCAAATCCACAGTCGCGATGTCTGTAGTTGAAAGATGGAAGAGAAGTGGTGTGCTAGGCGGGCGATTCTTCTTTTCCATGGCAAGCGGAGAGGGATCTACTACAGAGAAGTTTTGCACTACTCTGGCAAGGGAACTCGCCAATTACATTCCTAAACTTGCACCGCATATTGCAGAGGCGGTGAAGCGAAATCCTGCTATCGTGCGACACTCGTTCGATGAACAGTTCCGGACACTGATCATTGGACCACTCTGTCACTGGCAACGGCGTGTAATCATCGTCATCGATGCCGTCGACGAGTGCAAGTCTGGAATACAGCGAAACGAGCTTCTCGAAACGCTTGCTGTTGCCGCTCGGGAAAGTGTAAATCTCAAGATATTCATCACCAGTCGTCCGGACCCCGTCAGTGCAGCGATTTTGGAGCCGCTCTCAATCAAGGCAAAGTTGGAAGACCGCCTTCACGACGTCACTCATCGTGACAATGTCGACGACATTGCAACCTATATCCACAAATCACTGGACGGAGTATTATCCCGTGACCAGAGGCAGCGACTTGTCCAGAAGGCCAATGGGTTGTTCATCTGGGCAAGCACTGCATGCCGACTGCTTAGAAGCAAAACAACCATAGTCACGCCCAAGAGCGTGTACCACCGCTTAATCTCCGCGGACCAAGCAGGAGCCATAGACGATGTATACGACCTCGTATTCGAGCGCATAGAACCCGAATTTCATTCAGCCATGTGCGAGATGCTCGCTGTGTTTCTCGTTGCATTCGAGCCACTCACGGTCGACGACTTGGAGGACCTTTTCACTCATGTTGGAGCACATGGAAGTGCCAGGGGGCTAATTCAGAATCTGGGGAGCGTATTCATCGAGGATCAAACAACACATCTAGTCCAATTTCGCCATCCTACCCTCGTCGAGTACCTTCGTCGGCGTACGCGGGCTACCACTCCCGAGATAGGCGGCAGAGTCCATCTCGATATTGTTAAGGCACATGGTCAAGCCGCATCCTGGTGCCTCAAATGCTTCAAGTCACCCTCGGGAGGACTCAAGTTCAATATCTGTCAAATTGAATCATCGTTCTACTTAAACAGACAAATCCTGGACCTGGATACTAGAGTATCAGGGTATATTTCAGGAAGACTTCGCTACGCTAGTTCTCATTGGTCATTCCACGTTGCTGAAACCAACGACGAATGGAGGCATGCACTTCGGAAGGAGCTTCAAGACGTGATTAAAAGTCCATGCGTGCTATATTGGATGGAAATACTAAGTGTTACTGGAGGCCTATCACGAGCAATAGACGGTCTGCGATCTGTTACACGTCATACATCGGTAAGTAGTCGATATCAATTATCATTGGATATTAATGCGAAAAAGCTTGAAGATCAGACCAAAGTTCGCATGACGGAGATTCGGCGGTTTATGATGGCCTTTTCCGTACCTATACAGGAGAGTGCTCCCCACATCTATCTCTCAGCACTTCCTTTCAGTCCTAAAGCGTCAAACCTTCATACTAAAGGCTTGGCACGCTATAAAAAAACTCTCATTGTGACTCAGGGCCTTGAGGAGACATACCGTGGGCTCCCAAGAGCAATCCTTCATCAGGATAGCGTCAATGCTATTGCTTTCTCACCAGATGGCTCCCGAATTGCCTCTGCCTCAAGCGACAAAGCGATTCGAATCTGGGATGCAGATACCGGTCAGCTGATTGGAAAGCCACTTAGAGGTCACAAGCTTGAGGTGAATGCTGTCGCATTTTCGCCAGATGGCTCTCGCATCGTCTCTGGCTCAGACGACGCGACAATTCGACTATGGCGCGCAGATAATGGCCAGCCAATTGGACAACCACTCAGAGGTCACGACCGTTCGGTCAGAGCTGTCGCATTCTCTCCGGATGGCTTACGGATTGCCTCTGGCTCAGACGATAGGACGGTTCGAATCTGGGACTCGAACACTGGTCAGCCGATTGGAGAACCACTCCGGGGTCACGACCGTTCGGTCAGAGCTGTCGCATTCTCTCCGGATGGCTTACGGATTGCCTCTGGCTCAGACGATAGGACGGTTCGAATCTGGGACTCGAACACTGGTCAGCCGATTGGAGAACCACTCCGGGGTCACGATTCGGTCAGAGCTGTCGCATTCTCTCCGGATGGCTTACGGATTGCCTCTGGCTCACGCGATAAGACGGTTCGAATCTGGGACTCGAACACTGGTCAGCCGATTGGAAAACCACTCCGGGGTCACGACGATTGGTCAGAGCTGTCGCATTCTCTCCGGATGGCTTACGGATTGCCTCTGGCTCAGACGATAGGACGGTTCGAATCTGGGACTCGAACACTGGTCAGCCGATTGGAGAACCACTCCGGGGTCACGACGATTGGGTCAGAGCTGTCGCATTCTCTCCGGATGGCTTACGGATTGCCTCTGGCTCAGACGATAAGACGGTTCGAATCTGGGACTCGAACAATGGTCAGCCGATTGGAGAACCACTCCAGGGTCACGACGATTGGGTCAGAGCTGTCGCATTCTCTCCGGATGGCTTACGGATTGCCTCTGGCTCAGACGATAAGACGGTTCGAATCTGGGACTCGAACAATGGTCAGCCGATTGGAGAACCACTCCAGGGTCACGACGATTGGGTCAGAGCTGTCGCATACTCTCCGGATGGCTTACGGATTGCCTCTGGCTCAGACGATAAGACGGTTCGAATCTGGGACTCGAACAATGGTCAGCCGATTGGAGAACCACTCCAGGGTCACGACGATTGGGTCAGAGCTGTCGCATTCTCTCCGGATGGCTTACGGATTGCCTCTGGCTCACACGATAAGACGGTTCGAATCTGGGACTCGAACACTGGTCAGCCGATTGGAGAACCACTCCGGGGTCACGACCGTTCGGTCAGAGCTGTCGCATTCTCTCCGGATGGCTTACGGATTGCCTCTGGCTCAAACGATGAGACGGTTCGAATCTGGGACTCGAACACTGGTCAGCCGATTGGAAAACCACTCCGGGATCACTACCGTTCGGTCAGAGCTGTCGCATTCTCTCCGGATGGCTTACGGATTGCCTCTGGCTCAGACGATAGGACGGTTCGAATCTGGGACTCGAACACTGGTCGGCCGATTGGAGAACCACTCCGGGGTCACGGCGATTCGGTCAGAGCTGTCGCATTCTCTCCGGATGGCTTACGGATTGCCTCTGGCTCAGACGATAAGACGGTTCGAATCTGGGACGCGGCGACAGGTCAGCTCATGGGAGAACCACTGGTTGGCCATGATGGTTATGTGAACGCCGTCTCATACGCGCCAGATGGCTCGCGGATTGCCTCTGGATCCGATGACGGCACAATCCAAATCTGGCGTTTACCTGGTCAGTCTCATAAGGTCCAATGTATGCTAGAAGCTCATGGTTGTCGTTCCTACAGGGGATTGTTATCCTGACTATGAAGACAATAACACACTACACTCATCGCTAGAAGAATCGAATATCACCAGCAAATCATTGGGTGCCTTGTTACCAATCGTCTTGCCTGGATTCCGAAAATGTTTCCTTTTGCAAGATGGTTGGGTGCAATCGTCTGACCAATTCTTATTCTGGGTACCTCCTGATAATCGGCATGGACTACGATATCCATGTCATCTGTCGATACCACCCCGTGCTCATCTACGCAAGACCAGAATCGACTTCGCCAACTTCCGCTGCGGTACAGATTGGACCGAGGTTTGCACAGGTTGATCAGTGACTTGTTGCAAATTGTATAACTATGAATGAGCTTGATATTCAATGTAACATATACAATGAATCCCGATGGGGAAAGGAGCTTTTAGACAGTTCTGATTCATTATTCCAAACAATCCAGACGTCATCCCCTTTACTTCGCACTCGCGCGTCTGTAGCTTCGATCATGGACACCCAACCCTTGTTCAATCTCACTGTGCAGGGGGGTTCTCTTTGGCCCGACCGTCTTGAGATAAACTGTATGGAAAGGATCGAGAGTCCAGGAGATAGCCCGCACTGGCTGGCATCAGGAGAAGCTACCCGGCCATCAAGGATCCGTTGAAGCATACACTGGTCTAGTTCATGTGCAGAATCGTCTATGTGAAGATGCTCGAGTTGGCTGAACCTGGGGGACAGGGTAACCTTTCGACGTTTCCAAGGCTCGTCCTTCTGAGGAAAGAGCTCTGGGATGACTGCTGACACAATGGAGAGGCGACGGATTTGTGGGCATGCCTTTGCCATTTCTTTGAGATCAACGTCTTTTCCGAGAGTGAGGTCGGTGATGGTAGGATGATTTTTGAAAAACTGATAAACCAACTCCGACTTGATATCGCATCCGCCCATGCTAAACTTTCCAAGTCGTGGAAAGTGAAGCCGGCGGGCGGTTGGGTCCGACTCACGAATTGAGAAATACCGAACGTAAAGTTCCTTTATGTATGCCATATCTGGTCTAGGAAAGATGGACCAACCGCCTATATTTACGTCCACAATCAGCCTCTCCAATGACGGAGCGGCAGCCATAATCAAGCCTAAACATGAGTGAGACAAACCGGATGTGGAACGGTCCGCTAGGATAAGCTCCTGCCAACCCAATTCGTTTCCAATTGTCGGGAATATTGAGAAATCAACTCCTATTAACTTACACGATTGTGCGCGAGAAAAGTTTGGGCTGTCGACGATAACAGAAGAGTCGGGACTGAACTTAAGCGAGCTGCCTCCAGAGTAACAAAGATTACCTGCAGTTGGATCAGGAGGCATTATTGGATTGTTAGCGAAGTCAAGGTTGGCTGCATTATAGAGGGTGATGGAGTGAGGTGTACTAGGAAGGGCATCTATGAATCGTATAGGATCCAAAAAGCCGTCGTAATTGGTGATATGGAAGTAAATCTCCTCCACATTTGATATAGGTTTAAACACCGACTGGAAGATGCCGAGTAGTTCCTCGTGGGTGAGGCCGGGGTGCGGTCCATCACGTATATCGATATTGACAGGGTAGGTTGCTGCTCTCACCACCAGTGTAGTTGTGTACTCGACCAACTTATCGCGGGGCCAGTAGAGCGGGAAATCGATGATTCGCCACGCCCTTGGGACAGTGAGAATAATGTACCGGAAGAGGGAAGAAACGTGAGATATCACCTCTCCTATACGGAGAGAGTCTCTTTCCGTTTCTATCGTCGTCGCAAACTCGAATATCCGTCGCAAGACTTCGGTGGGCGCGCGATAGGCGACCGAAGTTTGTTCATTTATCAACATTCTGACCACAGATGATAGCTTGGTCAGAAGTATTTGCGAGGCGAAAACGTTGATAAGTCGTCGCGTGGGAGAGTTCAAGTTTGGCGGAGCAATGGGCGCAGTTCTATTCCGAGCCCGTGCGTCCTAGCACTTGGGCAATTTCTAGGGAAAGTAACGATAAAAGTTGATGAACGATGTTTCAGGGGCATTATACATCGTCATGGGAAGCTGGAACGCGATGCTCCATCTCTTGTCAGTGATGTCAATTACAGTCGAACCTATAGATAAGAAATCTACTCTGTATCCCAGACAAGACAAGCCCCATCATCACCGGCACTAACAAGCACGCCTTTGCCTCCGGCACCGAGTCCAATGTCGATACCATTGATAGGTCCACGATGTCCGGTATGCTCTTTGAGGAGAGTACCGTTTCGGACGTCCCAAGTTTTGAGACTTCGGTCTGCCGACGCAGTCGTAACAACGTAAGGGGGATTTCGATGCTGGATGATGGAGGTAACCGAATCCTAAGCAGCGTAAGTACTAAAAATTCGCGTACTAGTCTGAGTAACTCACGTCGTGCTTCATCTCTGTTCGTAGTCGCATCGTGTTGAGATCCCAGACACAGACCTTGCCATCCGTACCGCCGGTGACAACGACTTCACGAGTCGAACCAGCGGCACCAATGTCCACGAAAGCCACACTCGACGCTTTCGCCTTCTTGGTGGCCCTCGAGACCTCCGATGACTTCACCTTTTTCCTTGGCCAAGTTGACAATCTTGACGCCACCTTCTGCACCCCCAACGACGGCAAGAGTACCCTCTTTGTTGACGGCGATGGAGATGACGCCTCCACTAAGACCAAAGCGTTCGTCTTCGCTGCTGAGCTTCCATAGTGGGGTAGTGGATCGCGGATCCCAATAGATTAACGTTCCTGCGCCATCACCGGAGAGAATACGTTTGCCAGATGGGATAAATGTACCGACATTGACGGTTTCGGTGTGCGAGGCAAAGATTTGCATCGAGTTTCCAGACGGGAGTTGGTACATCCACATTGTTGAATCTTGACCTCCAACGAGGAGAACGGGGCCGGCGGGATGCCATTTGAGCCACTGTAATCAATCACAATCAGAGGATGAAAGGGGCTCTAGAGCAAGATGCGTACCACAACCTCGTCCACACCCTCTAGTTGTATCAGGAATTCCCAGCTTTTCCAGGAATCCTTCTTTTTCCAAATCCGCACGCGACCGTCCATACCGCCAGTTGCGACCATATCCCCAGCGTGGCTAAAGCCGACAGCGACGACACTGTCCGAGTGCCCATCCAACTTGAGAACTTGGTCTCCTGTCGTGGTGTCCCATAGGTATCCGGCGTCATCTTCGCCTCCTGAGACGGCGAGAGGTGCAGATGGATGAGCAGCGACGGCAAACACGGATTTTGCGTGGCCTGCAAAAGACTGGATGGATGTATCCTCTAGGACAATGTGCTCGTCTGGATCCCCCTCTTCAGCGTCCATCTCCTGGTCATCGTCGTCTTCGTCGTCCATCGGGACGTCTTCGCCGTCATCTAGGATGATTTCTGCGACATCGTCTTGTTCTCACATACTCTGCTTCGTCTGTGTGATGGGCTGGCGATGATTTTCTCTCTGTCATTCTTGATTTCTAAACAAAACGCTGGGTGGCTACGGACAGTCGTCAGCTTTCCTTGTCCGCAGAGATGATTATAAGGGTGTGCGTACTGAATAGGATGAGTAATGACCAAGATTAAACTAACCCCCGCCGTTGATTTCGCCGCCTCGTTTGTGATCTGCCTGACAAATCTCCGGAGCCGGTTCGAAGAGTGACTTTGATGTCTTGAGAAATACTGTAGAATATGCCTTGTGACGTCAAATACACCGTCGGCGATCAACGACTGTCGAGCGAGCTGTCCAAGTCGACCGTCTCCAAATCTCAGACTACGACCATAATCCTCCAGTTTACGTACAGCATCCTCGGCCACGTCTAGATAATCATGAAACTATCATTACTACTACTTGGATTCCTTCCAATAGGCGTATGGGCCTCCAATGTTCTCGAATTGACAGAGTCGGATTTTGACAAACACGTCGGTGCTGGTAAACCGCCTGCACTCGTTGAATTGTGAGTTTATTTCATCTCCTAACTACTATATCCACCGTTGGAACGCGTTTGTCGCGTTGGCCTATTCCTAGCTGCCGAATTCGTTTGCTGACGAGCTTCCTCCGCCCTGCAGCTATGCCCCCTGGTGGTCCGTATCGTCATTCCTTGAAAGTATTCGTGGTTTATTGACACCATCTTACTGGACGTTACTGGCACTCTGCAAATAGTGGGCACTGCAAAGTACGTGTCACTTCCTAACTGCAAAACATAGCACAGAGGCTCAATTTGCATACCCGCCGTGTAGAATCTTGCTCCCACGTACGAAAAGCTCGGTGACGCATTCAGCCATGCAAAGGACAAGGTATCCATCGTCAAGGTCGACGCCGATGGAAAGGGCAAAGCCCTCGGCTCCAAGTATGGGGTTACTGGCTTCCCAAGTATGTAACGTGCAACATCGCTCAACTCGTCTCACCCTCGCCAGCCCTCAAATGGTTCAATGGTGACGGCTCCGAGCCAGAAGCGTACAATGGTGGTCGTGAACTCGAGGAGCTCGCAAGCTTGTAGGTTTTACTTGTATACCGTGGCATGTGGACTCACAAAGCCCAGCGTGACCAAGAAAACTGGGGTCAAGTCGAGCATTAAACCACCACCGCCGGCAGCAGTCATTACTGCAGATGTCGACACGTTCAAGGAGATTGTCATGGATCCAAAGAAGGACGTTCTCGTTGCGTTCACTGCGCCGTGGTGCGGACACTGCAAGAACATGAAGCCTGCCCTAGAAGCCGTCGCTCAAACATTCAAGCCCGAGAACGATGTTCGTTTCCCTCAATTATCATCTTAACATTCAGTAGCTAACTCTGTTCATAGTGCATCATTGTCAACATTGACGCCGACGCCCAGCAGAACAAGGGCATCGCACGCGAGTTCTCTGTCAACTCCTTCCCCACGATCAAGTTCTTCCCGCGCGCCAACTCTCCCTTCACGACAACACCTCTCCCAGCCGATACCGTCGGTCAAGCGACGTACACCAAATACGGCAAGCATGCCATTCCATACGAAAAAGCACGTTCGGAAGCCGACTTTGTCGCTTTCCTGAACCAACACTGCGGTACGAACCGTGCTGTTGGTGGCGGTCTGAACACGTTTGCCGGACGCTTGACAGGCACTTGGGATTCGTGGGCCCAAGAGTTGATGGGCTTTGCTTCGCAAAAGACCGAAGACGCCAAGGCTAGGATGGTGGAGATTGTGAATCTCATGAAGGCTGGTTTGGATGAGGTCAAGGCCGAGGAGCAGTTTGCTGCGCGATGGTATATTCGTGCGTCGGAAAAGATTGTCAACAATACCGAGTCTTGGTTGGAGAAAGAGTCGAAGAGGTACGTCGTCTCTTCTTGGTGGTGGTCATTGTATCTGATGAGTGAGCAGGCTTAACTCTATCCTGGCCAAAAAGAGCCTCGCGCAGACGAAACTCGACGAGGTTCGCATCAAGGCGAACATTCTTACTGCATTCGTGGTGAAGAGGGGCGAGGAAGTAGCCGACGATATCAAGGAGAAGGTACAGGATGTCAAGGAAAAGGTGGAACAAAAGGCTGCTCAGGTCAAGGAGGAACTCTAGTGATATACGCTACATTCGTGCACTATCTAAGACATTCTTCTCCTCGACAACGACATCTGAGTTATAAGACATGTGGTGTTCGTCACTTGCTCACTATCCGTATGGCTTCAAAGTCTCGTCCAAAGCGGGATGCTGCAAAGCAAAGTCTGGAGAGGTAGTGTATACGACTGGAGTCCGTACATATAACTGTTCACTGAGTATCCGCTTTTATCCCCACAGAACCTCACAGGTGTTCGGCAGGAAGCGCCCTATGGTCATACAGAAGAACTTGATCAATCGACTATCTGATGATATTCTCTTCATCATCTTCGACATATCGGCATCCTATGTCCGCCCTGTCTCGCTGTCCCATGTTTGTCGGACATGGAGATACCTCATGCTTGGGGCTCCGACGCTCTGGCAAGTATTTTATATTCTTCTCACTCGGAAACCTAACGTCATCAGATCGTTTTGGTTCGCCATGAGTGAGAGAGTGAAGCAATTGCCGGTCAAATTACACCTCCTCGATCGACCTAGTGTCTTTATCAATCATGGTCTCGTCATTTCTACCTTGAGGGATCTGCTCGCCAGCACCGACGTAAACGTCAGTCAAGTTTTCATATCCATTTTCCGGCAAGACTGTGTACTTCCTCTTATATCGTATCTCCGACTCTTCACCAAACCACTTCTGCCGCATCCACGTAGCTGCGTCAGAAGAGCCCGGGTCGATGGCTTATCACGAAATTGCAGCCCAAGAATCATGGTTCGATGGCGAGCACGTCTACGTGGATATCAATAGCCTATTCGAGGCTCTTCCGCCGACAGAAACCCTTGTCTTGACGAATATCGCCTTCGAATCCGAGACTTGGCGACCATACAGCTCGGCATTGAAAGGACTTGAATCCCTCACTCTCACGGCTCCTGCGTCTTCGTCAATTGGACTCTGGCATTTGCTCAGTGAATGTGCTGGGCTCAAATGTCTTCGCCTACAGGGAGACATTGAAGTAACAGACGCTCCGCTTCCTTTCGACACTGCTCTAGAAACCATTCAGATACTTCAAGTTGAGAGCCTGATAGATTTCTGCAAGGAACAAAATCCTCCTACATTTCCCAACCTCAGGGAACTGACCATAATCGATTTTGACAATGGCCCATACATCCATCAATTCTTGTCAGTCAACTCGACAATCGAGCGATTCAGTGTCTGGTCACCGATCACATATAACTTCGACTTCCTCTCTCGATCCCTACCGCACCTCCGCAAGGCACTCCTCTGCGACATCAATTTATCAACCCTCTATGCCGCCTCCTCGGGTACGGAGTGGAATCTCAAGCAACTGCAGGAACTCATTGTCTACTTCTTTGACCAGACTCTGGACCCTGAAGAGGTTGAACGAGTCATTCAGAATCGCATGCTGCGCATGTCGTTGTCAGACTCAGTAGTGTCACTCAGAGAATTCCGCTTGAGGCTTCCTCTGACTATGGTGGATGTAGTAAACACCCCTCGGTGGCAGAATAGCCGACTTCTTGTATGCGCGGATGTTGAGACTCGCGGAGAATTTGTCCAGTACATTTGGAAAATTGACAGGTATGAATTCATACGTTTAATTGATACTCTGCTGATCCAAGACATAGGTTACAGTGAGCCCGAAGGCTTTTCTTGGCCTCACTCTCCATGAGTGATACACGTCTCATGTCTCTTAGCCTGGCTTTTGATAATGGATTTGTCAAACTATTTGGCGGGAACAACGTCTATCAGCTGTTTTACTTGGTTCCCTCCTCAGAGCTCAGAACTCCTCGAGATTGAAACCAGTCAGCTCGTCGAAACATACTCGAGGGTAATTCTTGACGCGTAACAGTTCGAAGAGGTATCTTGGTCCCAAAAGGCGTTCACGGCACGAGATGATGTGGAGAGGGGAATGTTAGTTTATTGCCTTGTTGTCTCGTCTATGTACATAGTGGCGAGTGAGCGACCGTAGTCAAACCTTACTGGTTTGACTACAACGCTCACTTGCCTAAGGTAGCTCACTATATATTCACTGGTTTGACTACAACGCTCACTTGCCTAAGCATACTCTGTTCAACAGGTTATGAGTCCTGCGCTCTAAAAGTGCTTGCTACAGCCGTTGCCACCAGTGCCCACAAGTGATACCACTCAGTATCCATCAATATCAACTACTGCACGATTCTACTTCTAGCGCATACATTCAGCAAGCACACACACTACGCCAACCTCCACAGACACTGCTCAGTACCCAATCCCCTGCGTCGCACTTGACATCCACGGCGTGGGAAGCCAACAGAAAATCTTCTTCTCGCTTAAAACCGGATCACCTTCGGTAAACGCAAATACCCCTGATGGAAACAATTCTCAAACAGCTCATACGGGCCGGCACACCGAATACAGCAAATTGGGAAGAATGGATTTGGAATTTTGACGGCCTTCTTACCCTTGCTGAGTACGATACAATCCTCTTTGCCAAAGATCCAAGCACCAAAGCACGCATCCCACGACCTGGCTATGCAGATCCAACAAAGCCAACGCCAGAAGAAATATCTGCACAGAAAACCTATGATGATGCAAATCGTCAGGTGGCCGCATGGTTACGCACTGCAGCCGGCCAGGAACACCGACATATCCTCGAAAAGACACCTTCTGACGGTGTGGCAATTTACGATGCGCTTTTCGAGCTCTATGCCAAAAAGGATGAAAGCATGCGCTTCAGAGCATGGAATGAACTGCTTTCAATCCGCAAGCAATCAACAGAGTCATGGGCAGACCTGGTCAAACGTGTGGACGACGCCACCCATGCACTTGACCGTCTCCGCCCAGCCGATTGGGACATACAGAAGGAGACAGAGGAACTCAAGGCATTTACACTACTCAATGCCATCCCCACTGAGCATCAGCTGCGCACCAGCATTGTCGTTTCCAACACAATCAATTACAACAAAATCAAAACAGCAATGCTCCTATTCAACACAACGACACCAGAATCGCAGGACGTAGCACCCGAGGTTGCTGCCGCCGTTACCACGCCATCAAAATGCCTGTTTTGCCTGAACATCGGCCATTTTGTCAAAGATTGCCGCACAATGGTCCGCTTCCAGCAGATGTACCTGAATGAGCGCGCCGAGCGACGAGCCGGTACCTCCGGAACCCAGCCACACCGAGCACGTGGACGCAGTGATCGGAGCTCTGCTCCAGGACGGTCACACCAGGCACATGCTGCGCAAGCAATCGACAAGCCTACGGAGGTCGAATATGCTGGAAATGCAAGTTTGTCCCAATTACCCGTACCTACAGCAGCTGACAGCTGGATTGCTGATTCAGGAGCCTCCTGCCATATGACACATCGTCGCGAGTGGCTCACTGGCTTCTTGGAGCGCAGGACTCCTGTAAAGCTAGCTGATGGATCAATCACTTTTGGTACGGGTAGGGGAATGGTCACGTTTAGGCCACTGCTAGATGGAAACTCGACAGTTCCATAATTCTCAAAGATGTCCTCTTCGTTCCCAATCTGAAAAACAACCTCTTTTCCATATTCATGATGACTCTCTCCCCATCAATCACTGCGACTATCAATTCCAACACGCTCTGCTTCTACAAAGAAAAGAATGCGATTCTCATTGCTACTAAGCGTGCGCACAATGTCCCACTACTCGAAGGCCGCACAGACGAACCAGGGACAGTACCTGAGTCGGTTTCCCATGCCATAACAACCACACCAGTGTCAATTGAGACATGGCACCGGCGTTTCTGCCATCGGAGCTATGCCACAATCGACAAGATGCTCTCAACTAGTGTTGTCAAAGATTTTGCCACCACTGGCAAGACAATAACCCCAGCTCTTTGCGTACCCTGTGTAGAGGGCAAGCAGACTCGTGCACCACATACAGTGCCTGCAAAACGATCAGAATCTGTCCTTGGACGCATCTCCTCAGACGTCCATGGGCCAGTGCCAACTCAGAGCCGGAAGGGACATCGGTATTGGGTTACATTCATTGACGATAAATCACGTCGTGTTACCCTGTACACACTCCTCAGCAAGCACAGAGTTCTCGAGGCATTTAAAGACTTCAAAATGCACGCTGAGACGGAGCTGGGGGTAAAGATTAAATGTCTACGAGATGACAAAGGTGGCGAATACATGTCCACCGAGTTCCAAAACTACTGTGCAGAGAATGGCATCCAACGCGAACACACCATCCGCGACAGTCCCCAGCAGAATGGAGTCGCTGAGAGATTCAACCGTCACCTTGCTGAAGGGGTAACTGCAATGCTTTCAGAAGCAAAGCTACCACCGTCGTTCTGGGCCGATGCTGCCAGAGCCTTTGTCCACACCCATAACCGACTTCCATCCTCTGTTCTCAATGGTATAACACCCATAGAGATCTGGAATGGCTCAAAACCCTCTGCTGGACACCTACATGCTTGAGGCTGCCGAGCCCATGTACACCTTCAAAAAGATCAGCGTGTACAGCTCGCACCCCATACACGAAAATGTGTCTTCATTGGATATCCAAATTAATACAAAGGTTGGATATTCTGGGACCCACAACACAGGACTTCGTCTCTGACAGTGCAATATTTGTCGAAGATGAGTTCCCAGGGGGTTATAAAACGAAGAGACATGTTCCACAGCCTGTAGATGACATATCACCATCATTCTCTCTTGTCCCATTTGTGCCACACACACCAAACCCTCCAGTCCAGCCATCTTGTCCACCTCCTGACAAGCCAATCCGTCTGGAGCAAGGCCAAGGTGATGATCAAGACTTACTCCCAGACCTAAACCTCCTTGATCTCAGCAACTCCGACGATGACAACGATGGAAATGGCAACAATACCCAAGAGCCACCGAGAGCCACACTAGATCTCCCTGCTCAGTACAGACATCTCGCGCCAAACAACAGTGCGGAGTTACCCAGGGAGACCAAGAGGCTCCTTGAGCACTTCGAGAAATTTCCAGGGAGCCTGCCAGGCAAGCGGCAGACTCGATCAGCTCACCCAGCATATAATGAGATCGCAGATGCTGCACAGTCAACAGAACAAGACACGGCATATGTGCTGGTCTCACTGGCTGATGGCTTCGAGTATGCCCTCCAAACGTCTGCAAAGCTCGAGCCTAACGCCCTAGCCGAGGCGTTAGAACGTCCCGATAGTGAGACATGGCTCGAAGCGGCAGTCAAGAGATCGATGCTCACCTGGAAAATGGAACCTGGGAGGTTGTGCGGCTGCCACATGGAAAGAAAGCAATAGGATGTCGTTGGGTCTTCAAGATCAAACGTAACCCTGATGGGTCAATTGACAAGTACAAAGGTCGTATTGTTGCAAAGGGCTATGCTCAGCGCGAAGGTGTAGATTACACCGAGACCTTTGCGCCTACAGCACGCTTTGGAGCACTGCGGACAGTCATTGCGCTAGCAGCAGTTGAGGACATGGAACTGTCGACATCTCTACAGCCTTCCTCAATGGCGAAATCGATGCAGAAGTGTACATGCAGCCGCCAGAGGGATTAACAATACATGGAGACTCCGACGGGTCACATCAATGGGTACTCCGACTGCTAAAAGGTCTATATGGCATCAAACAGGGGCCGCGACTTTGGTCAGTGAAGCTGCACAGAGTACTCTCTGAGATAGGCTTCGAACGACTCGAATGCGACCACAGTGTCTTCGTCTACCAACGCGATGGGGTGCGGATTATCATACCTGTCCATGTCGACGGCCTCATCCTTGCTTCCATGTCTCACTCCGCAATCCACAAAGTCAAGGAGGAACTCAAGCAATGCTTCAAAATCCATGACCAAGGCCAGACAACCCAGATACTTGGAATTCGACTTGAGCGTGATCGCACAAGTCGCACAATTGCTCTCTCACAGCCGGCATACATACAAAAGCTACTTGAGGACTACAATATGACCGACCGTACCCCGTCTCCAACGCGAATGCCCGATGGGCTTCGACTCTCAGCAGAAATGAGTCCAAAAACAGCCGAACAAAAGGAGCGAATGAAAAGCATCCCATACAGAGAGGCCGTAGGCCGTCTCTTATACCTCTCAATTGCAACTCGCCCCGACATCTCATATGCTGTTGGTGTTCTGTGTCGATACAATTCCAACCCAGGAGAACAGCATTGGAATGCTGTCAAGCATGTCCTCAGATACCTCAAAGGCTCGCAAGATCTCAAACTCATCTGTTCTCCCACCTCTTCCACCGATTTCTTCACTGCCCACAGCGATGCCGACCTGAGTGGAAACCCAGATAACTCGCGATCCACTGGTGGATATGTCCTCTCAGTTGGCTCAGGAGCTGTCATGTGGGGTAATCCACTACAAAGACATGTCTCGCTCTCATCCACAGAGTCTGAATACACAACAGCATCTGCTGCGGGATGCGAGATAATGTGGATGCGCCAGTTTCTCGAGGAAATCGGCTATGACATCTCTATACCATCCCCTCTTTACCTCGACAGTCCATCAGCCATCCAAGTGGTCAAAAATCCCGAACACCAGACAACCATGAAGCACGTTCACCGTGCATACAACTGGATTCGCGAACGCGTTGAGAATGGGGAACTCTGTGCACAGCATGTTCCGACCTCTGAAAATGTCGCTGATATCTTCATCAAACCCCTTGGTCGCATCAAGTTTGAATACCTTCGAGGTAAACTTGGTCTCTCATGATAATTCCCTCACGTCAGGGGGTCGCACATCGACGAGTCAGCAAGTCAGGGGGTCGTGTTAGTTTATTGCCTTGTTGTCTCGTCTATGTACATAGTGGCGAGTGAGCGGCCGTAGTCAAACCTTACTGGTTTGACTACAACGCTCACTTGCCTAAGGTAGCTCACTATATATTCACTGGTTTGACTACAACGCTCACTTGCCTAAGTATACTCTGTTCAACAGGGAAGAGGTCAAGTCGAGAATTTTACGTCTCATTTCTGTTGATACTCGTCCTAACCGACCTCTGAGGACACTCCTAGGCCCAAGAGTCTCACTGGCAAAGCTCGGAGCGGCGCTCATTGAGACAGACCTTCCTGCAAATAGTAGAGAGACAACCGCCGTCAATAGAAAAGCACTCCATTCAGAGTAAATGTTAGATTTATCCACCATTAAAGTTCTTCTCCTCGAGTACGGAAAGGGAGCTGTGGTCATATTCCCCACCATGTGGTGTCCACGCCTTATTCGCTACTCTCATGTCTTCCAACGCTCGTCCGAGGCGGGATGCCGCAAAGCAAAGTATAGAGAGGTAGCGTCTACGACATGATTTAGAAATCGTGATTATTTACGGAATATCCTTTTCATTATAATAGGACAGCCAGTTTGCTGGGCAGGAGGCGACCCGTGGTCGTGAAGAAGAATAAGAAGAACTTGATTAATCGGCTTCCCGACGAGATTCTGTTCATCATCTTCGACATGTCGGCATATGCGGAAACCGCGGATGACTATCATGTCGACCCCGTCCTTTTGTCCCATGTCTGTCGTACATGGAGAGAAATTGTGCTTGGGGCCCCTACACTCTGGCAGGTATTCCAAATATACCTAAACCAGAAGCCGAGTGTCATCAAGTCCTTCTGGTTCGCCATGAGCGACAGAGTGAAGCAATTGCCAGTCAGACTGGAGCTCATAGACCGACCTAATATCTTCCACCACGAGCTCGTCATCTCAATTATACGAAATATGCTCGCCATTACCGACGTGAACATCGATCAAGTTTATCTATCCGTCATCAGGCAGCCCTATGCACTCCCAGTTGCATCATATCTCAAACTATTTACAAGATCACTTCAGCTAGTTCACGTGGTAGCGTCACAAGAACCTCGCCTGTCGGTAGAAGGTCACATAACTATCCCAGAGGAGACGTGGTTTGACGGTATCTGTATCTACGTGGACATTAGGAGAATATTGGAGATTCTTCCCCCAACAAACTCGCTGATCTTGGAAGATATCGCCTTCGAACCAAAGAGCCAAGGGTCGTACAGCTCAGGGCTGGCAAAGCTCAAGGCACTTACACTCACGACATCCAGATACTCATCAATTGAACTCTGGCATCTGCTTCGTGAGTGCGGGAGGCTCGAATATCTTCGCCTAGATGGAGATATTGAAATAATGGACGCACCACTTCCTGATGACACAGCTCTAGAAACTATCACAACACTCGAAGTCGAGAGTCTGGGATACTTCTGCGAAGATCTGACCCCTCCCGTGTTTCCCAACCTCAGGGAACTTGTCACCAATCTAGGCGAGCCCCTATACATGCAACAATTCTTGTCCGTCAACTCGACACCTAAACGACTATGCGTATTTCAATCGATCTCACTCAGTCTCGACTTTCTCTCTCGGTCACTACCCCACCTCCGCGAGGCACTCCTCTGCGATATCGATTTATCTACTTTTTATACCGCCTCCTCGGATACTGAATGGAATCTTGAACAACTACAAGAGCTCACTGTCGACTTTTTCGACAAAAGTTTGGACCCTGGGGAAGTTGAACGGGTCATTCAACATCGCATGCTGCGCATGCAGTTACCAAGCTCGGTAGTAACACTCGAAAAGTTTAGTATAGTGCTTCCTCTACCTATGGCGGATGTGGAAGCCACCCCCAAGTGGCAGAATAGTCAACTCCTTAGGTGTGCCGAGGTGGAGACAGGCAAAGAAGCCGTTCAGTACACATGGAGCGTTGACTGGTAAGATTTCCTACATCTGACTCATACTCTACTGATCCGAGCGGTAGTTTGCCATGATCCCGAAACTCTCTTTTTGTCGTTCCAGCTGGTACAGCTTCAGTCTCATGTCTCCTCACTATTGGTAATAAGATGTTCCCTTCCTCAGCGGAAATATTTCACCTTTTCCTTGGTTGCTTTGCTTCCTCAAGGCAGATTGAACCCCTCGAGGCTGGGAATGGTTACTATAATGAACCCATAGGTAAGTCTCGGCTCACTGCATCTCAGATAATCATACCTGGAACGCTTTACCCGACCTGTAGCCGAGATCATATATCAGTGCAGCCGTTTAGAGCGTCTGGCTCTTCGCGGCTCGGTTGTTTCGATAGGCGAACCAACACAGAGTAACCAGGCGCTCAAGTCCATAAAGTCACTTATCGTTGGAAGGATTAACCCATTTATAGGTCCTCAGGCCCCGTTTGCACCCGATATTTTCAAACCTCAACCGACTCGAGGTGCACGATGCGAGAGGCCAAAGAATGGAGCTGTTTCTGTAGGATCATATGCATATTACCTACTTGGAGACAATGTCTAGTATGGATATTAGTGCGAAGCATATTTCTAGACTTCTCCCACGCCTCGAAAGCCTGCACACCTGCGAATTCCAGTATAGGTCTCTTCATCGCACGTCGGAACAGCGAGACTGGCTGTTCGAGAACTTATCTGAGCTCCAGATCCTGGTTCATCAAGGCTTCGAGGAGCCCGGTGCAGCGGAGCAAACTATATCACGACGAATGGCCCGAACCGACCTCCCAAGTGGTGTCGTTACTCCCAAGGTACTAAGACTCATATCCGTCGATCCAGATATCCTCGAATCGAGGACCTGGTGTAAGAGCCATCTCCTTTCTTCCGCCGACCAGGATATTTTGGACAGCCGCATGATATCCTAAACATGAACCTATGAAAGGTAAGCTTATTCGCGATCCACGTTCTGAACCCATGCTTTCTATATTAGCCTTCCATGAATGAATATTCGTCGTAGGTCTCGTGGAGCGTCAGATAGTTGGTGGCTATTGCCCGTGAAATCCTACTGTGACTTTAGCAACATGCATTTAATTGCCTACGTCAACTCTGTCTGAATTTCCGGGGGTATCCTCTAAACTTAGTCTCCTCCCCGAAATGAGCGCCAGGCCGACATCCAAGATCTACTCAATATTGAAGCCCAAATGGCTTCAAGAGAGATCTAGCTCAAAGAGATATTTTGCGAATGCACAATGCGCACCGATATTTCGCCTTCCAACAGAGGTTCTGGCCGAAATCTTTGCTTTCGCGGTGGAAGGGGACGAGTTCAGGGAGACACCGAGGCCAAACCAACGAGTATGCGAAACACTATCCAGGACATGCTCTCATTTCCGTGCCATTCTCCTCGACATGCCAGCGGCATGGATAGTTGACATATCCCTCGACTGGTCACCAAGCACATTGTCAAAATACCTTGAAATCATGCTGAGCCGCGTCTCGGGTAGTCCACTGCGTGTGGTTCTGCGCGATGGACACCAGTCGGCAAAGGCCGCCCTCCTCAGGGTCCTTTCAGAGGCCCTTCGAAAAGCGAAAATAGACAGAATAGAGAGCGCCCGTCTCTTCCTCGGTCGTATGGATATGGCCTACTTTCCACAAGTCTTTTTAGACTTGCTACCTGTAGCGCCGCGTTCGTTGACTCTCCATGCCCTCGCATCGCCGCCTACACGGGGTATATTCAAACGGACAAAGAGAACATCTTATAAAGTGTTCGTCATTCCCCCAGGTCCCATGATCTCCGCAGTCGAGTCGATCCAAGTCATCGACGCGCTACTCAATATTGGCGTCGACGTTCATTCCGAAACACCGATGGCACTGCGCTCACTAAAAGTCCTACAAACCCCAGAAGAGAGTATGCCAGCAGTGCGCTGTGGTCTCATTTTCGGCACGTTCCTCGGAAGATGCACCCATCTAGAGACCTTGGTGTTCCATGGTCGTTTATTCTGGTGGGCTCCTCCATTTGACACGCCAAGTACATCTCCTCTCAAGGAACTCTACATAGCCGAGTTCGACTCTGATACTATTCTCCACTCCCTCTCTGTGGCCACGTCGTTCCCCAGTCTTACCAAATTTGGCGTATCTGGGTACAAGCCAAGCCTGCTTCTGCCGTTCCTTTTATCGAATCCATCCATCTCTGATCTCTCTCTCCCTTATATAGCACAAGGAATGAGATCTTCCCTCCGCCAGATCACGAAATTGACAATCTCGTCGAAGGGTCTACATACATTATTTCTTATGGGGGAAGATGATAGCCGCACCTTTACTGCGCTGGAGGAATTGATCATTGACTGTCGGGAGAAGGAGGCGAGCCAGATAGAATTGGAAACCTTGATCGAAACACGGGTCACCTCTCCTATCCTTCACGGTTACGAACGGCCATTGTCATCTATATCCCTTTTGAGGCCCTCCACCTGGGGGGCACCAACTTCGGAATTATCGCCCTATATCTCGCCTAACAGTGGCCATCTCACCAAAGATTTGATCCATGGACACAGCATATGATCTGTATAAGATTCTCGGAGCCGGACAGTTAACCTCGTTTGCGCGTTTGTCGTATTAATTTCTCCTTAGAAAGGTAGAGAAAAGATAGTAATGCATATTTCACGGTCTCTTCCATGGTAGAATCCATGCCTTTATTCAAACGCCACGGGCACGTTCCTAAGTTGGTCCTTGCTACATTCATTTCTTTAGGACTCAGCATGGTTTCTCTGCATCCAACAGAAAACTTACGCTATACTGGATTGCTAAGCAAGCTCGTGATCTGCTCTGCCTCATCATCGGAATCGTCAAGACGGACTTTGCCAGGATCTTGATCATCGTCGAGCCAATTAAGTGCTCCTAACTCTTTCAGGATGCCTCCAAGTAGGAAGAGGACAAGACCAATGGTCCAAACCGTCCATCCAAGCGCCATCACTGCGTCGTCCCAGGCCCGACTCAAGATGATGATGACGCCGAGGATCTGGTAGAGAAGCCCTCGGACTCGGATGAGGTTGAAAACTTTCAGGCGCTCGTCGAGGAGGGTGGCCTTCTTCCTGCGCATTCGGCGGCGAATTTCGGCGATGAGGACCAACAGTGCGAAGGGAAAGGCGTAGATTACGAAAAGGCTACCACGTTCAATGAGCGCGATGATGGCAGCAGTAATGAGCAGAATGGCGACAGCGAAGTGCAAGAAGCCCAGGAGTGCACGCACGGCGTGCTTGCCACGATTTGGCTCCTCTGGTGGTGGAGTGGGTTCGGGTTCTGGGAGCATTTTGACTGAAGAAGGCATGTCAAGCATCAATCTGCTGGGCAGCGACGAAAGGTGGGGCGAAAAGAGTGGTGGGACGGGGATGGCGCTTAGTACGGTTGGTGAGCGTGAACAGTATTTATGCTTAGTGGCTAATGGTACACATGTGGGTGGGCGTTTAAGAAGACTTTACGTGGCATCAAGCCTCGTTTGCGTGGATCGAGCTCATCAATATGGATCCGCAGTCCTGTCGGAATTCTTGGCGCTGTATACCCGCAGCAATCTGTGTTGACGCAGCTTACCTCATGGGTCGCTACAATCTTCTTTCAACTGAAATGGTCGACCTGAAAGAGTGAACTCTTGAGTACAATCGTGGATGGCCGCATTAAGCAAGTGCAGACGTGGCCAATGTCAATTCAGTACTATACACTGGTGATTACAAAGATGCTGAAGATCAAGAAATATTGCGCGAGAGCGAGCGCTGAGCAAGTCTTCCCATGCAGACTAATCCTGAGTTCGTCTGATCTGAGCTATATATTGCCACAAATCAAGATTCAGATGCTCTATTGAGTCTCTTCACGCCGCCACATCAGTTTGACCAAGCCGTCGTTTCCGTGAACTCTCGCCACTGCTGGCGGTTTGGGTCTCAGCTCACAAACCTCCCGATATATTTTGTGATTTTTATGATAATATGCCCTATATCGGTGCATAGCTCTACTATTTCGTTACAGGGCAAACCTAGCTTGTACATCGTCCTCATCCAGCCAGTCAAGTATATCGAGCTCCTTGAATACTACTCCAGCTACACACAAGACGACACCAATGGTCCAAATTGCCCATTCAAAGGCCCTTACGACCTCGTTATTCCTACTCCACCCCCAACGATCTCTAGGCTCACAGAGAGTGACGAGGACGCCAAGAATTTGGTAAAATAGACCCCTAGTGCGAGTGAGATGGAAGCCTTTGAAGCGTTCATCCACCCAGGCTGTCTCTCCGTGGATCCGACGGCGGGTTTCGGCGACCAGGATATACAGAGCGAATGGGATGGAATAGATGACAAGGAGGCTACATTGATCCAAGACTGCAATGATTGTTGCAGCAATAAGCAGGAAAGCGACGGCATAGTGCACGAGGCTCAGGAGCATACGGACTGGGTGCTTGCCATGGTCCGTATCCTCTGGCAAGAGTGCCGTATTCTCGAGGGGGGAATATTTTCTCTCGGAAAGTATACTGTGAGTCAAGCTGCTGCGTCGTTTTCACGGGGAAATTAAAGTGGGTACGACAGGAGCAGCCATTGAGGAATGCCGTTTGGCTCGGGGAGTGATGAGTTATACTTGTCGCTACTCGCTACTCGTTGATGCTACACATGGGAATTCATATACGTAGGAGCAACGTGATTGTAGTCGAAGCCTCGGTAGGCCGCCCTTTCCCGTAAAGTCATTGGAGTAACACTCTATGTAAAGGAACGCGCGCTGTTTGAAAAGCTACCGTGAAGGCACTGCATTCTATTGACCGATGCGCGGGAGTCAATGTTCCGACATCGGCAAACCTTGAACGACACCTCCTAGCCTGTACTCATCACCTATTCAATAGAGCGTACCCTAAATTCATGAACCCAGTCACCCTAACAAACGCTCCATGTCTTGTTAGTGACCGTGCCTTGGTTCCATGTAGTACCTGTTAGAGAGGGCAAATAAGACACATCTCTCTCAATGTTCCGACACACGGTGCATCCATGTATCGACATTCTGTGAGATGCAGTAACTAAGTGAATAGGACTCGATGGTTGTTCGCAGAAATGATCTGTGTTTCTTTGTTCCATTCTACAGAATCACACATGGTTCTCCGTCTTTAGGCCCCTTCACGCCGTGACTGGTTCGTCCGATTCCTCCAAACGAATAGTTCCTTCTGCCTCTTCTTCTTTGAGTCGGGGTAGGAAACCAGCGAGCTTTGCGACTACGCAAAGTACGCAAAAGAACATACCAATCCCCCAAGTAACATAGCCAGCGATAAGTACGGTCTGGTTATAGTGGCTCATCCTTTTCTCAGCAGTTAATAGAATGACCGCGGCTAACTGATAAAGGACGCCTCGCACGACAAGATCGTCAAAGGCAACCGCGCGAGGGTGCCTGGGACCGTCTGCTTCGGGCCGACGGAAACGACGTGTCTCGGCAATAATGACGAGAATAGAGAAGAGCTGCGCATAGATAGTTCCGAGGTAGAATCGCGAGCTGTCGAAAAGTGTGAATACCGAAAAAACGAGAATGTTGATCGCGGTGAGGAAGTGAATCATGCTGAGTATGACTCGGACCACCTTCCATCCGTCGCTTGGATTTGTACGAATTAGCGCCTCGTCACTAGGGATACTGGTCGGCAATGGAACTCCGGTGCTCTCTGCGCCCAAGCGGAGCTTCTCCAGATCTTCGTCATCGTCGAACCAGCTGAGGAATCCAAACAGCTTTGCAATGGCCCAAATGACGAAGAGTGCCATCCCTACCTGGGGGCCAGCGCGAGAAATCATCATGTAAAGGTAGGCGCGTACAATGAGCAAGTTGAATAGACGCAGGCGTTCGTCGATAAGAGTATACTCATCTGGTTTCCGGCGAAGGCGCCGAGACTCTGCGATGAAGACAAGCGTCCAAAGGGGAATGGCCACCAAGGTCGCGAAAGCATACTTCAACACACCCAAGAGGATATCATATATCCCGAAGGCGATTTGGAGCCATGAGAGGGCTTTCCGTGTGATTCGCCTGCCCCGAGAGGGGCCGGGGGCAGACGCCTGCTCATGAGCTATTTCAGCAGCGGGCATGGACATTCTAGAGACGACATCAGCAGCTGATCACGAATACCAAAGAAAGCTGCATACGAAGGTGGGTGTCGTGGTCGTGGTAGTGTCCAAGCTGTCTAAGACCTCGCTTGCGATTCATGTCCTACGGTGATAGCGATATTATCTCCGGTCCATAACTTAACTATAGGCGCGTGGAGAATGTTCGAAAGACTTCTGAATCGCGTGAATGAGTGATCAGCTAGAACAGGCGCCGGGCTAGTTGCAGAACTCATTCATCCATTTCTCGACAGTCAGTGGGATCACATTGGCCAACTGATGGACTCGCCAAGCCCAAGAAGGTCCCCAAAGACCATTTGGATAGATGAATTCCTGGCTTTTGACACCAACAACGCCTCCCGGCGACGATAATGAACGCAAAAATTGAAGGAGATACCGGACTGTCAACTTGAAGCCATCGATTACAGGTCTGGTCCCATGGATATTTGCCTCCTATTCCAGAATTGAAGACCTTAGTTTCAAGAAGAAACGTGGGCAAGTGGTTAGTTGCTTGACCTTGCTAGCCATTATCACGTTTACAGTACATAAACCCAGTATTCAAGGTGGGCATTAAACAAGAAATACGATGTCGGGTATCGTCAATCTAGCTCTCCCAAGAGTTCAAGGCCGGTCGACTAAAACTGGTCAGAGATCAGCAAACAACTGAGGCGAAAACGTACTCATTCGAAGACCAGAAGAACTCTATGAAGGTGGGGTGATCCATGTTGACCACGGCAAACTCCTGAATGTCCGTCTTGAACAGGGCTTCAATGTTGATCAACGAGTTTGGAGGACGCGCCACCTGAACCGTAAGCATCTGGAGTGTAGCTACTGATTCGGGTATATTCCTTCTCCACATACGGGTATGAATGAGCTGCTTTAGATCCTCGAGCTGGACGGGCACATCGATAAAGGAGAGCGAAAGCGAGCGTAGGTGTGGAACCTTCCACGTCCGTCCATCGTCTTCGCCTGTATAGAGCATTTCCAGTTGCTCCGGGTCCTCGACCTCCCACTCCTCCAAACCAGGAAGGCCCCGACAAATGAAGGACATGTCTGAGAACCACGGCGCAGTCAGGCATGTGATGGATGGGTTGGCTTCGAGAAAGATTCGAAGGGTGTCCCAATCACCTGGATTTTGGATTGAAAGATTTTTCAAACTCGGAAAGTTGACTGAATAATTGAGTCCAGTGATGTCGGGGACTAGATCAAAATCAGAGAGCTGGAGAATCTCCAGAGAGTCGAGTCGTGCTTCGACTTCTTCGGCGTGTGGGCTAATATATCCATCCAACTCCAAGGAATGCAACTTCTTGCAGCGTGCCAGGATCGAACGAAGTGGGAGTTCCACTGGACGTTCGAATAAAAGTGCGAATGGACCATTGTTATCGATTGTGCACCGGATCGAAAATACCTCGAGACTTTCAAGAGGCGTGTGGGGTCCGAGCTCCACCTCGGCAGCTAAACGGAGACCCTCGACAGTGAACTCCTGTGTTGGAGGAAGGTTGTTGATCATTTCGATTAGATCTACCGTGCTTTGTATCTCGCGCAGCGTCGGAAGACCCCAAATGTCTTCGAACTGGAAACGACCTTTTTTGGGTAGAGTATGAATGCGTACTGCATCCACGGGTCGCGTAAATGCCGAGAGATACAATGGAAGAGGAAGGGGCTTTACTGCCGCTTTCGAAACTAGGATCGAGACGAGGTGGATGGAGAGCGTCTCATCCTTCATCCATTCACTGATACATTCTACCATCTCCCGATCCTCGACTCGACGATCGTCGTCGTGTACGACCAACACGATGGGGACCAAACCCGCCCTCGGTCGAAGCGTCGTCCAAAACTCTGTCAACCTTTCCTTGTCCCAACCAAGCCTCAAGTGGATGTAAATCCAGATTTTGGGTACTCGAAGTGCAATATGTCGCCATAGACGACAGACACTCGCGAGGACAAGGGCAGATGCAAACGGGTCCACGACGATCGCGCCCTCGAGGCCACAGACGTCCTGAAAGATGTACACGAAGAGCTCTTCAGGCAATACATTGACTGCATTGGGTTTGGGGCGTCGAAATCTGGCTTTCGCAAAGAGGTTGCTGGTTCTAGAGATGACAAACGTGTTGGTCAGGTATGTGGGGGGAAGAAAGTAGGCTATTCACGTACTTTTCGCGACTCTTTCTTGCGGCCTTACGTCGTGGACGGTCATTTACAGGCATAGCGGCCGTCGACGTCAGAGACAACTTTCAAAGAGGGTGGACAATACACAAATGCAAAGAGGACGTGGAAATTCTGCATATATTTTGATACTCCGAGTACACAGTCACACTATTTACACTCCAACTCAAAAACTACAGCGTCGACGTCAAGCGTTGCTGTCGAAGTCCTTTCTCCTCTGTGAACAAAAGCTAACCGGGCGTTCCACAAGTGAACAAACATGCCAGGTTGATGGTACAAAACATAAAGATAAACCTTGTGGACGCCAACCCAAGTGGAAGAACCGATTTGTTTTACTTGATAATCTGGATATAGGTGTGCATAGATTGCTGATAATGGCACAAAAACTTGATGGTTGAATAGAAATACTGATAGACGAGCGTCGTACTCAGATGGGAGAGGTCGCGTTGGGATCACGGAGTGCATCTACAATCTCCGACATGTTACCTGCGGGCACCAGTCAACCCATATCGCGGAAAAGTTAGGAAAAGGGAGCTCACCATCCCATTTCGCCTTTGTCGTCTCGGTCACATACCGCGCATTTTCGCCGGGTACACCAAGCAACGGTACCATTTCCTTCTTCACTTTACCATCCTTATCCCTCCACCTCTTATTCTCCCTCTCTGTCCCGCTCTCCTCTATTCCAACAACCTCCCTCTCCTTTCCCTCTACCGACTCGTCCTTTGTAGGAGCCGATAAAGTAGGCATCCGGGACAAGAGCTCGTCAGGGATCGGAAGAGGCTTATCACCCTCTTTAGACGAATCGACAAACATGCTCGGGAAAGGCGACACCTCTGCTGTGGCAGGTAAATGCTGCGGCACAGGCTTCCTTCGAGGAATCGGAACAGACTTGCGACCCGTCACCGTCGTCGTCGACGCAGACGCTGCACTATTCATACCAATTCCACCAGTATTGGTCGGTCCTCCATTATTCGTCATTGCGCCGTGGATACCCGGCGTTGGTGTGAGGGTTGCACTACTACTCGCCATACTTGCGGCAGTAGCGGTCGACGAGGTCGAGGAGGGCGCAAATGTGGGCGCGATGGCCGCATTCGCAGACGCCGCGCGAGCAAGGTTTGCACCAGCAACTGTCGAGTAACCATGATTATATGCATTGGGGGGTGGCTGTTGTTGATGGTGATGCTGGGTAGAATGATGCCCTGAACGTGAGCTTCCACCACGCGAAAGTGAAGCATCTCCACCGCCGTACGAGCTGCTCTGATAGTGCCGCTTCGACACGCCCGGAGTCTGTTGTGGTTGGACCTGGGTCAGAGACTGGGATTGTTGGTGCTTTGAGCGCGAACGCTGTTGCTCCTCTTGTTGCTTATAATAAAGTTGGAGAGGACTGACGGCCTCCTTTTGGGCTTGCTGCAGCGCGGCATAGTGCATGGCATTGTGATGGAGATAGTGCTGCGCCTGGGGTGGGTGATACGGCTTATCGGATGCGCTTCTGCTCAACGACGTCGAGGTGGCGGGGGTGATGACACCTCCAGCGTTGGTAGCAGTAGTCGCATGAGATGACTGAGACGTAGGGTTGGACGCGTGCGTCGACGCAAGAGATGTAATACTGTCCTGACCAGGTAAATGCCCAGCACCACCACGGGTTCGCGAGGACTGAGAACCACGTCGTTGCTGCTGCTGTCCATACGCCTGAGGGGGTGGAGCGGCTCATTCGTGCGTACAATTGTCGGCGGCTGCGGCTGATGACTCCTCCCAATCGAGCCCGAATTCGACCCAGACCTCGAGCGAGAACGCGAGCGACGACTCTGATACGTCTGTACGGGGACAGCATTCGCACTCGCGTATCCACCCTCTTCGCCTTCAACAAGCGCATGTGTCGGACTAGCGCGTCCTTGGGGAACGAGCGTGCCAGGACGGTTGCTCAACGGCGGCTCTGTCATGGCGCCATCCAAGATTGCCGCTGTCCTTTCTCGCTCTCTTTCACGATCAGTGGAGCGTCGTGGTGTGATCGCACTGTCCATGCTCCCTCGCTTGCGATAGCGGAGCGAGGCGGCAGGGTCGACTTGAGGCGGAGAGGCGCTAGGTGGGGGATTTACGGATGACGGTCGAGGTCCTCGTGGGCGCGTAGTGGCACCCGAGACTGTAGCCGAGTGTTTAGGACGCTCAATTTCCGACCTCCACGTCTCCACGTTCCACGAGTCGTGGACAGGAGGCTGCTATAAGCATGTGTCAGGGTCGCAATCACAACCAACCAGGTATCTGGCTTACCGGCAAGAATACTTCGCCAACTCCGACATGCCCTTCATGTCTAAAGCCCTCTGGCGGACCAATAGTAACCTTGCTGACCCGTCTCAGTTTCTTACTTGTACCCGATTCGTTTCCACTCTCCATATCACTCCGATTCCCACCAACGAATCCCAAGGCAGCAGCCAGTGGGGCAGACATGCGTCGGCTCTTCCTCATGCGCGCATTGGGACTCGAGTACTCGCGATCGCTATCGGTAATCATCCCGGCTCCACCAGGATGAAAGTCGTGATGGCGTTCGTCACCGTTGTTGGCCAACGCCGGATGGTGATGATACGTCGCGGGTGGTGGCCGCTGCTGCTGCTGCTGCTGCTGCTGTACGGACGCGAGGCGGACAGGCGGTCCATTCTCTCGATGAACCACCGCTGGTGGAATCGCGTACACTGGACGAGATGGTGGTGGTACGGATGCAGGCGCGGGTACAGGCGCGGGTGTGGGCGTATGAGCAAGAGGCTCACTCACGGGTTCGTTTGGTGGCGGGACTCGCGTTCGATGTGTTGCGCTCGACGCTCTGGACACGGTCGATACTGGTGCCGATATTGGTCCAGATATTGGTCCAAACGCCTGTCCAATTCCTGTCCCACCAATACTGCTGTGTTTGCGCTCCCCGAACAGTCTTCGTCCGCCTGACCCAAGGCTGGACCGCGAGCGATTCAAGGGCATGGCGCCCATAATTTGTCCATTCGAGTATCCGTTTGCATAATGGTGATTGTGGGCGCTTTGGCTACTGGACCGCTTGACGCGCGAGGACGATTTCGTCTTAGTGTGGTATGTCGGATGGTCTTCGACAATATCTGGGATACAGAAAAAGCGCATTATAACCTGTTTCGTAGAGAGAATAATACTGTCGTATCGCGTTCGTGATTGATGCAGCTTGGGCAAGTCGTCGCCGCTGGGGGCGTCAAGTCTCGTCTTTTAGGGAGAGAGACTGTTGGCAAAGAAACGCTGCATGTAAGAGGATTATTAGTTGTAACCGGTACCGGGCCAGGAAGAGGACGAACCTCGGAGGCGCGCTGGTCGGTGGCCAGCAACGCGGCAGTAAGATGGCGCGGGAGGGCTTTGTCGTCGTCTGTTTCGAGCGTATTCTCGGCTCTTATGTATAATGCTCTGCACCGATACGTCTAATTAGCCCCGTAATGCGCCTGCAACGCGGTCTTACACTAAAACGAGGTCGACTCCAACGACGCCCAGAGTCTACGTTGTAAGATATTTGGTACTATATCGAGTGCTGGGGTACGTAGACGACGGCAGAAGCCCCACTTTGTCTCAACGTGTGGGCTGTAATTCCGAGTAGAGGACGAGTGAAGGGGAATAAAATGGTACAAAATGCTCAACGTCGTGGGCTGACGTATTGCACTTGCGGCCCAGACGTCGAGTGGACGCGGTTGGGTCCAAGATGTGGCCTCGCTGCCAACACCAAAGAGCTCGTGTCCGCGCGGTTGGCAAGCGTTGCCCGGGGCAGTGTCCACGCTCCCAACGGCCGCTGAGAGATTTGATCGATCTGGCTTCTGCCGGGATGGCTAACAGCGGGCCTATTGGTTGCTGGGCTGTCTCACATAATGGATGGCAGTCGAGCAGGCATAACGAGTGGCATTCATTCTCAAGTCTATGGCATGTAATCTAACACCTCCAGCTATCCCCACTTCGTCGACGGCCGATCGCGCGCTTACCAGCGGTCATATCCTCCCCCTCCTCCTCGTCCGTAGCCATTGCTACCACTCCCATACGACTGGTATCCACCCCGTCCTCGTCCTCCACCTCCTCGGCCACCCCCGCCGTACCGGTTCTTGCCACCACCACCACTATAACGGACCATTTCTTCGAGCTGAGGAGGCACATGTTGCTTTGCATCGCGCAGGATAGCGACCAGTTCGCCTGCAGCTTTCGAGTTTTCGGCCGTGAAATAAGTAAACGCCGTGCCAGTCTTGCCTGCGCGCTGTCGTCCCCGTCAGTACAGTCACCATGTATCGGTCAAAATTACGCACGCCGGTACGTCCAATACGATGGATATAATCTTCACAATTATTCGGGAAATCGTAATTCTGCAAAGCGATCAGCCCCAGCCGACGACACCCAAAGAAACAGCACTCACGATAACATAACTGACGTCCTTGACGTCTGCAAGCCCAGGCAGGGAAAAAAAGAGTCAACAACGTACATCCAATATGACCAGAAGCAGGAGCGTGAGGGAGAGCGCAGACAGGTGCGGTCGTCCACGGTTCAGGCGACGAGCATCCTCCACCTCGTCTCGCTCTCATCGAATGACAACACGGTGTACAAAGTCCATCTCGGCGGAACAAGATATCGGGCGGACTCGATACAGATGCGTCGAAAGCGAGGGCATAGCGACAGGTCCAGAGACAACACGACGTGCTCAATGTTCGTGAAAAAACAAAACAGCAGATTCGAATGTCCTGGTTTGCTATGGGTGGTAGAGAAAGGCTACGTGAATGTCGCCTGAGAGCCATGGTAGTGTTGCTTGACGATTGAAGTAGTCCGAATCCGAGAATACAAGTCAAGCCCTCTGATATACGCAATCCCAAAGACAGTTGCTGTGAAACAATCACCGGCTAGAAACGGTCAGCAGCACCTACGGCGCAAGCGGTCTTTGTCGGGAGAGGGGGTGCGCATACCATGTTGGAGCGTGACCTGCAACTCGGAAAGAAAACATTCAACGACACCCAGACCTGGGACCACCATCCGTCCCACTTAGGGCCCAACGCCCCACTCTCGTCACGCGATAAAGAAAGACAACATACCTAGACCACGAGATGCAACGTCAGTAGCAATCAGAATCGGGCTGCGACCAGATTTGAACTCGGCGAGGACCCAATCACGTTCACGTTGCTCCTTGTCACCGTGAATAGCAAGTGCTGGCCAACCGTCTTGTCGGAGATACTTGGTAATGTCGTCCGCCACACGCTTCGTCGCCACAAAGATGAGTACCTTGCCGTTTTCGTTGGAGATGAGCTCGAGGTGCTTGAGCAGCTTGTTGCGCTTCTCAAAGTCGGTAACCACTTCGACAGTTTGCGTGATGTTTTGGTTTGCAGTGAGCTCCATGGAACCAATGTTAACTTGGATGAAATCTTTGAGGAAATCCTAGGACAGATGAGCGCCGACTCGGAAACGAGATAGTGTACATACAGAAGCGAGTTTCTGGACGTCCTTTGGCCACGTTGCACTAAACATCAAGGTTTGACGGTCTGGGCGGATTTGTCCAACAATCTTTCGGATTTGCGGCTCGAAACCCATGTCCAACATGCGGTCGGCTTCGTCCATAACGAGGTAGGTGACACGGCGCAGATTTGTCTTGTTCTGTTCGAGCATGTCGATGAGACGACCAGGAGTGGCAATCACAATCTCGACACCGCGTTGGAGGTCGCGAATCTGAGGGCCTTTTGGTGCGCCACCGTAGATGGCAGTATTTCGGATGCGTGAGTTGGCACCAAATTTGGTGCATTCGGTCTGAATTTGAACAGCCAACTCTCGGGTGGGTGCCAAGATGAGGACGATCGGACCATCTCCCGGGGCGAGGAGAGGTTGTCTGCAAAACACGATGAATCAGCGAGCAGTCCTGCAGACAACAAGAAAAACGTACGCGTTGATGTGAAGCATAGCAGGTAACGCAAAAGAGATGGTCTTTCCGGAACCGGTTTGGGAGATGGCGACGACATCGCGTCCGCTCAATGCCATCGGCCACGCCTGGCACTGGATAGGCGTGGGCTCAGCAAAGCCTTGCTGTTCGATGGTGGACATCAAGTAGTTTGGAAAGCCGACCTCATCAAACCTGGTAACCGGCCGCGGCACGCCTCTGCCTTGAACCTTGGGGCTCGTCAATACGCGCCACAAAATGCAGGATGACAAAGAAGACAGACCTTGATTTCCTTTGCACGTCTAAACGCTTCAATCTCACTATCTGAGCGCGCGCTGACTCGCTTATCCTCGGCGTAGAAGTTTTTCTCAAACTTTTCGAGGGTTTGAGAGCGCCAGTCGATCGACTTGAGACCTCCTCCGAGGTTTCCCATGCGATCTCCTCCGCCTCCTCCACCTCCTTGGTTCCATCCAGAGTTGTATCCACCACTCGATTGGCCCCAGCCCCCTCCACCACTACCGCCGTAGCCATTATTGTATCCGTATGACTGTTTTTTTGGAGTCGTTAGCGTTCTCCTCGCAGCCTGGGCAAAGCGGAGGAGTGGGCTGGGGCGCACCATTCTCGATTTTTTTCAGAGTCTGACGAGTTGATGAGTACTATTGGGCACGCCGGATATAGCGCACTCGAAGTTCAATAGTAGTCTTTTAATGGAAGATTATGAGATGGAAAGACCGGGCTCCTGAACGAAAGAGGAGATAAAGGCCGGTGGTGGTCGAGGGAAAGGTTTGTGAGCTGACCAACCCCACGACTGAGCCTTTCAAGGTGACTGCAAAATATTCTATAAATCTGGAATTGGTAAATATGCTGAGGTAAATTATTTCTTATCTACGATGACTCGTCTGGGAGGTTCTTAGGAGGTTCAGTGAACAGTCAGCGCTATTGCGTTCAGCGACAAAGATGGAGGCTGTAATCCCTTCAATTCTTGCATATCTAGCCCCTCACATAAAGTCTGACGTGGACTTTGATGATTGGTGACAATACCTCATGGTTCCTTCGTACGTGTCGTTCGTTATCCCCGTCAATAGCGTTCTCATTCCGCATAGTGAGATCCACGTCGTGCCACGTACTCAACGCTCAAGCGAATGCGAGTCGAAAGGCCATAAAACCGGCCGTAGAGGATCTTACAAGCTCTACAACTCCCCTACAGATTCAAACAAATGTCCAACATACCCAATTCTACACCAGTATTACTTGTCGACGAGCCCGACAAGCACAAAGTTTACACTCGCTATTTCGTCCACCTTGTCCATGCACTTGTCGCCATTTTATTCGTCGTCATAGTCATCATCACCGCATTGGTCGACACTGACTTTGTCTTCGCATTCTATACCCTTCCTATCGCCCTCTCAATCCTCATCATCGAGCTCCCTTTCCTACTTCGACGACCTCCAAAGCAAGGTATCGCGAAGAAGTATGGACTATTCTACAACAAATTCATTGTGCGGGGATATGTCTATCAATTGGCTGCTGCGATTCCCGCTAGCGCCAAATGGAGAATTTGTGGCACGTCAAGAGTTATCGCTTGGATTATTTGGGTCATAGGTTTGATCATGGTATTTATTGCGGTGGTTGCGAAGCACAGTGATCTCTTGGATTGGCTTGAAGAGAACGATCCACGAGACACTCAGCTCCACGGCACCGATGATCTTCACTCCCTTGGATACGAACCGGTATCCCTGGAATAGAGTATAGTCAGGTGAGTTACTTGTTGACTCCGAAAGGTTGTCCAACGTACTTCTTAGACCTCGTTACTTGACCCTGTTCGACTTTGGCTCATGTGAATACGCGTCGGCGAATAATATAAAATGAGACCATCGCATGTCATTCTCCAAGCGCATAATCTTCTCTCTCTGCGCGCTGGCCGACCCAGGTTTCACGTAGGCTATAGGTGATAAGACCGCCAACTACCGATATGATCGAGCCGGGCGGTACCATGCAATCAAGTGCGACTAACCAATACATAACAAACCCACAGGTTGATCCCTACCACCTCTATCAATTACCCATCGAAAATATCAACACTACTACCTCACACGACCGACCTCGTCGACAAATATCGCTGCGCCAGGCGATTCTGTCATGTTGCACTTTCAGCCGTGCACATTGTCGCGGGTCTTGCTAGGCTTGTGCGCCATATGCTACGAGATATCCCGCAGCTCTTCACTCCCAATGTACTGTTAGCATAGCTAGTTATTTTTATTCACGCTCACTTGGAGTGTCTCGCCGGTGGCGGTGCTACCTCACTCGGTTTGTTAACGAACACCGTTTGAGGTATGCTCACTGATCGCTTACACGCCACCGGAATACTCATAAGATTACACTAGCTAACTTCCATTGTTCGTTAGGTATTGTATTGGTCTCGGTTTGTTAACGAACACCGTTTGAGCTAACTTCCATTGTTCGTTAGCCAATACGTACGCTACACCTTCTTATACTGATTCTCGTGGCCGAAACGCGGCGCTTATGGCCCTGGGAACAAACATCGTTGGATGGTCACTTCGTACCGTTTAATCTTCTCCTCGTGCGAGCGTACCTGTACATGATATTCGCCTTTGTCTTCAGAGAAGGATTTTTATATGTTCCCGGAACGTCAATGTGGACACTTGGAGCAACGCTCTCAGCTCGTTTCCTGACCTGATATATCTGGGAGCTCAGTGATTTGTGCTGTATCACGGACGGATGCAAGCCGTACCTTCGACCTGTATCAGACAGCAAGATGAGCGCGCAGCACCCACATTGCCGTCTATCGCTGAGCCTCCTAAAAATGCCCCATAGTGTTTATATTTGACTTTGGAACAGACTAGACTCCCGGAAGTTTTCATTTCCACACCCTCTACAATAAACATGCGTCTGGCCCAGGTCATCCTCTCCAATGTCTTCAGAATACGACTTCAACCTCATTTTGAGTTTATCGAACCTGAAACGTTTTGGCGCCTATACCAATAGCCTCTTGGCGTGTATATCTAGTCACAAATGGCATTGCCATCGATTCCACATTTGCATGTCAATCTTCGAGGGTAGAAAGCCACTTTGTCTATTTCATTATTGCACCCCTGTATTCATTATTTGGTTCAAAGGGTAGCGGAAACTCTACTTTAGCCTCACGGCTTAGTTGCATATCAATACGACAAACTTGGACCAACGTTGGACCCACCACTGTGCAGTAATATTCACGTCTCTGCGGAATTATTTCATGCATGAATTTCTCTATATTTTCGACTATAAACGTATTTCTCTTCTAATCCAACTCGTCTATGTTCCGACGGTGATGTTGCGGATAATTAGGGTGTGCGTCAGCCAGAGCTTGGTGGCGTTCATGTTCGGCGGTATGATGATCCACTTGTGCCATATGGTGATTATACTGAGCCGTGTGATGCGCGGCCGCTTGGTGGTTACCACTGTCTCATGGTCAGCACACAATTCTTTGGTACATTTACGGACGAACTTTGCTGTTGCTGTATCGGCATGATTGCTATGTGTCTCTGCGTGACCCAAGTGAACTTCTGCTTGGCGTAGATGGTGGTCTGCCTGCGCTTGGTGATGTGCTTTTGCGGCAGGACCTTGCAAACTGAATGAATGGGGTGGTATGGGTCAGTACCCATGTGAATTTCCTGCGTCTGAACGTACAAAGGGAACGGAGCGGCAGACACCAAGACAGCGGCCGAGGCGAAAAGGACGGCAAAGAACCCGAGACGCATGCTGAACAAGTTGCGAAAAGAAGAGAAAGAAAGAGTAGAAAAAGAAGAAATGTGAAAGAAGAAAGTGAAAATCGAGAACCAGTCTGAGGAGTGGTTAGTCGAAGATCAGGTGCCCTTTATAGGAACAAGTCGCATTCACACCGCCTCGAATCTAGATTAGTGCGGTGGAGTCGATATTTCCTTCCCAAGCCGATATACCCGCTTATCACTTGGTAGTGCAACGAGTGCGAGTATTCTGGATACAGTTCGGATGGTTGTAACCTTCTATATTGCCTATTCTGTATATTTTGAATCAACCCTGTGAAAGGGTTCAAGGCCTCACACACTGCAATCGAGAGGGCAAGGGAGCATCGCTTCCCGCGCCTCCTTTGATCTCACCTGGACTAATATTGTCCACTGTTCATTGTGAATCCGCCTCATTCCATTTTTCCCATGGCTAAGCGATATGTCCGAAGCGACACCGCCTACCGTGAGACTTCCAGCCAGTGCACGACGAGACGACTAGCCGACGATCAAAGGGCTAGTGCTTCTAGCACCTCTACCCTTTGGGGCTGGGAGGCCGAAAGTGCGGATCAACATCCCGCAAGTCCGTTCCGCCTTACTGCCTCACCAAGCGCTCGGGTGGGACCATCGCCACCGCCAACCACCCCAGCGCTCGAGGGAGATACAGCGTGAATCTCGGCCAATATACAATCCAGATTGTTGTCACTGAGGGATACTACAGCAGTGGAAGGGCGACTGCCTTGAAGCGTTCGAGAGGCCGATTGACGAGCTCGTTATCGAAGATTTTTCGTATATCATATCAATCAACCAGATTCTGAGAGCTATTTCCCCCCACCCGCAGTCTGATCATCGCTTTGCCTCGCCTAACCGGCAAGCGGTTAACTGGGCACCAAACGAGGTGGTCAGAAGCGGCAATGGGCGGCAGACTTGTATCTTTCTGTCTTTTGGTGGTGATGGTCTCTAACAATGCGTAGTCGTCCTGATCTTATCGAGGATTGACAGCCGCAGAAAGGTCCGGATTAGCCGAGGAAACCGTCCTTTCGCAAAATCCTTGGCTGTTCGTATGTTTGGCATCCGATACAGTATATACAGTTGGCTACAGCGTGGACGTGGTTAGGACCAGAGGCTATCAAGTCGTCGGCCTATTCTTATGTTCAAATGTCTCGTGGGTTTTGCAAAGGCTATATTTTGAGCTATCTAATGAAGACAAGGTGACAACTACAGCACGGCAGTTGTACGGCGAAGACAAGTTGCAAAAGGGATATGAAGCACAGACGACGATCTTTATATATGCTGTTGAGAGGGGTGGACGAAGGAGAGGGGCGTTACCGGTGCGTAAACGGCATGAGGGGGATGCATGGAGTGGTACAGAAGTCGTGGGGACGAAAATCACCAGAGCCAGCGAGTTGGGCGAGGTCGAGCCGATACCGTCTTCCTTCGAACAGTCTTGACGCTCGGCTCTTCTTCCTCTTCACCTTCTTCGTCCTCGTCGCCAATGGTGGGGCGAGAGAAACGAGGCGGCTCTGGGTCATGTGGTTGCTCGTAATGCTGGTACTGGTCTCGAGCTTGATACTGCTGATATTGATCCTGTGGGTGACGTTGTTGGTACTGATCATGAGGGTGGTGTTGTTGGTACTGGTCGTGAGGATGATATTGGTCATATCGAGGATCATGTTCAGGATGATACTGCTCGTATCGGGGATCATGCTGGGCATCATACTGCTCGTATCGAGGATCATGTTGAGCGTCATAATGTGCATCGTAGTGAGCATCATGAACAGGAAGACCGCGGCCGGTTTCTTGAGGTGGCTGTGGTGCTTCGGTCTCGTCCATAATCACTTCATACTCCGTCGTCTTGCCGATATACGGCGCCGTAGGCTCGCTAAAGGAGATGGGCTTGGGCTGAGCAGCCAAGCGTGTCGCCGACGGGTCGTCAAAGACGGGTGTCAATGTAACGGGTGCCTCTCCATGGCGATACTGGGGATTTTCGGGTTCGGATTGATCGTCGTCTTGAACGTATTGAGGCCGTTTCTGAAACTGAGAAGGTTGGGAAGGCTGAGATGGCTGGGAGGGTTGGGAAGGTTGAGATGGCTGGGATGGTTGGAGTGGTTGAGACGGCTGGGGTGGTTGAATGGGGTGATGATTAAAAGGACGATGTTGAGAAGGCTGAGAAGGCTGAGGCGGGTACTGCTGTTGATAATGCTGCTGCTGCATCTCCGGCATCTCGCGCGGTTTTGGAGCCTTTGAATGATATTAGTACACGGCGCGAAGGGCGAGGAAGAGAAGGAGAGGGGCGACTGACAGGAGCATGGGGGATAGGACCGGAAGTCGCCCCTCTCAGTGCGAACGAGGAGGTACCTTCTTCTTGCGAGGCGCTTCATAGATCACTTCCTCCTCGACGACCTTGTCGTTTCCGAGTTTGCTATTAGAGCTGTTAGAACCGAATCACCGACGCGAGTGGAAACACGTACACGAGTTGATCCATGATCCATTGCTCGCGACGAGCAGCGTCCGTCTCGCGCTTGCCAACAACCTCCTCGCGGCTTCCGACCTCGCGCTCGCGCTCAGATACTTTGGCCTCACGCTGATAGAGGTTATCGATACGAGCGTCTGCGTAGCCAGTTGGTGGAGCACCAATGGCCTCGACTTCCTTGATAACCTCGCGAACAACACCACCGGTGGGAACCATTTCGACGGTCACAGTCTGGGTAACAATCGATAGAGTACCTGGTGGGCAGCCTGCAGGGATAGGAACGGCAGCAGAGGGAGCTGCGATTCCACCAGCAGAACCAGCAAGAAGTTCTGCTTCACGGCGAGCAACCTCGGCTTCACGGAGAGCGACGGCACCCTCACGAGCGATGAGACCTTGGGCACGCTTTGGCGTAAAGTAACCAAAGAGACCAGCGTTTGAATCCGAGGAAGCGGCAGACGCAGAGTTGGAGTAGGACGGAATTGTCAAAGTGATTGCGAGAACGGCCAAAATCAGAGAAAGCGCGAGGAGAAGAGTAGTCGAGGAAATAGTGCGATGGTGGTGATGAGAAGAGGAGCTTCTGTGCCTCTCTGTGCGATCACGGTCGCGTTCGCGCTCCGAGCTAGGTTGGGCCATAAGGACGACTGGGGGAGGGATAGAAGGTGTAGAAACGTGAGTTGTCGTAACCGAAGCTGGAGGCGACGGAAGCCGCGGACGGTGGGAGCGTATAGCCGACGTTGTGGGCGATGTCCAGGGGGCGGCGGCGTCGATGAGTCTTCAACGACGTCGTCGACGATGTTCTAGACTTTGTTTTGGGTTAGTTTTGTCGCTGGAAGAGGTGTCGCAGAGCAGACGAGCGCGGGGAGATTGTCGTGGTCGGAGAACAACAGCTTCAACTATTTGGCCACAAACATGACTGGCCACTTTGATTGCGGCGTAGAAATACCACATACACCCCGTGACATGCACATTCCCCAAACCGACACAGTTTCTCCTTTCCAGTGCTTTCCGACACACTGCATTTTATTCAGAATTTATCCCCGTCGCTCAACATCCGCGCCGCTCCCGCTCGTCAACACGTGGGATTTGCGAGGCGGCGCGCGCGGCCGTGGTGCGTCTCTGCATCGCTATCGGCGTGGAACATCAAGATTGGAAGGACACTCTTGGGGTTTCGACCGTCGGACACACTCAGAGAATGGCAGCGCAGGCTTAGGAGCGGTGGGGCTCTCTGTATTTCATCCTCACTCAATCACAGGCTGTGGGTAGAATTATACATTCTACCCTGGTACATACACTCGCCTCAACTCCGCCAGTCCCGTGACCGGGGCTTTGGACTGTAGCTGCGCTCGCATAAACCTCTCCAGGACCAGTTCTAGAGAGTTGCCAGCTAAAGAATGTCAACCTGATATGTTCATCTCATGTGGGGTCCGAGGTTTTGAACCCTACCGCCACTCTGAACGACTCTGTAAGTGGTCCAATAACTCTGAGAATCGAGTCTCGCAGAGTAAACTAGCAGAGAATTCTCGTTCAAGGGTCATCGTCCCCATCCGGCCTAATGAGCATTGCATTGCTCCCGGACGAGCTATTGCTCGAGATATTTCATGTCGCTTTCGAGCAATCCTGCACCAAGAATGCTACTTCGCCTCATATACAGGACCAACGCCCTCTAAGGCTCACGCTCACCTTATCCCAAGTCGACACCAGGTGGAAACAGATCTGCTTGGGTACTCAGAAGTTCTGGAGCGAAATTGACATCACCGTCGACCGACCAATCGGCTACAAACTACCGTATCTCCGATACCTTTTGAGAAGAGCTTGGACTTTACCCATCAGTTTCACGTTCTGGATGAAAAACTCCGACACGAGATGGACCTCGGACTCTACGAACCTAAACATGACACGGTGTATACAATGCGTAAAGAGAATCGATCAAGTCCGCATACACTGGACCAACTTTACGCAGTTTCAATCAGACTTCTTACCCTATATGGACGAAAAGTTCCCCAGCGGTCTGGTGATTCGAAAACTCACAGGGCCACCGGAACATGATGCTCTCTTTCGAGCACCAGATCCCTTCCAATGCGGCATATGGACGACGTCGTGCAGCATAGGTGCCGATACAGACCGTATCTTTGATGTATTCTCGCCACCTGGTCTCCAGCGGCTCATCCTCGACGGTGTCTTTTTACCGAACCCGGTGCCTACCAACCAGATACCGTTGGAAGGCCTCCGCGAGTTTCGAGTGAGACAGTATCACATGGAACCGACGAATGTCAAGGTCATCTGGGACGTAATGAAGCGCGCACCGAATCTAGAGATCCTTGATGCACATGCGGCCTTCTTCCGAAAGGACACTCCGACGGAGCCTGTATGGGATCCAGAATGGGCTCTACCACCTCTCAAGGAACTTTACCTCTCCTCCTTCACCGCCATATCCCTCTTCTTTCAGCCTTATACTCCCAAGTTTCCACAACTACGGGTCCTTGAGCTCGAAGGAGCTTATATCGAGGAGAAGCAAGTAATCGAACAGTTTATAGCTGGATGCTCCGGCCTCGAGCGCCTCAAGGTTCCCCCCTATAGCGACGACTCGGATCTATAATGGACCGTTGAGCATGGAATGTGGATTCGTTTGCGTTGTGCGTTCATTCAGTCGGGATTAGATTGGTCGTACACGGTTCCGTCTGTGAATTATTCTAGTAGTCGAGTAGACAGGGGCTTCATTGGGAATGTCCTTTAGGGTGTTTCAATGCCATAGAATATAAGTATATCTATGAGATGGCACTGTACTACCAATTGTAAGGAATTTGGATTACCGCATCGTAAAAGCAAGCGAGGTGGTAGTTGTTCGTTGGCTCCGTACACTGATCATGTACGAGGCCAATGCGATGTCTTGAGGTGAATATTCGGGTCGTAACTTGTCATACCTGCACCCAAGTCAACAATTTATCTTATTAGAGGAATGGACTCGATCGAGACCGCAACACGACCTTGGCGCTCCCAATTCAAGCGACGCTTCTAGTAGAGATAGGCGTGCCGTCACTCTGGGATCAGTATTCATGCGTTTTCACGGCACAAGGTACGCTCCGTATGCAATAAATAGATTTTGACTAGACAAACTAATGAATCTCCCTCCTCCCTGGCACGTTTGGTATGCACAGGACAAAGCAGGACATCCTAAACGGTCTGGCATCGCCTAGTCTTACACACCAATTACGTTTGGTGGCTTAATTGCACGGGTGAACAATTACTCCTGTCACACGCAGGTAATGTACCTGATCTGTGAAGTACCCCCGTCGGCCCAACGCGCCTCGATTCCTTTGACAGATCTAGCCCGGCGCTTTGGTAACCGCTTAAACGGGTGTTATGCCGGCCTAATCGCTCCGACCAAAGCGTTTCCCCATGGCACAGGTTTGTAGACAGCTGCGATATATAGCTCTGGGGCTAATCCCACGTCTCTGGATAAACTACCACTTCGATGAGGAACTACTCCATCTCCAAGGCCTGGTCACGTATCTCGGCCAATACTCAAAATAGCGAATTCATCATCTCTAAAAGACGCTCCAAGAATGCGATGGATGCATCCATCTTCGTCCTCCCAAACGAGGACCTGATTCACATCTTCCGCTATGTCGTCGCCAGCGACAGTCGCAGACGCTTGCCAACGAGTCACCGACGTGCAAACGAAATTTTAGCACATGTTTGCACTCGATTTCGAGCTATCATTCTCTCCACTTCCGACCTTTGGTCCACAATCGACGTGCCCCTCTATTGGGCCCCAGACATTCTCCAAGACTACCTCGCGACGAGTTTCAAGCGCGCAAAGAATACTCCTTTGCGGGTTGTCGTCTATGAAGGTAGCCGAGCCGTCCTGCCAAAGGTCGACATCGCGAACCTGTTCTGTCGCGAACTCCAACGCGGAACCGAGGCCACCACGAACGTTTCCATCAAGAGCGTGGCATTTTATCTTGTACATCAAGAAATGAGCCACATACCGACACACTTTATCAATATCCTCCCTTCTTCCCCCCATGCGCTCTTGATTCACCGTGTCACAATCGACCAGTCGATAGGAAAGTTTAAACTCGAGCTGCCTTCCACACTTCGATATGTTCCTCTTGGAGGCTGTCCGAGAGTAGCAACGATCGAGTCAATAGAGTTGGTTGACGTGACGCTCCGAGACGTTCCGGAGGGTCTGATGGCGTGGCGGAGCGTGCAGTTCCGCAGTCACCCAATCTCGTCTAGTCGTCCCGGCTCTCCAACTGCTCCTACTCCATCTGCACCTATCCGCATCCCAGCCGACCTCGTCTTTGAACGGTGTCCAAACCTCAAAACACTCATCGTCGACGGTTCCTTCTCCGGCTCGCCCAATGGAGCCACCGTGCCGACACCTCCTCTCCCACCGCTCAGAGAATTCTACATTCGTGACCTCGCGCAACTTCGATCCTTCGGTTACGACGGTCACTTTCCCATGCTCCACAAGTTTGGGACGGCAACGTCGGATGAGAGATTAGTCTGTCGGTTCCTCAGGAGGCATCCAACAATTGTGGACCTCACGTTGGAGGGCATCTACATCTCCGAGTCAATTGCCCTCTCGTGTCCACAGATTAGGCGGCTTAGCATCCCCGCACGATTGGACATCCTCGTTCGTTCTGCTCGGCGGAATTCGGCGAGCGAGGACAGCGAAGGCCAGGACGAACCTTACGACTGTTACCTTCGCGATGGGACCACGAACCATGTCAATAGTATGCAGGCAATTGGCTACAATCCACTACTCTTCACGCGCAAGGAAAGGGCAACGTATAACCCGCTGTTCATACCTGACAACCGCGGCCTGCTACTCACGTCCTTGGAGCATCTGCAAATCGATTGTGCAGAATTTCCGCTCTCTATGGAGCAGTTCTCCGAGCTGATAGAGACGCGGGTCCTTCGTGCCGCGGAGCATGGATACCCGAGGAGCTTATCGCAGATCTCGGTATGCACCTCCTCCCTTTCGAGAATGTCGAAGTCGTTGGTGAGGAGGGAGCAAGAGCGGGCGTGGACAAAGAGTCCATATCTGGAAAGCGCGCAGCTGAGATGGAAAGAAAATACTTGTCATGTACGATGGAAATAGTCTACGCCCTTCTTGTACTATCTTGTTACCTTATAGATGGCTCATTGTTTGCACGTTATTTGGGTATCAACTTGGCCCCGACCGCGACATGCTCCACTCGTCGCATTCCTTGAAATCCACTTTGTTCTCATCTGTAATACGAGGTCCATGGTCTCAAGACCGGATGAACAAGACTGAGAGACCTCTACAATCCTCGGCGATGCTGAGGCTTCCAACGGAGACGCTCATCGTCATTCTGCGACTGGTAATCTCCGGCAGTCGCCACGATATCGATAAGACTCTACGTTCATGTGAGCTTTTATCTCACGTATGCGCGCGATTGCGCGATATCATGCTCGACTTGCGCGACCTTTGGTCGGTGGTCCATTTTCCGTTACACTGGTCGTCAAGGACGACTCCTTTTGTCCGTTTCTACCCTACTTCAGAGGGTAAAAGACACGCCTATCCAGATTGTTGTACGAGAGAGCAACAGTCATTGGAAGGAAAACATAGCCTCCATCACACGTGCATTCAAAGAATTATTCAGCTCCTCTCATTTGGTGATAGAGTCGTTGGAGCTACGCTTGTATAGCATACACGCTGCGGATCTTCCGACGCAGCTACTCGACGTGCTCCGCTGTGCTCCTCGCTTTCTGACCATCCGACATGCGCCACGTCCTAAAGACCAGGTCGCTCCAGATTGTCAGCTGATTTCAACTAGACACACAACGTTCATCTGTCCTATCACGAGTGTCCATGTCCCTGACCTGGAAAGGATCCGTCTTGTTAATCTCCGCGGGACGATCCTCGTGAATCCACCGTGGAGGAAGCTATTATGGCGTTCCTTGATAATAGAAGCAGACGCCGACGCATTGCCCAGGTCGGGGGTGTCAATTCCAGTTGGTACTCTCATTCAAAACTGCAAACAGTTGGAAACTCTCCACGTCGGCGCACATAGCTTCAACTCTATCAACTTATCCCTTGGATTACCACCTCTGAAGGAGCTGTACGTACATGATCTACACTATTTTGTGGGCCTCGCACCCCAAAGCCGCCACAGTGCATTCCCAAATCTGGTCAAATTTGGTGTATGCATCTTTACGGATGTAGAGCTGGGTATTTTCCTGGAATCACATCCTACCATTGTGGACCTCACTCTCGATTCCGAGTTTGACGCAGACGTAATTGCAAAATCATGCCCACAAGTGACAACCATTCGCATACCAATGTCAAACTGGCTCGATATTGCAGAGCCAGTGCCACGTCTGTTTGGCGAAGAGTGGGTGTTGATGACAGATTCAAGAGGAACAAGGGCACAGTTCAGGTTCAGCGCCGTCGAGCAACTGTGCCTTCACGATAGCAGCGGATATATGACTCCAGAGAGCTTTGATAGGCTCGTGAAGCGACGCGTGATTGACGCCCATCGAGACTCGAGTCTCATTAGGATTCAGACAGTTTCTATTCGCGGGCTCCAAGAGCTCGGAAGCGATGGTGTACTGTCGCCGGAGTGGCAGAAAAGTCGATATGCACAATCTGCACACGTTCAGTGGGACGAGGACGAATGCTTCTTTACATGGCCTCAGATAGAGGCAGACTAGTGCGAATACCCGAATACCATATGCCAAATATGAATATTTACATGTCATTAGACCGGAAGAATCCTCGCTATTATCTATGCCGAGAGGATTTCGAAGATTGCTTGGACTTGCATTTGGATCGCGACTCCCTCATCTCACCATCGTTGTGGATTCGATAGCTGTCCAAGCATGGAAATGCTCGTTTTATTCTCTCGTCCGAAAGATCTTCACCCGAATCTCTGACATCCAGACGGTACAGCTTTTGACAGACAAGGTCCTCTGGTAATCCAAGTGGTCCCGCGCCTCGCAGCGTCAGCTGTCGAATCTTATTCCGTCGGAGCAGCGCCTCGAGTGGGGCTGCTAAGGGCCTCGCATTTGGAGTAGAGATACTTTGAAGACTGCCAAAGCAGCGAATTGTAAGGTTGTAGAATGTGCGGTCGTATATACCAAAGAACCGCCGAGATGACATGCGTGACGGCCAGCAATGTCGAGTTGGAGAGTGCCGATATTCCGAATGAGCTTTAGGGGCTGTGCGCACAAGCGCAGATGATCGGCCATCATGGTGCCATCCTTGGCCCAATCCGAGAGAGCCTGGATGTGCACGTTGACATTTGGCATTTTGACTCTATTCAGGACAAATTCCCAGAAATGCACGAGAGCGTGGCGCGGAGCCCAGAGGTCGATAAAAAGGTCTCGCCACATATGCGGATCACCAAGTACTTCTGTCCTCCATTGGCGACAGACGCGGGAGATCCGCAGGGATGTGGTGAGACGTCGGCTCTTGGCGCCCAATGATTCTTCATAATGAGATTCATACGATGCCATGCGAAAGATATGGAGGCGTGTCTCGATAGGGAGCATGAGCATCGAGGGCGACGCTGCTACAAGCGTAAGCTTCTTGCAGTGAGCAAGACTTTAGCCGTACCAGAGGAGTTTGAATCGCAGTAAGAAGCCATCTTAGGTCTCAAGCTACCAGAGTCCGCACTAAGCGCCGAGTAAGATGGGGCGAGAAGGATGAGTAACCAAGGCGTGGAGGGTCGTGGTGGACAAGAAAACATCATTAGACGGGGGACTTCCTCCTTATATATCCACAAAATGCCCAATCCCGCCGATGGCCTTTGTCCATTGTGCCAGCCATTTGTCAGCCAGATTTATATTTGCAACGGCGGCGGCGGTGATCTCCCCACTGGTTCGTACTTTGCATACGGTGTTCCCTGTATAATCGTCTTGCTTTTATCCGTGTGTCCTGTTGGCTCATCTGAGTCACGCATTAGAGGCTGGCTGGGCTCCGCCTTTTGTGTCTACGTATTGCGATTTATTACATCTCGGCTCTAGACAGCACTCATTAACTATTAGGAGGTTCTCCAGGCAAATGTGTGCGCACAACCGTGGAATTGGCCGCCTCCGTAGTAGGAGGTTTGTGTGGTTCTCATTTTTATTTTGTCAATTCCATCAGTTCACTACCCATGGGCTTGAAAATGTGTTCTATAACTGTTTGAAGCTCTTGCGTCCTTTACCCTTCCACACATCTTTCACGTCGAGAATACAGTACTCCGGGATAATGATCAGATCTGGCTTGCTGTAAATGGCACACCACCAGAATCTGCATGCTTTGACAAGCGGGTAGATGTGAAGTGTCATTTGTCATAACATGGCTAGAGGAAAGAATTTGTGCTCTTCGGCTGATGGGGCCTTGGAATGATAAGCGAGACTACACACTCGGTTCTGGTGCGAATATATCGGCCAAAACTGTAGCATATGAGGTTCGTGGGCTAGCAAGTGACCGTGGCCGGTGAAGAGATTCACGCCATCAAACGCAAGGCCAAAGAATAAGTCGGTATTCAGTTCATCAGATCTTGCCATCGATCCTGAGGGCAAACTGCCAATCATATTTGTACATACATGTCCATCCCATAGTATGACGGAACTGACGATCCATGAATCCTTGTACATGGAAAAAGTGGAGTGAACAAAATGAGGAACACGGTGAAAATTCTAAATGCTAGTAGCAATTCGTTCAGTACTAATTAATGTATGTAGAACAACTCGGTAATCGTTCATTTGGGCGGTATAAATATTCCGGATTTGTTGTGAAATTGTGGGATCATTGACGAAGTGTTCTGGCTTAGAGACTCCATAGGCTCAGCCGGATGTGTTCCGAGGTTCTGACCTGATTTATGGCTGGTCATTGTGGCTGAAACAAAACAAAGCTCCAGAATGAAACCCATGTCGTGTTGGTAGTCAAACCGAAAGGTCGAATTATGACCTAGTATCGCATTCGATACTTCTCCGGGTCTGCGTAGCGCATTTGCCCGCGACCTAACATCGTTAGGAATATCATTAAGAAGCAAGACGTACATACCCTTATATCTTATACCAGTTCTTTCGTCAATTCTTCCCATCTTTGCCTCCTCACGCTCCCGCCTTTCCTTTTCCGCTCGCGCGGCAGCAAGACGCTCCTCCTCTTCACGCAGAAGCCTCGCATCATACTCCTCTTCAGTCTCATTGACGACGTGGTCTGATTTCTCCACTTCCTTTGGCCTTTCGGGCCTCCTTGTCGCGCCGTTTCTCCTCCTTTCGTCTTCGTTTCGCCTCGCGTTTTTCTTCCTTCCTTCTCCGTTTTCTCTCTCTCCTCTCCTCGTCACTTGATTGACTGCTTTCACTGCTACTAATCGAGGCACTTCGCTCGCGCTTTACGGGCGTCGATTGGGCCTGTGGCTGGGCTCCTCCTGGTGGACCGCGAAACTCTAGTTCTCCACAGTTGACCACCTCGACGCGTTTCAGTGGGACATCCTTCGCGTCCGTTGGAACCGCTTCGATGGCCTTGACCACCTCCATCCCACGAACGACTTTGCCAAACACGACATGTTTCCCCGTGAGATGTTCCGCAGGAGCAAGTGTGACGAAAAACTGTGACGAATTTGTGTGAGCGCCTCGGTTGGCCATGACGAGCAATCCTGGTGCGTCAACGGCCAACGACAGGTCTTCATCCGGGAACGGAGCGCCGTAAATAGACTCTCCACCTGTTCCATTTCGCTTGGTAAAGTCTATTTTTGTAGTCAGAAACCACTCTCTATCAACAACCAGTGAGCCTCGCCTCCTCCTTGGATCATAAACTCGGGAATGACCCGGTGAAATATCGAGTTCTTGTAGTGGAGAGAGTGTCCAGATGGGGATTTGCCCCGTTCACCCGTGCAGAGTGCACGAAAACTGCAAAGCGCGTTACAAACAAAAGTACGACGCGTGAACTTGGGCGTACTTTTCAGAGGTTTTGGGAACAATATCCACATAGAGTTGGAAGATGATACTAAGTGGTTGTGAATACCTATAGTTATAGCATAGGAAAGGGAGACTTGCCGTCCAGCGGAAACACCATCAATTGTGATGTCCATGAAGACACGTGGTCGACGAACTGCAGCCATTTTGTGCGTAGGAGCAGTCGCGGTCCTCTTGGCGAAGGTGTAGCTCGACGACGTGGGTATGGAGAGGTTCAAGTTTTGCAATCTTCAAAAGTGCTCGAACCTAACCGAGTACTCATCGTATAGAATATACATGCAAAATTCAAGTCAATAGAGTTTATTTCTACGTCTATCCGATTGGCAAGGCTATGGTAAGAGATAGTTTGGTCTGTGTCCATCTAGCGCCCCGGAGGAGTGGGCTTGCGAATAGAGCCTTGCGAGTAGCTAGAGGGTCTGAAATTTTGTCCAATTTTACGATGCTCAACTGAGAGTACGTCTCCGCAGTGGGGCTCATCACCCGTTGAGGGAGCTCAGCGACCCGCAAGCGTATTAGTTGAGCGAGATCCGTATGATTGACCCTGTCGTATCCGTAATCCAGTACGAGTCTATCGAGCTTTGGAAATGGCTCGGATTCGAGTCCTGGTATGCACTCCCAGTCGAGGAGCACACGGATCAAGTCTGTCGCGCGACCCGAGATGCTAGTAAGTTTGGGACCCAGTATCGCCAGCTGAGTCCAAACCTCGAGCTGTGAGCTCCTTCCGCCAACCTCGAGGTGCGTGAGGGACGGCATCAAGTCGAGATGGCTCGCGAGGTCGTGAGGTGGACATAGACTGATCGTCAAAGAGGTTAGATTCGGCATCCAGGGCTCGATGTCCCAGAAGCCTGTGCTCGTGAGAAAGCCTGGGACGGTCAAGCTCTTCAGCGCGAGCGCGCTATCCTGTCCAAAGGATATCTTTGGTCGATCCAATTCTTTCGCCATTAGCCAATTATCGATATGGAGAGCTTCGAGGCTCGGAAAAGCGGTCGTTATTTGATCAAAGGAAAGTTTGTGGCAGCTGTCGTAGATGTAGAGGTCTATGAGTCGACGGCTGAGTAGACCTTTCGGAAAGTTGAGTTGGCCAACGTTGAAAAGCGAGATTTGCTTTATACGCTCACTCTGTAGCATAGAGACGAGAACTGGCGAAAAGGGTGCCTCATGAGTTCCCCCAGTGGAGTATATCACTAGCTTGTCGACAGCACGTGTACTCGCCTGAAGCAATGAGTCGAGTAAAGAGGCTTGTCCAGCGAGTGTCTTGACGTGTAGCTTCTCTATCGTCGGTATCAACCATAGGGCCTGGCAGAGACGCAGCTTGTCAGCCAAAGATCCATAAAGCGAGCTCCACTCGGCGCTGATACACTGAAGATAGACGCGTACACCCGGTTCCTTGAACCTGGGTAACATGTTCTCCCATAGGTGCGCGATGGTTGATTTGGAGAGGACGGACATGTTGAGGGGCAAATCGCGCCACAAGTGACAATGTCGAAGTGCAACGTATCTCCATCTCCGACAGACGTGTGATATGTCGAGTGCGGCCAAGAAGCGACGAGAGGGAGCCGTAAGCGCTCGCTTGTCGTCTGACGCCGCTACGAGTGCCCAGAGGAAGACTTCGCAAAGGATTTCATGAGGAAAGTTGACGATGCGAAGTTGAATGTTGGGGTCCACCGTTTGATAAAGGGACGTCTGCCGGGGAGATATTGGTTCGTAGTTTTCATAAGATTGGGGTGGACCAAGCGGAAGAACTGAGCCCACATTCCAGGGGGACCATCTAGGGACAATCAATACCAACCGAATTGTCGTATTTGCGAACCCACTCACCGAGGGCCGCCCGTCGGGTATCTAGCCAATGAAGACATTACTGTACCCATGAGTAAGTACTTTAGCTATCCTCTACAAGCTTTTATGGAACGTCATGCTCCAAGACCGGAGCGGGCATTGTTGCTCCCATGAGCCAGCCATTGTTCACATCCCAACCTTATTGGCAACACGTAATCAAGCAAGAGGTGACTTATTGGGAGAGAAGTGACTACAGGCGGCAATAGAGCACCTCTTGAGGTGTTCGAAATGCTCGACAAGCCGCAGAGGGCACGAAGACCCAGCGTAAAAGATTTAGACACAGACCAAACTGATCGTTTGAAATTTGCAGAGCGATATTATGGGGCCGGTCAGTGACCCAGTTGGAGATGGCGGAAAGCAAAGTTAGTCCCGCGTTCCAATTCGGACGCGTCGAAAGCAAGTTGGGCTCAACAACTCACCTGGATCCAAATACTCACATCCACAAGGGTGGTATAACACTGGAGTCACAATCAATACGTACATATCTGCAGAGAACAACCAAAAGGGAGGGTCCAAGTACCAAGCAGAAGAAGATAAAGCCGAACAAGGTGAACGGGGAAGAGGGAGAGAAGATGGAGCATTGAATGTTTTTGAACAAGCAGTCGAGATTGAGTAGCGCCAACTAGCCTAAGCGTAAAGAAGGGGAAGGGGATGGAGTCGTACAAAGGAAGCGAACGTGCAAGGATGAAAAGAATGCAGCGCGAGGAAAGGAGCGAGGTAACGTGCGAGTACGAATGGCCAGTCGGTAAAAGGACGTGTTATGGGAAAAAAAAATGGGGCAGAGTTTTGTTATGTGTTGGATAAGGATTGACTTTCAATAAAACGAGGGCGTAGTTGAGAGGACTCCATGGGTCGATTTGGGACAGCCGCCAGCGAGGATAGGATGGATAGAGTGGGTCGAGTTCATGGAGCTAGAGCAGCGCAGCAGCGCGCGCGCGCATATTAGCGTCGAGACGAGAAACGGTAGCTGTTTTGGTGTGTTGTGAGAGGCATAATACCGATTACTACTGCAGGATATCCCTGCCAAAGGGACGTCGTGGGTGGGCGCCTGGGGTGGGCTTGTCGAGAGAGCTGCACTTGCCAATGGGATGGGATTGAAACAGAGTCAAACGAGACAAAAGGATTTGGACAAAGAGAGCGTTTCACATCGCCACGCATTTATCTGGCTTGGGGCTCTCTCGTCCATCTCCATAGGGGACACTCGATTGTGCCGGAGGGTGCCCGTGCGTACTTGAGAGAAAGCGCGTCAGGAATAGCCTAGAAAAAGAAACAAGTAGACACACCGCGCCGACTCTGTGCGGGATCTGCCGCTGCCCTTTCGCCTTGTCCGCGGCACATTAGGATACCGTATCCGCATCTGGCGTACGAGGTCCTCAAACGCGTCCTTGACATGCCAATTTTTCTTAGCTGACGTCTCGTAAATTGGCACCCCTTTCCGAATGGTCAACCCACAGTCCCAGCGGAAAGGCCAACATGACGCACCCCATCCCAGACTAATGTTCATCATCTGATCGCGGTCCACTTGTCGTTCTTCTACCAGGTCCGACTTGGTTCCTACGACAACGATAGGGACCTGTCAAAACGGACATGAGTATATACCGCGGCGGCCAACGATTTTGCTTTTGGAAGGGGAGGTGTACGGACCCGGTCGCCCTTTAGCCTGACAATTTGTTCCCGCAAGACTTCAATCTCCTTCAAGCTCGATTGATCCGTCAGACTAAACGCGAGGATGAATCCTCTCCCAGCCTGATCAGCGCAAAAAGAATTATGAGCCCCATCCTTCCGAAGCCAACGGAAGCCATCACGTACTTTGATGTACAGGTCATGCAAGGCGACAAATTGTTCCGTTCCAGCGGTATCCAAGACTTCGAGCTAGAAGAAAAAGACAGCCGTGTCAGCCTCGAACCGAAAAGAAGGAAATGTTTGGGAGGAGGAGAGGGGCCTAGAATAGGGTCGCGTTTTAGTGGACGGAATCACGAGGGCCCGAACGGATCGTCCGCACACAATACAGGGCTTGTTGACGAAACCGCTCTTGCCATTCTCTCGCGGAAAAGGCGGCGCGCGATAACAAACTGTTCTAGTGGCGACCACTCGGGGTTTGCTCGCCGGATAGATTTGATTTCGCTCCGCTATTGGATTTGGACAAAATAGATGCGCAGACTTGTTCTGGACCCTTTGGAATAGAGGGCGGGCGCACAGGGCCGGGATGGAGTTTTGGTGGCACCGACTGACCGCAGTCAAGGCACGCGACGCACGCACGAGAAGCCAGAGATGGCCATTCCGCGACGGAAGACGAAAGCGGAACGAATGAATAGGTCGAGGCGAGTACACACGCGTTCGGGTGGAGTGGATTGGTTGAATTTGGTTGATGAGAATTCTAGAGTTTCGACAAGATGGAGCGCGTCTGGGGCGGGATACGTCCTTGGGTAGCCGGAAATGAAGCTATTACGGGTCGCTATGCCAATCCTTGATCGTGGTGCACGGCAAAAGCAGTCGTGATTATGCAACGAAAGAGGACTGGCACACGGCGTTGGAATAAAATCCAAGTTTGTTCCTGATCCCAGGCGGCCAGAAGGATCGTCACGGGATAAAACGAATGAAGATGGGGGATGGTTTGAGACGGTAGTTGGATGCCCAGACTAAGAGCTGTTGACGGTCGGTGCGATGAGGAACGGCTGTTCCGGCGAGTCCGAGTTGCCTTGGACGACGCCCGACGTGATCTTCCGAGGCGGTGGCTGAACAGAAGGGAGCGGAGAAGCGGTGGAAGGAGGGAAATAGGGCAAAAGAAAACGACTGACTCTGCTGGTTTCGTCGTCCAAGACGACATTGCGGCGATAGGTTTCTGGTAGATTTATGAGGAATGTAGAGCTGTATTGGATAGAGAGAACATACCTTCAATCTACAAAATATGGACGTTTGCTTGGTCAGAGACACGCGTAGGAGGATGATTGCCAGACGACGTACAGTGGGATCGTACTGTTGAGAGGAAGATGAGCACACAAATAACGTCAAGACAAGAAGGAAATACAGACTGCTTCATGGAAATAACCCTTCATGAAGCGCAGAGTGAGCGCACTCTTGCCAACTCCACCGGCGCCGAGAATGACGGCGCTAAATTCGCGAATTGGAGGGGGAGCAGCCATCTCGAGGACAAACGGCGGACGTGAGGACTACCTGTAGTCTGTGGAGAGCGGACAGCTGGGAGAGCAGGGGCCCTAGGACGAGAGCTAGAACACAGACGATATCAGCACCCTCGTCGACATCGTTATAGATGGATATTGCGCGCAACTGACCCACGGGCCTTTGAACTGGCAGGGATGGTCAAGACCAAAGAGCAAAGGAGCAGTGAACAAGCAAGCAAGCACCCAACCTGCCGCGCCTCTATAATCTCTGTGCTTTTTGATTTCGAATTCTACACAATATGGCCGCCGTTGCAAATTCCTCTGTCCGTGTTGCCTAAAACAGGATCCTCCAGCCTCGCACGCAGTCTGGACCCGGCCACGATGGGCAGACGTAAACAGCAGACGACTGAAAGCACGCAAAAGGCCCAATTACACGAGCTACATCCACAGGCAGGGGCTCTACGCGTTTCTTGGTTGTGGAAAAAAGTAACACTCCATCAGTAGAAGCGTCACTATCGCCAGAGAGCACACGCAAACCCCTTTTCAGACCACAATCTCGCCTATCCACCATCCCCCGCACACTTTGATTGGTCCCCGCATTTTCCACACCTCGCCCATGCAGGGAAACGCCCAGAAGTCGCAGATATTGGATGTGGATTCGGGGGTCTGCTGATTGCAATTGCCCCATTGATGCCCGATACATTGATTGTTGGTGAGCACTTATACAAGTTGCCCTTTCTCCATCTCAACTCCATCAGGAATGGAGATTCGTGCACAGGTCACCCAATACGTAACAGATCGCATCGCAGCTCTCCGTCTCGCGGCATTGGACAACGATATCGAAATGTCCTCCACAGACGCTGTCCCCAAGAAGAATATCTGGGCCGGCACGCCTGGTGGTTTCCAGAACATTTCTGTCCTCCGTTCCAATGCCATGAAGTTTCTGCCAAACTTTTTCGAAAAGGCACAGCTCCACACTCTCTTCTTCCTCTTCCCGGACCCGCACTTCAAGGCACGCAAGCACAAGGCCCGCATCATCTCCCCTACGCTCCTCGCAGAGTATGCCTATGTTCTCCGCGTAGGAGGGATCGTGTATACTGTCACCGACGTGTACGACTTGCACAATTGGATGGTCACCCATCTCGACGCATTCCCGCTCTTCAAGCGCATCGACGAAGCGACGCTCAGAGAGCAAGGAAAGGGAGACATTGTCGACGCAGTGCTCAACGGAACCGAAGAGGGACAAAAAGTCGAGCGAAATGGTGGTCAGAAATACTTTGCCGCCTTTATTCGCATTGAAGACGAAAAGTAGAGTATAGTTGTAACTAGATTAATGACCCTTGTGCTTGTGAAACTGCGGTGCCGGTGGTGAGGTACTCTTGCCGCCCCTCCTCGCCAGTCTGCCGCGTCTACTCGGCATACGACTCGCAGTACTTGACAAAATATAAATCATTGGACCAGACCACGTCTCACTATTCCATCAAGTCCTTCAATTCCCGCATACACCCTTGTCCACAACGAATCCATGAGCATGCTTGGACGACTAGTACACTACGGCGTCGACCTTGTCCTCGTTTCGACTGTCATGGCCGGCGTAAAGCGTTCTTCTGGCTTTGGGTGCGCATTCAGCGCATACGCGATCGTTAGCTAACGCCTTTCTCCCTCTTTTCTTTATCACACGCTACATACATCTATCTAACTTCTTCTTGTCCTCTCGGGCGCCATCTTTGCACCTCGAAACGACGTCGCGTCACCGCCCTCGACGAAATATAGGCCCAAGGTCGAAAACATCTCAGACCCGACGACCCGTGGCCTTGCAGAAAAGTATCTCGGCATTGGAGAACGCGTCTTTGACGTGATTCAAGCCAGTGCCGTCAACTCGCAATACTTTAAACGAGGAGAAAAGTAGAAGCGAATAACGACTCGCCTTTTGCATTCTAGGGATATGTAAAGATGTGTTTGGGAGTTTGTCGTTTCGTCGACGATATACGTGATATTTATCAACCTCTTTGCAATTCACAGACGCTCCAGTTACCTTTACTAATCTATTAGAGTTTCTGAGATGATAATTGATGTGGTGGGATGTAAGACGGGTCCATATTACATCTATTCGACCATTGCATATATGGGAATCACGGTAGAAGCTCATAGACTGGCCTCTTTCCGAACATTTGTCCAAGAGGAGCCACATTGAAACCGGCTGAAATCAAGTCGGGTAACGCGCAGCGGACTTGTGGTGGGGATAGCCAGAAGGGATGATGGATACTCGAGTCCATGGCGATTGTTTGGCGGTACCCAAAAGAGAAGTTTACCGTAGGATTGCACCCAGCCATCGTCCGAGAGCCAGCAAGATTCGAATCCAGGGACACGAATCCTCAAACGCGCCATGAATATATCATCCGGTAAAGGCACAAGGCTATCCTTCCGGAGGTCGCCTGCGTGTGCATCTGAGGGTATTCATCAGGCTCCATTACAAAGCAGACGATAAACCGAATGCAACTCACCGTAATTTGCATCCCAAAGTCGAATTGTCCTGTCGCTTGAACCAGAGGCGATTCTTGAGCCGTCTGGCGAAAACAAGACAACATTCACGGAATGTTTGTGACCGAAGAGTGTCTCTCCCAGTTTCTGGCCCGTTGCTGCATCCCATAGGCAGATTTCACCGCCGAAACGTCGAAAGGTGGCAGAGGAGCGGCGTGAGCCAGAGACGATGCGTGACCCATCTGGGGAAAAGGCGACAGATAAAATGTCATAGTTATGACACTTGAGTGGTCCTCCCAACTGTCGGTGAGTTTTTGCGTCCCACTGTAGAATCATGGTGCCTTCTGAAATAGAAGCAATGCGTGAGCCGTCCGGCGAGAACGCGACAGTGCTGATAATATCCACCCAGTTTCCTTTAGATGGATTTGGTTCTCCCAGCTGCTGGCCAGTTTCTGCATCCCATAGCCGAATCGCACCGTTACTTGAGCCAGTGGCGATTCGTGATCCATCCGGCAAAATGCAGCACTTTCCACGCACCCATCACCTAGGAGTAACTCTCTCTGTGTCTCGCCGGTTTCTGTACTCCATAGGTGGATTCTCCCGTCTCTATCACCGGAGAAAATGTGTGAGCCATCTGGGGAGAAATCAACGGCGATGACACCATTATTGTGGCCGCAGAGCGGCTCTCCCATCTGTCGACCAGTTTGTATATCCCATGGTCGAATCGTCTGGTCGTACGAGCCAGATACAATTCGTGTCCCGTCCGCCGAAATTGCGATCGCTTTGACGGGGCCCTCATGACCTCGGAGTGGCTCTCCCAGTTGCTGAGAATGTTTCGCATCTCATAGTCGAATCGTCCTGTCTACTGAGCCAGAGACAATTTTCAAGCCATTTGGTGAGAATGCAAGGGCTGAAATCGCCCCTCGTGGCCTTGCAGTGGTGTTCCCAGTTGAAGGCAAGCCTCCGTATCCCATAGTCGAATCGTTCGGTCGTACGAGCCAGATGCAATTCGCAAGCCATCGGAAGAGAATGAAATGGTCGTCACCGCAGCTTTACGACCCAGCGGAGGCCCTCCCAGTCGCTGGCCAGTTTATGCATCCAGCAGCGTGAAAGCACCAGATTTCGAGCTCCGTTGACGAAGAAATCTCCGGCTTGAAACTAAGCGTGAGCCGTCTGGCGAAAATGCCATGATCCACATATCCCATTTAAGACCAGGAAGTGGTGGCTCTCCCAGTGGTTGATTTGGTGGCTCGACAAGCTGCTTTGAGAGGGGCGAGTACATCTGACGCCTCAGCTAGATTTGCTACTGTGTCGAGAGTGATGTTGGCCGTGTCGTACACTTGGGTCTTGTTGCTGGATGCGCGCTGTGGCGAAGAAGGTTGTGGTGGTTTTGCATTCACATGTTCCTTCTTAGGCTTTTTGGATTTTTTGGACCACATCTTCGACAGTAGATGGCTCTAAGGTGGAGATGGTGCTGGCCAGCCTTCTTCTCATGTGCCAGCACCGGTAATTGCCGCTTGGAAGGAGGCTAAAGACGGTGAGAAGAAATATGAGTATATACGGGGACTCACCTGAGGATGGCGAGAGGAGACCACAAGTAAGATTGTTGTCACTGACCTAGCTTATAATGTATTAACTGGGTTGCTATCAGGGATTGGGACTATTCCACCATGCCAGAGGCAAAAGTCAGCCACGGCAAACAGAGGCGCTTTATCGACTTCCTTCGTTTACAGACGCTTTCCATCACACTTACTACTCTATCTGAGACACGGGGCCCCGAGTTGCAATCACTGGCCATTTCACGTCTAATCTGAATCACTAAGATGAATGCCTTCATTATCCTCTGGGCGTTCCTCTCTTTCCGTACGGTCAAAGAGCGAAATGTCGACGCTTTCGCCTCCTTCTTCGAGTGCCGAATCTTCCAATGAGAGAGCTTGGGGACCACCACGTTCAAAGAGTTGACGTCCTGGTCATCGCTCAATACGAGATCCTTCGGAACAACTGACATATGCTCACCACTGAGACGTGCCGCAATGCGCTTGGCCTCTTCTCGTTCCTTTGGCGTCCATCCTGCAAGCGCGTCACATTATGGAAAAGGAAAATATACTCTACTCACCCTTCATTCGTTCCTCGTCCTCCTTTCGCTTCTTCTCTGCTTGCTCTGCCGTGAACGCGGCTCGCCACTTTAAGAATGATTCTTTCGTGACCGGCGTTCCACGGGTTCGAGCTTCTTCTTCCTTTATTTGACTATGAGCTTTGCCGCGAATCTGGACAGAGGACATACCTCGATGGCTCGTCGCTCCTTCTCCATCTCCTCTCGTTTAATCTTTTCCGCTCGTTCTTGTAATATACTCGACAGCTGTTCCCGAAGATGTGATACCAATGTGAAGGTCATGGCCATTCCAATGCTCTCGTTTCCCTACAACGGCATTGGATATGGGAGATGACTAGAGAATAGACGGGGCTTACTGTTTCTTCCAAGCTTTTTAGCAGTTTTGATTCCTCTTCCGATGTAAGCTCCCCCGCTTGAGACTCCTCGGACGGCTCTAGCGAGACCTCTGGATAGACGTCTGGGTATTCTGGTGGATAGGTGACGTTGATAACGAGCTTGACTATTCGATCCAATCGAAATAATAGCATACAAGGTTCCATGTGTGAAGTGAGTATGGCAGTCTCCCAGATTTTGGACACGCCACTGACAATCTGATAGACCGGACACTGGCTCCTCTGGTTCGACAAGGATGGAGACTTGACGATCAGAGATCTCTGTTCTCTTTGAGATTCAACGAATGCAGTATTTGGTTAGATACACACTGGTCATCTCGTCGGGATAGATCGACTCGAGCACCTCTCGGGGACGTTAGATATCAAAGCTTTATATCCTAGTAAATAAAGTACCTCGAACTCTTCAGCAAGAACCTCATCCGACATGGCTGCGTTCGACGTCAAAGTGGTCGTCGAGTAAGAACAAGCTTGGACCTATACACCACCTTTCTCTCTCTAGGACCTCGAACTACGACGAGAATGGGTGTATTACAAGGGTTAAGATATGCTTCATGTACAAGAGCCGTCGGACAGCGCACCATTCCAAATTTGTTGGGGTCGAGAATAGCGACAAAACGGCCAATGGCTGCACGTCGAAGTTTTGTCACATCACCACGATGTTATTCACAAACAAGTGCACCGGAAGAGCGCCTCTCTGAGACACAACAACCCGCCGAATCGTCGGCCAGCACCAGCGGGACGAACAGTGAGTCTTAACCTGCCTCAACCCGATGAAAAACACGACTGAATTCGTAAAGAATCATCGATAGACCAATGGTCATTTATGAAGGATATATCAAAACCGATTCCATCCCCGTACTCTGCCCAACACGACCTGTATTCGAAAGCCAACAGATCACCCGACGACGCATGGAGATCGCGGAGCAACGATATTGCGACTCATATGCGCGACACGCTCATTACCACCGCCGGTCTCCCGCTCGTGGACTATATCAGGAAGAAGTCGATAGTAGGGTACGATATCACAATTTCTGGTCTACAAGTACCAACGGTCTCTACTGGTTCGTCTCTTTCCCCACTGTCTTTCCTTTTTTGAAGTTGGTGCGGAACGTGGATTTGACCGGGTCACCTAGGTCGCACCGTCACCGCGCCCACGTTCCAACTAGCGATTTCACGACTCAATCCAAGTGTTGCAACGGAATCGAGTCAAGCAAGAGTGGCGAAGAGATATGCGCCATGAAAAGGGTGCCGTGAAACGGTACCGACTGCGGAGCGAGCGACATCGTCGGCGGTTTGCTGCCATGGTACGTTTACTCGTATACATTCTAGAGAGGATGCTGATAAAGTATAGGTGAGACGAAAGGTCCAGATTGTTCAAGCCATCCGACAGCGTGGAATGTAGATGATCTCCTGTCGCATATTACGCTATGAACAAGGTTTAATTTCTTATCCGAAACCGCGGATCAACTCTTATTGTCGCGCCCGTCGGCAATTCAGTGTCGCACATGATAAAAATCGCATCTGGGAAACGGAGTATTCTATTGACACGGTCATTGAATGAGGATCATCCAAGCGAGAATAAAGTAAAACAACCTAAGAGTAGGGTGAGAACGGTAGTCGGCATGGTGAGAAGGGATGCGTACAGCAATGGATACACGGCGAGAAGGATCCGATTCGTCTCAATTTTTGTACCGTCGAAAAAGTTGACAGCGGCTTTAATTATCGTGTGAGTGAGAGTTCTTCTTGTGAATGAAAGTAGAGAAACGCACCCCATACACACCACGCCCAGCACAAGAGGCAGACCGGGACGCGGATGTAGATTAATTTGAAGAAGAATGCGACGAGGGCGGCAATGTCGAGCGGTGCAATGCAATAGCCTGATATTGTCGAGATTAGTGCAAATGTGGGACGTGGATTAGCGACGCGTACCGATGACGCATATGGCTTGTAGAAATGACACCCGACCTCCGAGGAGTTGCGTTTGAAGGGTGACAATGACACTCCCAAGCGAGATGAGAACCACAACAGAGGAAAAGATTGGGAGAGACTGGTTGGGCGGGGCCTATGGTTTCAAAGTGTTAGAGACGACGGAACGGCGAGGACGGGTGGAGAGTGGTGGCGTACGTTGATACTGAGCATGACGGCGAGTCCGAGACAGAGCATGAGCGGACCCCATAGGTCATAGTCCCTGAGGACTTGGCGCGCCTCGCCGGATCTACGCGGATAGAGGACTTGGACGAGTTTCGAGTAAATGGACAGTAGGTCGCGGGCCTGTACACACCAATGTCAATCGCATACAGGACAAAGAGTAGAATACTTGCCAAAGTCGCGGTAACAGGTTCGTCGAGCGTATCTACGCCGGTGTACCTGAGAGGTTTGAGAAATACAAGCGAGGCGTTTCGAGTCGTTTGGGCTTACCGGGTCTCGATCTGGACATTTCCAAGCCACCTACGATTTGGATTGACACCGTTGGCGGCTTGTGAAGCTGACGAGGAGCCAATGTTTCCGGAGACGGCTGGGTTTAGGGGCGAGGGAGCAGCGCGTGCCTTTCCCTTTGCGGATGATAAGGGATTTCCTGCGTTTGGAGTTGAAGCAGACAGGGGCGTGACAGGTGCTCCGCCGCCTGGGTAGATCATGGACGGGATGGCGTCTTCTTCAATGTCGTCGTCGTCGTCTACCCGATAAGGGAGTGAGTTGTTAACATAAAAGTAGGAATTGCTTACCTGCCTGGATGAAATGGGATGCACTGGATATTGGTGTCGTGGCAGCCATGGTGGGATGTAAATGCTATACAAGAAATACTAGTTGTATAGTATTTGAACGAGTCTTGATATAATCTAAGTAGTCGAAAAGTTGTAGCCAAAGTTTGGTCGGAATCAACGTTGCTCTCTACCTTGTCGCCGCTCATGGGACAGCCATTTGCGCTGGGATTCGTGGGGGTGACACTATGTTTATTTGAGCATATGAGCATAGAATAACCAAGCGGTTTTAATCACCCAGAGCTGGCTCACAGCGCTCCTCTGGGTTTCATGCCGCCGCTACATCATAATTGTATATATATTTTGTTTATGGATGCTATAAATTGTCTGCCTGCTGCGGCTGAGACGACTTTCGTGGATTTTCCGGCCGCCGAGTGCTCATAAGCACGTTGCCAAACAAACTTGTTGCCCTCTTACGACTTGTCCCCTCCCTCGTCCAGTCCCAAAAGCTAGCACCAGCACCAGCAGCGTAGCAGCCTCCTTGAGCAGCCAGTGTCCTTGCGTTGTCATTATCTTACCCATTTCCAACATGAGATTCGCCGTCGTCTTCCTTTCGTCCATTGCTCTCGCCCTCGGCCAGACCTTGACCGTCAACACTCCGTACGTTCTTGTTTTCCTTCTAGTCGCTGCTCTCCCCCTCCGAGCCCCGGCCAGTCTGCCGCGTGACGAGCACGTTCTCTAACGACGACCTGCAGGATTAATCCCATCGGCTGCGTCAACCAACAGGTTACCTTTACCGGCGGTACTCCCCCTTACATCCTCCAGGTCAATGCCTGTGAGTTTTTGATGGCTCGCTCTCCCCGCTGCCCGCTCGCTGACACGCATCGCGACAATGTCTAGACCCACCCTCTAATGGCCAGCAGCCCTTGAACACGTACTCTGGTATTACCGGCAGCCCCTTCACCTGGCTCGTCGAGCAAAGCCCAAGTGAGTTTATCGACTTCGACCAACTCAGTCCTTTTTGTCGGCAAAACTGACATTGTTTCCCTGCGTCTCCTAGATACCAGCGTCTTCATTCGTCTTCGTGATAGCAGCGGTCTTACTGCAGAGACTGGTGAGTTTTGCGTTTGGTCTTCTTCGGTTTCACCCGTGGGCAACGGAGACGCAAGACACACGCCGTTCGCCAAGAGCAGTCCCCACGCCCACGGCTGCTTGGAGAATCAGACATTTGTACTGACACGAATTCTCTAGGCCAGATCAACATCGTCAGCGGTGGCCCTGCTACCTGCAGCCCAGCAAGCTCCTCGTCGGGTGCCTCTACCCCCGGTAGCTCTGCTGGCGGTAGCACCCCACCTGCCTCGACTCCTGGTGGTAGCTCGACCCCGGCTCCTGCTCCTGGAAGCAGCACTCCTCCTGCCTCGTCTGGCGCTGCCTCGAGCACCACCCCCCGTGCCAGCTCGACCTCTACTCCCAACGGTGCCGTCTCTGTCAAGGTCGCTGGTGCTTCCGTCGTCGGATTCGCTGGCCTCGTTGCTGCTGCCGTCTTGGCATAAGCAAGCTCCACTTCCCTCTCGGGACCCCCCACCATGCGCAGGGTCTATTTTCATAAGAGGGAAGCAATTTTTATCGTGCGTTGGGTTCACGCGCACGATTAGGGTTAGACGTCCTCTGATTCGATGAAGGGGATATCTTATCCTCGTCTCGGCACACCGGCTCTTCTCATTTCCCTCTCCTCTCCCGACCCCTCGCGATTCATTTCTTTGTCAATCTTGGATCACGAGGGTTATTCCTCGCGTCTACTTTCCCCTCCAACGAGATACGGACATGGTCGTTAATTCTCTAGTTGCTTCCCTCTGCTTGTGCCATTCTCTCTTTTCTTTTCTCTCTATCTTGCTCGTACACTCCTGTTGCAATCCGTCGGATTCTTTCTCTTTTCTGTGCGCTGTCGCTCATCGCTCAGCTCTGGGCAATTGCCTCGTGACAGTGCTTAGATTGCAATATATGGTTTGTCTATAACTCGCATTTTGAGCAAGTTAGGACTACGGCCGACAGTTGGGTGACATCCTCAGTGACGTCGTGATGATCGGGCGCGGGAGCTTCGGCGGTTTGTTCCAAAGTAGAGAACCCTATGATTGGATCACAAATTGAAGGAGAAACTGCGCAATGTAATACAGTTGAAATGAAGGGGCCGGGAGGTATAACGGGCTGAAGAGGATGGATGTGTCAGGGCGTGGCCATGTATTTTGTTGGTGAATTGTGTGGCGTTTTGGATTTTCCATGTGCTGAGTGACTTGACTGTCGACTACGGAGTGGCCGGCTTTGCTAGTGACTCGGAGTGTGACTAGTCCCTCGTTCGAGATGAGGTCAAGCAGGAAGATGATGCGCTTCGTAGTCAGATGCGTCTGAGAAGGTCAGAGGTAGGACCTGAAGGAAAGGAGACAAGAAGCTCTTTCTGACGGTCGGGCCTATTACAGACGAGCCACCGAGTCTGGACTGGTAGAAAGCGTAGAGTGTGGTCCAGGCCCTTTGATTCGAATAGCGTGAATTATCTTTCATCTCGTTGTCCCTAACGCTCTCCCAACGGAGCCAAAACGGCCATTTATATCTGCAATAGTTGGTGCGTCTACTTGTTCTCTTTCCGTCTGGCCGCGACCCACCAGTTTGTGCGCTACCAGTCCAAACCACATCCGAGTCTTCTTTCTGGTCTACAAACTAGTTCGAATATTCATTAGCGCTATTGCTAGTTACTCGCGGCACGAGTACGTTCTTTGTTCGCGAGGTCAGAGTCATGATGCAAAGAAAAGAACACGCAAAAGTCATCACCACTCCACACCAACGATATGGCCGAGTCTGGACTCGCAGAACGCCTCATGTCTTGACCAGAGGCCTCGTCCCGCGTCTGTCTGCCGTACACACAGCCTGGAGCCAGTAAGAGGGCTTGACATTCCCCAGTTCGATTTCCAATTTCCGATTCTCATAGGTCTAGTCTAGTGAAGCACGAGCGCGAGCGCGTGCGAGATCACCAGTTTACACTTGAGTAGACGGCCTATAGGCAATACAGCGTGCACATATTGTCCCACATGACATTCGACTGAATAGTAAACAATGCAAACAAGACGGATGGTCAAGTGTAAGGACAGCGCGTAACGACTTGGGCATTAATTGGGAGGTGGCGCATCAGATCCCCTGTGAATACATCATGGCATCTTCGAGTTGTCAGATGCACAAGTTGTGAGCCGTCTGGCAAGACCGAGCGCCAGAGGCCGGTCGTAAAGGAAATACATACGTACTTAGACTTCATTGCTATTTGCTCCTTGTATTCTTTCAATCAAAGTGTCTGCCTGGACCCATATGTCTGGCACATAGGCAGCCACCATCCACGTCTTGGAACTATCCACTTTCACGATGTCAGTACAAAGGTCATCCAATAACCGGAAACAGCGTAGATTTGTGAATCCATTTGGACCCTCATCCTCACGAAACCTAAAGGGCAAGAAACGTCAAGCACACGACGCGGTCAACGTTGGTCTTCATGTAGTGGACACGACCTCTGAAGGAATGGATGTACTTGGTCCTCTCATGACAGCTTGTCGAACAACAAAGTCGATACTTGAAGTTGCCCAGGTGCGTGGGCGAGACTGGCACGACTTCATCTAAAGGAGATGTACAATAGGCGACAGAAAATAACCAACAAGAATGGAAAGTGCTCACTTGCTCTCTCAAAGAACACATTACCGCGCTCCAAGAACAAATTGCCTTGTTCCAGGCCTGTCCTCCACAAGATAGGGTCGTCGACCAGACATTGAGCCGCCCTCTCGTCACCTATGTCGAGTAGGTTTCCATTTCAAGTTTATTTCAACCAACTGAGCGTTCAGATTCCTCGAAAATATGCATAGCAAGATTGTTGAACTCCAGAATAAGCGCAGTCTTAGCAAGCTCAGCTTCTTTAAAGCGTTTACCAAAGTAGAAATTAATGTATTAGAATTGTCCAAACACATCCAAGATATCGTGGACCAGCATAGGCAGTTCATGGTGCGAGTTTCATCAGCCTTTTTCACACGCTCACAACAGCTACAGGAGACGTTGAGTTCTTTTACTGCGTTACGTACGCAAATCACGGAGACAGATACCGAAGTCACTAAGGCTAACGCGGAAACAATCCTGACAGGGGGTAAGCTGAGGTCTCGTATGGGATACGCTTACTTACCTAGTATTTTAAGCTGATCTCACTGCAATATTTCAGCTACCAATGGTGACATTTGTCGCGTCGTCAGTCCACAGAACATGTCTAAAGGGAACACGTGTGGCTGTTCTTGAGATGATCGATCGGTGGGCCCACGATACATCGGAGAAGCCAATCTTTTGGCTTTGTGACATAGCCGGCTCCGGAAAATCTACAGTTGCAATGACGGCAGCAGAATCGTGGAGGCGGCAGGGTGTATTAGGCGGTCAATTCTTCTTTTCTATAGCAAGCAGTGAAGGATCGACCACCGAAAAGTTCTGCTCCACCATAGCACGAGAGCTTATTGACTACATTCCTGACCTAGCCCCATACGTTGCCGCATCCGTGAAGCGGTACCCTTCTTTCATGCGGAGCTCTCTTGAAGAGCAGTTCCGGGTGCTCATCACTCAACCACTTTGTCATTGGCGAGGGTGCATCATCCTTGTCATCGACGCACTTGATGAATGCAAATCTGGATCGCAGCGTCGAGAGATTGTCGAAACCCTTGCCGCAGCCGTTGGAGAAAGCAATAACCTCAAAATATTCATGACGAGTCGCCCTGACCCTGTGATCCGGGCAGCCTTGGAGTCGCATTTGTGCAAATTCAAGCTAGAAGACCGTTTACACGATATCAATCATCGCGATAATATCAATGACATTGCAGCTTACATACACAAATCGCTAGATGGCGTACTGCCAGAGAGCAAGAGGCAGGGCCTGGTCGAAAAGGCTAACGGATTGTTCATCTGGGCAAGCACCGCGTGTCGAATGCTCAATAGCGAGACTAATTTGAACTCTCCCGAGACCACATACGATCGCCTGATCTCCATAGACGAGACGGGGGCCATAGATGATCTATACAGTCTCATTTTTGAGCGCATGAACCCTGAATACTACACAGTCATGTACAGGATGCTCGCCCTGCTACTTGGCGCATATGAGCCACTGACCACGGGGGACCTTGATGATATCCTCAAACATGCTGGAGAAAACGGAAGTGCCAAGGCGTTGGTACGGAATCTCGGTAGCGTGCTTGCCGAAGACGCATCTACAAATCTGATCCAATTCCGCCACCCGACCTTCATCGAGTATCTTCGACGCCGCTCTAATGTCTCAGTCGCCGATGGCCGTGATAAACTACATATCAACATCTCCAATGCGCATGGTCAAGTCGCATCGTGGTGTCTCAAATATCTCACATCGCGAATCAATGGACTCAAGTTCAATATATGTCAACTCGCGTCATCCTTCTACTTGAATAGGGAGATCCCAGATCTTGAGGCCAGAGTGTCAAGATGCATTCCGAGAAGACTTCAATATGCCAGCTCTCATTGGCTATTTCATATGGCAGAAACTGACGACAACTGGCGATCCGTTGTCAAGCAGAAAGTCCAGCACGTTATCCAGGTCCCATACGTGCTATACTGGATGGAGATTCTGAGCTTCACCGGAGGCGTGGCACGAGCGATACTCGGCCTTCAAGCCATTATACGCCATCAACGGGTGAGTTGCTAACCCAAATAAATTCAAATCTTATGCCCTATATAGCTCGAAGAGGCGAATAGAATCATTATGGAAGAGATCCGACGGTTCATGATGGCATTTTCAGTACCTATTCAGGACAGCGCTCCACACATCTACATCTCGGCACTCCCTTTTACTCCTACAAGATCAAGAATGCATAAAGAAGGTCTTGGATATTTTACAAACACCCTAAATGTGACTCAAGGCCTCGACGAGGTGTACCAAGGGCTGCCCAGGGTACTTGTTGGCCACGATGATAGCGTCAACGCCATTTTGTTCTTCCCGAATGGCTCTTATATCGTTTCTTGCTCGGACGACGAGACGATTCGTATATGGGATGCAGACACTGGTCAGCCGCGGGGAGAGCCACTCCAGGGCCATGAATCTGGCGTAAGGACCCTCACGTTCTCACCAGATGGCTCATTGATTGTCTCCGGATCGGATGATAACACGATTCGGTTGTGGGACGCAGTCACAGGTCGGCCCGAGGGAGAGCCATTCCAAGGCCACAACGATGCCGTCAATGCCATCGTATTCTTCCCAGACGGCAGGCGGATTGCCTCTGGTTCCAGAGATGGCACAATCCGTCTATGGGACGCGGATACCGGTCAGCCTTTGGGAGATCCCCTCCGAGGTCATGAGGACTCAGTCAATGCTCTTGTATTGTCATCAGACGGCCTGAAAATATTTTCCGGCTCTGACGATTGCACTATTCGAGTTTGGGATGCAGTCAGTGGTCAGGCGCTAGAAGAGCCGATTCGGGGTCATGAAGGCCCGGTCAACGCCCTCGCGTTCTCTTTAGACGGCTTACAGATCATCTCTGGCTCCTCTGATAACACTATTAGAATGTGGAATGTGGAAAGTGGTCAACAATTGGGGGAGCCACTGCGGGACCACGAAGGTTGGGTCGTGGCTCTCTCGTTCTCGCCAGATGGCTCAGTATTTGCCTCTGGCTCCTTTGACAACACAATCCGTCTATGGGACGCCAAGAGTCTTCAGTCGTTGGGGGAACCACTTCAGGGTCACGAATCACCCGTCACAGCGATCTCATTCTCGCCAGATGGCTCGTGTTTATTCTCTGGCTCGTCCGATAACATGATTAGATCATGGGACGTAAGCGACGCAAGCGCTGGCCAGCCGTTGGGAGAGCCACTCCCGGGCCACGAATCCGAAGTCAAAGCCATTGCATTCTCGCCGGATGGTCTACGAATCGTGTCTGCCTCGAGAGATCGCACTGTTCGACTGTGGGAGACAAGCACTGGTCTACCGTTGGGAGAGCCATTTAGAGGCCACGAATCCGAGGTTACAGCCGTAATATTCTCGCCCGATGGTTCGCGGATCGTCTCCAGCTCGGAGGACACCACGGTTAGATTATGGGATGCGCACAATGGGAACTCGTTTGGAGACCCACTCCGAGGGCACACAGAATCAGTCAATACACTCGCATTCTCGCCAGATGGGGTGAAAATCGCCTCGGGCTCAGGAGATACCACAATAGTACTATGGAATGCAGTCACTGGTGAGCCGTTCGGGACACCGCTCCGAGGCCATGAATCCGAAGTTTGCGCCCTTGCATTCGTGGCAAATGGCTCAAGGATCATCTCTGGTTCGTTCGACAATACCATTCGATTATGGGATGTGACTTCCGGTCAGTCACTAGCAGAGCCCTATCGAGTTCGCGAGGCCTTCCAGGGCACCATCGCGCTCTCGTCGGACGGCTTGCGCATGGCCTGTGGCTCGGATGAAGTGATTCGGCTGTGGGATATAGACCATGATCAACCACTGGGAGCTTTACTTCAAGGTCATCACCACGTGGTTCTTGCCATCACATTCTCTCCGGACAGCAAACGAATTGCCTCTGGCTCGATGGACCACACAGTCCGAATATGGGATGGTGACACTGGTAGCCCATTTGGACACTCACTCCGGGGTCATAAGGCTTGGGTCGGGTGCGTTGCATTTTCACCGGATGGTTCACAAATCGCCTCCGGATCGGAAGATAACACAATTCGGATTTGGGAAGTAAAGAACGGTGAGTGTAGCTCAGGCTTGCGGTTATTTGTCTAAACTGGTATTTACAGACTCAAGTACGGATGAAGAGACGCCTCATTCATATCTCAGGGTGAAATCACCGATCACACCCCTCAAAAACCTCGTTCCTGGATTTGAGGAATGCTCGCTGCTGCACGATGGCTGGGTGCAATCTTCCGGAAGGTATCTCTTCTGGGTACCATCCAATAATCGTCATGGACTACAATATTCACATCGGTTGACTATACCAACAGCAAGTCCGCTGCGGGCGACAAAAAATTAATTTTGCCCGGTTTGAATGTGGTTCCTCTTGGATGAACGTGCGGAAAGTTACCAATTAGTAACCTGCTCCAGATGTCATGCATGTTTTCTTATGCAACCATAGCAGGACTCTGCGTCTGTCCACAGGGTTTCTTCCATGTATATGTTACGAATCGCGCGGCGGTTCGTCTGACAGGTGGAAAGCCCCAGTAGAATTGTGCAACTCGCGTAGTGAATATATTACTAAGCGAGAGTTTGCGAGGGTGTTAGAAGGGAACGAAAGCAGATTCAGAACTAGCGAAATGTACACGCGAAAATCGGTCCTTATACATTGTTTCGAGAGCCCCATCGAGTCATTGGAAATATCTACGGATCCCAAATGGATATGAGAGTCAGCGAGCAGAGGGCATAGGGGATGGGAGACGATTGGCTGGTGCGGAGTAGCGGACGGATGACGAGGTGTCGACGTCAAATCCTCGTCGACCCTAACCCTAGCCGTAATTAACATTCTATTTACCTCAGTTCCGTATGGTAGCGAGAGATCGTCGGCCATATCCGACACCATATGGTCCGCTACTTGTTGATTCTAGGACGCATGAGGTGAGAGGCAAGACCAGTATATGGTGTGGCAAACCTAGGGCGCATGAGGTGAGAGGCAAGACCAGTAAGGTCCGGCCGCATCGTCCCGCGTCCCTAAATACATTGAGTTACGACGTGAGCTATTACTATTGGCTAAGTCTATTTAGTGAGCGCTAATAGCCAAAGGGTAAACCTTCAACACGACCTCCTGACCCTGTGACTTAGCGCATGGACTGAGTACGGGCATGTGGATGAGGAATCAGACGGGTTTTTGACAAACTGCTCGAACTTGATGCGGCCTAGTGGTTTGGTGAAGACGTCGGCAACATTGACGGCTCCAGAGACATGAGCGACCCGGATTTCATTATTGGCAACTCTCTCGCGAATCCAGTTGAAGCTACGGTGAACATGCTTCATGGTGGACTGATTTTCTGGGTTCTTGGCAACCTGGATGGCAGAGGCGTTGTCAACAAATAGGGTGGATGGATAGGACGCAATGTCGTAGCCAATTTCATCGAGGAATGACCGCATCCAGATTATTTCGCACCCGGTGGCGGAGGTTGTTGTATACTCCGACTCTGTTGATGATAGTGATGTGTGGCGCTGGAGTCGGCTACTCCACATTACAGCGCCACCACCAATTGACATGACAAAACCGGCTGTCGAGCGGGTATTATCGGCGTTTCCACCCAGATCGGCATCACTATGCGTCGTGAACAGTTCGGAGTCGGGTTCGAGGCCGTAGGTGAGCTTGTAGTTTGTTGTTTTGCGGAGATATCGCAGTACCCGTTTGAGAGCCAGTGTGCTCGTCCAGGATTCTCGCTGAACCGACAGAGCACCCCCACAGAGTATGAGATGTCTGGTCGAGTGGCAGTTGCGATGTAAATGAGCTTTCCAAGGGCCTCTCGATAGGGTACGTTCTGCATTTCCAACTTCTCCTGCTCAGTTTGTGGTGAATCCTTGGTCGAGAGGAGTAGCTTTTCAGCCATAGGCGTGTCAGTGCCATTACAGTCCTGCATTTCGTAGGTTTCAAGGATCTGTTCGATGTATGCTGGCTGAGAAAGAGAGATGGTGGGATTGGCTCACGCTCGAGTTGACACCAAGTAGAATGAGGTAGGTCCCTGGTCGTGGATTTGAAGCGCGCCTTGAGTTCATTCTTCACGATTTGAATGGCGTCTGGTGACTTTGATGCAAGCAGGAGATCATCAACGTGGACTGGTACAATAATCTTGACGTTGTCACGCTCGTAGATGAAGACACTGTGATCGCTTTCGGGCGTTTGAATCCAATTTCGATAGGACAGTGTAGTTTCACAGACCAGATGCGAGGGCCTTGTTTGATTCCATAGAGGCCCTTGAGAAGTTGAAGCACCCAGCTCGTGCCTTCATAGCCCTCGAACTCGACTCCTTCTGGCTTTCTCATGTAGACTTCCGCATCAATCTCACCATTGAGAAAAGCGGTTGATATGTCTACTGACTCTAGCTCCCAGTCTTCAAGTGCTGCAAGTGCTATGATGGTGCGGAGAGGAGCTGTTGGTGCGAAGGTCTCTGTGTAGTCGATTCCCTCTCGTTGTGCGTATCCTTTGGCCACAATGCGTCCCTTGTACTTGCTAATAGACCTGTCAGCATCACGTTTGATTTTGAATACCCAACGTGAGCCGATAGCCTTGTTGAGTCGCTCGCACAAGCTTCCACGTGCCGTTTTCCAGGTGAGCTCTGACCTCTTCTATAGCCGCTTGGACGTACTTGTCGCCGTCAGGGCGTTTCAGAGCTTCTCCTAGTGTTGTTGGCTCGCGGCTTGTAGATGCGTTTAAGGCAGCTTCGACACCATCAACAATGGGAATGAGGATATGATCAGGCGCTTCGAAATTCGGCTTGGTCTCCAGCGTCGAGCCTTAGTTGACACATGAGGATGGAATTTGAGGTAAGAACGCTTCTTCAGCAGCTAATTGGACATTATCCTCGTCGGAGCTCTCATTTAGGTCAAGGTCCGAGTCAGATTCAGTCAAGGTGCCTGGCTGCCGCGCAATTGTGTGTCGTCGAGCTGGGAGATTCGTAGGGACCTTCTCGAAATTGGTATGATCAGTGAGTGCTCGCAGTTCGCGACTCAGGCGTTGTGGAGCTGCGGGTTTAGGTTGTGCTGGCTCTGGTGTGCGTGGAGGGACAGGCTCGTGAGGAATAGGTGCAGGTACAGGTCTCCCTGAAACGTAAACAGGAGGTTGAGTGTTTGGAGGTGGAATGGATGATGGAAAGGCGTTGATTTCCTCGAGATCTGGCAGCTGGATATAGTCAGAGGGGTTCGGAATCGATTCCTTTGCGAACGAAGTGCCTGGAAAGACTCTCTCATCGAATACAGCACTGTAGCTGTGTATAATATTTCGTGTCTGTGGGTTCCAGAACACCCAGCCAGGGCGGTCAGATGGATACCACGAAGATACACTTGTCAGTGTGCGAGTCAAGGGCATCACGCTGCGATTTTGGAATGAAGACATAGGCAAGACATCCAAATATTCGAAGGTGATCAACGCTCGGAATCACCATGCCAATGTTCATACGGGGTTTTCCCATTGTGAACTCGGGCACGGTTGAACTCATGGACAGTGGCAAGTGCAGCGAGACCCCAAAAGATGGTGGAAGGTTTGATTCTGTAAGTTTAGTGATTGTCCTTCTGCTATCCATCGGTTTGCTTGCTCGACTCGTCCATTCTGCTCTGGTGTTGCACTATGGTGCGTTCTCTTGTAATACCAGCGGAGATACAGTACTGATCAAACTCTTTGCCACTGAACTCGCCGCCTTTATCATCTCGCAAGTGTACCAAGCGCTGGTGCGTCTGATTCTCAGCGAGCTTGGAACTCTTGGAACGCTCTGAATGCTCCATCTTTCGAGTGAAGGAGTGAGAGCGTGACAAAATTAGATGCGTCATCCACCATAGCCATCCAGTACTTGGCACGGTGTGGCATGGACTCAACATTGACTGGGCCTTTTAAATCAATAAAGACCCGTCTAATGGAGTGGTGGCGTGAGTTGCTGGCGTTGTATGGGGTGCTCGAGTTTGCTTGCCCGCAATACACGGGGCATATAGGGTCTGGCTTTGCATTTGAGTCCAGCTTGAGTCCGTTGACCAGATTATGGCGGATTAATGTGTCAACTCCGTCGTGGTGATAGTGACCAAGGCGGCGATGCCTGCTCATAGTCCAGCAGAGTATACTCGCGATATGTGCCTGCTCCGACGTGAGAACTCGTCCATTGAGGTAAGCAACGCAGTTGTCATCAATACGAGCTGTCATTCGGAGTTTACCATCAAGGTAGAACTCCATTTGCTTCGAATTAATGCGGATATCATATCCTTCTTTGCGTGCCATTGAGAGAACTGAGACGAGATTCGATTGTAAGTCGGGAGCAAAGAGAACATTAGGGAAAGTAACGAGTTCAGAACTAAAGTAACCATCTATCCACGGCTAAACACAACGTCCCCTTCTCCAGTGGAGAAGATCCTTTCACCATTGGCCAGTTTGATCGACCTGACCAAGGGGCGGAGCATGGTAAAGTAGCTTTCGTCACTCATCATTGTCCGAGTAGCCCCTGTGTCGGCGTTCAGGTCAGATCTAGCCGTAGATGGTAAGGAGGGGGTACTTGCATGAGCGGCATGAGCATTTGGTACAGTAGTTGAACCGTCTGTAGTGATGGCAACACGTGCGGCCTCTTGCTTGCGACGAGTCGCTTCAGCCTTCGACCAGTACTGAGCGGCTGTATGGTTCCGTTTGCCACAATGATCACATATGGCACCTAGCATGTGTTCAGCGGCCGTAGGCTTTGGTCATGAGGAGTAGGGAGGTGTACTGCGATAAGCAGTGGGCTGGGAAGTGGCTGCCCGGAGTGCGATGGCTGGCTGCGAGTTCCTGCGCTGCTGATTGTCCTCGTTGACGAGAGCTGCATCTATTACATCTCGGGTGAGATTTGGCTGGCAGAGTAGTGAAGTTCGGACGTGAATCGATTCAGGCGGGATCATGCGGAGGCTCGACATCATAGCGAGGTCGTTTAGTAGTGTGTCTGCATCGTAATTTGTCGTCCAGAGTGATCTAAATTGTTCCTCGAGGGCATTGGTGGCGGCTGTGATCGACGCCAAAGGCTCTCCTTCGGCCTTCGTTTTGGCGAAGAATGCCTCAAGCGCGTTGAAGTGGGTTGCCGATGTCTTTGCATTGTGAATATACTCGAGCTTATTCCACATTGCGACTGGATCCCCTTTGAGTTTGCGGATCTGGCTCATGTTGGTCTCATCGACAGTGAGTGTGATGGCTGCGGAGGCCTGTTTTGCGCGGCGTTTCCATTCGTTAGCATTATCAGCGACGTATTGTTTGGAAGAAGTTGAACTCTCGCTCCCCTCGCCTTCCGTACCGGGGGAAGGGTCTTTGGGTGCCGAGTCTGGGCTGAGCTCAAGCCCGTAGACGAGGTCATCGAGGTTGTTGAGTGTGAAATATCGATCTATCTTTTGTGACCATGCGAGGTAGTTGCCCGTTGTGAGGACTGGGATCGCACTGAAACCTTTGGTAGACATGTTTGTGTAGCAATGGGTGCGCGGAGGCGATGTTACTGGTGAATTTGATCCTTAGTGCAACAAGAGGCTCATAAACTGTTGATTCTAGGACGTGTGAGGTGAGAGGCAAGTCCAGTAAGGTCCGGCCGCATCGTCCCGCGTCCCTAAATATGTTTACGACATGAGCTATTACTATTGGCTAAGTCTATTTGGTGAGCGCTAAGAGTCAAAGGGTAAACCTTCAACACTACTGTCGAGCGGACCAGTCTATGGTGGCGCGTCAGCTTCTCAACGTGGCGCATGTGAGCCACTATGTCAATTATTACTCTTTCTGCATAGATTTCACCGCGTTCCGTAACACCATCTCAATCTCGCCGGACGGCTCACGAATCGTCTCGAGCTCGAAAGACATGACGATTAGACTATGGAATGTAGAGACGAGTGAGTGTATGCTTTGCTTAGTTATAGTATTCTGGCTGGGACTTAGATGCAAACTTGGATGAGGGAGATCCCACATATTCAGAATCGATGAAGAAATCGCAGGGTACCCCGCTGAGGATCCTTGCACCTGGGTTCTCTTTCCCTCACAGGATGGCTGGGTGCAATCTTCTGGCAAATTTCAGTTCTGTCTACCACCGGACAACCGGCATGAACTAGAGTATTCGCACCTTTTGACTATGCCGACCAACAGCCAGCTTCGAGCGACTATACTGAATTTAGCCATTTTCAATATGGCGTGTCTTGGGTAAATGTACGAAAGGACGCCAGACTGTTAGAGGAAAGCTAGTGCATACTATTTTGATGGAGAATGTATACATTATGTTGAAAGAAGAGGCTTTGGTTTGATATTCCTACTTAGGGTAGTGGACGCGGACGAACGGAGGACCAGAATGAGATTTAGAGTGGTAGAAGTGAAAAGGATCGTGATAGAGATATGTACAGTGGAATAGCCTGGTGGATATCCAAATCCGCAAGGGTCATAGATTGGGATGAGTTGGTAGGAGTGGTAGGAGGAATGGGGACTAGTTGGTAGAATAAGGGATGCTCTGGGTGAAGAACGATTGAGGGTCACGGCGAGACAGAAAAAGAACAAGTCAATGCACCAACGATTGCGAATATAAATTGCCGCTTTAGCTCAGTTGGGAGAGCGTTAGACTGAAGTTAAAGCCTCATCTACAGGTCGCCTGTTCAAGCCAGGCAAGCGGCATTCGTTTTTTGTTTTGCGCTCATTTTCACTAGGGGTGATACTTTTGTTCTTCTTTCATTTTTATGCCGTGTTTAAAAGGAAATTTATTTGGTAGGTTTTCCCCCTCCTTCAAGCGGAGAAGTAAGGGTGAGTTAGAGTCGATAATGACGTAAGGTGGACCGAGCATTAGTACTCATATTAAATGGATATAAATGTGATATATGTCAAACTTGCCTTGTCCCACGAGCTTGCGTGGAAATTGGCTTTCTAACGCTCGTGGCGCCTTGTCATCATTGCATCGGATCTGGATCTAACGCAGAGATTACTACATGCGAAAATCCACAAATAACCAGCTATTAACATGCACCCAAACTGAGCAAACTCCCCGGAGGCGAGAAGATTTACGCATCTCGCGCAGAGGGGATTTATTCAGGCCTCTCAATTTGAATTTCTGGCTGGACGTATAAGTTTGACGACAATGCAAGGAAAGGCTTACTAATATGGAATGCCACGAGCGAGAAGCTGAGATGGATTCGAGACTCGTGACCAGCCAGCTGCTCAAGTCCTGCAGCCCACCGTCGTCGCGGCGTATGTCACGACGTCCTCGCCCACCCGGAGACGGACACTCTCCTTGGGAACCAATTCGACGCAGCCATCCAGGCGAACCACTTGGTCGAAATCGATGCTGTGACTGCCATCAGTCCAGCGATGCGAACCGCGATTGTCAACGTCGACACGGACCTCCCACAAGAGGCCTTTTTCAGAAAGATCCTTTCGAGGTTTTCGCAGCCATCAGCAGGCGCCGCCATGGCTCTCCTCTCCACGAACAGTCGCCAGAGGGTTGTACGACCACTTGCTAAGGGAGGATGCTGCCCGCATCCTGGGTCCTCGCATGGACCTTCTCCCGCATGCGAGAGCACTCGTAAGCCTTGAATAAGGGTTGCATTGGCAACTATGGCCCAGATTCGGCCGTGTTTCTTGCATGACCAAAGGTTGCCATACGATCATGCAATGTATATAATGAATAAATTTTCCATCTCATAGCCTAAGAGGCTGGTATAAGATTGGATACACTCGGGGGTCGAGGTCGGGTCCAAGTTGCGTTTGACGGACAGCATGCGATCCATGAGACTATCCAGACACTCAACAGTGGATCCTTGACCTCGACAAGAAAACATCCGCTCAGAGGTCGGCAAATGCGTAGAGCAGTACCGAGGCGGTGAGACGCCCAGCAGAGGCAACTCGGAGACGATCCAAATCAACGAGCCAACGAGCGTCGCGTCAGCGAGATGGACGACCTCATCAGACTCGAACCGACTTTTATAGACTGATATATCTGCCGAGCTCTTCCAAAAGTTGCTCAAGGGACGGACGCGTTCACCACAAGCACGAATGGATCGAGGGTCCCACGTTGCTCAATGCGAAATATACGGTGAACCGTCCGGCGAGATTCGAGGAGGCAACGGCGATCGTCCAACTCCGGTAATACCCCAGGCCCCAGGAGAGGCGTCGCCGAAACGTCGAAAAGTCCAGAGATGATGTCTGGGAGTCGGCGGTCGACCACGAGCTGTTCAAGGGTGCGTAAGTCGATCAACAAAACCATGCGTTCCTAATCCTCGTCAGCCCGTAGCTCGACTGTTTCCTGCAGACAAAGTGCCTCATTGTGCAGATAATGTGATCATTCAGCACTAAGAATACGTGATTGGGTCCAAGTTGCGTTTGACCGAAGCTGGGTGGGACAAATAGGTAACAGTATTGCCACTATCATGGTATTCCTCAATCTTGTGTGTATATCTGGCTAAGCAATAATTAGTGACGGTACACAGCGTCTCTCACCTCGCTCTCGATTCAGTGCATTGAGCAGATTTGCTGTGAGTGCGAAGCAAGTAGGAGCATCTTCCTACAAATAATCGGACCATTCTATTTCACAGAACTGTCAAAGCCACCCATAAGCTGTCTTGTGAGAAAGTACGTGGACCAGCGCCTCTTTCTTGCTCTCCTACCGCGGTCACCAGCGTATGCTGGTCGGCATCGCTCGCGTTCGGATAGTTCATCGCTTATCTTCTTGTCGTACAAGTCTCGCAAGAATGTCTTCCAACGCCTGGACGCGCGTCGATTCTCCCGCCCATCACGTTTTCTCAACGCCAATCGAAAAGGCCGAATTAGACGACCGCGAATATCGCGTGATTCGACTAGAGAATGGTCTTCAGGCCCTACTGATACACGATGGAACCACAGACAAAGCCGCCGCTGCGATGGACGTCGGAGTCGGCCATCTAAGTGATCCGGTAAATCCACAACACCTGATTAGTGCTTTTTCTGACCAACTTCCTCTCCAGGATGACATTCCCGGGTTAGCGCACTTTTGCGAGCACTTGTTATTCCTCGGCACCAAGGCTTTTCCAAGGAGAATGAATACTCGCAGTATATCAAAGCCCACGGCGGCTCTTCGAATGCGTATACGTCGACAAGTAATACATGCTACTACCTCCGTTGGATCCTCCCACCTCGCGGGAGCCTCGACCGCTTCTCCGCCTTCTTCCATTCGCCTCTCTTCGACCCAAGCTGCACGTCCGCGAGCTTAATGCAGTCAACTCGGGCATAAGAAGAATGCACAGTCTGACCTTCATCGAATATGGCAACTTTTCAGCCAAGCTGTGCCCGGACACTGCTGGAGCAAGTTTGGTACCGGTAACCTTGAAACTCTCCTCAAGCGGCTAAAGCCAAACCGGAGAATCATCCATGTCGGACGAGCTGGATGGAGGGGCAGTGGGAAGGGAAACGAGGCGACGACTTATCGAGTGGTGGGAAAGACACTACTGTGCATCCATCATGGGACTCGTGAGTGCTTGGTCGTGAGTCCCTGGATGAGCTTGCCACTATGACGCTCGAGCGCTTCTCTACTGTGCCCAACCAGGCGTCCCTCTTCCAGTCGAGACCGTCCCGTGGGGACCAGAGCAACAAGGGAAGATCATGTTCGTCAAGACGGTCATGGACGTCGATACCTGGAGCTATCCTCGCTCCCCGTCAGGATACTCTACGAGTCAAACCTGCAACTTTTCTGTCTCATTTCATTGGCCGAAGGCGACGGGTCGCTTTTTGCGTATCTTAAGGAGAAAGGCTGGGTCACGCAACTCTGGAGTGGCCCTCAGAGCTCGGCCAGAGGGTTCTCATTTATGAAAATTAACGTCAAGCTGACAAAAGTGGATTGAGTACGTCTTTATTCTATATAGTATCACAATCTCATCGAAATAGAGCACTATAAACAGGTCCTGGCATC